GTCGATACTTGAGGTTGTTGATCTGCGACCAATAGACAGGAACCGAGCCTCTAGTTTGCAAGAAGGAGTAAATCTGGCCGTTGCTGGCAGTAAATATCTGCTCTGTCTCGTTAAAGTTGGCAACATTACCGTCCTCATCGATACCTCTACGCAAATATCTTGTACCAGCACGCTGGGTAGCACGACGAGTTAACAAAGCAAATTCCAATGGCTGGCCGCCGTTGAAGGACGCCGAGTGGGACTTGAAGTATCCGTAGATCACAGGAGTAACGAATGCCTCGGCCCCATTTTCGATAAGATCCTGACTGATATAGTGGTTCCACCAGAAACGAAGGTCATAAGAAGGACGCCTGGTATACTGGTTTTGAAGCGAGTTGGTGACATCGTACTTGTTTCCAGGCGAAAAGTACAACGTGGCATTGTTCAAATGGAGGTGGAGAAGGTCCAAGTAGCTGGACTCCTCACTGCTTTTTCTTGTATGTTGGCCCAAAGGTAAGATCTTGTACTCGTCCACTTTGGCGATTTCTTTGCCCATGACACTTCCGGTGATAGTGTGCTTGGTCACGATGATCACATACTTGTTCAATTTGAGTTGAATCGTTCCTAAAATACACGAAATGGCAGTGCCTTTTTCCTGAAAAGCAGCAGGAACTGAGTCCTGAACTTCGACGCCATTGTTACCGTTGAGAAGGAGATACTTTCCCTCAGCACTGCGGAAAACATGGGTGCCGTCTCGGGCAATACTGTGATAGAATGACATATGGTGCTCACGAATCTTGTTGGGATTGTCAAGAGATTCCCCGGGTGTCTGTGCAGGACCCATGTGCTTTGAAGATGAATGGGGAATATTTTCTAGCTGCCGAAAGACTAGAGAAGAAATTTTTTTCTTGTGTTGAAATACTCGGGGCTCAAATGACTCAGGAGTGATGTTTGGGGTACATAACGTCTATATAACTGCAAATATTTAGGACTCTAGTTGCATGGAAAATAGTCCGATTAGATAAGCTCTTCATCTTGGGGTTGATGCATCTCGGCTAAATGAAGAATAATCCCACGTATATAGATCTTTCGGTTCTAAGGAAGAGTCACCAACTATGGTAAAAATGCTTATCACTAGTGGTTAGTTGAATTCTACATAACTGTGGTAGACCTTATGTTTCATACAGGACTTACACATCCATACACCACTGATACCAAGTAGGTCGCACCACGCTTGCCACTTCACCATGTTCAAGCTCAGTTCTACATTAACTGGCCACGAGCTGGATGTTCGTTGTGTGGCAATTGCAGGCACGAAAACGATCATTTCCGGACTGAGAGATGCTACGCTTCGAAGCTGGACTCCCACAGCTTCTAATCTGAGTCTGGACGATTCTCTCGTAGTTTTCCATTCTCCGGAAAACTCATTTATCAATGCTGTTGCTTACATAGACGAGGTCAATTGTACAGGAGAACCATTGGTTGCAAGCGGAGGAAAGGACTGTATTGTATTTCTTTCACCAATTGCAATCGATCCATCTGCTCAAGACATGGCTAAGTACAACCTTATCGGCCACGAGAATAATGTTTGTGCTCTTTCTTACGCCGACAACAACTTGATATCGGGGTCGTGGGATGCCACTGCCCGTGTATGGGATCTCGAATCGATGCAGACAAAGTATGTTTTACGAGGACACACGGCTTCTGTATGGGATGTGAAGATACTAGATGCCAAGAATGACATATACTTGACAGCATCTGCTGATGGCACCATACGCAAATGGAAGGGCGACAAGGAAGTAAAACAGTACAAGGGACACCAGGATGTTGTGAGGAAGTTGTTGCTTTTTCCCGATGGAAAGTCGTTTGCTTCATGTTCCAATGATGCTACCATCGTGATTTGGGACCTTGAGTCTGGAAACATCAAACAAAGGCTCGCAGGACACACATCCTTCATCTATGATTTGGGATTATTGCCCAATGGCGACCTAGTCTCCTGCGGTGAAGACAGAAGTGTCAGAGTGTGGAGAGATAATGCCATAATCCAGGCAATTACCTTGCCCTGTGTGTCTGTGTGGTGTTTGGGCCACATTCGACAACGGCGATTTTGTAGTGGGAGGCTCTGACAAACTCTTGCGCATATTCACAAGAGAACAATCAAGAACAGCACCACAGGCAGAGCTCGATCAATTTTTAGAAACAGTTCAACAATCTGCCATTGCTGAACAATCGGTCAACGATTTGAAAAAGACAGATATCCCAGGTTATGAAGCATTAGAGAAACCTGGAAAGCAGGAGGGCTCAACGATCATGGTGAAAAATCATGCTGGAACCATAGAGGCTCATCAATGGTCTGGAGGTGAATGGGTTAAAATTGGCGATGTTGTTGGTTCAACTGGAAGCACAGAGAAAAAGGCCTTTGACGGGGAAGAATACGATTATGTGTTTGATGTTGATGTCGAAGATGGTGCTCCTCCTCTCAAGTTGCCCTTCAATCACAACGATAATCCTTACGAAGCTGCCGATAAATTTTTGGCTGCAAATGAGCTTCCTGCTTCGTATAGAGAAGAAGTGGTACGATTCATACTCCAAAATACAGGTGGCGCCCAGTTAGACCTGGCACCTGCTCCTGTTACTAATCCTTATAGCGACAACCAACAGACTTCAACGGCGGCCGCAGTCAAGGTCATTCCCGAGAAAACTTACTACCATTTCAAAGAGTACAAGGAAGAACAACTCAGCAGAGGATTTGTAAAGTTCAACAAGGAACAATCTCACAGCTTCTCCGAGAGCGAAACCAATGAGATTCTTTTGAAGTTGAAGAACTTGACTTCCGCGGAGTCATTATCCTTGTTGACTGTAACAATACCTCAGATACTTCTGAAGTGGGATCCGAAGGCACATTTGATTGGCTTTGATTTAATGAGAGTTTGCGTTCCACGTATAACAGCGGTCGATTTCCTCCGCTCGCTTGATGCTGCTCAAATCGTATTTGACTCAATTTCCTCGGGATTAGACACCGTTGAAGATAATGTCGCCCTCTTCATGATGATATTAAAGGTGTTGAACAACTTGATTGGTACAGCTCTATTTGCTCAATTGTTCATGACTGCCGATGAAGATGGCTCTACTCAGTTCAGTGAGCACTTGGTAGCAATATTGGACAAAGTGAGGAGAAAGTATGAAGGTCTCGGCTCCCAACCTTCAATTACGCAACTGAAGCACTACCAAACAACATCGACAAGCTTGAGTACACTCATCTACAATTTTTCAGTATATCAAATTCTGACCCAATCCTTCAGTTCAAACCCCAAAACCGCTCAACCCATTACTTCTTTTGCTAACGGTGTCGGAGATGCACTCGTGGCCTCTGGAGCTGAATCTGCTTACCGCTTGTGCATCGCCTATGGTAATTATCGATTCGTACATGCGTACCAGGCGGAACCAAAGTGGTTAGAAGCAGCTAGTAAGTTATATGGTTCTGAATCGCGTTTCCGCATCCTACTTGAAGATATCAAAAATTTATAGTCTTCGTTCATCGCATTATATATATAACTCAGGCACCTTCTTCATATATTGTACTAGTTTTGAAGCCATTTGCAAGTTGACATTGTCCGATAATTCAACCACCGAATACGTTTGAACCAGCTGGCCATCTCCGACTTTGCCGATAATTTCGTAGTTTTTTCCAACACTCAAGGTCTCGTCAGACACCAACTTCAAGTTGACAGTTCCATTTGCTTCAAGTAACGCGTGTCTTGCTGGCGCGTCAAAAGACTGACAATTGCCCATAATGCGAACTATCTTGCCTTCGTTCTCTTGCAACAACGAAGCATCTATCCTTATACTGGCGGTGTCCATTTTATATTACGACTATTGTTGTGAGGAAAATTGTATAATGAATCACTATTTGACAAGAAGGTACTTTGGATTTCGCATTTCGCAGCGTCTTAACTTTCAGGCTGATGCACCCATTGCACCCGCGATTATGCCTCGATCAATTGCTGCAAAAAGTCTCCAGCTTTACCGGCTTCTTCTGCTCTCATCAAGCTTTCACCAATCAAAAAGCCATCTACGGCTTCCTTTTTATATTTTGTAACGTCATTGGTGCTGCTGATGCCGGATAATGCCAACACCAAAACTGGTCCTTTTCTCTCGCTGCCACTTTTGGCGTACTCTACCAAAGAAGTTGTGGTTCCCAAATCCACTTCAAAGGTAGTGAGGTTACGGTTGTTGACTCCAATAACCAAAGGTTCTGTGCTTTCTTTATGCGACAAGCTTAAAGCGATTTCTAGCTCTTTTTTATCGTTGACTTCAACCAAGGGCACCATACCTAAGCTCCAGGAAAACTTGTAAAGTTCAGAAAGCAACTCTACATTGTTAAGCATCTTGACAATGAGAAGAACAGTGTCTGCCCCTGCTAAACGTGCCTCAAGTATCTGGTACTTGCTGAAGATGAATTCTTTACGAAGCACGGCAGGACGTTTATAACCGTCAACTGAGGGTATAGTATCAATGACTCGTCTGATCAAGCTCATATCTTCAATACTTCCCTTGAACCATGTTGGTTCTGTCAACACAGATATGGCCGAGCATCCATGCCGAGCATATGTGAGAGCCTGTTTACCGGGATGAGCCCTTATGTTGATGTTTCCCTTGGATGGGGAAGCTCTCTTGAATTCCGAAAGTATCACGTTTTGATGGGCATTCTTAGTTGATACCATTCGTTCATAAAAGTCTATCAATGTTGGTGCCACGGAAAGAGAGTATGTCATCTCCAAATCTGCAAACGATCGTCCAGGAATGACCTCAATTGCCTCGTAATCCGCTTGGCGCTGCTTGTAGATTTTGGTGAGAATATTCTCTTTTTTTACCGCACCACTTCCCATCTGGTCACATTCGGCCCAGGTAGCACCAGACAATGAAAGCAAATTATCGATCATAATACGACCCGATTCGGTAAGAATAGACTCAGGATGGAACTGCACACCTTCAATGGCATACGTCTTGTGACGAACACCCATAATAACCAGTGGTTCCGTTTCAGTTGTGGCGGTGACTTCTAAACAGTCAGGCAAGGACTTTAAGCTTCCAGCCAAAGAATGATACCTCGTGACAGCAACAGATTGCGGAACGTTCAGAAACATTCCCTTTCCATCATGTTTAATTGTAGTAGTTTTGCCATGAACGATTTCTCCAGCGTATGCAACTTCACCTCCAAAGACTTCAAAGATACACTGTTGGCCCATACAGACTCCAAATATAGGAAGTTTGCCTTTGAAGTGGTCTATAAGTTCTCTAGATATACCCGAGTCGGTAGAAGGATGACCGGGACCAGGAGAAATGAATATTATATCCGGCTTGATTTCATTCTCAACGGTTTCAATGGAAATTTGGTCATTTCTATAAACATCCACCTTTCTGCAAAAACGACTCTGGCATAAGTACTGGTAGAGGTTCCATGTGAAACGAGTCATAGTTGTCTATCATCAACACATGCTTCTTAACCAACTCGTCTACCATCTTTACTTGGTGAGATATTCTACACCAAAAGAAAAATATCGTAGAGTCATACATAACATCTATACACCCATATTATATGTTTTAAGTCTATGTTTTAAGATGTCTCCGCTTAACACGGCTACTGATAGGAGACCCGTTTGCAGCCTGTTGCTTCACATCTCTTTGCACGCCTTTAACAGCTTTCTTTTCAATTTTTGTACCACTCTTGTTTTCATTTTTGCTTTCAACTTTTGGTGCTGTTTCTTCAGTTTCCAATTCTATCTCCACGTAATAAAATGGAGCTCACACCCTCTAAAATCAACATGAATAAAGATGATAAAACCGCCAAACAGTAGTTTGAAATACTGACCCCTATATCGAGCCATGATCCTTCGGTTCTCACAAGGAAGAAAAAGTTGAGTGAAACAACATCGCTTGTGGAAATAATTAAAGTTGAAATGGTGAATTTTCTTATCTCCAAACGATGGTTCATTATTCCCAAGCAGATGGAGAGAAGAACATATGGTATGATGAGTTTTCAACATCAACAAAGCTCCCATAGGAAAAAGGATCAAAGATTGGAATCAAGCGATATACCAGAATCCAATGAGAAATGATGAAAATGGATGCGATATTTCCAGTGCCCAAAAAATGCAAATTGTAAAAAGAAGAATCCCACAATAGAGATCCTGAGCACTTGGATCCAAGTATCCTTCTGGTAAAGCACCATTTTGTGTTTTGTTGTTCTTCCGAGACACCTTCTGCTCTATCATTAACCATTGCAAGAGGACCAAGGAATATCCAACGTAGAACAAGGTTTCGAACGAGATGGTTAAAATGATAAAGGTTGGAGCGAATGCCAAAAAGATTGTCAAAAGTCTAATTTGATAGTCCTTAGAAGGAGACAATGCGTACAAGGGAGGAATCACCACCAACGAAACGACAAAAGTCACCCAACCGATCACTTGTGAGCTCAAAGGTAAACCATCTCTGGCTTGAAGCGACACAACGGACACATTGGTTGCGTATGTTATCACGACTATAGCAAGAAGTTGACAAACAATCAATGCTTTAATCAAGGGAGCTGGTCTGTTCTTCAAAACCTTTAAAGTTCCACTAACTCCTGTTAAGAAGGCAGCAGCTGCTCCACAATTTATCTGTGCCAAACTTTCTGTTTTGACAGGGTCTAAGTTAGTGAATACACACATAGCCGAGCAACTCATGAGCCACAAAACCTTTTCATGTATCTTAACTTGCTTTTCGCTGAAACCAAATGGATATAATCCGACAAACATGAACAAGATAGAGAACATGATCCTCTTGAAAAACCCGTACACAATTCCTTCATACATGCCCACAAAAGCAACAGAAAGTAATACTCTCGTGGTCGCACTGATTCCATTCAACAAGATATTGAGTCCATTCACCAAGTTGTCTTTCTCATGCAAAATCGTGTACCAGAAGTACAACGGAAACGCAGCATACATGTAGTAATTGAATGGAGAGTCTTGGAAAAAGAGAAGGTAATTGATACCAGCAGCCAAAGACCCAAAGACAAAGTTGAGAATTGGCGACGCCGTGGTGGAAGTAATGGTTGCCTCGTCAAGAATAAAGAGCTTCAAGAAGATGATGAAAGAATAGACGATCCATCCAAGGAAGCCTAGGGTCACAATCGAGCGCAACATGAGCCAATTGTAAGTTTGAAGGTAAATTAATCCCTCCAAGGCCATTTTCATTAATTCTTCGGAGAGTTCTATCGCCTCTTTAAGGTTGGCTTCAACTTCAGAGGTAGTTCCCCCTTCGATTGAATTGATGAGGAGCTCGATTTGAAGGCGATATTCGTCCACTGACTTTTGCTCGAATGGAGCATATGGTTTGAATCCAAGCTGATGTTCATAGACCTCAGATTCTTTGACATGATACTGCTCGATGATACCCAATGCGTTGGCATAGAGCGCCTTTGCTTTTTCCACTGGCTTCGAGTCAAGGTATGCAAGAGGTAACTCGCCTACTGAGTTGGCAGGGTAATTAGCTCCAATGAGGTATGCCATCAATGGGGCAATATCGGCCTGTTTAACATCATTTCTTACAAGATGGTCAAGTTCCCACGTATCAAAGTAAGTGTCTTCGTAACCACTGTTAGAAGGGTGCTGTTTTTCAAGTTGAGCAGCTGGGTCTGAAAGATCGTCGACTCGTTTTGGCTTATTGATTCCAGCTCCCCAAGCAATAAGAGGCGTACGAGTATTGTCAGGATGCCCATCACCATGAGAGCCGAAATCCGACATTCCATGGTCGGCTGTAAAAACGAAAGCGCTTTCCTCGTCTCCAAAAAATTCATGAATTTTAGGAACTAATTTTTGCAACATACCGTCGATATACTCGATGTTGTCGTAGTATTCGGCGGAATATGGTCTATAGGCATGACCAGCAGTATCAGGACCTAACAAATGAAGGAAAAAGACGTTACCTTCTTGGTGCAATTCGTCGTGCAATGTGCTATTGGTGGTCAGATTTGCCATGAGTTCGTCAAAATGTCTGAATACGAACGAGTCCAACTCAATTGAACTTTGGGTAAAATCTTCGAATTCATGCCCGTACATATGACAATCAATTCTTCCTGGAACCACGTTGTCGCCGTATGCAAACATGGGAAGGATATCGGGAGAACCAAACGAATAGGTATGGGTCGACTGGTTGAAAAACAGGTCAAAGTCAACGGGATTTTCTTTCCAGCCCTTGGTAACAGCAGAGACATCTTCGTAGAACCCGGCAATCATAGCAACGTGGCCCGGACGCGATTCTGTAGGCATTCTGGTATTGGAGATGCCCCAAGTTCCTTGCTCAAGAGCAAGGCTTCTGAGGTAAGGAGCCAAGTATTTGTATTCTCCAGTCCGTGGGTGCGTAAGCTTTTGAAAAGTCTTGTCTGCTCGAAGTCCATCTCCCACAATCAAGAATAAACGCTTCGCTGGAGGTGAATCTGTGGATTTGTGATTTTTCATACCATGAACCAATGGCAGCACGAAGTAGATATCGAATATGGACCATAGGTAGAAGAAGTGAAAAAGAACCCCTACGATGATAAGGAGCTGTCTATCACGCATGGTCGAGAAGGGGAAGAATGGAAGTTGAATAAAGTGCTCGTGGAAGTTATATCGCGTCGCGTTCACGTGGAGACTTGGTGGTTATGATGAGATTGAGATGTATGCAGAGATTTATTAATATTTGTGTAGAACTGCAGAGATCACTAATATTGTAGAGATCACAAATATTGCAGAGATCACCTATTAAGGCTGTTTGATGATATGTTGTGCTTTATGACTTTGTTTTATGACTTGGATGTTATGGTTCATTTTGAGCATTACTCTTCCTGAACCTGTCGCAGTTGCATCCATTTGCAATTCTGTTTGTAAACTTCCATAGTTGTGGTGTATATGCGTAGCAGGTCCAAGTACTTTTGGAGGACTTCAACGTCTTGATTCAAGCATTGCTGATAAGTTTCAAAGCTTTGGGTCTGGCTGTTAATGACTTCGTAATACTGTGCATCCTTCTTGGACCTCTCAAATTGATATTGCACAATGTGCTGCTTATAGTCGAGGAACTGGCGCTCGTATTTCTGTATGTCTGATACGTATATCTCCCAAGTCTCTTTGGTCATTTGAGGTTCAACGATGACATTTGGAGGCACTGGTGGTTCGTATTGGTGGATTTTGTCTGAGGCATGAAGATCAAGCATTGTCAAGGGCTCCTGTGACAGACCAGTCTTGGGCTCTTGTGACGCAGCCAGAAAACTGCTATATGTTTTCTTGTTGACAGGTTTGTGGAGTGTATCAGCTTTGCTCGTCCCATCAAGGTATTCGTATTTGGGTCGCTTAGTGTCAAGACCGGTCTGCTGACCGCTCGTGCTTCGTTGACGCTTTTGATCTGGTAGGCTATCGAGGATCTCATTGAGATCTACATCATTGATGTTCGTTCCTAAACTGCTCTTGAGATCGTCAAATTCAAAGCCACCTGTTTTGGGTCGTTTCGGAGGGTCATTTCTCATGAAACTTGTACGAGCATTCGTTTTGAACTGGGTAGACGGTTTCTCTGGCGAGTGCAGAGTTGTACGAGCCTGAAACAAGGGCGAAGGTTTGGCTGAAGGGGGATTGGTTTCATCCAAATCCTCCACCACGGTCACAAATTCATCCTCGGATTCGCCAGATGCTTCTTCGACAACAATGGGGTCACTTTTGTCCTCGCCTTTGTTCGTCGGCGTGGGAGACTCGTGGTGTCCATTGCGGCTGGTCTTGACAAATTCTTGATCCACTTTGTCGGGGTCATATTGACGGAACGGTGACTCCCATTGGCGTCGCATCTCTTCATGTTTCCTGTCAGCATACTCCTTCTCTTCAGATTCATCAGTGGTTGTGCCTTCGCCGGGATTGCTGACGTTTGAATGCTGGTTATAGTTGTCCTTCCGTGCACGACGGAGTCGTTCATTGAACTCTTCTAGTTCGCTTTTGTACCGACTATCAAATGGTTTCTTCTTCTTTTCCTGTTCCTGATTATCTGGCCTTGCCCTGGCAAATATGTTGGAGAAGGGACTGCGGTAGTAATGCTGGTACATCCCATAATAACTATCACGGAATGAACTGCCGTATGAATATGTGAAAGTAGATGATGTGGATGAGGTTGTGTTCTGTGTAGCAAAAGGTGTATAAGATGGAGCAGCAGTATAACTCGAGGAGAATCCGTGTGTTTTATCGTATTCTCGTCGTGTATCGGGTCCTTTCAATGTTTCGTATGCTTCGTTGATCTTGATGAACATGGCATGGTGTTGTTTATCATCAGTTTTATCGGGATGGTACTTAATAGCAAGTTTTTTGAAGGCTTTTTTAATATCTTCATCACTGGCTCCGTGTCTAAGTCCCAACGTTTGGTAGTAATCTTGCACGGCCGACATGGCTAAGCGGCAAAAAGTAATGGATCACAACGTAAATAGATGTATTTTCGCGATTAGCTGCGAAAAGCGAAAAGCTCACTACAAATTATGTAATGACAGAAGATAAAGACAAGGATAATCAAACAAGGATGAGAATATAAGTATGTAGATTAGGTCATATAGGCTGTACATCGTTTAGTCTATGTCAAGCGCAGCTTTATGTATCATTATTTTGGCATATTCCGGGGCTTCTGTTTTCGCTTCAGAAGCAAATAACAGCTCCACTGTAGAGTCGTTCAGCCCATTATAAGCTTTTGGCAAATTTTTTTCACCAAACCATGTCGCAAGATTGCCACTGTTAAGGACCTGAAACTTCTTCCATGTATCTTCACTCACGAGGCCAATTGTTCTGAAAAAGGTGAACACCCAGCTCATGATCGTGGGCACATTAATAAAGAACTTTGTGGACAAGAGCTCAGGATAATTATCACCAAAGATCTTGATGATTTCTTTGGTAGCAGCCTTCATTCCTGGATCCATGCGAAACATGGAAACATTATTGTAATCATGGACTTGGGCTATCTTTGAGTTCGACTTGTCAGTGAAGTCTATCAACAGCAAAGCACGCTCCATGAGTCCAATTCTCCACCTGAGGAATGGAGATCCTTCTTTTTCTGCTTTGTCGTCTTGACCGAATTTCTGAAACAACTTTTTCGGCGACTTCAAGTTTCCATACAAGTTCCAAGTCACCACATGCAAATTTTCATTGGTACCATCGTACTTGGTAATGACTCCCAAATCGTCCAATTCTTTGTCAAACGTCTCGCTGTACGCAGCCAGCAATGGCTGGAACTTTTTACGCCATTTGAAGGTATTAATCAACCTGGTTCTTGCTTCTTCAAACTTGTACTCTTCGGCAATCAAAAATTTCAACACAATTTCATTACGAATCTCATCATGAACATGCTCCAAACCACTCTTGTTGATGCGGTATCCATATATCTCGTCATACGAAGAATCACCTGTTTCTTCGAGAATTTGGGGTAACTCATCAATGAGCTTTTTCAATGTTTCCAGCTGAGTTTTGGTGAGTTTTGTAGTGGATACCAATACAGGCTGGTCTTTTTTAGCTGGATCTGTATCCTTGACATCAGAAACTGGTTCTACACCAGGTTTTTCAACGGGCTTTTCAATGGGTTCTGACATTACAGTGCGCCAAAGATTTCGCAGTTATCCTGTGATCTCCGATCGGAAATGCGATAAGCCAGAAGTCTATACACAGTCGCTCTAATTAAATTCTCTAGTTTACACCATTGGGGTCTATGCTCTATGCTCTCTATAACCTTTATACACTAATGCCCAGGCACCAACTTGAAGCTCAAAATATCATTTTTGCCTCGGTCAACTAAATCTTCCTCACCTACTCGCATGCCTCCTACACCTTCTATCAGTGCAATTGTAACATCTCCCATGATTTTTCTTGCAACGTTGATGACAGGAGTACCTCTTTTCACCAACACACAGTCTCTGAATACATTGTCTCCAGAACCTCCAGTAAAATTGTTCATGTTGCGAACAGGGAATACTGGTACTAGCTCAAGCACGTCAGCTGCTGCCTGCAATAGCTGAACCACCCCTGTGGAGCCAAAACGATAGAGTACCAAGTCTCTAATATTCTCGATCCGGTTCTTGAGTTTTTCGTCCATGGGTTTCAAGCCACTTTCAGGTCCCAAATCCTCAATGGTATCTACAAATTCCGTTCCCAGATCATACTGGATATAGTTCTGGTTTGCCAACTTTCTAAGAAGCACCTCAGTGATGGAGGATGTGAGCACAGCTTTTTGCTTGGGATACTTGAGGATGATTTTCGAAACGTTTTTATCGGCATCAGGATGGTCCATCTTGTTGAGAGCAAGAACAGTAGGAAACTTGGTTTCCATAAATGCTCTAACCACTTTTTCAACCGTAGCATTGTCCCAATCTTGTAAAGGAGGCAAGCCAGGAAGCAGGTCTAGTGCCCTAGCTATAAGCTGACTATTTGCCGAGTATCCACCGAGCTGGGCTCTCAAAGTCTCCAACGCAGTCGACTTGGTGGCTACATGTCTTCTCACCACCGACCCCCATCTCTCCATTAGATTGCCCAAAATCCAGCGAAAAATCTCATCCTGTAACCATTCGATATCATTGATGGGATCATAGCCCCTGGTTGCCTTTCCTTCAGCATCGGTGGTTCCACTGGCATCTACAATATGGATCAAACAATCGGCTTCTGTCAAATCACCCAAAAATTTGTTACCCAAACCTCTTCCCAAATGGGCATTAGGAACCAACCCAGCTACATCTAGAAGCATTACAGGCACACCTCTCTTACCATTACGACAATATCCATAATTGGGTTTGCATAACTTTTGTTTTCCAAATCTGGAACAAGCACACTCCACCTCCAAGTACCCAGTAGCCTTGTTAGGATCGATTGTGGTAAAAGGAAAAGCCCCTACCTTTGCATTTGCATCTGTGAGAGCATTCAAAGTGGTGGATTTTCCAGACGACGGTTTGCCAACGAGGGCTATGACAGTTTCTCTGGCCATAAAGAAAAGAAGAAATGAGAGATGAGATACGATGCAGGAGAGCAGAATGGAGAGGTATAATGGAGAGCAGAATGGAGAGGTATAATGGAGAAGTATAATGGAGTAGAAGTTATGCTCTGAAGAAGAGAACAACAACAGAATCATATTTTGTTTTTGGATATTTCGTATATATACTACTCTTACATTTCCAATTAGCTCACTGCTATCTCATTGCTGCAAATTTGAGATGCTTTCAAAAAAACGAAGAACGAAATATGAAAAACTTGCAAAAAATCAAAAAACTATTTTCGAGAACCCAATTAACCCGAATCTTCTAGATCCATTCACATTCACCATACATTTTCGTCAACCCTAACATTTGCACCATCTTCGTATTCTTCGCCTAGCTCGTTCCTGCACACTCCTTCGCAGCACCCGATTGCGTTTATAACAAGTCACGGCAATTACTCCATATCATGGCATTGAGTATCCTGACGGTAATGAGCAACGTCTTCGGCGGCTTTTCCGCAGACTTTAAAAAGAAAAACTTCTCCTTGTATGGACAATGGATTGGCCTTTTTACCATCATCTTATGTTTGGCTCTCGGAATCGCCAACATCTTCCATGCTTCCTTGGTGATCATTTTTTCCATCATATGTATTGTCCAGGGCCTTGTAGTGGTGTTTGTGGAGGTTCCGTTCCTCTTGAGAATCTGCCCATTGACAGACAAGTTCACCAGCTTCATTAAAAACTTTGATGAAAACTGGCCAAGATGCGGGTTCTACTTGTTGATGAGTGTAATTCAATGGTTGTCACTCACTCTTCAGACCACCAGCTTGATTGTGGTTGCCGTATTTTTCGCTTTGGCGAGCGCATGCTACGCATTGGCTGCTATCAAGCACCAAGAGTACTTGAAGACATCGTTCAATGTTGCAGGTGAACAGGGCTCATTAGAGGCCCAGGTGGGAGAGCACGTTGTGAGAAATGTTTTGTAGTATGAATAACGAGTCTGATCAGAAAATCCCACATTCTAGCTGTTCAATGTAGTCAATATTTCTTATTTTATTTTCTTATCCTATTTTCTTATCTGATTTTTTTTTGGTCTCTACCCATCCCACCATACATCTCATCGTGCGTTTCGCGAACTCAAATCTTCATTGTCACCATCCACCAAACCGATGCCAGGACCAGTGTCAGAGCCCTCTGGCCGTGATAAAAGCACAGAAAAGCCACCGGAGCGATCCATTATACATGCTGAGGTTCCAAATGGCTCCAAAAATTCAAAAGAACCGTCCAAGAATGGAACACATAAATCAAATAACGTCTTACAAACTTCTGAAAAACAAGCTTCCAACAACCCTGACCCCAAAAAGCCCACAGAAACGCCAGAAACAAACTTCGCCAATGCCCCCACCACATCCTTATCCTATGACCAAGTCAATAATGATGCAGATGAGCTTATAGAATTACGTGGTGAAGGGCGATATTTCGGCGTCACAGACCCTTCCTCAGGAGACACTATCAACGCTCTCCAGAGCCTCGGTCCTCTTTGCGCAAACTGTCACAGAAGGGGTCACATAAGAGCCAAATGTAAAACGGTGGTGTGCCATAAATGTGGTGTAGTTGGAGACCACTACGAAACCCAATGTCCCACCACTATGGTGTGTTCCAGATGTGGTCAAAAGGGACATATGGCTGCCGGATGCACCAACAAAGCCAAAAAGAGACAATACTGTAAAACATGTGACACCTTCAGTCACGGAGATGACCGTTGTCCAAGTATATGGCGGTCTTACTTGACAGGAACTACAGACGCACCAGTTTCAAACACGCTTCCTCAGGTGTACTGCTACAACTGTGGTCTGGACGTACACTACGGTGACGAATGCCCAGAACCAAGAACACTGCGTGTACCAAATATCACCGGCACCGCATTCAGCGGTTCGAATCTCCCCCGTCATTTACGTGCAAAATACTTTGATCGCATACGCGGAGCCAGACCTCGTCCCTCGCGCGGAGTGGCTCATTTTGCTCCTCAAAAACCACCATCAAGAAAAGATTTTTCAAAAAATGCCCCAAACCCATCAAGATCTGGAGTCGTATTGCCGAGAAAGGGCAAACAAAATTCCAAAAATCTCTCCAAATTAAGACAACAACCAACAAGATCCGGCTTTATCGAGTCAAAGAAAAAAGTCACAAAACCAACCAGAAGTGGTCGTATAGACAAAAGAAGGTAATTGTATGGAACATTATATAGGACACATAGGACTGCATACAAATTATCTATTCGATCAGTGTTGAGTGATCCACAGTATTTCATACAACCTTGTTGATAGATTACAATGAGGGTGGCCCAATTTACCAAGTCATTCTACAACCTAATAGACTTCGAGTTCCATTATCCCGATCAGAAATCTCCACAGTACAAGGATTACCGTCAAAACACCACCGACAAGTATGGAGCAATCACCACTGGATTTTTAGTTGCATTTCTCTTATTCATTCCGTTTGCTAATACGTTAATACGGCATGGATATTTCCGTGGTCGTAGTAGGCATTTGTTTCGAGGGTTTAGTCTGTGGATAAATCGATTTATACCTCGAGATCATCAAGGTCGAACGCTCACCTGGGTTGGATTTGTTCTTGAAAGCATTCGTATTGGTGCATTTAAATTATATTTGCACGGGTCGACCATAGTGCAAGTGTTTTTCTGGCTTTTTGTGCTTTCCGTTCTTTCGTTATCGGAACTATATCATGGTGATCTCATCTTTCTCGCCAAGAGACTTGGACGTATTGCAACCGTGTGTCTTCCAACGGTACTTTTTCTCACCTTGAGACCATCGCCACTTCCCAATACTTTGTACCTTGCACTTTTACCCATCCACAAGTGGCTTTCCAGACTTATAGTTCTTCAAACGGTTCTTCATGTGATTCTATATTGTGGTTTTTTTTATCGCAACCACACTTGGGGAAAGGCCATTAAACCTGAAAATCTCTACGGATGGGCAGCATTCACTGGCTTCATCATGATGACAATAACCTCCTTACTGAGCTTCCGCAATCGGTTCTACAAGGTATTTTTTTTCGAACACTACACTTGGTCCTGGATCATCGTTATAACACTTCAATTTCATGTCCGACCAACTAAGGCAACCTTATATACTGCCTGCAATATAGCGATATTGTGCTCACAGATAGTCTATCGTCTCAGGGCTTCTAGGACATCCCAGAACTCGAGCGAGGTTCAAATTATTGACGTTTCTCCCAATATGCTGCTCATTGAAATTCCCAGAAAACTTATAGCGAACGCTCCCACTCAGCCCGGAGCACACATAAGGTGCACCGATTATCATCCCAACTGGTTGGTACGTGCGTTCAAGCAAATTGTGCCAAACTACCATCCTTACACATTGGTATCACTTCCGCTGGATGCCACACAACGTCTAATTGTACGAAAGAGCAACTTCAAATTCAAGGAAAAACGAAGATATATCTTCACAGGAGCCTTCGAACCTCATCTTCTCTTTGTTTCTACAAAGCCTAAAAAAGGTCAGGACAACTTTCTCTTATCTAGGCTCCAGGTGAATGCGAAGAGAGTTCTTGTAATTATAGGTGGCTCAGCTATCTCATTTGCATTACCACTTTTGCGTACGATGAACTACCATGGAGTCCCTACCAAAGTTGTATGGGTGATAAGAGACTACCGAGATATCAGCATTCTTCGACACTTTGATGGCTTTATTCACGGCGACGATTTCGAGATCTTTGTCACAAGAAGTGAAAATAACTCGAACCGAAGTCTGGTCCATCACTCGTTCACCTACGATGAAGAGAATGAAGAGATGCCATTACTCGACCAAGATGAAGACGACGAACATGAAAGTGGAATTGAACGAGAAGACGTTAACATCGAAGTTGGAGACATGGAAGAAACCGACGACGATGAAGAATGCACCGGGCTTGAAGTCACCGAGCACGAAGATGACGATGGTGGAAGTGCTCTGTCCATCCATGAAGATCAAGGAAATACATCTTTGGGACGCAGAACAAGCTATGCAAGTACCAGTGAACACTTCACCCCTACATTAAACCATAGCGCATCATTTTCCACTAGACAAGCCCACTCAACTTACTCGGAAACAGTGAAAAGATTGAATATCGAAAACAAAATCTACGAGGGCAGGCCCACTATAAACCACAAATATTACAATTGGTGTATCAACGAGGGTTTCACACAGTGCTCTGGTCCCGTTAAAGATGGGTCCAATGTAGTTTGTTGCCGCGATCTTCCCAGAGCCCATGTTCCTATCACAGACCGTAAAGATGTATGGGTAATTTCGGCCGGACCCAAAGCACTCGTGAACAACGTCAAGGTATGGGCAAACGAAAACGGGTTGAATTTCCACGAAGAAGCTTTCTACGTTTAAATAGTAAATCGTTAATTCATTCTCATACATAGTTCATCGTCTTGATTGCGCCAATTCTTGTTGCAAAAACGTATCACGCTTAATCTCATCCTCAATTGCAATCTGGTGCCTGAGTTTCGTCTTGGCAATGTCCGTGGTGAAGATTATTCCTGCTACGTTCCAACTGATAAGATATAGAAACTTGTATGGGGTATTGAAAAATCGAACATTGGGACCATTGTTGTACTTGTAGTTGAGATATAAGCCAGAAACAAGACCCACCAACGTGCCTCTAAGAGCCCCGATGATTCCAGCGTTCCATAGCTGCTTGTTGAGCGATTCAAGCTGTTCGTTCAGAGGCATACTTGTTTGAGCTCCCCACAATTGCGAAAGCATCGCGTGCGAAAAAAGACAATAGGGCATTAGACGATATAGCAATATATGATAAGTATACGATAAGCAGTATGCGATAAGCGTATACGATAAGCAATGATTGCAGTTGATTCATGCGATTTTTAGATCAATTGGTAGCAATTGGTCAATGCAGTGATTAGTGCAGAATAATGCAATTCTAGTGCAGATGCAATTCTAGGTTTTCTAATTAGCAACCTTTGTAAGGTCGATGGGGATGCCTCCCAAATTAACAGACTTCACATCGCTGTACTTTTGAACGATACCCATGAGTTTGTCAAGGCACGAATGATGGAATAACTGGTTGAATGGCACGAGCGACTCATCCACGACAAAAGGCTCATCAGAGGCTTGAAGTATGGAGTTGATTGAAAAGAGGTTTTGGTGCAAGTACACGAATTGGCGCTGTAAGATAAGTACCAAGTAGTTGAGAAACTTGAGGTTTTCATCCTTGATAGTGTCAATGTAAATCTCACCTCCGTCATGATCGTATGCAAGTGCCAGGAAATCATGAGTATAATGGTTTCGAGCATCAGACTTGGCCATTGCCAAGAACATACACCTCGTTTCATGACATTGGGAGCAATGGCATTGGTTTACCAAAGCATCAAAGAAGTTGCAATCGAGCTTTAAAATGGATGGAATGGCAGAAATCCAGGCGTTGAAAAAGTCTGGAATGATCAACTTCTTTAAATTATAATGCTGGTTCAAACCGGCTGCAAACTTGGAGAAGTCAAACCTGGTAGATGTTTCGGAAAGGGTAAGGTTTTGGTAGTCTTCGATGTTCAAATACAATTCTTCCAAGTTTTCAAAGTTGGGTGAAAATAAAGAAGTAGTCACTAGGTTCCCAAACTCCTGGATATTCTTTTTCGTGTTGCAAGATTTGAAATTTATCACCGCAAGTTTCTTCAAGCTAGGAGTTTCGCCCGTCATTCTGTTATATGCTGCCCAGTCAGCAAAGATAGCTGGGATGCACTGGGACCCACAGAACTCATGCACACAATTAACCTTCAATTCCAAAGCTTGAAGGCCATTGAGGTTGAAAATGCGATTGAGACCACCGAACGTCAAGATGGTGCTATTCTTGAGGGTGTGAGAATTGGAAATCGATAGTTGATGAAGATTCTCCAATCTAGGGCCGCGTTCTAATAGTCTAAAAAAAGCATAGGTCGAGGTAGGCAGGCTCAAATAAAGTGAGCGGAGTTGCAAAAGATTGCGGAAAAGTGATCTTGTGTCGACTGATGAAGGCGGAGACAACATCCTGCGCTCGATAAACACATTCAAGCTAACAAGATTAGGATTGAACGGAAGCTCCATTAGTTCCTGAACATCGAGAGCAACCCAACTTTTCAAATTATTTACCTTTGGGACCCTCTGACTCATGCGGTGCTCGCAAAATTGTTCTTCCTCGTTTTCCACATAAGTTGTGGATTTTTGCAAAGCATAGGTAGTAAGCGATTCACGTCTGCGCAAGTTCTGGATGTCATAATTGGAAAAGTAGATCTTGTGGTTCAGTCTATCCCACAACCTCAGAATCTTCTCGTAAAGAGGAGCGTAATCGTACTCAATAAGATTTGATTGAGCATGAATCAGAATCTTGTCAATGTAGTTGAAATTGTGTGTGGTTAAACCCTGAACAAACTGTGAAAGGCGTTCAACATCGAGCGTAGAACAGTTAGAGTACAGCCTGGCACCTGGAGACTCGTATCGGGAAATAATCAAGATTTTGTAGTACAACTGACAGTTGACCAAATGAAGAATTTCTGAACAAGTTGCACCCAAACGGACCTTGTCACTTTGGCCCAACTCACCAATGATACGCTCGAGAACGTTGGTGGGTAACAGGTTCAACAGCAGCATAGCACAACTCAGGGATAAAACACAGAAAGTTGGGGATTAAATATTCTTTGTTTTCGTGTAGTGGTACCCCTCCTATATACCCCGGATTTTGTGTGCCACAGCTGCGCGCCGAATGCCGCACAGACGTCACGAGGCGATGCCCTTAGCGATTCTAGCCTGGAAATAAGTACCGCATAAGCGGAAAAAAACTAACCACCACCGCGCATTATGTACAGTTTAGAACATTATTGCCGGTTTGGATTGGGAGCCAGGATATTTTGCAGCACCGGATGACCGGCATTCTAAGGTGCCAAGACCTACCGCCCAACACCTGCATAAACTAACACACAGTTGCGCAACAGGAAGGGTGCAAATGACAATACCAATGAACACTACCAATGAAACATGACGACCACTTTCTGTTCTTTTCACTTCAGTTCAGTTCACTCGTTCACTCCAGTGTTACGTGAGCATCCATTGATCCTCCTTGTTTAGCGCCGTTGAGGCGCCATTTCCAAACCGCCGGAAGTTAATCTCCGAGATGGTAGGAAACGTTTCAGACTTACTAAGAGAAACGGCTCTAGCCACAGACGCTATTTTGCCCTTGAGCATGTTTTGGTCAATAAGAGTCACCAACACGTTTTCTATGGTTGTATCGTCGACGCCACTGATTAATTTGTACATGTCAAGTGGAGCATTGACATTGATTGAAACCTGAAGTCCTGCTCTGACGGAAGAGTAATTCAATCTTGTAGGTTTTCCAGAAAGTAGCCAGATTCTTTTGAGTAGGTTGCGAACGGTTATGAGTTTGGCTTTGTTGACCACAAGCAAAAGGAGCCCATTTTTGTGGAGAAACTCATAGCATTGAGGTTGCGAAATCACAGCGACGAGTTGTGTATAATTTCCAGCTTTGATTTGGAGCGAGATCTCGTTGTATATGGTGAGGAATGGTGGACTGTTTCCATTATAGATGGTTTGGGATATTGTGTTGAAACTGGGATTTTTACCTATCATCATTCCCACCACTAACAAATACTTGAGGATGACGGTAAGATGTGAGTTGAGTTTCTCACCCAACACCGAAGTTGCAGCGGCACATGTTTCATAGCACCACATGAGGTGCACGTAGGCATCAGGAAGTTGGTCCTTGATGAGGTAGAACCGACTGAGGTAGAAGCGATATTGAACCTGTTCTGCAACCGAATAGCGACTGAATCGAAGTCCAGCATTGTTCATGTTGGAGAAAATATTGCGACAAAGAAGCGGGTTTCCTAGCTTAAAGTAAACTTGACATAGCGTTACGCCCACCAGCAAAATGATTTGTCGTTTGGGAGAATTATCGTGTGGATCTGCCGAAAGCTGCGATCTGATATTATTGAAGATTCGCAAGAGCACCGAAGCTAGGTATGTCAACCGAGGATTGGCACAGTTTTCCTTGTAGTACATCTGCCTGTCGAGCCTAGTAGCCATAGGAACGACAATTGATATGGTTTCTCGAACAAGATTAGTCAAAAGATGGCCCCTGACATTATTGTTGAAGGCCACCAGTAAGTCGTTGATAAACCCAGAATATAGATCAAAAGAATCCAAAGCCGACCAGGGGTTAAGCTGGTTTCCAAGTCTTACGAACGAACACACCACTTCGTTGAACGCTAGCCACTCGTTGTTGTAAAAATGCCGTGAATCTACAGCCTGATTGTATCGATCGGACGCCAATTGAGGAAGATTATTCAAGTTGATAATCTGTTTGTTGGTCACCAGCGGGGTCAATAGTCGAGCCAAATGCACCAGAACCAGTTCTGGCGAGCCCTTAAGGCTTCGTTCCACCTCAAAGAGAAAGTCATTGAGAGGATCCATAGTGCTAAGAAAGAAGTTCGCATCTCAATTTTCAACTCAAGTGCGTTTTGCGATAGCTGCAGACACTTGTGAAAATGAGTTCACCCTCAAACAAGCACACGGAAGCCGTGCGTCTCGTAATACGTTTGCTTCCCCCAGGGTTAACCCAGGACCAGTTTGAGGCCCAAATCACCCAATATACTACCCAATGGCATCTTGTGAACAACTACTATTATGTGGCTGGAGCGTATCCAGAAAAGCCATATGAACTCCCTACGTACTCCAGAGCGTATTTTGTGGTTCCAGACGCCGATACGGCAACCAAGGTACAAGCGGAGTTGCGTGCAAAGGCTTTTTCAGACGGGGAACTGAACGGTGCAAGTGTTCCAATAATAGGAAAGGCATTGTACGAGAATAAAGAGTATGCTGCTGTTCCTCGAACGATACTCAAGGAGAGGAAGAAGAAGAAGACAATTGAGCAGCTTGCACAGTTTCAGCGGTTTGTGGCGTTTTTGGATGGAAAGACTGAGTCGTATCTGTTTAAAGCACCCAAGAAGCAAAAGAAACCCAAAGCTAAAAACCAAAACACCGACCAAAAGGCTAAAAATAAGAGCTCCGAGAAGGACAAGGATACAAAGGAAACCACCAAGAAGCCCAAAAAGAAATCCAAGAAACCAAAAACTCCAAAAGACAAAGATGTACTGAAAGAACCTAACGATCCAAAAATTGTCGAGAAAAAGAAGAAGAAAAAGAAACCCAAGGCTCCTCAAAATGCTCCAGGAACTGCTAAGCAAGGAAACAAAGCACCGCAACCCAACAAAGACCTGGTTTCTGGTGAGCAATCCGGCCAACAATCCAACCAGAATTCTCATAAAGGTGAGAACGATGTAAAAGCACCCAAAATTAACCAGAAAAAAAAACCAAAACCACCCAAAAAGAAGCCAAAGGGTAAACCACCCGCAAGCTCTCCATCGAACCCACAAGGACCTGCTGGGTCGCAAACTCAACCAACCAATGCTACTTCCTGAACTCTTCCTCTTTTTCATCCTGCAGGTTATAATATGCTCAAGTCTCACCACTGAGAATTGTGAAGGATATATGAGACCCATTTTTTGGGCAAGAGGGCCTCTAGGCCATTCACCCGTCATTTCACCCGCCATATTCATTTCTGCTCGCTTATACTCATACAAGAAACCATTTTCCAGCTCCAAGAATGTATCGAATGATATAGTGGATCCTCCAGACTATTCCTCCATCCAAACTATGGAGAAAATCTTGTCTATTTTACACGATGCTGAATCTAATTCGGATAAAGCGCCCGCCAGGATTGTACCTAAAAAGGATGAAACAAGTATAGATCCCGCTTACGAGCTTTTAGGAAAAAGTTTGTTTGACTATGCTTTAATACGACATATGAACGATCGAGAATTCTTTCGTTATGAACACAAAGATCCCCAGACATCATACAACGCACTCCACAAGCGAGCTTCCGAATCATACATGAACATGGAAAACTCTTTTTTTCAAAGACCATACATTAACCGAAACAATACCCTCGGTCGCTACCAGGCAATTGCACTGTACTTTCTTGAGGATAAGTCACACTGCTTGAGACGCCTATACAAAGATATAAGATACGTTACAAAAGAGTTTAGCACTCCTCCATCGTCAAAGCGTGATACTCACTTGTTTCCTGATATCAAGCTTCCACAACCACACAAATTTGACATCGATAATCCATTTACCATTGGAAAAGCTCTCAATAACAAGGGAAAGTACAACATATTGAGTTTCCTCCCAAATGACGAGGGATTTCTCAAAAGTTTCATCACTCGGTATCAAAAATTGAACGGTAATCAAGTCATACCTATCGCCCTTTTACACAACATAATGCTGGCGTATGAGTTGGAGGGTAAACTTCTCTTCGAGGTCCTCACTCGTGCGAGTGCTATAACCCGTGATAACGGCGACTCACCGATTGTCTTGGACAAGTTTCTTTTTGATAACGAGTCTCTTAAAGCAGTGGTGACTGAACGAAGCAAGCTCCTCTCTCGACTTTTCAGTTTGAACAACTACAAAATCTCGCTTTCAAACAGCTCGTTGTATAAGATTACCGATGAGGCACAGGTGATAGAGTTCATGGCGAAGCAATTCGACCGATTCTTTGCTTTATATTATCGCATCAATGCGGCTGATGCCGATGCATGGCTAAACAGGTTACTAGCACACTGTTCTATGACTCCGGTAGTTGACAAAGAAGCGTCGAAAGAATGCGTTGACTACTTCAGTGACATAAGGGAGCAGAGTTCATTAATGACAAACAAACTCAGGTGGACGAAACGGTAGTTTATTACGTACCTGTGTATATAATACCATGAGAATCCAGGTACTTGATGCTGTTGAGCTTTGTAGCAGCATTTCCTCTCAATGTGAAATCTGCTTCACTCAAAGTAATGAAATTAATGATGCCATCGTCAATGGTAGCAAGCACTATGGACCTGCCAGTGGGACCGTTCCTAAGCATGCTCAGGCGTACTTTTTGGTACTGGACATTCCGCTGTACATCTAGACTCATTTTGGAGAGCTTGTCTTGGGCCTTTTGTGCTCTTTGTAGTTTTTTAGCGCTTTGGTTTTTATTTGAAGTTTGCTTGATTTGAACTGGTTCCTGATTGATCGATTCGGAGATGGTATGGTTGAGTGTGTTATGCAAATGCTGTATGTCTTTCAACGAAGGAAATGACTTGTTCTTGGTATTAATGACAGAAACATGAAAGTCTGGTAGTGGTGGATTCTTCTTGGAGAAATTAGGCTGTGGTTTCCAGACGTTGAAGTGGATAGTGTAGCTACTGTCCGAAAGTGTTCTCAAACTGTCATAAGAGCTGGTAGCGGGAACAATGTTGAGAGCCCGATAAACCAGTAGGTAGCTGAATATGTGCTTATTTTGAAAGCTTAAAGGTCGATATGTTCCAAATAGGTGTGTGCCTTGGACGAACGATTTTACGTATGAAGAACATGGTCCCCATAACTGAGTTTTTCTTTGCAGCTGAAGCTGTTCTGACTGTGGAGCAGTTAAAGTCTTAAACTCCTGGATAAGGTAGCCATGTCTCTTCAAATATGAGTAAACAAGGTACTTGTCCAACGATTCGGGCTCGGTGAGAGCCACACTGTAAAGGTGTTGTAAACTCAAGGGAAAAAGCTTTCCATAGTCAATTGAGTCAGCGTGACCTGCTAGGTACTCTTCGACTTGTCCATCGTTCAAATATATCATCATAGAACCTCTTTCTACGAGATAGGTGACTTCCACGCCAGTGAGCCATATCACCTGTCGGTGACCAAAACTTGTTTGCCGGCCCAAATCCTTGAAGTATCCTCCCTTAGCAGCAGTAATAATGGCCATTTGGCGGTCTGGCATCCATATGGCTTCCAATTTGTGCTTTAAGTAGTGTCCTCTAGGAGTTTCAAGAGCACGATACATTGCATTTCTGGCATGGCTGAGATTATCAGATTGTGTTTCTGTTCCATCGGGCCCAAATTCCTTTTCTCCCCGCTTCGGAAGGGACTTTCCTCCTAGCACCGAGTTCCAATCTTGTAGTTGATCTTCATCTTCATCGATGAGGTCTTGCAGCATTGAATCAAGTCATCGCGAAATTGGTGCGATCGCCAAAAATGTTCGCGACAGAAACCTGAGACAGGCAATTATGACAGAACAATCTGTGACGTTTGACGATGTTGTAAGTGTTCCGGAGCCACGTAGATGCTTCTATTTACTAATATAGGCCGATTCTGTGTTCCAAGACATGATAGAGAACGCCATTCGCCAGCAAACGTTGAACAAGATGTCTCGATATCGATGCCTTCAATCTATATCCAACACCAAGGAGCCCGTAGGAGTATTTATAAATCTGGAACTCACCTCCAGCAAAGACATATATGGTCAGGACAAGCAGAAATTAAAAACTGCCGAGTCCTCCCGCTATTTTGAGTGTGATAATTGTGGACGAAAGATAGCCGGAGGCCGGTTTGCACAGCATTTGAACAAGTGTTTAGAGAGAAAGAGAAAGTAGACAAAAAAAAGGGGAAGTGCTAGCTAATTGGCTAATAGAAAAAGAGGAATTGAGCAGTGAATATGAAACCGTCTAATTGATTTCGTCTAAAATGAATCGTCTTCAACCGTCGCGACAAGTGAACCAAACCAATCAAATGAAAATATGAAAAACAAATCTGCTTGGTCTCATATCGCACAATTCGCCATTGGAATCAAAAGCTCCACATAGGTTTTCTTCCGTTCTTCCTTACGTTTGTATTGCGGATCTACCCGAGCAGTGCCTTACACAAAGCACCCCGCATTCTTTCCCCACCCAGTTCCGTTCCGAGCAATGGGATTTAAACAGACAAAATTTTTGTCCACCATGAGTATATTCGATAGTCATATAGACGCCCACGAGGCGTTGAAGCGGCTACCATTCACAGATAGTGCCATTGATGAATCTGTGCCTCTTCGTGGTACCGAAGTGGACGACACATTGAGTCCGATTTACCGGAACAAATTGTTTCCGAATGAGATCTACTCGTGTATTCACCCTGACTTGAACACCCACTACAAACTTTTCCAGAACGCTGCTAAACACTATAGTGACCAGCCATGTTTCGGGTATCGTCGATACAATTATGGAAGTGGAAATTCTAGCAATGTCTACGAATCTTTGACATACAAGCAAGTGAACGAAAGAAAGACAAACTTGGGTGCCGGTATCTTGTCGGTGCTCCAGAATTCACCATACAAAACGGAATCTGCTAGCCATAGAAAGATCGATAACCACTATAGAGACTACCAAAAGTATGGTCAAACTTTAGACGGAATCAAGCAAGAAGACAATTGTTCATTTATTGTCTCCATCTACGCTCCAAATCGCTATGAGTGGATTCTTACCGACTTGGCATGTTCAGCCTTTTCACTTACGAACACTGCACTTTACGATACTTTGGGACTGGAAGTAACAAGCTACATTCTCGAGTCTACTGAAAGTCCCGTGGTGGTGTGCTCTGCTGATCAGGTGAAACATTTGTTAACCTTAAAAAAGCTGTCTGGGTTGGCGAGTTTGATCAGCATAGTCAGTATGGACCCGCTAGACGAGTACTTTGGAGCCGAATTGCCTGGTTTGCGGACCAGAGCAGAAAAGCTCAAAGTATCGATTCACAGCATAAATGAGGTGGAGAAAATCGGAAGCTCTTCTGGATTAAAGGAGCTTCCACCTACACCAAAGACAGTGTATACGGTATCTTTCACTTCAGGAACCACAGGTTCGAAACCCAAGGGTGGAGTATTGACTCAGGGGAACGCTGCTGCCGCTGTGGCATTTTTAGCCAGCAGAATATCTCAGGTCAAAGATGGAAAGGCATTCATATTTCTTCCTTTGACTCACATATACGAGCGGGAAACCAGTGCTTTTGCTTTTACCAGTGGATACTATTTAGGGTTTCCTCAGCTTACGGTGAACAAAAAAAAGCCTGCCAGGGATAGCTTTGAGCTGCTACTAGAGGATTTGAGAATCTTCAAGCCAACTTATATGTCGCTTGTTCCCAGAGTATTGACAAGGATGGAATCTTTGATAAAGTCTGCCGTTTTAACATCTCCCAACTCTAGAAAAATCACAGAGATCATAAATCACAAACTTGACCAGCAATCACAGCATGATGGTGCCGACGGACGTAACCACGAAATGGATGATTATGGACCTTATAGAGCGCTCAGGTCGCTTTTGGGATTTGATAACTTGAGATGGACGATGACTGCGTCGGCACCTATTTCACCTACAACAATCTCTTATCTTAAAGCCAGCTTGAGCATTGGGTTATACCAGTCTTATGGGCTCACAGAAACCTTTGGTGCCATTGTCAGCAGCCCAGCTTATGAGGGTAAACCCGGATCTTGTGGACCCACTGGAATAACTGGAGAATTCCGCATCAAAAGTGTACCTTCAATGGGCTATTCTGTCAAAGAAGGGAAAGGAGAATTGATGGTTCGAGGTTCACAAGTGTACTGTGGATACTATCGGAATGAGGAAGAGACCAACAAAGCGCTTGACAAAGACGGTTGGTTTTCAACCGGAGATGTGGCTCGTATCGACAGCCAAACTGGCCGAGTGTACATCATTGATAGGGTGAAGAATTTCTTCAAAATGGCACAAGGCGAGTATGTTTCACCGGAAAAGGTTGAAAACGTGTACTTGTCAGCAAACCCGTTACTTGTTCAGCTTTTTGTTCATGGCAACTCATTGCAAAGTTATCTCGTGGGAATCGTCGGAATTCATTACGAGCTTGGAAAGCAGTTTTTAAGGGAAAAATGTGGATACAACGTTCAAGGAAAGGAGGATTTGTTGCAAAAGATCAATGAGACAGAAAACCGCATCAAGTTTTTGAGTTTGATCAATGCCAATGTCGGCGATAAAGTTGCACGTTATGAAAAACTTCACAATTTGCATATTGAGTTTGAACCATTGACAGTGCAACGCAATGTTGTCACACCAACTTTCAAGATCAAGAGAGCTGTAGCTTCAGCGTTTTTTGCAAACCACATAAAGCGCATGTACGAAACGGAAAAGTCGCTTATTCAGACTACAAAACCTAATTTATAGTCTAAATAGGAAACCAGTCTTCTTTACCCCATATTTTCCTGTGTACAAGACCTTCGGTCCATCGTTCATTTTCGCAGCGAAATTCTTGACAGAAGACCAGTCAGTCAGAGTGACCGCAACTAGAGACAACATTAATACTATATTCGGGGAAAAGTGTTTGGTTTCTTGCATGGTATAAGCTTCTCAAGTCTCTAGTGTCATCTATTGTTCATATTATACATTTTCAGCAACACTTTTCCAATGGCACCTCCACCGCCAATTGTCATCGACGCCCAGGCCGTTAGCGGTATTACTGGTTCCATATCCCTCGCATGTTGGATTATTGTGTTTGCGCCACAGATCTACGAGAATTTTCGTCGAAGATCTTCGGAAGGTTTATCGCTTCAGTTTGTCATTCTTTGGCTTGCCGGTGATATCTTCAATGTTTTAGGTTCCATCCTCCAAGGAGTTTTACCAACTATGATTATTCTTGCCATCTACTACACCTTGGCAGACATTCTCTTGTTGTGGCAATGCTTGGTGTATGGACATGGTGAAAGTGCAGACCCCATTCACTTATCTCCAGCCAACCCACTTAATGAGGATGTGCTCGAAACAGCGCTTTCAAGAGAGTATGGCGAAGCTGACGAAGAATCTCAGGAGCTCCTTGAGCAAAGCAAACCAGTATCGTCGTCCTATTTGAGCGCAGTGCTTCTCAAAACCTTGATGGTTGCCCTGGTAATGTTTGCCGGATTAGTAGGATGGTACATTTCCTACGTCAAAGACGAACAATATCGAAGAGCACACCCTGGAAAACCAGAAAGAAGACCACAAGAACTTGTGTACGACCCCTTGGCTCAATTCTTTGGGTGGTTGTGTGCCGTCTTCTACTTGGGTTCTCGTATTCCTCAGATTCTCTTGAACTACCAACGTAAGTCTTGCGAGGGTATCTCATTCATGTTCTTCTTGTTCGCATGCCTAGGCAACTTGACATACGTGGTATCTATTCTTGCCATCGATATCAGTTGGAGTTACTTGTGGGTCAATTCTTCTTGGCTCGCAGGTTCATTGGGAACCTTAGCTCTTGACTTTACTATATTTGTTCAATTTTTCTTGTACAACGAGAACGAACCATACCTGGAAGACGCATCAGAGATCACTGATGAGTCGCTGTATAACTACGGAGCCATAGGATCTAGTTGAAGTAATTAGAAGTATCAATATAATGGTGAACCGATCAAAATGTGCGAACATTACGGTACATAAATTCTATTTCATTGAGTTTTCTACATGGCTGCCTCTGTTTATGGGTCTGTTTCCACTTTTTGCAGATTATATATGGGAAAAGGTGTTCATGACAATGCAAGTTTGTTCAGACTGTGTTCGCGGGCTCGTAGATCTTACGGCCGAAAGAGCAATCTTTGTGGCTGCGAAAAAACATTTTCACTGTATCGGCCGTAAGATTGGAGCCCTGTGGATTTGAAGGTTCCAGACTATGACGTAAAAACCAAATTGCAGTACGGCGCAACAATCAGTTGTGTTTCCCACTTTGGGAGTCAGGGACCAACGCTATGCAGTACCTAATGAATTATGCAGGAAGTCTCATTAATTACATCGTAAGTCTGTTAAAGGCGATAAGGTCAAATGCCGTTTCTTTTGATGCTAAATAAGAGCTAGTGGAAAATACCACATCATGGAAAATACGACTACCCCCAACAATACACTAGTCTATCATGCTTTAAAAAACTACAAATATTAACGACGATACCCCCAAAAAGCTTACGGCCGAGAACTCAAAATGCTTGGACATTATTAGTAATTTACGGCCTTTAGCACGTAAAACATATTGTGACGAGCTCATGGCGGTGTTTTCGAGAATAATATATCAGAAGAATGTTCCAGTCAACAAATTTCATTCGAAATATAAATACCCAGTTCTAGGGCGGCGATTTTCAGTTGACGAGATATTCAATTAAAAGGAATTGACCGATCTGTTTGTGATTCGAGTATATTGAACTAGGAAGGTACTTGCAAGATGTCAATTGATCTACTGCCGTTTGATAGGTCGGAGGCTATATCTGCAGAAAAGTCGTATCAAGACTTTACTCCGGAGGTGGACGAAACCATCAGGGACTTGGCTAGAGTCATATTCCAACACTAGTAGTGCAGGATCATATAGGATCCATGTCACACATGTCGCAGGTTCCCGGAGTTGAACCATTTATTCCCGACGAAGTTGAAGATAGTCTCAACCCCAATTCGGACATGTTTGATTCTAAACTTTGAGTGAAGAATATGAGAAAATTGCACAATTCTGACCCTGAGTATTACAAGCCCACGTCGTTGGGTGTAGCTTACCGTGATTTGAGAGCATATGGTATTGCTACTGACTCCGATTACCATGCAGACAGTTACTTCAGCTTTGTTCAAGCTTGGTAAAGATTTCATCAGATCGATGAGAAAGCAAGATCCTTCGATCTACTTTGATATCTTGAAGAATATGGACGCTATAATGAAGCCTGGTGAAGTCACAGTTGTGCTTGGTAGACCGGGTTCGGGTTGTTCCACCTTGTTGAAGACAATCGCTGCTCATACCTACGGTTTCCATCTTGGAGAAGAGAGTAAAATTACCTATGATGGTTTGACCATGAAGGATATCGAGAACAATTTCCGTGGTGATGTGATCTACTCGGCAGAAACCGATGTTCATTTTCCTCATTTGTCTGTGGGTGACACTTTGGAGTTTGCTGCTCGTTTAAGAACTCCTCAAAACAGAGGTAATGTCGATAGAGAGACCTATGCTCGTCACATGGCTAGCGTCTACATGGCTACCTACGGCTTGTCCCACACTCGTAACTCTCGTGTTGGCAACGATTTCATAAGGGGAGTTTCTGGCGGTGAGCGAGAAGCGGGTTTTCGATTGCTGAAGCATCATTGAGTGGTGCCCAACTTGCAGTGTTGGGATAATGCTACCAGAGGATTGGATGCTGCTACTGCGCTAGAGTTCATCAAGGCTTTGAAACTTTCGGCTAATGTTTTCGAGTCCACACCATTAATTGCTATCTACCAGTGTTCGGAGGATGCCTACAGCTTATTCGACAAAGTTATCCTACTTTACGAGGGAAGGCAGATTTTTTTGGGAAAAGCAGACGATGCTAAAAACTACTTTCTAGCTATGGGTTACGAATGTCCCGAGCGTCAAGCGACTGCTGATTTTTTGACATCGTTGACCAACCCATCGGAAAGAATTGCCAGATCAGGGTTCGAGGATAAAGTACCCAAGACCCCTCTTGAATTTGAAACTTACTGGAAAAATTCGCCAGAGTATAAACGAGTCGTTGAAGAGATTGATGTGCACATGGAACAGGTTGAAAAAAATCCAAAGAAAGACCACCACGATTCTCACGTCGCAAGACAGGCAAACCACGTTTCCTCAAAGTCACCATACACGGTTTCCTTCTTCATGCAAGTCAAATACATTATGCGAAGAAACTATCTCAGATTCAAGGGTGATCCTTCAATTCCTATATCGTCAGTCGCCGGTCAATTGATCATGGCATTGATCATGGGATCGGTTTTTTACAATTTGGATCTGACTACGGGATCGTTTTTTTCCAGAACCACTGGTTTGTTCTTTGCTGTTTTATTCAACGCATTTGTCGTCTATGTTGGAAATTCATAGCCATATTCGAAGCCAGAACCTATTGTGGAAAAGCACAAAGAAGTTATGCGCTTTTATCGGTCTTGGCTGCTGGATGCTCCTAGCGGGGAATTATCACAAAACTACTCTGGTAAACTTTTAACTGTCAGTGGGCCTTCCAATGTGACATTTTACTTTATGGTCAATTCAGAAGAAAATCCAGGTAACTTCTTCTTTTATTGTGATGTGTGCGTTTGTACTTTGGTCATGTCCCACATTTTCCGTTCATTGGGCGCCATCTATACGACGCTAGCTGGTGCTATGACTCCAGCTACAGTGGTCTTTTTGGCGTCAATGATCTATGCTGGATTTGTCATTCCCACCCCCCAATATGTTGGGGTGGAGCAGGTGGATCAATTATATCAACCCTGTTGGCTACGTTTTTGAGTCTTTGATGGTGAACGAATTTCATGGTCGTGATTTCAGGTGCACGAATTTTGTTCCGTCTGGTATCTCTTATGGCGATGTTCCATTAAATGAAAAGGTTTGTCATACTGTCGGAGCACGTTCTGGATCTTCTATCGTATTGGGAACTGATTACCTTGCATCTCAGTACAAATACTACAATGGCCATAAGTGGAGAAATTTTGGAATTTCTGTGGGCTTTGCAGTTTTTTTCTTGGTTGTGTACGTCATATTAGCTGAAGGTAATAAGGGAGCGTTGCAAAAAGGTGAAATTGCCTTGTTTTTAAGAGGCTCTTTGAAGAAACACAAGAAAGAAAATTCTGCTAAAGCGAGTTATGCTCGAGACATAGAGGCTTTTCCAACCGAAGAAAAAGTGGAAATGAAGGATGTTTTGGAGTCACAGAAGTATACCGCTGATAACTCCTCCTCCTCCGACAATTTACCAGAAGACGTCAACATTTTTCACTGGAGAAATCTCACTTACGAAGTCAAGATCAAGTCTGAAACAAGAGTCATATTGGATCACGTTGATGGATGGGTCAAGCCTGGTCAGTTGACTGCGTTAATGGGATCTTCTGGAGCTGGTAAGACCACTCTATTGAACTGTTTATCCGAACGTGTTACCACAGGTGTCATTCCTGATGGTGTTAGAATGGTCAATGGTCACTCATTGGATTCCTCATTCCAGAGATCCATTGGATATGTTCAACAACAAGATTTGCACTTGGCAACGTCTACAGTTCGTGAAGCATTGCGTTTCTCTGCCTACTTAAGACAACCAAATTCAGTTTCCAAAGCAGAAAAAAGCGACTATGTGGAGTATATCATCGATTTATTGGATATGACCACCTATGCTGACGCTTTGGTTGGTGTTGCTGGTGAAGGTTTGAATGTGGAGCAACGTAAACGGTTGACCATTGGTGTCGAGTTGGTTGCGAAACCTAAATTGTTGTTGTTCTTGGATGAACCAACGTCTGGTCTTGATTCTCAAACTGCCTGGTCTATTTGTCAATTGATGAGAAAGCTTGCGGATCGGTGGTCAGGCCATCTTGTGTACTATCCATCAACCATCTGCTATTTTGTTGAAGGAGTTTGACCGTTTGCTATTCTTGCAAAAAGGTGGAAGAACCGTCTACTTTGGTGATTTGGGAGAAAACTGTTCAACTTTGATCAACTACTTTGAAAAGTACGGAGCTGATCCTTGTCCAAAGGAAGCGAATCCGGCTGAATGGATGTTGCAAGTTGTCGGTGCTGCTCCAGGTTCGCATGCAAAGCAAGACTATTACGAGGTGTGGAGAAACTCTTCTGAATTCCGGGAAGTTAACAGTGAATTGGATCGCATGGAAACTGAATTGTCCAAATTACCAAGAAATCATTCTCCTGAAGAACACCAATCCTACGCTGCACCATTTTGGAAACAATACTGGTACGTCACATGGAGGGTTATAGTTCAAAATTGGAGATCTCCTGGCTATATTTATTCGAAATTGTTCTTGGCAGTGTTTGCTGCTTTGTTCAATGGATTTTCATTTTTCAAGGCAACAAATTCCATTCAAGGTTTACAGAATCAAATGTTTGCAGTGTTCATGTACACCACTCCATTCAATACTTTGATTCAACAGATGTTGCCGTACTTTGTGAAACAACGAGAACTTTATGAGGTCAGGGAATCTCCATCAAAGACTTTTGGTTGGTTAGCTTTCATTTCAGCCCAGATCACGTCCGAGATTCCGTACCAAGTTTTGGTGGGCACTATGGCTTTTTTTTCTTGGTACTATCCAGTCGGTCTATACCAGAATGCAGAACCAACTGGAGCTGTCCATGAACGTGGAGCCCTTATGTGGTTATTCTTCTCTTCCTTTTTCGTCTACACTTCAACCATGGGTCAGTTGTGTATATCTTTCATTGAACTGGTGGAGAATGCCGCAAACTTGTCGATGATTTTATTTACCCTGTGTTTGAATTTCTGTGGTGTCGTAGCCACAAAGGATGCGATGCCAGGTTTCTGGATATTTATGTATCGAGCTAATCCGTTCACATATTTCTTCCAGGGAGTTCTTACTGCTGGCTTGGCTAACACAAATGTTGTGTGCTCTGAGAACGAGCTTCTCAAGTTCAATGCCCCAAATAATACAACATGTGGAAATTATATGGCTGGCTATATTGAAGCAGCAGGAGGATACTTATTGGCAGAGGATGCCACTGAAATTTGCAATTATTGTCCCGTATCCTCAACAAATGATTTCTTGGGATCCATTAATGCACTCTATAGCGAAAGATGGAGAAATTATGGAATTTTTGTGGCCTTTATCGCAATTAACATTATATTGACGATATTTCTCTACTATTTGGCTAGAGTTCCCAAGGGAAACAGAGAGAAAAAGAGATAAGAATTGTTTCAAGATGTTTACGTACTATTTCGTAACTATTAATGTACATTTGCAACCGCTCGGCCGTCCTCGGACTTTGATTCGGCACGTGACTTACATCTATAAAATGCAGGACCAAAGGTTGCAAAGTATTTGGTCAAGTTTTTAGTAGACACTGTTTCTAATAATACAAAAGATACTTATACTACATACAAGAGTATTTGATCTGTCGCAAGAGCTGAATTAGACCTGATCTTTCGTTGAGCTGAAGTGACGATTACATAACCACCACCGTTTATAACGTAATCTGAATCTCACATTCTCGCGCCGCTCTCTACTTATAGTCTTTATATTATGCCCCAGTGAGCCACCAAACCTAATGACAAACAACTTTGAATTGGCCCGACGGAGGCGCAACAGACCCTCCTACGTCTGTATACCCTGTAAAACCCGTAAAGTCAAATGTGATAAGGGAAGACCATGTGCTTCGTGTGTCACTAACAACCTACAAGAATTCTGTCAATACGAGCTGCCTAAAGAATCCAAGAAAGATCACGATATTGAAGGAGACCATATCATTAAGCATAAGCATAACAATGATGACCTGTTTCAGCTTCCACCAATTAGAAACGACGAAGAAAAAGTGATGATCTCAAAGCTGGAACTTGCCGAGCTACAAGCAGCTGCCAACAGTCCTGAAGTTTTACCACAAAACATACTTCCAGTGCAAGAGTTTAGCTTCAAAACCATCTCTAAAACATACTTGAATCGTGATCTTGGCGCGATCCCTCTTGAGTGGCAACTGCTCCATGATCCCAATGCCCCAGAAGACACATGTTTTGCAACATTTATGTTGTTCAAACACAAAATGATAAACTTCACATACCAAAGTACCCGGTTCAGCCCGCAGACCCCGAACGCCGATGACAAGTCGTTTTTGGGAACTAATCCATACATATCCGAGGACGAAGAAATAGACATTCTGGGCAGCGGAGGCTTTTCCAGTGTTGCGAATGTGGTAGGAACCTCAGAATGTCTTACTTTTGGATGGAGAAGTACCATCTCGAAACAACCTTGCTTTCTTGCATTGCGCAACTATGTTATCTCGCAAAGAGAAGCCGAGGCAGCCCAACCAAAACGACGGCCCTCCGTCCCTCCTCGCCAAAAAAAACCGACATTTGACGATAAGGCTCTGGCAGCCAACCAAACCAACCAAGAAGCCATGGATTATCGACTTTTGACGTTGGATCTTACCAACAAGGGCTCCATCTTTGCACCTGAAACCACCTTGATCGAACGAATAAAGGCCGTTATTCCCGATAGATCAATCACTTATAAGCTCCTTGCTCGGTTCTTTCGTCTATTCATCCCATACTACCCTTTTATTAATCAGGATACATTCTATCGCGAGATTGAGAAAATCATTGGTTCTGAAAATGATAAAAGTGACAAAATTGACCTCCATCTTGAAAAGAGACTCGACTTGGCCCATATTGGAATACTTCTTGTTATCTTACGTTTCTCGTACTTATCTTTCTTTGCAAATGTTACTAAGGGCCAGGTTGTGGCCCCTTCCGACGATTTACCACCCCAAAGAATTCCATTGTTCCTTGGTACACCTATCGAATTAAACGTAATTGAAGTCGCTCGAGAATGTTTCACACAATTTCAAAAAAAGAAGAAAATCAGTCTTGAGGTCCTACAATGCGGGATGTTTTTGTGGACGTACGGTTTGTTGTCTCCCGACGAAGAGGAAGGAGCAGATGGTGGTGAATACATTATACTGCATGGCCTGTTGGTTTCCATGGCATACTCGCTCGGACTTCATCGTGACCCAGATTATGTTGGGTATGCTACATGGAGTGAAGACAAGAAGAACATTGGACGGCGAATATGGTACTACTTAACCATCATGGATTTCACAGCCTGTTTTCTGACCGGGTACCCGTTACTCATCAATGCTCAATATTACGATACCAAATGTCCATCACACGTTCACGGCTTTTCGAATGTACGTGATCTTGAAGTGGAGGAGGCAATCAACGTGTTGTTCAATTACGCCGATGTTCTTATCAAGGGACCCCTAAGTAGAGTTGTTGGGACACTTCTTGACCCGAGGTCCAAAATCAAAGTGTCACAGCTTACCATGAATCTTAATTTGCTGGAAGTTCAAGTATTTTCTTTGTTTGGAAGAATTGAGGACTACGTGAAGCCCTTGGAGAAATCAACACCGTCATACCAATATGCCAAAACCATGAAGGCGAGAATTTCATTTGGTTTAAAAGCCTTTTTGATGTTGATGTATCTTCATCTTCAAATGCATTACGAGGCCAAAGGGGACTTAGACATAGCCTTTTACTACTTCAAGAAGCTTCTTTGGATGGGTCTTAATGAGCTTGTACCCTACTTTTTCCCAATGATTGGCAAAGGGAGAGAACACTTTGGTGAAAGTGCCGAAAAGATTTTAAACCCTCAAATGCAATACGTGTTGCAAGTTTGTATTGAGCTCTCGCTCATGGGGATCATAAGAATGAATGCGCAGATGTATAAAATGAAGCTGGCTGCTGGCCACAGAGAGCGTATGGCTAACGATCCTGAATATGGAACGTACGTTCGTGTGGTCAAGGAGTTGATTGGGTGTTTTGAGCAATGTGCTAGAGCCGGTCTCATGGCACTTTCCATGTTAAGTCACAGGTACTATTTCGCTTGGGGAGTGAGTAGAAGTCATAACTACTTACTCAAAGTTGTGACATCCGATGACTTTTATGTCCTGAGTGTCCTGAGTGCCTACTATCAAACATGCAAGGGCTATTCGTTGACACAACTTCAGGAAATGCTTGAAATACTTAACACCAGCGTTAATACCTTGCAAGTAATTGCTGTTCATTGTGACTATCTCGACATGTCAGCGATCAGCAAGAAGAATCCGCAGCAAAAATCTCCTACGTCGAGTACGAATGGCAGCGTGGATGTTTCGAAAAATGGAGGCGATCTCAACACCGGAGCAAAGATTAGCAGTCAGTTTGAAGACCTCAATTTTGACAGCGGAGCCGAGATCGATAAACTTTGGCTTCGGATTCTTTCTGAAAGAAATCAAAAAGACCAAGATATTTTGCAAGACGGCGACAGATTGAATATGGGCATTTTTGACGAGAGGAAGAACGAGATTCCAGGACACATCAAGAATATCCAGAACCAATCCGATATGAAGCAGTCACAGCAACAACTTCAACCTGATCTGGGGTTTGGATTCGAACCTTTATTCGATATGGGGTCGCAAGCAGAATATGAAATAGATTTCGCCGAGCTCCAGACCCTTGGAGTTTTCAGTGAATATCCCCTCCAACACGTATTCAAAGGGTAACACAATTATGAAATGTATGAAATATGAACAAGGAACAAAACATCAACTATTTATGAAATATATGAACTTATGAACTCTATGAACTATAAATATTCTCAGCCGTTTGGCTGCGAACGGGGATAAGCCGCATGCAGGCCCGAGGCAGCGGAGAAACCGCACTCGACTTTAGTAAGCTCAAAAAGGTATTTGCCATCTCTGCAAAATATGGTAGCCACCGATATCAAGAAGCGAAAAAGACCCAGCTATGTGTGTACCAACTGCAAGAAGAAGAAAATAAGATGTGACAAGGACTTACCTTGTGGACAATGTGTACGCGCTGAATGTGCTTCATCGTGTGTGTTTGAAGTCAGCGAAAATAACCGGATCGAGAAAAAATCTCCTCCTAGTATGCCTTATATGGTGTCGGCGAAACGGCCCTTAGAGTTCAAGAAGTCCGAAAAAGTGTCTCGTAACGGAAATCAAAATCAAGAAGAAGAAGCTACCTCGGAGCTTGCCATGCTTAAAAACAAGATCCGAGAAATCGAACAAAAACTTCAAAATAATGAAGAGAACACACAACAGCCTCTTCCTCATATCAGGGATAGAAACGTCTATATTCCTGTTCAAACCAATGGCAACAGATCAAACTTTTCGAGTGTGCAACTGCCATTAAATTTCAAACGAGACTCTATGTCGATTCCCAGTATCACGTCCTCCGAACCACGATTTCCCTTTGACATGTCCAACGGTACCTCGTCATCGCCCTCTAGCTTTCAACTGCCTGGAATATTCGGCAAAGATCCATTGGTACAGCTTCCCCCTCTCAAAAGTAATGCACATTCATCCGCCTCGACCTCGAGCTCACACTCCACGTCTGCGACGTCACTCCTGGGGAGCCCTAAAAACCAAAGTGTTTCGTCCAATTCTCCCATCAGCGAACCATGCTATGTCGATGTCCATGCTTTGACCGGCAAAAACCCATACCGCAACCACAACGATGTGATTAATTTCTACGCCAACTACACATCAATACACGAAAAGGACTCTTTGAGAAGAATCAACTTTGGCCCTTTTGCCTGGGCTACCCTCATGAGGCGAGATTTGGGCTTGTCCATCCTTTGGGACTACATTGTGGAAACGAATGATAAAAATGCTGCATCACACAATACTGCTGTTTTCTCATCCAACAAAGCCATTAATTCCTACGTCAATTCTAGCGGTAATAATCCAGACATGGCTTTTGAAAAACGTGCACTAGAAGCTGATGGATATGACGATCTCTTATCGTATGAGAGACGAAAACAAATGATAGCTAAGAAAAGCAAGATTAATCAAAACACATTACCACTAGGGCTCACCTTCTACGATGGAAATCTAGACAGAGAACTTCAGTTGATAGACAAGATCAAGATAATTTTACCCAAAAAGAAGGTTATTTGGCTCTTGGTTCGGAGATTTTTCACCAAACTATATCCGTATTTACCTTATGTGGACGAGGTATATTTTAAAACTGCGATTTCCATTATAATCGGTGAATTCTCACTTGAAAATGAACCAATAACCAACTTAAGAGTCGAGAAAAGACTCGATTTGGCGCATGTCGGTATCCTTTTAATAATGCTACGCTTGTCGTACTTGTCCTTGTTCTCAAACAAAAATTCAATTAATGAACGGAACCTTAATAGTGAGGCACCTTGTGCCGACAAAGAAGTACAATATCTTCTTTCCAATCCTATCAATTTTGAAACTATCGATGTGGCACAACTTTGCTTGGACCAATTTCAACTTCTCAGAAGAGCAAATGTAACGGTGTTTCAATTGGCAATGTTTATGCGCATATATCACACGTATGCACCCGAGGACGGCGATGGAGCAGATGGAGGCGATTCACAGGTCATGACTTCGATGTTGATTCAAATGGGTTACTCTCTCGGCTTTCACCGAGAACCCACAAAATTCAAAGATGCTTGCAATGACAGAAAGATAAATCATCTTGCAAGAAAGATATGGCTCTACTTGGTTGTTTCCGATATCTACCAAGCACAGTCATTTGGCAACCCATTGAACATTGACCCCAATTCGTTCGATACCAAAGTGCCATGGTACGAAGCGGGATCAGAAAATATCGTTGATACTAATCGAGATAAACTCGTCACAGCATCTTTCTTTCACTGTGCAAGTGGAACATTTGCTCTTCGAGAAATTCTTGATCGAGTTTTAGATGTCAAAAATGGTGTCAATATGGCAGAGCTTTGTAAGCTTTTGAGCAATCATGAACTGTCAATGGTAGAGACATTTGGAACTCTTGAGGAATGTTTGAAGCCAGAGCAGATACCGGGTGCTGAATCAACCTTGAACATGAAGGTGAAATTCTATTTGTCATTGAAGGCGTTTTACATTTCAATTTACTTTCACTTGTATCATTTTTATGAGCATCGTGATATAGAATTGTGCTATTTCTATGTCAAAAAGTTGATATTGATCGCCATTGGTGATATAATGCCCAACTACTACGCCCTTCTTGGTGAAAATGAAAGTGTGTTTGCTCTTGTTGTCAATCCCACATTGGAGCTGGTTATTCATAGAACCATCGAGATTCTACTTGCCTGCATTGTTAGGGTCAATTTCAATATTCACAATGCAAAGGATAATGCAGATCATGACAAGAACATGCAAGTCGATAAAGCGTACAGACACGCTTTCAATACAATGTGCAGACTCTCATCTGCAATGACCAGATGTGCCGAAGTGGCTATATCAGCTATTCTGAAAATCAGTAATCGGTATTATTACGCCTGGCGGATAACCAAATCGCAGACGTATTTGTTGCAAGCTGTCACGTCCATTGGTTTCTATTCAAGTAACTATCGCATAGCTCAAGACTATGGTTTGTGCCTGATGGCATTTGGGGTCGAAATGATGGAGGAATTAACCACCATTTGCGAATGTACTCTACTGAAGCTCAAGTGCGAGCTGACCAACGACGAATGCGGCTTCAATCCCAAGTCGAGTGTAGCAAACGATATTGCTCGGTCAGCACAGAATTCTGACACTTTAGGCTTCCCACCGTTAATATCTTCACATGCGCACCCTACTCCGATGTGGGATAAGGAACACACTCCGTATGATTTCCGGGTGGATTATGTGAACAACCAAGAAGTCGATAATTTGTGGCTCAATATGTTGGCCTTGAAACAAGATAGTAACATCGATGGAGGTACGCTGCTGTACCAAAATGCTGATAACACGTTTGCAGATGGTAAGAATGAGGACGATTCCAAAAATGCAAGCCGTTGGAACCTTGCTCCCGAGCAGGGCATTGAATTTGATATTTTCAGAAATTTGGGATTTGATCGTTTATTTCAGGGGTCGGAATAACATAACTTGAGCTAACAGTTTAAACTAACATGTTCAGGATCAAGTGAGCGTTGGCACGGCCACCTTGCAATCTGGTGCTCTCGTAGATCTTCTCAAGCTCCTCGAATTCAGCATCGGTGATTTCCACAAGGTGACCAAAGTTCATGTCAGCCTTTTCTTTGGTTGAGCCAGAGGGAATTGGGATAATCTTACAGACCTTCTCGATGCCCCATAAGTTCTTTGCTTCCGAAACCTTCAAGATCCACGACAAAGCCAATGCTTCCAAAGAGGTCTTTTTCACATCATGAGCAAAATCATACAATTTTTTGCAGGCTGCAATGTTTGCTCTGTAATTTTCCTCGCTAAATCTGTCCATCCATGATCTCATATCCTTCCTAGTAGCCTCGTAAAGTTCGTCAGCGTGCTCCACCGCATAGTCTGTCAACATACCACGGCAAACGGGAGAGTATGCAATGATTGGAATGTTGTTGTCGGAACACACCTTGAGCACACCGTCCTCAAGGATATCTCTGGTAAAGAAAGACAATTCCAATTCGACGCAAGAGATGTTAGCCACCTTCAATGCCTTCAAAACTGTCTTTCCACCGGTCTCAGAGAGCGAAACACCCGATAATAAGCCCTGTTGGATGTACTCATTGATGTAGGACAAAGTGGTCTCGATAGGAATGTTTTTGTCAACCCTGGCGGTTTCGAACAAAATCTTAGGTCTGTTTTCCAAAGGGAAGTGAGCAAGAACATTCTTCACAGATTTGTCAATTGATTCCTTGCTTCCATCAGGACTGAGTGTCTTAGGATCAAGGGCACCTTTGATCGAGACAACCAATTCTTTGTTCTTTGGAGAGTTGTACTTCTCAAAGTATCTTTGGAATGCCTTCAAGTTGGCATTGTCTGGACCATAGAACTCTCCTCCATTGAGAAACTTAACTCCATGCTTGGAAACCACATAGTGGATCATTTCTGCAGCATCATCGGGACTCATAGGTTCTGGTCTCCATGTAAGCGACATGGTACCGTAGGAGATTTTGTCATTGAGTTGAACGGACATTTTATTTGTGTTTTTTGGGATTATCAATTGGGTTTGAATATGATTTTCTAGGCGATGGTGGCGCCTTTAAATAGTGCAACATTGCTATAGCTTATTCAGTATGGTGTTCTCTCTGCAGGACCTTATATCCGCAGATCGGAGTGATGAGATTATGCAACCCTCGGCCGAGCGCGTTTCAGTTGCAATAATTATAAATAGGGCGGACCAGAACGTCTAAAGTTTCGTACTCCGAACATATTTTTCCTCATTATCTCCGTATCGTTTTGTCATCTTGCCAGCGTATATGCAACGTGCTGAATGAATAGTAAGCACAGCCCGTGCTTTTGTGAGCGTCAGTCAGCGTCAGTCTTCACGACCAGTAGGTTTACCCGAGAATTGGTGCTGAGATAGTTTACGAATGTGGATTCGAGACCGTTAGACGGAAGCACCTTCCTGGGTTGGAAAAAAAAACATCTGTCAAAACGGAGTGCGGAATTTTTTGGGGAGAAAAAAAGCTTGGCATTTTGCAGCCAATCAAGATCTCTCTCAAGATAGACAAAGCTGGCCAGAACCACGTTCTCGATGAGTTATTGGTTCGAATTATTCGTATTCGAATCTCCTAATTAATCTCTTTATTTGCATTTATTTCTACGATAACATAAACTTGGCCATGTGGGCATTACCACGAGTTCCAACCATACGGCTCTCCTCATAGATTTTCTCAACCTGGGCAAATTCCTCGTCAGAGAGTTCCACAAGTTTTCCAAAGTTTGCATCGGCTCTCAGTGGGGAAGAGCTACTAGGAATCGGAATAATCTTCGCAACTTTTTCAACACCCCACAAATTTGTAGATTCGGAAACCTTGACAATCCATGACAATGCCAAGGCTTCTAAGGTTGTCTTTTTCACGTCGTGGGCAAAATCGTACAATTTCTTGCAGGCTTCGACATTCTTCTGATAGTTCTCATCTGTGAACCTATCGAATGTAGCCCGAAAGTCCGAACGAGTTTGCTCATAAAACTTGTCAGCGTTCTCCACCAGAAAGTCAGTCAACATTCCATGTCCCAATGGAGAGTACGCAATGATTGGGATGCCCTCGTCGGAGCAAACCTTGAACACACCCTCGTCAACTATATCTCTGGTGAAAAATGAAAATTCCAATTCAACAAAAGAGATAGGAGCAACCTTGGCAGCCTTGGCCACGGATTTGCTTCCGGCTTCCGAGAGAGATACTCCAGACAACTTTCCTTTCTTGATATACTCATTGATGTAAGAGATAGTATTCTCAATTGGAACAGCTGGGTCTACCCTGGCTGCTTCGAAGAGTAGCTTTGGTCTATTTTCAACCTCAAAATATGGAAGAATGGCTTTGATCGATCTGTCAATTCCCTCTTTACTTCCATCCGGTTTCATTTCCGAGATGTTGAATGCGCCTTTGATGGACACAATCAAATCTTTGTTCTTTGGCGAATTGTATTTTTCAAGGTATCTTTGAAAAACCTTCAAGTTGTAGTGATCTTTGCCATAGAATTCTCCACCATTGAGGAACTTTACATTGTACTTGGTCACAACATAGTTAATCATATCTGCTGCTTCATCGAAACTCATTGGGGTGGATCTCAAGCCGAGGGTCATGGTGCCGTAGGCTATTTTATCGGTAAGAGGAATTGACATATTGAGGAATGCTAGGTGTCGATTTAGACTGTGGTAGCTAGTACTCTTTTATAGCTACTATGTTATCTCCGTTTATCTCCGTGTCACCTTCAGGGCTACGAATTGCAACTTGCTGGCCTCGATGTGTATAACGAATCATGATAGGGGTGAGAAGGGATCAAGGTCAAGACTCATTCGAGTCTTTGATGAAAAAGCTCAAGTGAATTGAATGCGACTGGATTGAGAGGGTAATTTTGTCGCTTACAAATTTTTTGAATTTGTTGTGTAGAGAGGTTGATATTCCTTTGAAAGTATCGAAGCAAAGTAGAGACTTGCGAATCTTCAACGAATTGAAAGTTACAATTTTGATTTTTTTGAATGGCTGCAAAATTTGCGTATATTACAGTTTGAATAAAGTACCGAGGAGGAGGTTCGAAAGCTATTGAAAGTGGTGGAAGGTCGTTAGATTTATGAGGTTTCCTTTGGGTTTACCGTATAATCTGACATCTACTAGGAAGTAGTAGAATAACATAAATTGTACTTGACTTCTTGAGACATCTGATTCTGGTGAAAAGTCACAACATCAATTGAGCGACTGACTTCGGATACAAGTTGCTCAGTCTAATCTAAAGCCAATAAAGAGCACTTGAATCAACCCTTTGTGGTTAATGGCATTTCCAATCATTTTATATTTCTCATGTACCCCATACTGAAATATTTCACCAATTCGATTGAAATTTTTCACTAATTCCATCAACTTTTTCACGAACAAACAACATCCCATTGCAGTACACCACCTTTCACCCTTCTAGGTTTCTCTTTTCGTTCTCTTTTGTTCATCGTGGTTTCCTCTTTGGGCGTGTGATCCCCATCTCATCTCCATCTGATTCGCGCTGAAAGTTGAATCTACAATGGCCGAAACTACAGAACCAACTTTGGCACTCCATGACGAGTCCAGCAGATCTGAAACCGAGGCCGTAGCTGAGACCAAGGTGCGGCCGGAACTTCCGCCTGGAATGTCTCGAAACCAGTGGAAAAAACTTCAACGTCAGAAGCGATGGGAAGAAACCAAAGAAGAGTACCGGTTAATAAAGCGACAAAAAAAGAAAGCGGCACGAGAAAGAAAGAGACATAGTCGTGGGGAAGAAGGCAGTGGCACCGATGATATCAATTACCACCAACAAAAGAGACCAAAGATTCCGTCTCAGCAAAAACAAACGGGAGTGAAAATTGTCATTGACTGCGAGTTTGATGAGTTGATGAATAACAAGGAAATAGTGTCACTTTCCAACCAGATCACCAGAGCTTATAGTGCCAAACGACACTGTGAGTACGATCTTCAACTCGATATAACCTCGTTTAACAAGAATTTGAAACTGAGGTTCGACAAGTCGGTCTCACAATATAAACTCTGGACCAATATTCAGTTTCAAGAAAATGATCATTTGGCTGATATTTTGCCCACTGATCCCCAGGAACGCTCCAAGTGGGTATATTTGACCGCAGATACCGACGAGGTCATCACAGAACTTTTACCGGACCATACGTATATCATTGGAGGTATAGTAGACAAGAATCGACACAAACTTATCTGCAAAAAAAAGGCGGAACAATTGGGACTTCGTGTGGGAAAACTTCCTATTGACCAATTTATACAGTTGAACGGAAGACAGGTGTTGGCTACGTCTCATGTATTTGAACTTTGTTGCAAGTGGTTTGAGCTGAATAAGGATTGGGGAAGAGCATTCAACGAGGTGCTTCCGCCTCGAAAGTTGGAGAAGGGAGAAAAGGAGGGAAAAAAGGAGAAGGTGGAGGAGAAGGGGGAAGAAGACGAAAAGGAAGAGGAAACGAGTGGACCAAAATTTCAAGAACCAAGTGAGAAAAATGAAGAACTTCAAGTCAATTAGTTCAGTTCACTTTGAGCTAATCTGTTTCCAGAACACCAAAAGAGACGTTCCCTCATATATAGAAGTGTAGTTACAATCCCAAACCTTACCTCCTGAGTTAAGCTCAGTCTTACGACCGAAGTCTAGCAATCATACGCGCCTAGTTTGCGTAGTAAGTCACATGATCGCCAGGGGCTGAGGCACGACGGACGGACTGCACGCAGCCACATTCTCGCCCTGACGACAACATCCAAAAATAAGATCACAACTCGACAAATAAGCCAGTTTTGGATCACTTTATCTCGATCTTTTTTTTTTTCACAGAAAGAGTATTGATCTTAGTTGTGAACAATACAGGTATACAAAGTCATCTTGAGAGGATTGGTTAGTAAATAATACAAGTAAGTATAACTGAGATCAGGGGTATCCCCGAATTCCGAGTGGATTTTTGCGGTAAAAAAACCTGTTTGCCGGTAGTTTGATATACCCAAATGGTTGTAAGGACTGTTTTTGTTTGTGCCACTCGTTTTCACCTTCGTTTAAGACATTTTTACTAACTCAGAATGGTTCCTCCCCCAGCAGAAATCCGCAGAAAGTTGGTCATTGTTGGTGACGGTGCGTGTGGTAAGACATGTTTGTTAATTGTCTTTTCTAGGGGTACGTTCCCTGAGGTGTATGTTCCAACTGTGTTTGAAAACTACGTTGCTAATGTGGAGGTTGATGGCAGAAAGGTGGAATTGGCATTGTGGGATACCGCTGGACAAGAAGATTATGATAGATTGCGTCCATTGTCATACCCTGACTCCAACGTCATTTTGATTTGTTTTGCTATCGACTCACCAGACTCGTTGGATAACGTGTTGGAGAAGTGGATCAGTGAAGTGTTGCACTTTTGCCAAAGGGTCCCCATCATTTTGGTTGGATGTAAGGCTGATTTGAGAAACAATCCCAACACAATCGAGCAGTTGAGACAGCAACAACAACAGCCCGTGTCCACGTCAGAGGGACAGGCTGTAGCCCAGAAGATTGGCGCTCAATACTTGGAGTGCTCGGCCAGAACTAATGAGGGAGTTAGAGAGGTGTTTGAGGCTGCTACCCGTGCGTCGCTCAAGATCAATCAGGTCAGTGAGAAGAAGAAGAAGTGTGTGGTGTTGTAAGACGACGGCGTGTGCATAGACCTCGACTGGTATAACGTGCCGAGCTCCTAGCATACGTATGTGGACGTCTTTTTGGCACCGTGCTGGAGTGTTTACCTGAACGTGTGCTAGTTTTAACTGGAAGTTGATGTATCACTAGTCGTAGTTCGTCTTTTTATTTGTTTAATACTTTTATGCTACTCCATTGTAAGCCCAGGGTCATTTCCTGCAGGTAGCCCAGGATGTTCAAAAATCAGTCGCATCCAATCGAATTTGTTTCGAATCCCACCGTAATCACCATGCTTGCGTCTAGAAACTATGTACATACGGCACTTCAGCGGTCGGGAAGAAGTTTTGTGAGGTTTTCCAGTACCGGATTGACCAAAACTGAACTCAAAAAGAACCCAGCTGCCTCACAAGCTCCAAATAGAGAAACTACTTGGTCGCCCTCTCAAGAAAGTCGTGCTGATGCCATCGCTAGATTCCCATTTAAGTTTGTCCAAAGAGACTTGGAGCAACAACCAAGACCCTATGCTGCTATAGACTTGATTGCGAAAGAACCAGTACGTTATTTGTCGGAAGGAAACGTCGCCGTTTGCGATGGAAATAGAGGACAATTGGTCCAAGGACACCCCAAGGTTTTTATTAATCTTGACCGTCCAGAAGCCAGTGCTTGTGGCTACTGTGGATTGAGATACGCCAAGGAGGAACACAGGGAGGTGATTGAAGCTAGTGAGAAATAGGGAAGAGAGAGGGAAGGGAAGAGAGGAGAGAAGAAATAAAGAAGAGAGAAGAGAGAAGAAGAGATGAACGAGTGTGGATCGGTTATGGAACTCAATTCCGTCGTACCACCAGAGTTCATTAAATGCATGCCAATTAGCATCTTGTAGAACAGGCTTCAGTGAGATTACTGTGTGTCAGTGTGGAGTATCAAGTACGCCAATTAAATCTATAGAAGACTACTGACTATCTGCTTACGTCTATCCAACTCTATCCGTTCCTTTGTTCAAGTCTATCAATTCTTTTTGTATATGAAGTATGTCCCTATCTCCTTCTCGCTCCATATACCCGGTCGCACTCGGCAATTTCTCGGCTGGGCAGAGTCATCATGGCTGACTGATAACAATTATACAACACAATTTACCACAAACCCTCACCCATACTTCACCCATACTGCACCCATACTCCCTCCTAAATCATAATCTTATTCCTCAAGTTATGGAAACTACTTCTGTTTCCTACATTCGTGATGTGTGCCTTGGCCTAGTACATGGAGTTTATTATAGTCGATGGCATCTCTTCCATTCGTATGCAGTTGTGCCTGTGGGGATTATCATCTTGCTTATGATTCTTTATGGACTTAACCAGCTTTTGACCCAATGTTTTCAAAATTACGTTTCCTTGTTCTGTGTTGGGCATGTTGATCAACTTGGTGGTTCTTTGCACCTTGAATGTTTTGTCACAGCTTCTGGGTCCGGAGAGGTCGTTGCGGCAGCGTGTTGGGTCAACATCGTTAGCTTTGCTTACTCATTATTTGACATTAATCAAGCCGTCGATGAACTTTACCTTGAAATGGATCAATGTATTTTTCATTCCATCGTTCATCATTTTGCCGCTTTCAGACCCCATAAGTTTCATCGAGTGCCTCAAGATAGCGGCTGTGTTTGTGGTGGGGTTTTTGGCTCTCTTTTTTCCTTGACGTATACATCATTTGGGGTTTCAAGCAAGTATTGGCACTCTTTAATTTGCTTCCAGAAACAGAAAATGCCGCTACGTCTTCAGACGAAGAATTTGCAGAAGACATAGAGCTTGAACAAGTGCCCACAAGAGGCGTTTTCACCTCGATGCGTGACGATATAACCACCATAGACGTTACGAGTATTCGTTCTGGACGCTCGGAGCGAACAAAACTGCGCCAAGTACGAAGTATTTCTATCGATGAGAACCCGTTCAGAACCCAAGACACATCAATGGCTGCGTCCGTGGCAGAATCTGTCATTCTGGAGCCGGCGCCGTCGTATAAAAAGTCTGGCGCCGAAATCCATCGCCCTAGACCACTTGAACTTGAGACAAACGACAACCTTCAGTCTCAGGCCTCAATTCCGTCCCAGTCTTTAACTCCTCCCTCCCCAGTGTCTCCTGTCAAACAAAACTACGACCACTTGCACCCCGTGTCGAGAAAATTCACCATTCTCACCACCAACTATATCGACTGGTTTGTCTACCTTCTTCTTTTCATTGTGTCGCTACCATTCTACTACATCAGGTCCATCCACACCTTCCTTCCGTACCACTTGGGACTCACCATTCTTGCGTACTATATTGCCATTCTTATTCCCCAGCGGTGGCCTCAATTACGGAAAATAGCCCATCCGATATTGATCCTGACAGCAGAAATTTTATTTTGTTGCTTCATTGGCTCGTTGATCTACCATAAGGGGCTGCCCAAGGGCTTTCTTGACGACTTGAAGTACTACAAGACTGGGAAAAACTACTTGAACTTGTTCAACAATCGAATTGTCATCGACAACAGCAGAGAACATGCCATGGACCCAAGCAACTTTACGGCAACTCCAAAGTGGCCGGGATGCGGCGATGTGCTCTCATCTTTGATGGACATCTCCATTGTGTCACTATCGCTTCCCATGTTCACACATCGTCGTGATTTCGTAAAGAACTTTTGGGTATTGGTTCCTCCCATTCTCGCTTCCATCGCCTTGACATTTTTTATTTATCCAATTGTGAGCTACAAAATCGGTATCCAGTCCGAGAGAGCCATTGGCTTCATAGGTCGCTCTGTGACCCTCGCTCTTGGTACTCCCTTGATCACGGCTTTGGACGGGTCAGTATCGTTGATGGCCGTTTGCACCATTCTCAGTGGTATATGTGGAGTTTTGATCGGCGATACATTGTTCAAATTCTTGCGAGTTCCAGAGGGAGATTTCGTGACGAGAGGCGTCACCATGGGTATAAATTGTGGAGCAATTGCTACGGCTCATCTTCTTAATGTGGACCCTCGAGCTGCGCTGATGAGCTCATTGAGTTTCAGTATTTTTGGAACAGTTATGGTGATCATGGCAGCTATTGGCGCCATCAAGCAATTGATAAATTCCTGGGTGGGGCTCTAGATATTTATTCAAACGAATTATTCATTATAGAAAATTTCAATTATAGAACCATTTCATCATATATTTCGCTATCTCAATTTTATTTATTCGCGTCTTTACATGTTGGTCCACAGCGATACCAGAATATTCTTGCTCCCCGCCTCGCTTGAGAGCACTCAGCTCGACATTATACAGCTACCATTGGCCAACAAATCCGTAGCATCGTTTTTGGTGAAAGAAAATCAAGTTTTTGAGCTTAAAAATTTGGGTTCAAAAAACCCATGGTTGAAAAATGATAAAAGTGTCACGCTCCCGCGGACTGGGGGAGCAGTCAAATCGCTCATAATCGAGACAGACGAGTCTGGTGCTGTGTTGCAAAGCCCAGATATGATAATGGCTACAAAATTTGACTTGAGCTTCATTTTCATCACCATCATGGCAGAGTCCGACACCTTCAGTAAAAGATATATTTCTTATCAAGATATTCTTGATACCATTGGAAGCCAAAATCCTTGGATAAACGACTTATCTGACACTCTTATCATCAATTGCCTTGGGAAAATATGTGAAACGGTGGTGGAAAACCAAGAGACATTCTACAAATATTCTAGCGAGAAAACTGCTGAAATGCTTTCAGAAAAGGTAAACAAATTAGAAAAACTGATCAGCAACTCCAGCTTTGTCATAAACGATACTATAAGACAAATTCTCCATGATCCAAGTAGTGCCAATTTGGAAATACCGAGTGACATTTACAACCTTGCAGTGATGCAACATTGCATCGATTTGGTATGCTGTTACATTCCATTTAAGGTTCGAGAACTGGTCATAAAGAAGATGGGAAGCGATTTCAGCCCTCTAGATGCGTATATGAAGGAATTGAAGCAGAAAAAAAAGGCCCTCGATGCCGCCGAACAAGCCATGAACGAGGTTGCTGCTTCCACCGCCAATGCGAAGAAAGCCAATGCAAAGCTTAATGGGAAAGCCAATGGCAAAACCAAACCAAAAAAGAAACAAGTTGCAAAGGTGGCAGTTGGAAAAGGTGCACTTGACGGATTTTTCAAGCGTTCGTGATCGCTATGTACTGCTATTTACTTTTGCTTCTTGTTCAAGCTGTTATAGATGGACATACCATTGGCCACCCACGAGCCCATGTCGCCCATATTGGAGGGAATAACCACGGTGTTGGACTCCTTGGCAAGCTTACCAAACTGCTTGACGTAGTCTTGGGCAACCTGCAAGCTGACAGCATGGTCTCCGCCTGGAGTGTCGTTGATGGCTTGGGCGATTTTTTTTAATCCTTCAGCAGTGGCTTCAGCCTTCAACAAAATAGACCTGGCCTCACCTTCTGCCCGGTTGATCTGCTCTTGCTTATTAGCTTCGGAAGATAAAATCACCGATTGCTTTTCACCCTCGGCAATATTGATTCTCGATTGCCTAGCACCTTCAGACTCCAAGATCTCGGCCCGTTTGGATCTTTCAGCACTGACCTGGCGATGCATGGCTTCCAACACGTTCTGGGGAGGATGGATGTCTCTGATCTCGTAACGAAGACACTCCACACCCCAATGGTCCTTGGCAGCCTCGTTGATGGCTTGGTTGATGTTGATGTTCAACTGCTGTCTTTCCTTCAACACGGCGTCGAGGGTCATTGCGCCGATTTCCGATCTCATGGTGGTTTGCGCGAGCTGACTGATGGCAAACTTGAAGTCCTCAACCCCGTACGATGCCTTATATGGATCATGGACCTTAACGTAAAGAATACCATCGAGTTCCAACAGAACGTTGTCTGCGGTGATGGCATTTTGGCTGGGGATTTCGATGGCCGATTCCTTCAATGACTGGACATAGGTGATTTTATCGAGGAAAGGTATCAAGAACGCAACTCCTGGTGGAAGAATACGATTGAATTTTCCCATTCGTTCCACTATCCAAGCGGTCTGTTGGGGAACAAATCTAATTACGGTGTTAGTCGGTAATCTTTCTCGCTGGAAAAACGAGAGCGAAGGAGGGGCATTGCCCGACAACAACCGGCGTCCCGGAATGCGTCCAGAGGACACCGCGAGCCTGGAATATACAAGGTTCCGAATCATAAGTGGCAACTGAAAGTTGGAGAAACCAGAGTGCGAGTTTTTAGTGCGGGTGCACGGGTGCGCTCACCTACCCACAAAAGTCGCGATGAGGAAGCTCTGTATTGCAATGGCCAAGGGCACGGAGATTTCGCTCAACCAGGAGCGATATGTGCTAGAGGCGCTCAAGCACGGCGTACGGGGCGACGGGAGGCGCATTGATGAGATCCGTGACCCGAAAATAATCTTATCTCCTTCCGAATACGGCTATGTTGAAATCGAATGGGGCAACACAAAACTAGCAGTTCGAGTTCTGGCCGAGATTGCCAAGCCTTATGACGACCGCCCGTTCGAGGGCATCTTCACTATAAATACCGAGATCTCGCCCATGGCGTCGCCGCAGTTTGAAAACGGAAAAAACTCCGACGATGAGGTGTTGGTGTCTCGAATCGTCGAGAAGGCGATCCGCCGATCAAATGCTCTTGATTTGGAATCGCTCTGTATTGTGGCTGGATCCAAGGTATGGGCGGTGCGTGCAGACGTGAATTTTTTGGACTTTGATGGTGGACTTATTGATGCTTGTGCATTGGGTGTAATGGTGGCTCTTCAACATTTCAGAAAACCGGACGTTTCTATTGACGGAGAATCCATTGTGGTTCACTCAATGGACGAGAGACAGCCGGTGGCGCTCAGTATACTCCATGTTCCGTTGTGTGTTAGTTTTTCGTTTTTCAATCCGAGCGATATCGAGGAAACCGTCAAGGGCGATGCGAGCGACGAAATAGCTGTAATGGATGCAACTCATGAAGAAGAGTTGGTACGAGATGGATCGCTAGTGGTGACCTTGAACAAAAATAGAGAGATTCTTCAGGTTTCCAAGAGCGGAGGACTTCCTATAGATGCTGTGGTTTTGATGGATTTGTGCCGGAAAGCGTATACGGTTACGTCCGAACTTACGGACCGAGTCAAGGAAATATTAAAGAAAGACGACGCAGAAAGGTACAAGAGGATGAATATGAAGTTGTTAGAAGTGGGAGCGTCACGGTGACTACGACAAGCCAAAGATAATGTGTACATAAATGCACGGAATAATTCCATATTGTACAGAAAGGGAAGGCGAGAATAATCGATATGCATGTTCGTGATTCGTTAAACCATAGAGGATGTGACGTCGCCGTCCTTTTCGATATGGATAGGTGGGGGGAGGTTGGAATCTTTTCTGGACCGTTTCTTGATCCGACTGGCACTCAGGCGAATGCGAAAATTGTTGATCAAAGTGAACACATTGAATCGCTTGGCATATTTCTTAAAACTGCCTGAAGTGACAACCGTGTATAAGAGAAACTCAAGGAAGAAAATGAACCCGGCTATCAAGAAGCCACCCGCAACTGCAAGACCAATATGATTAGCCAATGATTTGATAAATTTAGCATCGTCGAGGTGCCATGACGACCCCGGAGCTATGGCAAAGAATGAATACGAGTGGGTTTTATAATCCTTGGGCATAAGGATACGGACCTTTCCGGCTTCAGGGACTCCCCACCGTTTGTATTGCTTCCAAATAACCGAGAGGAAGAGTGGTCCGGTAGTATACATGATGGTGATATAAGGAACAAGCCAGTTCTTCTTGTATGGTTTCAACGAGTCCAAGACTTTGAGGAAGAACGGATGACGAGGAACCGCGCCCATGACATCGTTGGAGACACCAGTGGGAAGGGTTTTACGCACAAATGCTGGCACCGTGAGAAGTGGGTCCAATTTTCTTTCGCATCCGTCGTCCAAATCAATGTATACACCTCCGAAATGAACAAGTGCAAAGTACCGAATAGCATCGGCACGTTGGATGGGGTAAGGGTACAGGTCCCACGTGGAAAGGAACCATGGATACTCTTCAGCTATGAACTCTCGAGCCATTTCGTCAGTCCACAAAATGTACTGATAATCCGGATGAAGATCGACACACGCTTGTTGACCTGCCTTCCACACAGCAGGAATATCGGTGGTCTTGTATGTTTGATGAATGATCTTCGGTATTATCATTGGCTTGTCAACGGTACCGTCTGTGGGGTTGAGTTCCACGTCCAAGAGGGCGTCTTGGAAAGAGTCGTCGTGTAGCAACGTGATCAAGTCAAATGTATACCACACCAAAAAGAGCACCAAGGCAACATGGCCCCATATGATGTACTTGACCTCCTTCTTCATCAATATAGGACACTTGTGAGCACTGGCCAAATGTTGTTTTTTGTTTGAAAAATTCGTCCGGCTAGAAATTCGGAACTCGAATCAGATAAAAGGTGGGAAACAACTTAAGTATACTATACGCTCCTTTGCGATTTGGCGAGTGTATATCTAAAGCAAAAAAAATTTAGGAAAGCAAGGGCGCAGTTTATGAAGGGTGGAATTGCTGAATACTTCCCCTATCCGAATTGGAGATTGTTGCTCCTGCAGACAGCCGGCCATGACATTTGGTAGACGCACGCCTGGCTTAGCAGCGTGTTTCGAAACCGAAAAAGGGAAAAACTAAGCCTATCGTGGCTGATGGCCATTATCTTCTGCGTATGTGACTTGGAGACGCATAGCCCTAACGTAAGTGCTATTAGTAGCCAAATGAAAATCTTCAAGATGCGTGCACCGACCGCAATCCTGTATGGTGCACATCATCTTGCCGGCATATATCTGCTGCGCCAATGTGGGGCTTAGAGTTAATTTTAGAGAGTGTATGTTAGTAAACAGGTGGTATTAATAGCAGGTTTTTTTTTAGTATTTCCAATGGTTCAATGTCAACGTCAATATGATCATGGCATCTGATACAATCAGCCTATTTTGCATTAATTGTACAGTTAATCCTAGATGAAGCTACTTCCCCGGATTACATAAGCGCACAAATCGTGTACAACTTGCATAAATGCCCATCTCTTGCAGCAATGGCCATCTCGACCTCTTCTCGTAACCACTAAAAGGTGTCATTCATCTTCTCATGCAATAGTCTACAGTTATTTTTAGAGCTGCTAAATATACTTTCACTGGACTTTTTATACGAGAATCTCCTCTTTTTTCGGCTTCAGTTTATTGGATTTAGCAATTAGATAAATAGAGTGTATTAATGGTAAACAATGACTAGAGTTTCTGGGTGTTTCTCTTAAAGTTCTTTTCAATGATATCTTGCATGTAGCCCACGCGAGAACGTTCGTACTTTTTACCCGTTTCATCGGGCTCGGAGGTGGCTGCAAAATTTGTCAAAAAGTCTAACAAAAATGTCAAGTCCTTCTTGTTGCGGATAAGCACAAAGGCCCTTGTTCTTTGCTTGTTTTTAAAAATCTCAATGAGCTGGAGATTGGCAAGATAAAACAAGCACGAAAGCAAATACTGCTTGTTAATCAGTTCAATATGTCTTTGACTATCCTTGTGAGTCAGGATGATTTTCAAAAGACCTTTGGTGGTTGGATACTCTCCACTAAGAAGATCATCGTTGATCAACTGCTCTTCGGTAATTGGCTTGTCAACTTTTCTGTAAAAATTTTCTGTGGCATCAATTAAAGTTCGCACACACAACGCATAAGCTTCGATAAACGGCTTCACCATTTCAGCAAAATACATGAGATAGTCTCTGTTGAGCACCTCGTAGTTTTCGGTAATATGTCCACCACGAACCAACGACGCCAACACATTTTCTAACTTGTTCTTTTCATTATAATCGTAGTCGAACAAAAACTCGTTTTTCAAGATTCCACAGTAGATGTTGTAGAGCATCTTTACCGTGGAAGCATCACGCTGTTCAATCGCAGGCAAGTTCAAAAGGATGTACAGAACAAGACAACGGCGAATGACAGTGTGAATGATCATATTTTTGTAGTAAAGAAGCTCGATCAGGTAGTCAATGGTGATGATCTCCAGTCTCCAATCCACCTTGATGAACCTGAAAAACTGAACAATCTGCAATTTTATGAGCTCTCGAACCTTTTCATCAGAAAGGTTTTTTATGTCTTTCAAAATCTTGACGTTAGAGGCAGCAGAGTCGATTTGCTGTTCTTCCAATAATGTGTCAAGAAGAACCCTCATGATGGGAACAACATCTGCCACCTGGAACTTGTTGCGGTTGTAAAAGTAGTAGTAGGTTTGAATGCTCACGCCTACCAAGGTAACTTCCGGGAAATACTTGATACGGTTCACCTCGTGAAGAACCTGGAATCCCAATTTCTTAAGGTTAACCTGGCCGCCAGTGAGATTTTCCTTGTTTTCCACAAACGACGACATGGTGAAATTTTCACCCAAATTAACGAAAATTTTACCGTGGAGCGGTCTGGTAGAATTATCGTACTTGCCAGTGGATTTGATTTGGGCAACAATATTTTTCATGTCGTCCTTGGACGCTCCGTTCACAAGATTTCCAAGTCCATTCTGGAGCACCCGGAGCATACTTTCCTGCTTTTTGTCGCTGCCAATCATTTCGTTCAAATATCCATCAGTTTCATAGATCCGTTCATAGGTTATGGAAATGGGCTGGATGAGCATGTTGAACTTTTGGTTACCACGCTCGTTGCGCTGGCGAATATAAATATCCACCAAGGTCTTGAGAAGACCATATTTTGGTAACAAGAGCTTCCCGTCGCGCGAGCGAGTTCCCTCAATAAATACTTCGAAATGGATCTTGTTTGTGAGCACAAATTCGATGATATTAGCCAAGTTGCGTTCAGTGTACGCCTCATTACTGAACGAGCGCTTGATAAAAATGGCTCCCAAGCTTCTGAGAATGCCTCCCAAAACGGCAGCGTTCAAGTTTTCCCCGGCAATCACCGTGGGGATGGAGAATTGAAATCTGATGGAGATAAGATGGAGAATTATATAGTCAACGTGCGACTGGTGGTTGGGGAGATAAATAAGCGACATGGGGTCTTCCAAGTACTTTTTGAAAAGTGCTTCAAACTGGGACTTTTTCACCCATACTCCATTAGGAAACGCCTTGCGGAACACAGTGATAACAGTAATAAAACACATGTTGACGAAAAACGGACTGCGGAAATATGGCATGTTTTTCTTGTTCTGCTCCTGGTAATACTTGACCATAAAAGCCTTGACTTCCTTGAACCTTTTCGGAAATTCAGACCCACTAATAAGTTTGAGCGCAAGCTCCCGATCAACCAAATCGTACACCAATTCGTCCACTTTGTGGTCATCGTGTTCAAGCTGGCGGTTCATATAATTGACAAACCGCGAATTGAACTCGGGAGTATGCTTGTTGACTGAATACCGATACTCGTTTTTGTTGTAAATTTCGTCTGACCTGATCCCCCAAGCCCAATTGATGAAATTGGTCATAAGACCCATACTCCTGGTCAATTTCTGGTTGCCTTCAACATCAACGTAGGTTTCTTTATCCGTGGGAAGAGGAAAAGTAAAATCTATGGTTGGATGGGTAAGAGCATCGTCCAAGATATCGATGTCGAAATCTGAGTTTGCAATTGACATCGTTGGTTAATGAAGTGGAAATGGTGGAATTGCTAGAATTGATGGTGGAATTAATGCTGATGATCTGATTCCAGTATGTCCGCCTCTTGCGTCCACTGTAATCCGAATGGTGCAGTCTATATTCCCCTCAGAGGAGAAGTTCGCGCAACCCAACATTTTCATTTTTCACAGGGACTCCCGCGGCAACTTGGCCAGCGGCTACACTATAAAGTTGCATAGTGACTAATTGGTGGTTGCCGTTTTGGCGATGTTCAATGGAATGAAACATTTTGTAGTTGAATTGTAAATTTTGTTTTTTGTAGCGACTATATAGCCTTTTTCTACCCCACCGCAATCGCACCTTTTTTGGCTCCCTCTGCGCATCGCTAATGCAGTCGCAGATTTAACCTGGGGTAAAGATACTATGACCGATAAATGGCTGGGTGTTGGGATGTGTATTGTCGAGGTGTTGGGATGTTTTGCTGGTTGGTGTTTGGGTTTTTTGTTTTGTGGTGTTAGGATGTAGTTGAGCCCCGTTTGGTGTGGCGTCTCAAACGTGCATGATGTCGTATTAAGGCTTTGAATAAGTACCTCACTTACCACAAACAGCGAGGCTAGGAAAGGTAGCCTGCATCTCCGGATGGAGGCAATGCATTAAAGGAAATGCACCACAACCCCACACCGGCAATTTCGGCCGCCACTGCCACAGGTCGGATATGCCGGAGTTCCCACCGGAGATGCATATATCTCTCACCCTCGGATTTCCATTTTCGACAAGACAGCGCCAATCCCGAAAAGCCACACAGTCCCCAAGACCCAAATTTTTTCTTACCCTCGGAATTCATCAAAAATTCGCGGTTGATGACAGGCGTGCATCTGGCTCGACCGGTGCAAGAACAATAGCCATTGATCTGATCTAAGGTACGCAACCCCTTGGAGAGCAATGTACCGGTTCGTACCGGTTTAAGGATGTTGGGTTTGCAGTGCGGTCGCAACATTTTATTGTGCATGTAGAAGCGATATGCACGAAATAGGGGAATGGCACCCTCGGATCGGTTTGGCTGTATGCATAAAGATCTACTTTTTTTTTCCAAGTAATATATAACGTTCGGAGTATCCAAAATCGTGGCGAATTGTTCTTAATTTTTGATACTGTGATATTAATGCAAATTTATTGCTCATTAGAGCTGAATCAGAGCTATGCTTCTAGCCAATCGAACAAAACGAAAGGACTTGGATACTATGACCAAAAAATCTCCGGCATCCGACCCTCCGGCTCGATTTAACCTTACCGGTATTCTTCGCCGTTTCAACAAAAAGGACGAATCTTTGAGCGACCCATCAATATCCGGCTCAAATTTTGCAAATTCCCGTCCTAATGCACCTCGATTAACCGTCAACACAACTGAATCCCATTTGCAAATTCCAACCTTGACCTTTGTTGAATCGCACAATTCTTCCAGCACTTCCACCCCAAACCCTTCCGACGACCACACCTACTCGTCGTTTACCACGGAATGCATATCTCTTCCCAATAGCGAAATGACGTCACATGTAGAACTCGATGCCATTGATGAAGAAATGAGTCCCATTATGGATGTGCCTTCACGTCCACTTGCGCACAAACTACGCAGCCAGATGCAACGGCAATCACCCAAAGAGTCGGACGTTGAGTCGTTTGAAATGGACGAATCGCAAGATATTACCGCCTATCTCTCTGAAACCGAGTCTGATTTGGACTATAATCCTCAAATTGAAGAGTGTCCTAGTGAGTATGTCGAAGGCGGTTATCACCCCGTTAACAAGGGCGAAGTGTACTACTCGAGTCGGTTTCCCGGACGTGAATACATCGCGCTTCGCAAACTTGGTTGGGGTCACTTCTCTACTGTGTGGTTGGCCAAAGCCCGCTACAATCCGGCTGTGGATTCCAAAGACGAAAACGACTCGTATGTCGCCATCAAATTTGTCAAGTCAAGCCAAAATTATACTGAGGCGGCACAGGACGAAATCAAAATCTTACACACTTTGCAAAATCCACTCGAAGACGCCGATTATTTGCAAGAGCACCACCGGCGCTATTTCGACCGGTTTATCGATGATTCCGGCCGCCCAACGAAACACCCAGGCTTCCAGCGAATCATGACACTTTATGACGATTTCACGGTGCGTGGACCGCATGGTGATCACATATGCATGGTTTTCGAGGTTCTAGGTGAAAACATGTTGAGCATTGTGGGACGCTACAAACACCAGTCCAAATTGGCGAGAAATGACCACTCCAAGACAAACGACCATTCCAAGTTGAAGAGAAACGACACAGAATTGTCTTTCAGCAAAAGCGAGACACGCAAGAAAAATACGAGATCGCTTTTGAGCTTGGGTATTCTCAAAAAGCAAGATGGAGAATTCAGTTCTGAGCAGCTGTCGACATCACTCAAACTCAATCAAATAAGCCAATTGTCCCACGGTGGCATTCCGTTTCCTCTTGTGCGTCTGATAGTGAGACAATTACTTTCGGCGCTCGAGTATATCCATCATTGTGGTATAGTTCACACCGATTTAAAGCCCGAGAATATCTTGATGGAAATCCAAGATGTGAGCCATTTGATCCGCGGCATCGAGGAGCAGAAAGTGGCTCGGTTTTTGCATCACCATGGCTCAATAGCGGAGTCTTTTGCCTCGGGAAAGCAAAGCAAAAACCAAACAAGACCGTCGTATCTTTGGTCTAAGACCAGCGGATCGACTTCAGGTTCCGACTCTGTTGGTTCGGCGTGCTCAGTGTCGTCCTCATCCAGATTCGGAACCACCATTTCAACCTACACACCGTCTCGAAACTCGGTTCCAGGAAAATACGAGTCGCCGGTGCGGTGTTCCAAACCGCTTTCGCAGCTTTCAGAAACCCCAGCTTTCAAAGACGTTTCGTATTCGGCGCCCGGAAGGCACCTGTCGCTTCCTCGCGCCAGCCCCAAGACGAAGCAATTGCCCGTTGTCGACGAAATCAAGGTGAAAATTGCAGATATGGGAAATGCAACTTTTTCTCATTCTCACTTTACCGACCTGATTCAAACCCGCCAATACAGATCTCCAGAAATCATTCTTCGCCATAAGACTTGGGGCGCCAGCACCGATATCTGGTCGGTGGGCTGCATAATGTTCGAGCTTCTTACCGGAGACTACTTGTTCGATCCTCATAATGGCGACAAGTTCGACAAAGACGACGACCATTTGGCTCAGATCATAGAGCTTCTAGGCGAGATGCCCAGTGAAGGGTACCTCATGAACTGCAAAGCTGCGTCCAAATATTTCAGAGTGGGCGACAACGACGAGGTGCGCTTGAGGCGTATTTCCCCATTGAAATTTTGGGGGCTCGAAGATGTGCTTGTGGAAAAGTACAAATTCGATCGTAACGACATCAATGTTAAACTTGTATCGGATCTTATTCTCAAGTGTCTTCGGTTCAATTTGGACGAGCGTTTTGATGCAAAATCCTTGCTTTCTCATCCATGGCTCAACGACGATCTTGACTGGTCTTCGTTGGATATGGAGAGACTACAGCGTGCTCGTCCTAGTCACGTCAGTGACGTTCCAGGGTTTACTCTGGAAGAGTAGCATTTCATTTCTTTGTGTAAATTATATGTACGATTATTGGAGAGCTGAAGAGAAGTAGCTGAGGAGTGGGATACAACCCACCCAATGGTCCACCACTTGAATATCAGTTTACAAAGTCAAATTGTTTTCTTTAAAGAAGACTATTTGGTCCTTCGTCTGACTTGAAGTCTGACTAGTCTTGAGTCCAACTTAAGTCTGACTAGTCTGACTAGTCTAACTTGAGTCAACTTTATAATCTTCCTTTTCAGTATTTTTCAGATTTTTCAGTATTCTCTTCCTGCTCACTTGTATACATGAGTCTTCAAATTAGTAGGCGGTTTTTCATCTGAAGAGTCGAAATCCAATGCTGGATTATAGGCAAAGCTTCGTCGTCTTTTTGAAGTACTGGAAAGCTGTTTGTACTGATCTCTGCTCTTTGGCTCTTGTAAGAAAGTGATTTCTTTCTGACTCCGTATATCTTTGTTTTTTGATAACTCAGATGGCTCTGCTAGCGGTTCAGCATCATTGATTTTTGTTGTTTCTCTATCATTATACTTCTCTTCTTTCGTTTTGTCATTTTCATTCTTGTCTTTGTCGTCGTTCTCATTAACTTTTTCAGCATTCTTGTCCTCATTCTGTGTCTTTTCACCATTCTTTACTTCACGGTTTTGTTCATTTCTCTTTTCTTCACTCTTCAGTTCACCTTCTTCCTTCTTTACTTCACTCTTTTGTCCACTTTTTTCTTCACTTTTTTTCCTCTCCCCCAACAATTCGTACGCCAGTTTCATCTTCACCCTCTTCACCTCGATGTCTGGTTGCTCGTCATAGTCCAACGCAACCCTCCGCTTTGTCTTTTTAGCAGTTTGTTGAAAATTTTCAGACCGAACCAGACTTGGTTCTATGACTTGAACTTTAGTTTCATCTCCATCAATGCTTATAGGCGTAGCACTAACAGGATAAACAAGCTTTCCTTCTTCATTTTCGCCCTCTGTTATCTTGAGAACAGTAAAAAATGTGTCTGTGGTGACCTTTCCTATCACAGTATATTTTTTGTGAAAAGTAGGAAATTCTTTCATCGTTATGAAGATCCCATCAGCACTGAACTTCCCACTCTTTTCGTCCTTGAGTGCTCCTACGTACCCTCTCTGGCTAAAATTGATCCTTGGGTGACTCTCAAGGTCCATATCGTACTCAATTGTACTGGCTTGAGCCTCAATGACATTATCGTGGACAGCCTTGGAAAACGTTAAACCACCTGAAAATCCCGTGGAGCATTTTTCAACGAATTTTCGAGCACATACTATCTCCTTCGTCCACAATTGCAACTCAAGTGGCCCTTTGGACGTCTTGAAAACCACCGTGGTTGCGGGCTGTGGCTCTAGCATAAATAGTTGCAAGTTATGGTGATCGTAGGTGTTGAGATGCGAGATATGTCCTGCAGAATGGCACTGGCCCATTCATTACGAAGAAATGACTATTAAAAAGTATTGAAGTACATTTGACCAATCATAAGCCCACCAAACTTAATCCAACCAATAATCATCAGCCACCCTTCAATCTCCAGCAAAAATACCTTAGTTTCTTTCATCCATCTTCATCTCTCTTTTTCCACCCAGACACCAGTCCCATGATTCAACCGCGAATCCAACAGCACAACAAGTCTCCAATGTCATCCCTCAGATCGTTCATTAAATCGGTCCGCAAGGCCAAGACAATTGCCGACGAGCGTCTGGCGGTTCGGAAGGAGCTGGCGGCCATCAGAACCGCCTTTAGAGATGCCCAGCTCGATAACAATAGTCGTCGAATCAACATTTCAAAACTCGTGTATCTCTATATTATCGGTGAAAAAACCCATTTTGGTCAAGTTGAGTGTCTCAAGTTGCTTGCGTCGCCCAGATTTGCTGATAAGAGACTTGGTTATTTGGCCACTCTGTTGCTTTTAGACGAAAATCATGAGGTCTTGACTCTCTTGACCAACCTGTTGGACAACGATATGCAGCATCCCAATGCGTTTATCGTGGCACTAGCACTCTGCTGTTTGGGCAACGTTGCCCTGCCGGAACTTTCCCGCGATCTATACACAAATGTGGACAAAATTATAGGCTCCAGTAATGCGTATCTTCGCAAAAAGGCCCTTTTTGTGGCAGCAAAACTCGTCCATAAAGATCCAGATCTTGCCGAGGTCTTCGCACCTCGACTCCAACACTTGGTCGCAGACAAGCTGGCGGGACCGCTTCTTGGAGCCCTCAGATTGGTGCAATCAGTGTACGAGTACAGTCCGGCCCACCGCCCAGAATTAGTAGCATTGATACCAGCCGTGGTGTCACACCTTAAAAGGGTAGCCGCCAGTGGCTACATGCCTGATTATGACGTCCATGGCATTGTGGATCCATTTTTACAGGTTCTGTTGTTGTCAACTATACGTATTCTAGCCCAGGACGACCCTCACCAATACCTCGAACAGATCAACGATATTCTCACCCAGGTAGCATCCAATGACCCAGGAAAGAATTCTGCTCATGCAGTGCTTTACGAATGTGTAAAGACCATCTTTGCCATTCCATCAGATCAATCACTCCGAATTCTTGCCGTGAACCTTCTTGGTAAATTTTTGTCCTCCAAAGATAACAATACTCGCTACGTGGCTCTCGATACATTGCTTACAGTGGTACCTCACGAACCAGTTGCCGTCCAGCGTCACCGTCAGACAATCGTTGCCTGCTTAAATGACGGCGATATCTCCATTCGTAGAAGAGCTCTCGAACTCAGTTTTGCAATTCTCAACGAAAATAATATTCGGGTGCTTGTCCGCGAGATTCTTTCCTACCTTGAATCGTCGCCTGATTCCGATCTCAAACCGTTTGTGACGGCTCAATTGACGGTTGCGGCTGCGAGGTACGCACCCAATGAAAAATGGCATTTTGATACTATGATTCGAATGCTTAAAACCGCAGGGAACTACGTGACTGCAGACATCATCTCCAACATCTTGGCCCTCATCATTCAGTGCAAGGACACTGATCTCAAAAAGCATATTGTTGGACGGTTGTTATCTCTTTGTTTGGAGGACGACACTCAATTTGGTTTGGCAATGGTATGCGTTTGGGTGATTGGAGAAGACTCGGATTTGATATTAGGTGGTCCCATTGATAACAGTGGTACGGAAAGTGAACCTAACTCAAGAGGTTCGCTTATTCCAGTTACGGAGGAGCTCATTCTCTCTCTTCTTGAACGTCTCGTCAATAACACCACCTATTCTGATTCAGAAACAGTTCATCTCGTGTCTTACGTGCTCACGGCGGCTATCAAACTTTCGGTCAAATTCACTGAGCCATCATCAATTGAAAAGCTCCGTCTAATTATAAACGAACGTACTCACGACAACAACCTCGAAATCCAGGTGCGGGCGGTAGAATATCAAGAGATATTTGCACTCGAACCCAGTTTGAAGAAAGGACTCTTGTCGAAAATGCCTCCTCCGCCTGTAAAGCAAAGGGAAGCTTTGAGCTTGAAGGGTACAAAGAAGAGCGATGACACCAAGACGGTTTCTTCTGGTTCGCTCAACACTACTGAAGATTTGCTTTTGGACTTGATGGACGAGCCAAAGGCTGAGAGAAACAACGATCTTCTTAGTTCCATATTCAACAAGCCAGAGAACGGGTCGAAAACGAGCCACTCAGCAAACAATGCAGCGAACTCCGCAAGCAAATCAGCAAACATACTCGATTTGTTCGAAACAAAAGCGCCTGCACCATCTTCTGTTTCAGTACCTTCCGTTCCTCCTGCATTTTCCAACTCATCCATTGCCGTGGCATTTATTCCTCAAGTTACATCACCTGGAAATGCTTCGATTGAGGCATTGGTAACAAGCAATACCGCCTCGCCCATCACTCAATTTCAATTGATGGTTGCGGTGCCCAAGAGTCAAAAGTTGACGATTTCATCGACGTCTGGTGATACGCTCACTTCTGAAAATCCCATTGTTCAACATCTCAAGGTTTCTGGTAAGGAAGGTGCCAAGGTGAAGTTTCGGGTCAAAGCAAAATACAACGTGGGCGGCAGTTTTCAGGAAGAAATGTTTGACGTTGCCGGCATAACGACGTTGTAAACTACGAGAAACTACAGACTAAAGTTATGGACACACATACATTCAACTTAGTGGACACTCACAGAAGACGAAACAGCTTCGGCGGCATCATCAACATCCTTGGAGAATGACTTGCCGACAACGTACTTTTGCGAGAATGGCTTGATAACCGCCTGGTAGATTGTGGCAGCACCACCAAAGGAGGGAATACCAATGTAAAGCAAGAAGATGGTCTTGAATAAATAGTAGAAGGGGATCCAGTACAAGATGGCCTTGGACCAGAATTCAACCACATTCAATCCGGCGAAAACCACCCAGTAGGTCAACAATTGGGTGTCATCTTTACTAGTGGAGGTCTCCAACGCGAGCAACGAATAGTATCCTGGAATTACAAATCCAGCGATGTTGGATAAGAGTTGTCCAATTCCCCCGACATTGAGGAAGATAAGAACAAAGTAAACTCCAACCGCTCCTAAAACGGCATATGATCTTGGGAGACCGGTCTGAGCTTCAAAGTGACCCAAAATGGCCTGGTTGGCGAATTTCTGGAGTTAGATTTGGTTTCTACAAGGTCGATTGATCATACTTACGTTGTCAATTTGCGACAAATAGTTCTTGGCTACGTTCTGGTAGGCAGACATGGTGATGGATGGACGGGAGACTAAATTGTGGTTGACGTTGCTTTTATAGCGCGATGCAGGACCTCACGTGACGAGGTATTGTTACATCATATCTAAATTAGAACCGTACTCTTTACAAAATTGGAATTAAAATTGGGATTCTATTTCTTGGACCTTTTCGACTTGGCGGTGCCTTCAAACCCAGCCCGTTTATTCTTGTGTACGGTTCCCGTGAATTTTTTCAACTTGACTGCTTTCTTTGCCTTTTTTCCCTTATTTTCTCGTCTAGCCTTCAAGTTTTCTTCTCTTCTTTTCTGCTTGGCGGCAATGGTATCCTTAACCACCTGCTTGCGTTCTTTCCACTCGATTTCGCTTTTGAGTTTTTGCTTTTCTTTACGTTTCAATGCTTTTTTCAACAATTTTTCATCATCTTTCACCTTGACACCCTCGGCATGCGACATCATCCGCTGCCATTGTTCTTTTTCCTTATACTTTGCCTGCTCTTCGGGAGACATTTGTGCTAGTTTCTGCTTTTTGTGCTCTAGTTTATCAAGATGGGCTTTTATATCTTTATTTGCAGGTCCTTTACCGCTCTTTTTCTGGGAAGTCAGTCTCAATCTGGTCAAGTCAGAAGTCACTCTCAGGCCATCATTGAAGACAATATTCCCAAAAAGAACATTGGAGTCGTCTTGTGGTGATTCAGTGTCTGCTTCTGGGTCACTTTCAGAACCAGAATCCGAATCTGAGTCGGATTCCGATTCCGGTTCGGGTTCAGCTTCTCTCTTTCGTTTGCGAAGTTCCTGCTTTCTTTTGCGTTCTTCGAGAATTTGTTCTCTCGACTTGGGCGCTCCTGGGGCTTGTGAACCTGGAGCTTTCCGCTGGGCTCGAGAAGTCTCGATCTTGGATGCAAGTTTTGCTCTGAGTTGTTTGAGCTTTTCTTCCTTTTGTTTCTTTTCCTCCTCCGTGAGTTCCTTTTTATTCTTTTTCGTAGCTTTTGGTGGAACAGGAGGCGTGCTGTCGGCTTCGTTGCCATCGTCGTCAAACACCATCTGCAGTTCCGTCGGTATAAGCTGTTCTGAGTCGCTCATAGCAGATTCTTCATTGCCGATTTCTTCAACTTCTTCTTCAACCTGGTCTTTCTTTGTTGGAAGGTTTATCTCTTTGGCATTTCTTTCTCTATTTTTCATCACATCTTGGGCACTAGCGGCACCATTCGCGTAGTCATCAGCTTCTAAATTAGCATTGGGATCGAGTTTCGCTCTCTTGTTACGTTGCAATTCGTCTTTGGACTTCTTTTTCTGTTGCCATTGGTCTTGGGTGGCATCATCGTAGTAATATTTGGCTGGTATCAATGATAAAAGGCCATCAAAAGCCGCGGAATGGGTTTTGAGTCGTTCCTGGGTTAGTTGATGAATGACTAAAAACACAAAAGAATGAAACGAAAATCCAATTTTATGGTTTCTGTGGCTGTCTGGAGTCGATAGAGCGTCGCTGGTGTTTTCAGGAGTCCTGGAAAGCCATACTTACTTCTAAAGAATTACTCATGATAAAGCAGAAATAATGATGGACCTGAAAAAGTCATCGCGGCCAGATGCAGGAGCGATGGGTGCAAGCCGGAGCAGCAAGAAGAACAAAAAAGGGGTTGCTTAAGCAAGAGAGAAAAATCTAGGAGTCAGTGTTTTTAAAACTGGAACCTTGAACTAAATTCTTATAGATGAAAGAAGAAATTCTACCTGTTTTTCGTCAATTTCTCACCAATAACTCATATATTTCTCACCAATTTTTGCATTTTTTTCACCAAAAATCACCTTCAGCAACTTTCCTCCTACCACCATACCCAATTGCACTCCATAACCCCAATTACCACGCCACATCTTCCACATCACCTACCTCTATCGTCTTGCTCCTCGCTATATTCACACCCGTACACCAGTGCTACCCCCACGTCGCGGCCTCCTCGACGATAAGCCAGAGCCTTTAATATCCAATGGACCCCATAGCTAAGTACTTGGTTCTATCATTGCCAACGTCGGCAAATGCCCATGAGTGGCTCGAGAAGTCATTAAATGGCGGCAATTGTCCTGTAGCAAACTTTAATGTGCCAGATTTTCAGGTGGGCACATTGGACTCGTTGGTTCAGGAGAGTGAAGATCTCTCTAAGTTGGACCAGCAGCTTGCCGGTTCGATTTCCAAGGTGGTGGATATCTTGAGTGCCGTTTCGGAGCCGGGAGCAGCAAGATTTGTCAATGGAACTCCGGTTTTGCGTTATGTTGAATCGTTTTCTTGGAATACCTCCAAATATCGGGTAGATAAATCCATTGGAGATTTGATAAAACTCATAAGCAACGAAGCTATTTCCTTGGATGGTGACGTGCGGTCAACTTACCAGCAATATCAGACGGCAAAATCCAATTTTCTCGCGGCTGATCGTAAGAGAAATGGAGATTTGTCCATCAAATCATTGCACGAAATTGTTCGTCCCGAGCAATTTGTAACCGATTCCGAACACTTGACCACCATATTAGTGGCAGTACCCAAAAGCCAAAAGCTGGACTTTGAACTGTCATACGAAACTTTGGTCCAGTTCGTCATTCCTCGTTCAGCAGAAGTTATAGCTCAGGACCTGGAATTCAACTTGTACACCGTCACCCTCTTCAAAAAGTATGCCAATGAATTCGTTACCAAGTGCAGAGAAAAGAAATGGAGTCCTCGTACCGATTTTGAGTATTCCGAAGATAAACTTAATGATATGCGTAAAGAGTTTGATTTGACAAGAGCAACAGAACTGAGGTCCAAAAATGATTTACTCCGGTTGGTGAAAACGGCATACTCCGATATCTTTGCCGCTTGGTTCCACATTAAGGCCATTCGTGTCTACGTCGAGTCGGTCCTTCGCTATGGACTTCCACCTCAATTCGACTGTACATTGGTCAAATTCGAGCGTTCCAACTTGAAAAACATTTCCAAAGCTCGGAAGGAGTTGGTGGCCAAGTTTGGGTATCTTGGAGGTGATGGGTTCTCAGGAAAGAGTAATTTGAACGAGTATGCATCATTGGTGGACACCGAGTACGAACCGTTCGTTATGTACGAAGTAGAGATAATTTAGGTAGAGAAGTCACATAAGTCGATCAGGGAGACAGAAGTCGCAGTAGCTTACTTGTTTCAGTTGCTTCATAATAGTTTCCATTGATTCATATTACTTTCAGTGGTCTCTTCTTCGGCTTCAAAAAAAAAAGCTCGCGCTCAGGTTCGAACTAAGGACCAACAGATTTGCAATCTGCTGCGCTACCACTGCGCCACACGAGCATATACAGGGTATTTAGTCTCCAGTCCCTTTATCACGCTCGCTTTCATTTTCTGATTTCATTCTCACTTTTGGTCTTTATCTTACTACCATCATGTCTGATTCCGAAGAATATTCTTCAGAGGAATCCTATGAATTTGAGTTCGAGGATGAGAATGAAGAAATGACCGAGGAACAGGTTCCTGATTCCGACTTGGAAAACAAATATTATTACGCCAAGGGTCTTAAAGACGACTCCACGTCGACTGCAATAAAAGAGTTTGAAGCTATTGTAAACTATGAAGCTACGTCGCAGGAAGATCTCACTTGGTGTTTCCGAGCGTGCAAGCAATTGATAAAATTATACTATAAAAATGGCCTGTTGGATAAGGTACTTCTGTGGGTACAACGTCTTACAAACTTGGCTCCTAAGGTTGGTTCTGCTTATGTTGAGGAGTCAATTGGACGACTTTTGAACCACTACAGTGTCTCGCTGGACGGTGAGTTTGTCAAGAAATTGTACGATATAATTTTGACTTACATTTACAATGAAGACTCGCCTGGCGCATCGCGAATATGGCTCAAGATCCACATAAGTAAAGCTGCTTTGCTCCTTGAAGAACGCCAATTAGGCGCTGCCTACGAATTGATAAAAGAAATCAAACTGCAGCTCGAAGAATCTTCGGAAAATGTGCAAAATGCTTTCAGCATCGAGTGCTTGGCACTTGAAATCGAGTACTACTCGCTGCTTCTGGTTCTTGAAAACCTTTCCATTCTTCAAGATTTGTACCGCGATAGCTTGAATGCATCCACTGCCCTTACACACCCTCGGATAATTGGGATAATAAGAGAATGTGGAGGTAAAGTATACTTTTATCTTCGCAACTTTGAAAAGGCTCGATTAGAATTCTACGATTCTTTCAAGAGCTACGACGAAGCAGGGTCCATCCATAAGAAAAGACTACTCAAGTACTTGACTTTGTGTTCTTTGATAGCAGAAAATGAGGTTAATCCTTTTGAGTCACAAGAGACTCAGTCGTATGCGCAATTGCCAGATTATTCAGATTTGATCTTCATGATCAAACAGTACGACGAACTCAATCTTGACGGCTTTGATCGAGCTGTAGCAAAGATTGAAAAGGATGATGAATTTCTCGGGAATGATGATATTTTCCATCGGGCTACGCAACTGATCAAGCACAACTTAAGGTCGAAAATTCTCATCAACCTTCTCAAATCGTACAAATCTATCCGGTTCCAATACATTTTGGACATGCTACACATATCGCAGGACGAACTAGAGCATTTGGTGATCCATCTAAGCAATCAAGGCAGAGTATCAGGTATAAGTATGGACTATTTCGACAAAATTATCGAGGTGGAAAATACCGCAACTGCTCCCTTTCCTTCTCAGGTACATCATTCAGATATTTTGAATAATATCAATGCACTTGGAGCTCTCAATTTTGGTTCTAGTGGGGTCTGAAGCCAGAAATGTTGATGAAGAAGGACGCCATGTTTTTTGCGAAAGAATTACTATTAGGTCCACTGCTACTTCCACGTACTATGGAGCTTCCCACGTCACAGAATGGCTACAATGTCTAATCAGCGCCATTCCTGGCCGAGCCAAAGCTTTAATGTCTCAGAAAGACCAAATATACTTCGAGCAGCGAGCCGAAACTGCACCAGATAATGTGAAAATAGATACGGAAGAGAAAGACAAAGAGGCTACCGAGACTGAAATGACCACCACCAGAGTATCACTCCTAGATTGGTGCAGAGAGATCAGAACATGGCAAAAAAAAGTGTCTGCACATTAGCTGCGTACATTGCATCCCGCTGCTACTTTTCGCTTTCGCAGTGAAATTTCTCATTACTTTCTTTTCATTTAAATGTAAGTGCGATGAAGAAAACAATGATTAAATATAAATGCGTTATCGTCATGATCTGGCCCATTCCAATGTCTTCGGGTCTTATATGAAATCAACTAACACCTATATGACGTTTTCACATCTCCATTTATAACATAAACTAACATCCAGGTATTATTAGTGCTCAATTGACACTATGTAGCGTATGAGCGTATTTGTAGGAATTTGTCGGCCTGAAGTCTTGTTCGTCATTGCATTGAATCTCTGGTTGGTTAATCTCTGGTTGGTTTTGTTGAGCAAAACGCAAAAAAAAAAATGAAAAAGAAAATGCGCAAACCCGGAATCGAACCGGGGGCCCATCGATGGCAACGATGGATTTTACCACTAAACCATTTGCGCGTTCCTTACTTAAAAACGCCCGGCAGGAGGGAAAACCTTGAAGAGGCCAGGAACACTTTATTCCATGACACCTGCTTTCAATGTGAGTATACGCCGTGCCATTAACACAGCTTTACCATCACACAATCACAGACAACCTCGTCGATTCTCATTTTCAATTGTAAATGGCCACAAAAAATTTAAAAAAAAAGAAATGATCACGCCCAGGATCGAACTGGGGACGTTCTGCGTGTTAAGCAGATGCCATAACCAACTAGACCACGCGACCTTTTCTTGATATAAATTCTCCAGCCGTCTTTGAGTCCTGCCACACTTTACCTTTGGGTGCAAATAGCATAACCTCCACTTTTAGTTGCAAAATAGTCTGACACAAATTCAATTTTTCATAATGCTCCGTAAACTCTGGGATGGGTCCTGGAAACCTCCTTCGAGTTCAAATGCCACTTTGTCATTTCATAGAAAGCGTCTAAGTAATGATACTTCCGATACCGATCTGAACGAAAACAGCAGTCAAAGTTACTCCAGCAAAAATATACCCAATATCAACAGAAGAGACAGCTTAGTGTCGCCTTTTCGATTTTCTGCATCCTCGGAATGCTTGAGTCCTGAATATACGGAAGATAGCATCAATCCGTTTGAAACTCAACCTTTGAAGAAAAGTAGAAGCTTTTCAGGAAGAGCCAATTCTCGTTCTCCTTTGTCTTGGAGGAAGAAGACCAAGTCAGTAAGGTTCGAAATTGATGACAAGGATGAGCCACCAGTGTTGCAATGTTCTTCTTTTGTGGAGGATACCGACTCACTGTCTACGGAAAAACTCGAAATTTTAACTCCTTTGGAATCCGATTCAAATTATTCAGCTGGTTCTTTTGAAAAGAATCTGCTGTCTGATCGTGTTCATTATAAATCAATGAAGGAATATCGTCGGTATGAAAATGAGGCACAAAAGGTCTACTCAAATATTCTCAAAGATGAGCTGATCGAGAATTCTGATGTAACTTTCCAGCAACAGCTGCTCCCCTATGACTCTCTTAATGGTATTTATAGATTGTTGAATCTTGAAAACCAGCAAGAGTCGTCTTTTGATTGCATACCATCCATCGAAAAGAAATTGAGAGAGCTTTCGACAGTTGCAAATGAAATAATCAAAATTGAGGCTTTGGGAGTTTGCACTACTCAAAATCAGAGTACTGAGACTGCTCTAGGTACCAGTCTTGACTTAGAGAGCCAAATCAAACAGATCAAAAGTTTCGTCACCACCTTGAATGCTGAGGTAATTCGGGTTCAAGAAGAGAAAAAATCAATAGCTAAAAAGCTTGCAGATAAGACTAGTTCTACACCTAGCGAAAGTAGAACCAACTCAAATCTTTCATGTCTTTTGGATGGGGTTTTGGCTGAAAATACTCGACTTAAAGCTGAGGCTGAAATTTTGGCTGCGAAAAATTGCAGCATTTTACAAGAAAATGAAGATTTGCAAAAACTGTCAAAATTGCTACTTGATGAAAAAACGAAATTACAACTTGATCAGAATCAAAAGTTGACAAAGAAGATTGAAGACAGCGAAAATTTGATAATAATGCAGAATACTACTATTACAGAGTTGAAAACACAAATTGAAAATATAACCTTTGAAAATGATGAAAAAATTGTGCAACTAGAAGAACAAATTACTGAAAAGGATCAAGAGCTTTTACAATTGAGAGACAAGAGCCTGGTTTACATCCGTGAGATCATGGAGCTAGAAAAGGATATTACGATGGAGCTAGATGATATTTCATTACGAGAAGCTGCTACTGCCGAAGCTATCAAAGACAGAACTCTTCTGCTCGAGCTTCAATTGCAGGATACACAGGCACGTTGTCAGGGTCTTGAATGTGCTGGTGTACAACTCAACAACAAGATCCATAAGCTCAATGCATTCAATAGCCATGCTTCAATTGTCCTCCATGCTTTGCATAATTATATAAAAAAGCTTCAGCATCTGCACCACAAAAAACTCAAGGAGGTGGAGGATACTCGCGACGCATTCAGTCAAGCAACTGTGATTTTCATCAAAGATATAATTTCAGCATTATATCCCGTGCTCAGTGAAGAAGCTCAACTGTACTTTAATCTGAGCAAATTTTTACCATCGGCCGTCATTGCTAGGCAAGCGTTCAAGCCCATAGTGGACAGCATTCACCAATTGGTAGAGGCTAATGCCTATTTGAGAAATTTGGACGACAGACGAGCTTCGCTCACCGATTCCAATTGCGACGCTATGCTCCAGCAAGTTACTAGGATTGTCAATTTCATGACAGAAAAGTCCTATGATGTATAACTGGTGGCCACAAACTTGGAATCTGTCAATAAACTGGTAAGAATACCTGGAAAGACTTCGACTTGATATGGCTCGAATGGAAAGCTCTCACCATCGACAGAAATGTAATGGCCCTTGCTATTGATTTTCGGTATGAGTCGGTATCCCCGAATCTTGGCGTGGAATACCTTGCTATTATGCACATGAGTTCCTTTTTCGACCGCTAGTATGGCGGAAAACGTATCTATGATGGATGATTTGGAGGTGGTCATGATGAGATCCATGAGGTGATCATTGGGAAGAGCGGCAGGGAAGAATTGCGCTCCCTTGGAAACATACGGGAGATTTCCAACATAGACTTGGTTCAAGGTGGATGCAACTTGGTCGTCGACTTTGACCCATTCGGTGGGAGGTGGTGAGTCTAAACCAGGATACTTCAAGTTCAAAGCCAGCGACAGGATTTCTGAGATTGGAGCCACAACTCCCACATGGTCATCGTAGTGCTCACGTAGTTGCTGCTTGGTATCTGTAGCATAGTCAATCCAGAGCTCACAAGGATAAGTGGTCCTCAGAAGCACCTTTTGTAGTACCCCAAGTTCGAACCGAATAGAGCCAATCCACCGCAAGTGCTCCGTACCTATATCTGCATCAGCAATCATTCCATAGCATTGTGACAAGAACGAAAGCCTTGTAGTGGCATTTTCGCCTGTACCTTGTGTAACAGCCATCAAGTCGAGTTTCGTACGCTGCGACTTTAGCATGGCAACAGTAGCATCAAAAGCATTGTCCGTCCCATGTGTGCTAAGACTCAAGGCATTACCAGACCCACAAGGAAGCTGGGTAACTGCCAACTTGTTAAATGCAGAAACTCCTTTGTCGGGCCGAGAATAAAACCCATTGATTACCTCAAACGGTATACCATCTCCCGAGCAACACACAATAATATCGTACTTACTAACATCAAGTTCTCGCATCAAGTCGGTGGCATGGCCCAGGTAGGTGGTTTCTACAAAAGTTATGTCTGCATTTGCAGCCTTTAAAACCTTTTCAATATGCTTGTCGTAAATGGATCTTGCCAGACCCGTACCACCATGAGGATTGAGAAGCACGTATATGGAAGGTTTCATGAGGCCATTAGTGTATGCATGAGACAAAATATACGACGAAATGTCATTATCGTGATCGCTAAAATCGGCAATATCTACATGAACTTGCATCTGAACAATTGTATGTTGGTGTACAAAAGTCAAGTTGACGCAATTTGACGCCACCTCCGGTTCATGCTCACACCACAAAACATCTACGTATCGTATTTTTTGCGGAATCTTGTCACTTTTTCCTCCATAAGGCCGACAGTATGAAAAGATCAGTTTGTCGAAATCTGGCTCATTATTGTACAGCAAAGCCGCATGGTCTTGCATGATGGCCAAGCCATCCAGAACAATCCGCACCGACACAGCGGGGCTCGGCTCGTATAACAAGTGTTCTTGTGACATGCTCAGGTACATGGCGGTACACGGGCCAAAAATAGTTCCGATAACTAGACGCGAGACGGACGGCAGATAATGGACTGCATCGCCTCGAGCACGTGACCCTGAAATTGCGGCAGTATAACGTCACACGATAAGCAACCTAATTTATCTGGGCGAAGCCACTTATAAAGCTGCAAAAAAAACCCAATAAAAACTCGAAAATGGGAATTGAACAACAGATTGCTGGAAAACTTTTTGGAGCAGTGAAGAATAAGGTTAAGGACATGAAACATGACCATGATACCAACTCTCATGCCAACTATTCTCGTGATGTTAAGCATGGAAATGTAGAGGACCATAATGAAGAATTACCACCTCTTGAGGTACAAGTGTACTGTCACAATATCAGACAAGAGAATAATAATATGATGGACGGTGAAACTCCTTGGTCGCAACGGAAAGCTGGAGTGATTCAGTCCATTGTGGAGAACTCTTCAAACTTGCCAACTTTGGTAGGACTCCAAGAAGTGAAGCAAAACATGCTCAATGATGTTATGGATGGGCTTGGGAAACATTGGACCCATTTTGGAGTTGGTAGACTGGACGGGAAATCAAAGGGTGAATTTGCACCCATTATTTATCAGCCTGAAATTTGGAACCTTAAGCAAGGTAAAACTTATTGGCTTGGACAAACTCCCGATAGACCCAGTAAAGGATGGGACGCTGCGTTGGAAAGAATTGTCACTGTGTGTATTTTTGAACACAGACAACTGGGAAAAGTGGTTACTTTTCTCAACACCCATTATGACCATAAGGGGAAATTGGCTCGTGAGAACTCGTCGAAACAAATTATCGACATAATGAAGTCCTATCCTGGTGCTAGTATTCTTGTGGGTGATTTCAATAGTCAGCCTCATCAAGAAGCTTACAAAACTTTGTCGACTCAACTCAAAGATACCAGTTGCAATTGTCAGCAAAGACGGGGCCCAGAACATACAATCACTGGATTCAAGAGAGGTGAACAAGAAACCAGCATTGATTTCATTTGGACCACTCCTGGTATTAACATCCTCCATCACGAGGTGAAGAACCACGAATTCAATGGCCATTATTGTAGTGACCATCGTCCTGTTACAGCGGTGGTACAGATCTGATAACCTTTTATAATCGATTATAGTGAATTCTTATATAAAGCCTTTACTCGTCGTCTTCCAAATCTTCTCCGCTCAACGTAAATGGCTCAGGAACAGGCGCCTCCGTAATATTCAACTGCCTGACCGTTTTGATCGCCTCAAATTTCTCTCCCGCCTTGGTATCCCGCAACACAATCACCCCAGCATTTCCTCGGTATTTGCGGACGGGAACAAACCTATCATCCTTCACAAAAGAAATGTAATTGGATTGAGCCGGCAATACCCTGCTCATATTCTCAATCTTGAAAGGTGTCTTGAGGTATCTAATTGGTTGTGGCTCGTTGCCGATTTCCTTTTCTTCTCCCTTCTTATCTTCATCTTTATCACCACTCGTTTCCTTTTCCTCATTCTTTAAAACATCCACTTCCATCTTGTCGTCTTCCGTGTCCTCGTGCTTCTTGTTCTTCCGAGCTCTGGCTTTAGCCTTCGCAGTTGTACTTAACACCGCGGTTGCAACCTTATCTGGTTGTTTCTCCTTGCTCTCTTCAACCTTGGGTGGGTATTGGAAGAGTTCAGGACGAGAGTGGCAGTTTAACTCAAACTTGGGCACCTTCAAGTCCTCCACGACTCCAATGATAGATGTAGGAGAAAATGACAAGGAAAGAAAATGCACGAATGGGAACCAGTACCACGACTGAGCAAATACAGTAAGACCAACGATAGCACTGGTGTTGAGGGTGTTGGCATGCGAGTTCTCCAAATTTATCGTCACATTACGACCTCCGGCATCGATAATACCCTGCGATAACGTTGCACCAAATTTGGCCAAGGCGTCTTCGTGCTTGTTTCTGACAGTATCAGCATAAAGCTGAGTGAACTCTTTCACCTTAGGATACAAGTTTTCGTTTTGCTGGATCAAGATCATGGATGTGGCCATTAAAGCTCCTTGCCGGACAAAATCCACAGAGTCCTTTGTGAGTGGCTCCAAGATATCAATAGCAGCAGGCAAGCTTCTTCCAGCGCACGAAATACCCAACGCCATAGCGGCACCGTAACGGACATGAGGGTTGTGGGATTGTGACAACAACTCAACAATTTGAGGTGTCGCAGTATAGTCACGAATCAATAAGAAACCAAGGCCCATAACTGACGCTCTTCTCACATCATCTGAAGGATCCGAAACAGCATAATGAAGCAACTTCTTGATGGCATCATTGTTGCCAGTTCCAGCATATGCTAATGAGATGGTGAAAGCACCTCCATATCTAAGGATGGGGTTCTCTTGTGCCATCAACTCATCGACTATGGTTAAAGCCTTCAGTTCCTGCTGGTAGAACAAGAGGGCAATTCCAATTGCCAAACCTCTGATGATGTTTTCGTGTTGTGTTTCTTGAGCGTAGGTCAACATATCACGAGCGATCGTTTGGTCTCCTGAGCCCAACATGACTAAACCCATGGCTAACCCAGCCGCTTGTCCTGAAATAGCCGAGTCTGAATACAATACCACCTTCAAAGCCTTCCAAGAGGTTTTCGTTTCTGCAACCCATGCCAGCCACACCACATCCAAGACAAGCGCCGTGGAGCATAACATCGGTTGTCATTATTACCAGCAGTACTACCATGGCTTCATCCAAGAACAGTTTCAAGTAATCGATAGCATCACGACCCTGTCCGGCAAAAATCAAACCGAGAGCAAAGAGAGAGCCACCCTTTGTATGTGGAGATCCGGAGGAACCAGGGAGGTATGGCTTCAAGATGTTACGTCCTTGGGACAAGTTACCTTTATGAATGACACCCAAGGCAGCGGTAGCAGAAAACTTTGACCAGTTGGTAGCCTTACCCAACCATTCCAAATTCTTACGGAAAAACGAATCATCAGTGGTTCCACAATGCATAAAGGCATTGGCGAATGTCACAGCGGAATGGAATATAGAACTGCGTCCTTCGAGCGAGTTTTTCGTCTTGTTGAGAATGGAGATATCGGTGTTGTTGTTCTTGTAAAGGAAGGTAATTTCCAAGTCGCACAGCGGCACTCCAGTCAAGATATGAGTCAAACGAGCAAATTGGGCAGGATGATTCGATTTGTCTAGTTTTTCGAGACTTTCGAGGATATTGTCAAGGAGTTCCTGGGAAGCAGTGCCCACCAAGTCAAATGCTCCTTGGTATGCAGTCAACGCATCGTCGCTATCGAGAAGCTGCTCAAACAAGTGGACAGCCAACGAGGTGTCACCTAACTGGACAATCACCTTGAAGATGGAAAAGAAGTCTCTGTGAGTCTTCAAACCCAAAAGGAGTTGGATCATGGATTTCAACACGTCGGTTCTGAAAGACGAGTCTTCAAGCACAGTATTAGAACACATAACCACGTAGTTGATGAGACTCAACGCTGTTTCGTCGTTTTTCACTTGTTTGAGAATACGTTCAACGTTGTCGAGATGATAGCTTTCCAACGAAACACCCAAAGCAAGCTTCAAATCTCCATTACTCACACACCGGTCCAACATCTTTTCGAAAATCGTCGTCAACCGTGGATCGATCTTGACCGATTTGTCATTATACGCTTGCTGACTCAAAGTATTGTAGAGACTGATGCATTGCGACACAATGGTTTCAATGTATTGCGATTGTTCTTCAACGTCAAACTCGTCGCCAGCACACAACGAGTATCTCACCGACGCCTCGAAGTCGCCCAAGTTGTAGTAGACCTTGGACATAATCAAGGCGGCGAGCGACCGTTTTTCAAAATTGGGGTCTTCGTAGAGCTCTTCCAATTCGGTGATGGAGTTTGCAATTTCGGCCCAAAGTTCGTCTACGACATCGTTGAGGGAACTCAAAGCATAAGCCTTGAGACTGGGGTCCAGATCGCCTAGAAGGGCGAGATAGGGAGCGGCAGAAACAAGTGCCATGGTGGTTGAGGAATCGCCACTTTGAAAGTGATATGGCGAGCATCCATACACCGAAAACTAGATTTATACAGTACGCACGGTTGCAATTAGTGCGGTTGCAGTATTAAGTAGAGTTTCTCGTTCCGATTAGTATATTTAGTTCTTAGTATAAAAGTCTGGTAGCTATCTTATAAGGAGTTTGTTCGAGCTGCTCGTACAAAGACTTGATATCAGCCAAGTCCACGTCGGAAATGTCCGCCATCAAATAAGCAACGTCTCCGCGAGAATCCGAGAACTGCTTCTCGATATTATGGTTCGACAAGATATTGTTGACGGTTTTCAACACACCAGGAACGTTCTGATGGATGTACAACACACGCACCGAGTTTTCTTGGTCCAAATCCAACGCACGCAAATGGACTTCGGGAAAGTTGACGGCTCCACTGGAATTTCCCTCATTGATGTATTTCGTCAAAGATGTACCCACTTCCACTCCAATGGCAGATTGAGCTTCCTCGGTAGAACCACCGATGTGGGGAGTCAAGATCACGTTTCTCAACGAGCACAACTCACTTGCCCATTCGTTTAGCAGATTGTTGAACAAATCTTCACCATTCTTGGCGGGCTCTTGAGGGTAGACATCGATGGCAGCACCGGCGATTTTGCCCACTTTCATGGCGGAAATAAGCGCTGGAATGTCCACCACAGTACCACGAGACGCATTGATCACATAGGCACCATCTTTCATGGCAGCAAATTGTGGAGTACTCAACATATTCTTGGTTTCTGGAGTAGCAGGAACATGCAAAGACACAAAATCAGCACGCTGCAACAACTCGTCAAGAGAATCCACCTGTTTCGAGTTACCCAACGACATGATCATCTGAACATCATAATAGATCACTTGCATACCCATGGCCTCTGCTAACACGGAAAGTTGAGCACCAATATGGCCATATCCTACAATTCCCAACGTTTTTCCTCTAACTTCCCAGCACTTGGCACTAACCTTGTTCCACGTACCGGTGTGCAATTCAATACTACGGTCCCCCAATTGTCTTGCCAAGGTAATAATTTCGGCAATCACCAACTCAGCCACCGACCGAGAGTTGGAAAATGGAGAATTGAAAACGGCAATTCCCGATTTGGCCGCAAACTCCAAATCCACCTGGTTGGTACCAATACAGAAGCACCCGATCACTACCAAGTTCTTAGCATGTTGTAACACTTTTTCCGTTAATTTGGTTTTGGATCTGATTCCGATGGCATGGACATCCTTGATCTTTTCGATCAATTCATCTTCCGGCAAAGACGACTTGTAGAATTCAACCTGGTATCCCTGTTGACCAAAGATATCGATAGCAGTCTGATTGACGTTTTCTAACAACAAGATCTTGATGTCGCCGGTGGAAAATGGCTTAAGAGCCTTGGCATTTTTCAGGGTTGGAACGTACTGAGAAAGGTAAGATTGAGTGGGAGAAGTGGAAACCGCATTGGGCAGCCCGGAGATACTGACACTACGTTCAAACCTCGTGGCGATGTTCTGGGGCGTGGACATGATATACAAGTTTTGCGATGAAAATCTGGAGATATTTATGGTGCAAAAAATCTCCTGTGAGTAATCTTGTCACGTGCCATGAACGAATCGGCCCGTGTTGTGCTCGGATAATAGGGGCTGGCGATAAAGGGGTTCCGAAGCCAATGATGGACCTCTTAGAGGATGGGAAACAAAGGTGGGTGATTGTGGTGCAAATAGTTGGGGTTTTTGGACATTCTTATCGTCTCGATGCTCATCGCTATCGCTGCTTCATCGATATGACTCGGCGCTGACTCGGGAACACATACGGCTGTGTGCAGACTCGCTAGCCATGGCGCGCGCTATCGGCCGATTATGTAACGAGATGATTTTTTACCGCGTATGCAGGCTGATCCCGTGTCTGATCCACTACAAAGGTAGATAAACCACCTTGTTTACTCCACATTTTTTGCGGGTGACGACTACTTGCAAAACGGCTTGAGTACCGCCACACGCTCAAATAATGAGTGTGTCTTCTCCATCGTCATCTCCAAGCTCTCCTTTAACTCCAAGAACCCGTTCTCGACTTTCTCGTCTCGGTTCAGAGACCAATATTAAAGTTATATGTCGAATACGACCAGCCAACGATGCTGAAAGCAGACGCGGGGGTAAATTGCTTAGTGTGGAGCTGGAAACGGTAGTTTCTGTTTGTTCAAAGGAACCAGGATTGGCACTTGATTTTGAATTCGACCGAGTGTTCACAGAAGATTCGTCCCAAGATGAAGTATACAACGAGTCTGTGAAGCTGACGGTCGAGGATTTTGTCCAGGGATACAACGGCACTATCCTAGCCTACGGCCAGACTGGTTCTGGAAAATCGTATACGATGATGGGTCCATTGAACAACTCGATTTCTCAACTGCGAGGAATAATTCCACGAATATCAGAAACTATCTTTGAGAGTTGCAAGAAGAGGCCTGATTTAGCGTTTAACATCCTGGTTTCGTTCATGGAGATCTATATGGAGCAGATCCATGATTTGTTGGACCCATATTCTGGTACAGATCACACCAGATTCATGATTCAAGAAGATAAGAATGAAGGAATTTACGTTCGAGGATTATCCGAAAAGTCGGTAACCAGCCCTCAAGACCTCGAATTGCTTTTAAACGAAGGTCTTGCGATTCGAACCATGTCATCGACACAGATGAACGCTGACTCTTCTAGGTCCCATGCCATTTTTCACATCAAGTTGAGGCTGGTAAATCCCACAAACAAGTCCACGATCAAGAGCAATCTCTTCCTTGTAGATCTAGCAGGCTCAGAAAAGGTTAATAAAACAGGAGCCACGGGCCACTCGCTCGAAGAGGCCAAGAAGATCAACAGCTCACTTTCAAGACTAGGAACGGTTATTTATGCCCTCACAGACGGCAAGTCCGTTCATATTCCATATAGAGACTCCAAGTTGACGCGAATACTTCAAGAGGCTTTGGGAGGGAACTCAAGAACCACGTTGATAGTCACTTGTTCTCCATCGACCATGAACGAAAACGAAACTATATCGACTTTACGATTCGGCGCCAGGGCCAAAAACATCCGGAATGTTGCCCATATTAACATGGAGTTGAGTCCTTCTCAAATGAAAGAAAAGTTGGAGCAGCTCGAGATTGATAATAGGGTTCAACAGGTATATATCTCTCGCCTCGAACAGGAATTGGGTCAATGGCGACAGGGACCTCCTCTCCAGAGCTCTGAAACTGACGAAATTGCATTACGAGACAACAAGATAGCCGAGTTGGAAAATACCGTATTGACTATGAAAATGGAAAACTTGAAGGTGGCTCATGAAGAAGAGCTGAAGATGTTCAAACTCGAAAATACTCTTCGTCGACTCAACGACAAGTTGAGTGACATCGAACTAATTAATCTGAACCTACGAAAGCATCTCATAATCACAGAAAAGTTAATTGAGTCTCGAGACAATCGCATCAATAAATTGGAACAATTTATTGCAAATCAAAGGATGCAAGTACAAACCGAATCCGAGTCGTTTGAAAGCAAACTAGCGCATTTGAAAGATAGAATCGATGCACACGAGGAAACAATTCCAATCAGCTAAAAATAACTACAAGTTTGCGGTTCCAACCAAGTTCAATCCACCATCGATTGGAAGCACAATTCCGTTGATATAGTTGGACTGTTTCGCACACAACCACAACACAGCAGACTGGATATCTTGCTTTGAGCCAAGACGACCCAAAGGATTTCCTCGAACCATTTCATCACCTTTAGTCTTCATCATTCCCTTGGTCATTTTCGTCTCAAAAAAACCAGGTGCAATTGTGTTGACATTTATGTGTTTACTAGCCAAAGTCAATGCCAAGTTCTTTCCCAAATGGGCCACTCCAGCTTTGGAAGCAAGATAACCATAAGTGCCTCCAAAATCAGTTGCAATCAACGAAGCCACGGACGACACAATGACCACACGAGAAGGGTCCTCGCTTGTTCCAGCCTTTTGCAAAAGAGGCGCAAAGAGTTGTATGGTGTGGAACACACCCGTGATGTTGAGCTCAAGTACTTTTCTGACTGCTTCGATCGGATGAGTATCGAATTTTTCACCGTATGTGGCACCGGCATTTGCGATAAGAATATCCAACCGATCAACCTCAGCGGTAACTTTACCAACGAAACTCTTGAGGTCGGCATCCTTAGAGATGTCGCAAGCAATTGAGATAATCTTACATGCTTTACCATTGGATTTTGCAATCTTTTCCAACTCCAGTTTGGCACTGGCACAAGCGTCTGGCTTACGAGAAGTAATAATGACTACGGAAGCATCGTTGAGAACAAAGCTCTCTGCAACATGAAGGCCCAAACCACGGGTCCCCCCAGTCACAAGGGCAATTTTTCCAGCAACGTCAAAGTTCGTCATAAAAGTGTTTTTGATTTGACTTTGACGTAACGCGGGGAAATACCGAGGCGCGCTATGCACAGAACCCTGGGCGACGCACGCGGATCACCGGGCGCATCATGCACCATGGAAATTAGAAACCACATCCGTTGCACCAAGAGCCAACCCCACAAAACGAAAAGGGGACGAGATCTACAAACAATATCATCAATAAAGCAACATCGCGCACCGGTATTGATCTTCAGGATAAGCTAAAATGAAGGCGATCATTTCGAACCAGCGTAGTGGTGGACTACATGGTAAGTACTTTTTACGAAATTTGGAACCCCACAATTAACAAAAGTGGTTCAAATTATTCGCTCCGGCACCATTCGGGCCAAATTCAACAGTGAATTTTGTGTCGAGGGGCCTCATAGTGCTGTCCAGAAGATACTCCGGTTCGAGTTTCGCAAACGTAGCTATTTGGCACTTGCTAGAAAGAATGGATTTGTGCAACTTTTTGAAAGCGGTCGTCGCAATCAGGCAAATCCGGTAACAAAAATCAGTTTCAAGTTGTTCAAAGAATGGAAAAATGCGTGTGTTTCCACGCTGGACTCGATTGTGATGCTTGGGGTGGCCCACGGTCGGTTTCTTTACAGCTGTTCGACAGAAGGAAAGTTGATCTTTCGTGACTTGTTGAACGACGATTCTGATACAAGCAACCGGATTTTTTTGGTACAAAAACCGGTGTCTGCGGTAGAAGTGCGTGATGCAGAACCAGGAGTGGTGCAGGTGGTCTGCGCCGGCAAAGGGAACCCGGTGAAAAAGTATTGTGTGGATCTCAATCGCGGCCACCAAGATCATGGCGTGAGACGCAGTGATATTTGTTGCAACATTATTGGTCATGGAGGTACTAACTGGTGGAATGGAGGCGGCGATACGTCCACTGGATCAGATTGGAGCTACGCCGTGCCTACATGGAGTGTTGAAGGAGTAGATGATTGGATTATATCGACGGTTTCAGTTGAAAAAACTGTTATTTGTGGTACTCAAAACGGCACCGTCTTGTTGTTCAAAGACGGGGCTAGCGAGGTGGGTCACAGGGTAAACTTGTCGCATTTTCCAATTCGAGACCTTGCGGTGCATGGGCTATACGTTGTGTGTCATGACAGTATGTCCAAAGTGTTTTTGCTCGATCAAAACTTGGCGATACTTCGCGTGTACGATGGGTTGAAGATCGGACCCGTTTCCAGCTGCAAATATGTTTTTGATGACCTGGCATTTGATAGGCGTCGCAAGGTTGCAACTCTGGTGGGCTCTGATACTCTCCAGATGTTTGTGGTAACCACCAATTTGGAAAACCGCATGGTGATCTACAAGCTCGAAGCTACGGCCGAAATGGTGCTTAACATGGAACTACATAGTGGAGCTCCATGTTTTGATATTTTGGGCCATGGGTCCAATTTTGCATTGTTGCAAGAAATATGTGGTGAAGCTGGAATGGTGCCCAACAAAAGAAGACAACTATGGCAGCCGCTTGGTATGGAAGCAACCGAGGTCGCCAAGCCACGAAAGGCCATTAATCATGAATTATGAATGAACGAAAATCCTACGATCCTACGCTACTAATCCACCAAACTTGCTAAACTTAACAATCCTTCTCTATTCCTACATTACTGATCCACTCTACTCTACTAAACCTGCTACTCTTACTACTCTACTCTTACTCTTCTCCTCCTTCCTCTCCCACAATATTATCCCTTCATAATTTTCAGCCATACTCTCGGGCCGTCTTCGTCTCTCGTCTCGGCCCGGTGATGCGCACCCCGAAACCGCCCCACTACCTTTATACTTTCTTCCAATAATCCAGAAAAAGAAGATCACCCTTAATACGAGCCTACAGGCTTGGCACCAAACATGACCCTGTTGCAAACTTTTCTTGGTATTCTTGGCTAGCGTGACTTCCCCACGAAACTAGTCGCAGCCACTCCGATCGTATATTTTTTCGCCGCAGCGCGCTTGTACGAAGGACGGAAATGGACTAAAGGGGAAATCAAAGAAGAAAGGTTCCGTCAAGAAAATGAAAAAAAGTGCGGAAAAAGACGAAATGTGAGCTAAAATAGACACAAAAGCTATAGAACGCAACCCTTTAGAAGCTTATTGTTTAAGTCTCTTATTGTTCTTTGTCTGCCCATCACCGTAATCGCGAAGACACCCGCTGCACCAGCCCCACTCATGCGCACCTCTTTGCTTATCATGACTGCATCCTACGTGCGGCCGGCAATAAGATCCGAACTTGGTTCGAAACTGTTACAACTCAGGATATAATTTTTTTTATCCTTAGCTTTGTGAAGTCTATTTTCATCTACTGACACTATACTAAAGTCAGCACCAGTATAGAACCGTGATTTGTGCACAATATTTACATACAAGTTGTTTCGGTTAGCAACCCCAAATTGGTTGAAACTGCGGTGCCGATTTAAACTTCACCTTCAAGTTTCACAAAAATTAGTGGTCAAAAACTGGTGATCTCACTCCCACATTCTCCATGCGGTTGGATATACTCAAGCGGAAGAGTAGAAGGGCGTCAGACTCCTCACTCGTGGATCGTCTATCGTTCTCCGAAAGACGCAACTCGCTATCGAATCCCATGATAGTCATTTCGGAGACAAATACCATCAAACGGTCTCCCAGTCTATCGCACGTAACATTGGACGATGCCCAAGATATCCAGGCGACACGTCGACTCCGTGCTAATTCTCTTTCCATCATGTCTCAGACTCGATCCCGATCCCGATCGGCTTCCCGACCAGTGACCAAGAAAAGAGCAAAGGAGCTCATTAAGCAGGAAACGTCGATTGTGGCCCTGAAAAAGTTGCACTTGCTTCTCCACGAAATGGGTCTTCAGGACCCGATTCCTATTGACCTCTACAAGAGCTCATCATCGGGAAGTAAATCTTCCACGGCCAACATTTATGTTGCCAACTCCAGCAACTGTATATATCTCCCACCAGCGACGTCCGCGAGCTTCACATACGAGGACGTAGACAACGGTGGAATTCCCGAGGGCCGCAGCGGGTCGGTAACTGGTGACCAAACACTGTCTGAAGAACTGACACTTCTGGAGCGAGAAACTTCCGAGGCAGCTCCTCCCGTGTACTCATCCAACGTTCCTCCACATCTTCTGCAGTTTAAGTCCCCTAACTTTCTCTGCACAAAAATTGACTCCGATATACCCATTCCCCACACCTTTGCGGTCATCATCGACCTCAACAAGCCTACAAATGTACGGGACCTCAAGTTTGTATTTCAATCTTGTACTAGCATACTATGGCCCACTGGGGAAATCGGCACTAAAGGTCATAGCAAGGAAAAGTTTAAAATTGGAATGTTGGAATGGAATACTAGTCTTGGAGAGGCAGATTTTTTTGCAAACAGATTCAATTCCAACGATACTCGATGCGGCGATACGTCTCCAGAGCTGCTAGCGGAGAGAACTCGCCAGTACAAGTTGGCCAGCATCAGTAATACTGATACGTCTGAGCTGCAAACTGACGATGCTTCTTCTGCTCACAATAACGACACCATATATCCAGAGGGACTTTATGTCTTTTTATTGCCCATCTTGCTTCCCGAACATATTCCCCCTTCCATTACAACTATAAATGGCAGCCTTGAACACACTCTTAGTGTGCTGTTTTCCAAAACAAGTGATAAACTAAACAGAAAGGTAAAGTTGCAGGCAGCTTACAATATTCCTATGGTTCGTACACCTCCTTCATTGGCAAATTCCGTGTCTAACAAACCCATTTTCGTGGATAGAGTATGGAACGATTCTCTTCACTATACTATTACATTCCCACGCAAGTATGTGCCACTTGGCTCCGAACATCCTATCAATATTAAGCTTATTCCTTTGGTGAAAGATGTGGTTGTTAAACGTATAAAATTTAATATCCACGAGCGGATTACCTACGTATCGCAGTCCATGGCTCGTGAGTATGACTATGATGGTGAAGATCCATTCCAGCTCCATCAGGGAACCGACAACAAAACCCGAGAACGGATTGTATCTGTTTGCGAATTGAAGACAAAGTCCAAAGCCAACACAACTTCGTTGGTGCCTTATAAAGAGGAACTCATCAAGTGTCCCGACAATAACTTGTTATTCTCCTGCTATGAGCCGGAACTGTCAGATTCTAGAGTTGAAAATTATAGCGACAACATCGAAAACTTTCGAGTGCATGGTATGAGACTGAACACGAGTATCGGTGATGATACCACGAGGTCCACCATGATAGCGTCTCCACTTGATATCAATATAGCTCTTCCCTTTCTCACCACGAAAGCTGATAAGAACAATATTGTTGAAAGACCTGTTGAGTATAAAAATCACCAAACTCGTCCATCACATACACCCAATACGTCCAGAAGAGCTTCTTTAAACATCCAATCCAATGATCATGGCATCATCTACTCGCCAGCTTCACCCACTATCGGCACACTTGAGACCAACATTTCCCATTCACACGCAGACCACGGCTACTTGAGTGATGAGGATCCCGACTTTATTACTCCTGATTATTCGACGTTTCTGAACTCACAGAGTAGTAAGCAGAATTTGAAGCATGGATACACTTCTGTTCCTAGAGCTCTTTACCCAGATTCGAATTTCCGTCATATTCAAGTACACCATCGTCTCCAGATTTGTTTCCGAATCTCAAAGCCAGATGATACTGTGGAGAGCAAAATGCATCATTATGAAGTGGTGGTCGATACTCCTTTAGTGTTGATGAGCTCGCAGTGTAACGAGGATGCCATACAACTTCCTACCTACGATGCTTCAGGAAGTCATGAACAACCTGAAGTATCTTTTAACGAACCAGATTACCAGGGAAATGGCGTAACGATATCCAAATACGATCCACTGGCACCAGACACTCTTCCGTCGTTTGAAGAAGCGGTTTCAGCCCCCACTTCACCCCTCATGAGATCGGCATCTATCGAAGAACCGTTGAGTTCCATACCATCTATATCTCCACTTGCACATGCTCCACTTGGACCTGCTCCTGCTTACGAAAATGTGTCCTCTACAAGTGTTGATAGTGTTTTTGGTCAACTTAGCATTGACGATGTTGTTCAGCATGATTCTTCGAATCTTGCAATGAGGCAATCGACTATCAGATCCTCACTTTCAAGTTCGTTTGCAACACCATCACACAGGCCCGCTGACTATGATCACCAACAAGAAAGCGAACTTGGACGGGACAACGAAACAGTAGCGACATCTTCATCGTTGACCACGGCGGATTCTAGTGAAGGTACTCCATCCAGCCAGTCTAAATCGTCATTAGAGTCCAGTCTTGAAATAGGAAACAGGAAGTCAGACTCGTATCCTCACTCAGATAGCACCGGGGTGTCTACAGTGGATGCTGTTCTCATGGAAGATCCATTAACGTTATCGAAACTGAATGAACTGGATGGAGTTGATGAACCGGAACATAACGATTCAGTGTCGGAGATCAATGCTTCTTCTGATGGTCTAGTTTCGGAGGTCAACGCTTCTTCTGATGATCTAGTGAGTGTTGTAACTCAGCCATTCGAACAGAGAATACCTCTACTTCGAAACGTGAGTGTTGATGGCTACAATCTTTCGAATGTGGCTACTAATTCGAGCTTCCGAAGCCACGAGCCTCGTATGAGACGAGAACCAAGCGAAGCGTCGATCATGACCCATCCAGTCAAACACGAGATGCACCATGCCATATAGCTGCCAGTTTAATATCTACTCCCCAATTGCAAAATTGTAGCCGCACCGTGCGATTTGAAATATCGAATGATTGTTACTTGTTAATGGCACCAACCAAACTACCACAAAATGGACGGGTAGGGGTCATTGGGGCCGGTATATCTGGTCTTTCGTATGCGTATTTTCTTAAGAAGCTTCGTCCAGACGTAAAAATCACCGTTTTCGAGAAATCGAACCAGCCTGGAGGATGGATCAGAACCAAGAAGCTCACGAACAACCAACAAAATATCATATTGGAGAAGGGACCGAGGACACTAAGAGGCGTGAGTGATGGAACATTGCTCATAATAGACATACTCAAGCAACTAAACATAGAAAATGAACTTCAAGTCATGAAATCGACTTCGATTGCAAACAGAAAATATATCGTGGGACAAGATCACCAACTTGTGCAAGTTCCGGGCTCGGTCAAATCCTTTTTGAAGTTTTTGTCGAGCGGTGTTGTGTCTGGGATCCCCACTGGAGCAATTAAAGAGATCTTTCAAAAGGTTTCATCGACAGGAAAAGACGAGAGTATAGAAAGCTTCATTAAACGTCGGTTTAAATCCACCGCATTGACTGATAACATAATGAGTGCTGTTCTACACGGAATATACGCCGGGGACGTATCCAAACTTAGCGTGAACAGTGTGGTTCCCGGACTTGTGGCACTTGAAAAAGATCACGGCTCAATCGTGAAAGGTGCACTCAAGAACATGTACAAAGCACTTACTGCAAAAAAGCACCAAAAGGACCTAGAAACCAGTTTGAAGGTGTATGAGCAGCGTATCTCGCCCCAGGCTGACCTTCGTGGCTTGGAAGCTAAACTCAAAGGATATCCAATTGTCAAACTTAGGAATGGACTACAAGAGCTACCACTTGCGTTATCGTCGTACTTACAGTCACAAGCCAACGTGGACATTTTATACGATACGACAATTGATAACGTGGACTTTAAGCAGTGTACCATAAAGACGAGTAATGGAACTAACAAATATGATCATATACGATCAACGATCAACGTCAAGGCTTTGGCATCACTAGCTCAGAAACTGGCTCTTACCGAAAAATTTTCCAAAATTGAGTATGTTAGTATCTTTATGGCAAACATTTACTCCCGAGAAAGACTTGTACCCAGAGATCAGGAGGGATTTGGGTTCTTGGTCCCAAAGTCAGTTCATAATCAAGAGAGACTTCTTGGCATAATATTTGATTCAGATATCGAAAAGAATTCCCACAGCTTTGAGGGACAACCAGAGAAGTTTGATGGTTACAGCAAGATAACATTGATGATGGGAGGACATTTTTTCAGCGACGAAATTCCCTCCAACTCTGTCAATTTAAGAGCCGTGAAAAAGTGCCTACAACAATATCTCGGGGTGGATATCCTGCAAAAAAAAGTAATTTTAAGAGACGAGGCAAATGAAAAAGACACCAAGGTTACTCTAGAAGGTGATGATATTCTTATCTCGTACAATTTGCATAAAGACTGCATTCCTCAGTATAATGTGGGGTATAAGGCTATCAAAGAGAAAACAGAATTATTGCTCGCTCTGGAGTATAAAGGTACTTTATCGCTCGGGGGAATGTGTTTTGGCAAGGGCATAGGTGTACCTGACTGTGTGAGCAATGCCTTAGACAGTGCTATTGATCTTAGCTAAGAGTATGTATTTGATCTCATTATTCATTATTATACACTAATATACATGTGGTTTACGATTCGTAACCGGGAACATCCTCGTTGATTTCGTCCGCATCCGTGACCTTCTTTTGTTCAGCTATACCAATATCACCTCCCGTGTCATCTTCAGCTCGAGCTACAATCCGAGACTTTGTCTTTGCATAATTTACACTCATTTCCTTGCTGAAAAATCGCCTTTTGTCGAGACCAGCCTTTGCTGACAGTGCACTGGTAACAGATTCTAGAATTATATGGGCCTGGCCCCGCATTTTGGGCCGTATTATAATGTCGATAACATCTCCATAGGTTGAAAATAGTAAATACAAGTTGTGTTTGAGCAACCTGCGCAGCACCTGATCGTTCAAATTGTTCACATATAACGTCTGTGATGGCCTAATTGCCACCTTGGCTCGTTTGGACGGCCCAATCGACTCCAGCTTGCGCTTTAGTGCACCCATTCAGTTGCCAAAACCAAATCGAATCTCGAGGTCAATGCGATGGACACCCAGACACCAACACATAACGACTTTCGGTCAGAATACCTGTTGAATTGTCATCTTGCTTGTGCAAACCTGTTATTCACCCCAAATGTTATCCAGGCTTATTTTCAAGCCTCAATTGAAATTGTGTCACTTTCACGTGCACACTCCGCCACGAAGCAACCTTCGGCGACGTCCTGCCCTGGACGGCATACAGGAAAACTCGGGGTAGCATACAGGAACGTCATGAGCAACGACACCAACCGGCATAATCGACGAGGTCCCTATTTGTGATAACATACAGAATTGTTGTAACGGACTTATTTATTTGCTAATTGTGAACCACCGAATACTGCGTTTGATTTGCAACCATTTATACATACCGAAAAAGTCTCTTAGCCTGTTCTTTGAGCCATGAGTGCCCCGCAAATTAGTGCTTCTTTGACACGGTTAAAACTTCTAGAAGCTTTGCGTTCTGGAGACACTTCCAGAACCGACGCTATCATTGAGGAGTTGTCTGCTGTGAAACCAACAACTCAAACCACAGAGTTAATCCAACTTCGAGAAACTGTGCTCCATTATGCTGTGCAAATCGCCCCACTAGCACTTGTCCAGCACCTTGCTCAAAGCAAAAAATTGGACATTAATTCCCAGGATGTCGATGGAAACACTCCTCTTCATCTTGCTGCTTCTGCTGGCAGAGCCGATGTTGTTCGTTTTCTTCTTTCTCTTCCCGATATCAACGATACCATCACCAACCTCAAAAAGAAGGTTGCTGTGGAACTTTGCAAAGATCTCAATCTTGCTCAATTGATGCAGTTTGAACGGGCAAAGTTTGTCGAGAAGCTGGCTACCGATTTGCGCAAGTTCTTTACCAACAGGGACTTTGATAACTTGGAAGTTCTCTTGGTTAGCAACCCTCGTGCTTCTCAACTTCTTGATATTAATGGCGCAGATCCCGAAACTGGTGACACGGTGCTCCATGAGTATATCAAAAAGGAGGATATTCAAATGTGCGATTGGATCTTGAAACATGGAGGAGATCCTTTCAAGAGAGACAAGCGTGGGAAACTTCCCATTGATTTGGTGCCCAGTAAGAACGAACCATTGCGTAAGCTCTTGAAGTCGGCATCCAAGGACCAAACCATAATGGATCCTGTTGTCAATACGAGCAACGCAATCAAGGCTGGCACTGCTGTAACCTATAGAGGGTATTTGCGCAAATGGACCAACTTTGCTTCTGGCTACAAGTTGCGTTACTTCCTTTTGGACAGCAATGGAATCTTATCCTACTATGCCAACCAAGACGATACAAACAATGCTTGTCGTGGATCGCTCAACCTTGGATTTGCAACTTTACATTTGGATTCGTCGGAAAAACTCAAGTTTGAAATATATGGCCGCAATGGAATTAGATGGCACCTCAAGGCAAACCATCCTATTGAAACTAATCGCTGGGTGTGGACACTTCAGAACGCTATAACAATTGCCAAGGACAATATGAAGAGACGTGGAGTGCCTCCTATAGAAGATGACAGTACTTCAGCTCGTTCCAGTGTCGATGATCCAGAAAAGAAGCACCGCAGATTGCACATTCCTGGGAGGGGAAACAGCAGAAAGCACAAACGTAATTCTAGTCAGGTCTCACTTGCCTCAGCTACCAGCGAGGAAAGCAAAGATGTGGCTTCGACGTCCAGTGCATTTGGAAAGGAAGTTGGCAAGACTCCAACTCTGCCCAACTTGTCCAGAATCAAAGAGAAGAAGCCTTTGGTTGTGGATCCCGAAGACCAACAAAGCTATGTTGAGACGGACGTCGAGAACTTTGACCATGATGAGTTTGATGACGATGACGACAGTGATGGCTCGACTTATAATCGTGGTTCGGAAGAGCTGTTTGGAGCTGCTGGAGACGAACTTTCCACCATCAAACGTGCTTTGGATATTGAAATCACCAGCTTGATTGACCTTTTCAGCCTGATAGATCCACTGCAATCCGTAGAGGTAGGCGCGAAGGAGGAAGTTTATGGTGTGGGATTGAGATCTATAAAGACCATTCAAGAATTGACCGAGAAATACTACGCCAGGCTGCAACTCAAAGATGCCAAACTTCTGAAGCAATTGGATCGCCAACTTCAGGTCAACAAACTTTGGGAAAGACTGATCCAACAATTGGAGCTGGAAATCGCCGAGAGAGAGAAGAAACTCTCTGAATTTGAAGGCAAGAAGAAAAAGTTGAGAAAGTACTTTTCAGGACGGTCTGGCCATGCTAGTCCCCGCGTGGCTGCTGGAGCAGGGGCTGCTGGCGCAGGAGCTGCAATTGGTGCTGGTGCTGTTGGAGCCAAATTGGGTTCCGGAACTTTGCCTGAGGATCCTAATGAAGATCAGGGCCAGGAGGACATATTGCAGAAGAAGCTAGACGGCGATGACTCGGATGAAATCGAGGGTCTTTTGCGCGATGACTCTGATGACGAGTTCTTTGATGCCGACGAGTTTGACCAGGAGGAAGAACACGAACCTGCCTCAGGAGTGGGTGAGTCCTCTGGTGAGAATGTGGCAGCTGGCGAACAATTGCAGCATACACAATCAGAGAAAACTGTTGTTGACGACTCAACCAGTGCTGACCAGCCTCAAGAGGAGCAAGCCAAATCCAAGAGCAGTAATCCTAAACACGATGAATGGAAGCAAATTCTTGAGAAAGACGGGTCATTCTTGGGTTACGAAAACGGGTTCAGGAACAAGTTGGGCATGGATGACGATAACCGTCCCAAAGTCTCTCTTTGGGGTGTGTTGAAGTCGATGATTGGTAAGGATATGACGAAGATGTCGTTGCCTGTATCTTTCAACGAGCCCACCTCTTTGGTTCAAAGACTTGCTGAAGATATTGAATATGCCACTCTTTTGGACACCGCCGCCAGCTACGATGATCCTACGTTGCGAGGTGTTTATGTAGCTGTGTTCGGTGCTTCCGAATATGCTTCCAGTATCAACAGAATTGCAAAGCCTTTCAACCCACTTTTGGGAGAAACATACGAATACTGCCGTCCCGATCAAAGTTATAGATTGATGGTGGAACAGGTGAGCCACCATCCTCCAATTAGTGCGTGCAACGCCGAGTCTATCAACTGGACTTACTACGGAGAAAATGCCGTTGACTCACTGTTTAGAGGTCGCTCGTTCGACTTTAAGCACCTTGGTAAAATGTTCTGTGTGGTGCGCCCAATCAACGGGGTTGTGAACAAGAATGGAGAGAAAGTCGATGAAGAGTTATACAGCTGGAAAAAGGTGAACACATCTGTTGTGGGGATTATTACCGGAAACCCTACTGTTGATAATTACGGTAGGATGGAAGTGACAAATCACACCACAGGAACTAGTGTGATTATCGACATGAAGCAGCGTGGTTGGAAAGCGTCGTCGGCTTATCAACTTAGTGGACAGCTGCTTGACAGTAAGGGTAATGTTCAATGGGCTATTGGAGGCCACTGGAATTCAAAGGTGTATGCCAAAAAGGTTTCGGGCCATCAAGATACCACGTTGGATTCCACAACTAAAGTGTCTGATGATCCATTCAGTGGAAGCAGATTCTTAGTATGGCAGGCGGCTCCAAGACCAAAGCTTCCATTCAATTTGACTCTGTTTGCCGTAACGCTCAATGGATTGGACGAAAGATTGGGAGAGTTCTTACCACGTACGGACACTCGTTTAAGACCAGATCAGAGAGCCATGGAGGAGGGACGTTACGATGAGGCAGCCGACGAGAAAAGAAGAGTGGAGCAGAAACAAAGAGAAGCAAGAAAGCAGCGCGAGGAGAGCAAGAAACCATACCGTCCTCAATGGTTTGTCAAGACCAAGCACCCAATCACGGGAGACAGTTATTGGCAGTTTACTGATGAGTACTGGTCAAAGAGAAAGGATAAGAAGCTTGGTGATGTGATGGATATCTTCTAGATAGATTCGTATTGTAATAAAATTCTAATTTGAACTTGTCAATAAAATTCTAATTTGAAATTTCTACCCCAGCTTTCATCTCATCGCATTTCCACTTTATGGCATCGCATCGCGATTTCTAATTAACAAAATGGCAAAAAAAGCCAAGAAGGATGGACGCTCTGTAGAGCCCACAGGAAACCCAATTTTGGAGGTCAAGTACAACGACCCCTTGTTTTCAATAGCAGCTCATCCAACTGAGCCTATCTTTGTTTCTGGTCTTGCAACTGGACATGTTTTTTGCAATCGGTACGATGCCGAAAGACTAGAAGAACGAATGCAGGCCATCAAAGACGAGCAAAAGAAGAAGTCCAAGACGTCAGTGAAGACTACAAATGCCGCCTGGTGGACACAGGTGGAAGATATAACCAATACTGACGAAATTGTAACTTGCTGGAAAACGAAGCGTCATAAAGGTTCGTGTCGTCTGGTACTTTTTGATCCTATTGAAAGTTCAGTGGGCAAGCATTTGTTTACGGTGGGAAAAGATCACGTTGTAAAGAAAGCAAACACAGAAACTGGTAAAGTTTTGACGAAAACTGATATAAGTAAGGACTTATCACTGAAGGACGCAGTAACGAAATTATGCCATTCTACTACCCATCCTTTTTTGTTATCAGGTACAGAAAACGGTCATGTATTGGTGTATGACAGCAATGATTTGAGCAATAAGTTCAAAGTGGAAAATGTTCATGAAGATGCTGTCAACCATATTCTCGCAATGCCCTCGGTTTCCCCATACCATTATTTGACTGTAGGGTCCACCACGCTTTCTCATATTGACATAAGAAAGGGAATAGTTACTCAATCCGATGACCAAGAGGACGAGCTTTTATCAATGTCTTTCGTCCCAGATGACGATCGCAATGATACCGTCTTGGTATCGCACGGTGGAGGCATCGTCACCATATGGAAAAATTCCAAAAACAAGCTTATGGACCAGCTTTCCAGAATCAAGGTTAACAAGGAGGCCTCAATTGATGTAATGATCAGTGCTATGGACGCTGGAGATGATGATATGGCGGCCTCAGTTTGGTGTGGAGACAGTGATGGTTTAGTACACCGAGTGAACTATAAAAAGGGAAAAGTTGTAGAGACTCGTTTACATGGAACCGCCGATGAAGTTGGGTTCTTGGATATTGATTACGAGTACAGACTCTTGACCGCAGGCATGGACTCGATGAAGCTTTGGCTGGCAGAGGGCGACGATGAGGAAGAAGAAGAAAGTGAAGGAGAAGAAAGCGAAGAAAGTGAGGAAAGTGATGAAGAAAGCGATGAAAGTAGCGGAGAAGAAAGTGAAGGTGACGACGGCAATGGAAGCAATAGTGAAGAAAGTGATAGCAACGACGAAGATGAAGTTGAGAGCAGTGACGATGAAAAAGAAAAAGAAGAAGAATCCACAGAAACAGACCACAAGAACATAGAGGCTGAAAGTGGAAAACAAGCAAATAAAAGACAAGCGTCTCAACCAAAATCGGCTGGTGAAAACGTCAAGAAACAAAAACTCAAGCAAACTTCAAAACTTGCCCATTCACATGGAATACGCCGATTCGATGGGTTGTAGGAAATAGAATAACCATAATTTTCTATCATGTAATTTCTATCTTATCTTTGTTATACTTTAGTATCTTGTAGTTTTTCTTGTATTTCTATCATGTCTTGTACTATTTTGTATTATCACTGTCTCTCATCTTTTTGCACCCGTTCTCAGTCCGGCATCTCGCAGTCCTCGCGCAATTTCCTTTGATAAGCTTTACTATCCAATTGTGGGGCAACAGAGCCCAGACATCATGAATGCTTTCACGGTTGAAAACGTGGCCCTTTCACGACGTGGCTACCGTATTGAAGGAAAATTAGTGGTTTTAGACCACCATATGGTGTTTCAGTTTCAAAGTGAAGATCAGCCAAATACTCCACGAGAAATATGGATTTGTTATCCGATGATAGAAAGCATACATAAGTCCCGAGGATCATCGTGGATGGCCAACAATGCCAGCGAAGGCAAGGAACTACCTGGTGGACAAGATCATTACGTTTCTTCACATATTCATCTACTGTGTAAAGACTTCACCTACTACTGGTTTGATTTTGTCAACGACGAGATTTGCAGTGACACTTTTGCCAAGTTAAGCGAAAATATGGCTCAGGAAGCATCAAAATTTTATGCATTCGACTATACAAGAAACGCGTTGGAAGAAAAGCTCGATGAAAACGGATGGTCACTCTATGACGAGAACTCAGAATATGCACGGCAAGGACTTAAAAGTGACCACTGGAGGACCACGGAGATCAATGACGACTACAAGTTCTGTCCCTCATATCCCACAGTCTTGATAGTTCCGGCATCGATTTCTGATAACGTAGTGAACCACGCGGGAAAGTTTCGTTCAAAACAGCGTATACCTGCCGTTGTGTATCGACACAGGGGCAATTCCAATCATAATGTGATCGCGCGGTGTGCCCAACCATTAGTTGGTATTAATATTCAAAACAGATCGTTACAGGACGAAAAGTTAATCTCAGAAATATTCAAGACCCAGGAACGAGAACGCACCAGTACCCTTGCTTCGGATGATGAGCTTCAAGATCAGCCCCAGCGCAATTTGATTGTAGATCTACGGCCCATAAGCAACGCCATGGCACAGCATGCGCTTGGCGCAGGCACAGAGAACATTGACAAGTATAGAGAGAGTTTGGCCAAGACGGAAACCGACTCGAAAACATCGCTCCGGCCGCTTGATAAAATCTTTGGGAACATAGATAACATCCATGTCATAAGGGATTCTTTGACGAAACTAACCAACGTTTTACGTGATTTGGACAAGCGTTCCACCCCTACGTCTACGTCCGACTTGACACGGGCAGCTCACCTCCAGCAGCAACTTACGAAAACCCTGTGGCTTAACCGCATTGCCATAATCTTGCAATCTGTTGATAGAATCACAAAGTCGATCCACTTGAATAATACCAATGTGATCATACATTGCTCAGATGGATGGGATCGCACGTCTCAAGTATCGGCTCTTCTGCAGCTATGTCTTGACCCATACTTCAGAACGCTCAAAGGATTCATGATTTTGATCGAGAAGGAATGGGTTAGCTTTGGCTACAAATTCAAAACCAGAGCTGACCATGGACGATGCATCGGTGCCATAATTCCGGCAAACGATGAAAAGACATACAATGGCAATGGACCAGGAGAATCAGGTCCCGGGACTCAGGCTCGTGTTGCATCGTTTTTCCAAAAAGCTGCACATCATATAAAAACTTCTGCAGCGGCTGCAGCTGCAGCAGCAGCTGCATCCTCCCCTTCCAGCTCCACAGCCGACCTCAACCAATCTCCTGACCCAATGGTGAATACCTATTCGGGAAGCTCAGAACGATCTCCAGTGTTCCATCAGTTTCTTGACTGTGTTTATCAGATATATCGCCAGTGTCCCACAGCATTTGAGTTCAATAGCAGGTTTCTTAAAAGACTCTTTTACCATCATTATTCGTGCCAGTATGGAACGTTTTTGGCAAATACAGAGCAAGAGTATATGAAGACCAAAGAATTGACGGTTTCGGCATGGGACTATTTCAGGTCTCGGCCCAACGAGTTCGTCAATCGACAGTATGACGCAGAGACTACAGATGTACTTTTCTTCAATTATTCCGATGTGAAATGGTGGTACGAATTGTACGGCAGATCTGACGAGGAAATGAACGGCTTGTCGAATTCTTTGGACAGAAAGTTCAAGCAAATGAAGCTTCAAAAGTAGTAGCATGGAAGTGTGCATATAGTGCGCACCTTTAGATTAGATAAATCTGATAAAAAAAGAGATACCCTACGTTGTTGCTATGCGCCATTTCCAGGTTAGGCAATGTCTTTGGCACCATTTGGCGAGACAGAAATGCTTTAGATACCTTAGCTCTGGACCCCAAGGTGTGGAGGGCCGTCTACCTCACCAAAAGACTATTTTTCAAGCTTGCGACGATGTCGATTCGAGTCAAACTCTCGCTATTACAGACCCATATCTACTTTATCAGAGCTATATAAGACTGGGTATACTTTCCAAGGACGAAAATCAAGTCCGGGTCATGAAAGAATTTCAAAAACTATACCATAGGGTCGTCAACTATGTTCCAGCGCAAGATTTACAGATTAAAATAAGTCTAGTTCTTCGGAAACTTGAGGTACGTTTAGCTAGAGAAAGGGAGGCCGAAAGGAAGCGTGGAATAAACCACATAGTACATAAATTGCTCACTAGAGGAGACACAAAAGCAATAACTCAACAAGTTGTTCGGTTCCTCACTGACGAAGAAGAGCTTCAAAACTTTGATTCACCGCACGGACTTTTGGTGAATGGAGAAGTTGGATGTGGAAAGTCGATGTTGATGGATATTTTTGCCACGTCGCTTCCCCATGAATCGAAAATGCGTTGGCATTATAATAATTTTATTCTCTGGATCTACAGTGAGATCCACAGAATCCAACAGGAGAGATTTTTGCGGTCTGAAAACGGCATAGAAGGTGCTCAAACTATGGAAAATGAGTTTATTCTTTTTGAAATTGCACAAAAAATGATACAAAAAAGTACCGTCTTAATGCTCGATGAATTCATGCTTCCCGATATTGCTTCCGCAAATATTGTCAAAATTCTTTTCACATACTACTTCAAGCTCGGCGGTGTGCTTGTGGCAACCTCAAACAAACTCCCAGACGACTTATATTCAACCCAGTTTCATAAAGACAGTTTCAGAACGTTTGTCCTGATTTTGCATTCACGCTGTCATTCGGTAGACATGAACTCAGCCAAAGATTATAGACACGATTTTGCATCTGCATCTCAAGGTGAGCTGCACTTAGTATTAAAGAGTTATCCCGAAAGCGACAAAATTTGGAACCGTCTCATCAAGAAATATGCCTTGAAAATCCCACCGTCAGATCCTCGCATGGCAGACGACGTTGGTCTTGAACAATTGAATCCCGAGAGAGTATCTTTCAAAGTCTACAACAGAAAAATAGACATTCCCATGACATTTGGTTCCGTTTGCGTGCTTGACTATAGTCATATATGCCAAGGTTTGTTCTCCTCGTCAGACTATATTACCATCGCATCCAAGTTCCTGACTGTGGTGCTAGACGATGTCCCAGTGATGACCACGAAAATGAAAAACGAAGCTAGACGATTTATTACTCTTCTTGATGCACTTTACGAAGCAAAATGCCAACTTTTTCTTCGCTGTGAAGTCGGCCTTGAATCGCTTTTTTTTCCCGATGCATCGGGTGAATCTGAAGCAGACAGGTTGAAGGTCCAGGAAGAAGAGATGTTTGCTCGAACGGCTATTGACCTATCCAATCCATATCGCCCTAATGTACTGACTTATGACCAGGAACATACCGAGGAGTACAAGGAGGAAGAACATCATAAATACGATTTCAAAGATGCCAAAGCGTTTACTGGAGAAGACGAGAAATTCGCCTATAAAAGAGCTGTACTGCGTATTCACGAAATGGTCAATTCTGATAACTGGAGGTATGCTACTTGGGTTCCTATCGACAATTCTATGCGGCCATGGGAGCAGAAAACAGGTAAGGTCAACTTTTCTCCAGTGAGCTCGTTCTCCAAGGATGCGCTCGAAAAGGAATTGGAGAAGAGAACACCGAAAGAAATCATAGCAGATGATCTTCCTCGACAAGTCTCAAACGGCTATGGTATTCCATTTAGACAATTCAATTCCAGAATTGCACCAGTATTCACCTCAGTTCAGCATTTCTGGGGCTGGGGAAAGTCAGCCAGAAATATAAGAGACGAAATTGCAAAGCGGTGGGTGGGGCGTAAATCTTAGTGAGTTTCTTGGTGAAATGCGTATCTGGAAAATTTCCGGATTTTTGCACCAAAGATATAAAACAAGAATGGAATGATACAACAACCAAGACTGATGAATGCCATCAAACTGCTTGCCCATTGATAACCTAATCTGTGGTACATTTGGATGGTGAAAAGAGGAACGCAAGCTCCCCAAATTGACCTAACCAAAGTTTTCGCAGCCAATGCACTTGCTGCATAATGCTGGTAAGAATCAACGATATAATTGTTAGCTGGGTTGTATAAAGCACAGAACCCGAAACCAGCAGCAAGACCACTGAAACAAGGTCCAGCCCATGATATTCTTTCATAAGAAGTCCATGCGAAGCAGAACAATCCGATAGGAACAAACCAGCATGAAACCATCATTGGAATAAGTCTCAATTCTGGTGGTGCCAACTCTCCTCTATCACGATAAGGTTGGGCTCTTCTATTATAATCCTTGTTGAAAAAAGGAGCTGCGGCGGTTGCAATAAGCACTCCAACTCCAATAGGAATGAACATGATTCCTGTCTTCGATGCGGACCAGCCTTTACCTTCCATGTAGATGACAGGATATGCAAAGAAGAACATATAAAGAAGACCATAGACGACTGCCATGTACAATGTCATAAGGAACACGATGAGTTCACTTAAAAGAGCAAAAGGACGCAATAACGAGTCCTTGGCCACGGTTTGGATGCTTCTAACTTTGAGCTCACAAAGTGCTTTATATTTGTTGTCGCCGGTCTTCTTTCTTAATATTTTTGCTCTCTTTTTGAGCAAAGTATTTGTATGGGTTTCTGGAACAAACAAGGCAAGGAGAACATAAAAAAAAGCTGCAATGATCAAAAAGCACCAGTATATCCATCTCCAAGTTGAAGCGTAGTCGCCTATGAGTCCACCGAAAATGGGACCGGTGACTGGACCAAGAAATGGAGCAGCAGAAAAAATTGCCATGGCCATTCCTCTTTCTGAATCTTTCCAGATATCCGCCAAAGATCCCCCAATCAACGTCATGGGAGCAGAAAATGCAAGACCATCAATTAAACGGCATACAAGTAAGGTTGCAATATTCTTCGCGAGGCCACAGGGAATAATGAAAATTATGCCAAGAAAAAGAGTTACAAGGTAAACTGGTTTTCTTCCTACCTCTTCCGAAAGCGGTGCAAAGAGACAAGGACCAAAACCAAAACCTAAAACAAACATTGTAACTGATGCCAAGATGATTACCTCTTCCGACACTCCGAAATAATCTCGTGGTCGTTCCAAGTCACCTGTGACAATGGCTGAACCGAGAGCTACCACGAAACAGATGGAGCCAAGGATACCTGTAATAACCCATTTTCTTGCAGTTCCCATATTCTTTGGGTTTTCTTTGTCGTTTTCAACAAATTCCACCAATCGAAGTGAAGTCTCTGCATCGATGGGGATCTTCCATGGATCATTTTCATTAAAACTAGAGTCTGGAAGCGGGTGAGACTCGTAGGTTTTGAGGTCATATGGCTGTTCCAAGGGACCCAAGGAACCAGCATCTCTCAGTAATTCACGCACGAGGTGACCAACATTATTGTTCGTGGTGATGTACCGCTGAATTTCATTTTCTTCTTTTATTTCCGAGGTGTGAGATCCCGAAGATGTTGATGATAAAGTGTCTATCATTCTTGTTGGTTTAAACATATAGACGGTGCTTCTTTTATATTTAAAGTTGAAGCAAGGTCGGCTGCAAATTGAGGTATTTACAGACTGCGAAATGAGATTTGAGGCATATACCATACGACTCGAAAAACAAACATACATAGAACTCAGAGGAACTCATACAACAACGTGGTTCATTATACAACTATTACCACCGAAATGGACCAATGGACAGAATGGACTGAATTGGCTTCAATTTGATTAGCGTCTAGTATCATCGTAATTCCCCAGTCTAAGCCGTGCGGCTCAAAGCAGCATTAATCGCAGCCGATCGCAGAGAATTATCGCAGTTATCACAGCCGATCATCGTAGCCGATCGCGCCGATCGGCGTCGGCGCTTAAATGTCTCAACTACACAGGAGCGATCGCACGCTCTACGCACTACCATAACCGCGGATCTACAAGCGGTCCTGCAGGTAAACTTCCCCAGCTGCCCCACACAAGCGCTTAACTTCTTTCTTTTGTTTGATCAATGTCAATATTAACAGCTGAGCGACTCGTGAAATTGGCTTACAAGTACCCCAGCTTGCACACGACTTGGTATCTCGTAGCTTGTGCATGTTTGACGGTAATTAACCAACCGGGGGAAATACCTAAAATTTACCATTTTGCGTTGCGTCAACAATTGTTGGAATACCTGGCTGATTCCAGCTTGTTGACCGACAAATACATGTTAGCGCTTGCCCAGGACTCTATCAGCTCCAGTGCCAAGTATGAAGATTTGACGGCGGTTGGGGTCAATTTGCCGGATGTACTTATTCCATATCTGTATTATGACAAGCTTCCATTAGCCTACAAATTTTCTAAAGGCGATGATATCCATGCCACCCAAATGAACATCAGTCTGAAGTTGCGGGAGGTGATTTTGAAGACCAGCGCGCTTGCTGGTTTACCGAAATCTATCAATGCGTTGACCATCTTGAAGACGGTAACTCCCACTCTGATGAGGCCTGCTGGCCAGCCGATGCGTAGGCTCCACGTTAACCCAGGGCACGTTGCGTCTTCTCTGTTGGTGGAGGAGGATGTAATTGGAACCAAATTTGAAAGCGACGACAACGATGGTACTGGTTGCAAAGATACCGTAGATGGACCAATATCTCCAGTTTCTGTCAACTCAAAACAGATTCACAGTGATTTGGTGAGAGGATCCCGGTTTTGGGAAGCTATCTACTCGAAGATCAGCACAAGAGTGAGACGCCAGATGATCAATGCATACCCTGATCTTTGGTACCATGCATACCACAATGTATATGGACCACTTCTCAGTTACACTGACGTTTTGAATGCTAAGGAAACTTCCATGTGTGTTGTTGCCAGTTTGATCCCACAAGACGTCAATCCTCAACTCAAGGGTCACTTGAAGGGAGCCATGAATGTAGGGGCCACCAAGGAAGAATTGAACGATGTTAGACAGGTGGTTTTTGACTTGTGTGATTGGACTGGAGGAGTGAGCTGGGCTGGAGGAAAGGAGGCGGTGGCCAAGTTGTGAGGAAGTGGGCTTGAAGGATAGTTCAGAAAAGTGAATATAAATGAGAGTGGAAAGTGAACATAAATGTAGGTGAGGAATTGGTAAAAATGTCAATTAAGTGAATGCAAGTATATTAAAAGGAAGCATTGAATTGTGAAGCTTATGGAGACATGGATACTCAAGGAAAGAGAAAGCGGCAGAAAGGAATCGTGTTGGTGGGACGAGTAATCACTCATTCTCCGATTCATCGTAAACTCACTCTCTTCATTTTCTCTTTTGACCCATTTTCAATACTTTCATTCTTTATCTCACTTATTTCTCCCAATCCTCTCTTATTTTTTTCATTCTTATTTCCCTCTCAATTTCCTCAATTCTCTCTCTTCGCTCTTCTCTCTCTCTACACTTTTCTCTCTAATGTCTTCGGTATGTACCCTATACTACAACTGGATTCGATTCTGTCTCCTTATCAAAAGTACCTGGCATCCACAGAAGATAAAGAATGCCAAATACACCAAAACTGCCTTAAAAATGGTTCCTGCCACGGCCCCGCCGTCTTCAGGATCGTTGATGGAGCCCATCATGGACTCATGACCGGTTTTAAACAACAAACCAAGAACAGATAATATAACCACTGCAAAGGTGGAAAGCACTGTACAAAAGTACGCTTTGCCACTGGATACCACTGCTTTCATTCTGGGGCTAATTTGTAGAGATAGTGCGTGCGTCGGAAGTTAAAGTTGGTTTGTGGTAGTGAAGTGCAGGACAGAGAGGGAAATGGTGTTTGGGTGCACTCCTACAGCAGGCTGCTATCGTCAGGTCCCTGGCTAGCTTCGTCTTCCAGGGGTGCCGGGGTCGAATTGAGTAGTGCCGAGCGGCCCTGCGACTTTTTTCGTTTAACAGATTGGATCGTGCGGTATGTTTCCCTAAGATGGTGCAATCTTTCTGCCACGGTAGTCGTAGCTCGTAACCATTCTTGTTCTGCATTTTCATTGGCTATGTTGTAGTTTTGCATAGCTGTTAAGGCAGATTGTACGGTCTGGTTTGGGCGAGAAAGAGCCTGGTACAGAATGGGTGGAGTAAAGTGGGTCAGTTTGTCCATCAAATGGGTCATCGAGGGCTGTACTTTCTGCGGCAGATATATGGTGTTGGTTGTCAGAAAAGTCCCCATACCACTATAGAGGTTGTCGTGTGGCTTATTATGGACACTATGCTCGTTTTCAGCCATTTTGTAGCCATTTCCATCGTTTTGCATCCGAAAAGGTGGTGAGCTTTTTCTGGAAAAATCTGATTCGTTATTTGCTGTATTGTTTTGGTCGTAGAATGCCCCATTAGGCAGCGACGGCGTACTGGACTCGCTGCGCAGTTGAGCAGACTCCCATTTTTTCGAGTCGTAATGTAGGGTCACAAGATGAGAATCCATTTTCTTGAATTGTTGCAAGTTTCGTGCATTTCAATGCAGTCGAGCAGTATGCATTCCTGGTGTGTGGGTGTAAAGACTATCGTTTAAAATTCAGACACATTTAGGTTATACATGACAACGGCGTCGATTGTCCCCAATTCCGAAAACCAGCCGCTTGTGGCCACGTCCGAGCAAATCCAAGGCCTCGTGGAGGCCCTCATAGAACTTGGAGTTCTAGTACATGATAATCAGGGAACACAACAATCTCATAATGCGTTAACCCACAAAGTCAACCAAGTGGTTAGTCAGCTTTCAGGTATTTCTGCCGCTCCTTTTACAAACCAGTTTTCTGTGCCATTGGATGTGATCAGCTACATTGAAGACGGAAGGAATCCAGACGTTTACACTAGAGAATTTGTTGAGGTTACAGCCAAAAGTAATGCTCGGCTTAAAGGCCGGATGCAGGGCTTTCAACGACTCCGAGACGTTCTTGGACAGAAAATGGCCCAGGAGTATCCGCATTTGGAACCTAGCATAAAAAATATAGCTGACAGAACGGGCACTTGATTGCCGTTTAGCATGCTGTTTAGTATGGCGTTATCCGAGTTTGCACCCAGACACCCACACCCAAGAACATTTACCTGCAACTTAGCGGCTGGCTGCGCGACCGATTGGAGGTGAGTGGCCGAATGGGGATGCAGATATACGATGGTGTGCACGTTTACGGCGACGAAAACACTTGATCTTGACAATGAACCAGCACGTCACAATAGGATACGAGGCTTTCCACGTCATCGGGCTGGTCAGTGCATAATGGGATGCCATTATTTAAAGCATAAGAGCTCGAAACTATGCTCATCGCTCCACGTCACATTCCATTTTGCAACTCCGACCCATGGTCGCATCCAACTTGCTTACGCTCCTTTCATTATGTGCCGCGGTGATGGCTGTCACCTATGACAGTACCACCACGGTTACTACCACTCCTTATACCACCATTACTACTACGGTTGGTTTAATTGAAGAGATATATGAGACTGCTTATATCTATACCAATTCCGACAGTAAGCTCACCACTGACTATGTGACGGGTCTGACTGTTTTCAGGGTGGCCACCGGAACTCCTACGTCTGTGGGACAAGCTACTTCGGTTACTTCACCAATTGTTGCAAGCTCACCAGTAGAGTCTCTGGAGACTCCAGTTCCAGCCACAGAGGCTCCGACCTCTGTAGAGAGCTCGTCAAGCTCAGTGGTGTCAAGCCCAGTGTCAAGCCCAGTGGTGTCAAGCCCAGTGGTGTCGAGCCCAGCTGTGTCGAGCCCAGTGTCGAGCCCAGTCTCTTCTGGCCCACTTACGTTGGCTCCTGCCTCGGCCTTGCCATCTTCGAGCAGCGTGGCTGAGAGTTCCAGCGAGACGCTGTCTTCAGCTGTTGCGGAGCAGACTAGCTCAGAAGCGGCTTCAACTTTGGTTTCGATTGAGAGCGCAGCCCCCTCTTCTGTTGCTTCTACAGTTGCTTCTGCTGATTCTACCAGTTCTTCAGTCGCTTCTTCAGTTGCTGCTTCTGCTTCTTCTGCAGCTTCTTCTGCTTCGTCTGTTGCTTCGTCTGCTTCTTCTGCAGCTTCTTCTGCTTCGTCTGCTTCTGCTGCTTCGACTTCGTCTTCAGCAGCATCTTCAGCAGCACCAGCAGTGTCCACCATTCCATTTTCCGTGCCTCCCGGCGAGTACTCCACCTCCACCACCCGCACCCTCACCACCTTGGAAGACGGAGCCACCGCTGTGCTCCAGCTTGTTGTTTTGTATACCAGTGACTGTTAATAGGTGTAGTTGCAGCCATTGCAAAATACATGCAGTCTCCTGCACCCAGTAGACTCTAAAGTTCCGCACCCTTGACACTTTTACAGTGCTACGATGATCGGACTTCAGTTAGTCCGTACTCGTGTATTTTGCCAAATCTCTCGTCTGCCACGCAACCCAAAAAATGTTATGGCTCGAAGGTTCGTAAGAACTCCAACAATAGACTGGAAACCAATAACTTCGAAAACTACCAATTTGCGCACTGCAGAACAGCAGGCTAAGACTCCCATTATTCGAAGGTTTTTTCTTGGTTTGATGATCGCCATGCCGGTAATAAGCTTTGTACTTGGTTGCTGGCAGGTGAAAAGACTCAATTGGAAAGCAAACTTGATTGCAAAAAGTGAAAATGCTTTGGTGCAACCTCCCATCGACCACCTTCCTCCCGTCTTAGATCCGGAAGTAATTCCAGAATTTGAGTATAGAAAGTTCAAGGTGAAAGGACACTTTGACTATGACCAAGAAATGTTTTTAGGGCCCCGTATCAAAGACGGAACCCCGGGATATTTGGTGGTATGTCCATTTGTTCGTCTGGATGGTGGAAAACCACTTTTAATTGAAAGAGGCTGGATTCACAAAGACAAGGTGATTCCCACCACGAGAAGCGACAGTAAAAACTACTTGAGACACTTGGCAATGCCACAGGGAGAAATTGAAATCGAGGCACTTTTCAGAGTAATGCCCAAAAAGCTGAATTTGCAATTCGACCATGAGGAGGGTACGCGGCTCTTTTACGTTCCAGATGTCGAATCCATGGCAGAGCAGCTGGGAAGTTTGCCCATCTACTGCCAGATGATATACGATTTGACGGATAAACCATGGATAGGGCCTAATGAATCCAGACCCAGTAAATGGAAGTTTTGGCAAAAAGATGAAACCACAAATTATCGACCAGAAGAGTATCAGGAATTTGAATTTGTAAAGCAAGGCGTACCCATTGCTGCCACTCCCAAGGTCAAGTTTAGCAATAACCATATGCAATACTTGGTGACATGGTTCTCGCTTTCATTCTTCAGTGCTGGATTGCTCATTTGGAACATGAGAAAGAAGAGTGGAGGAGCAGAAAAGGCAATTGAAGCCAAGCGCAAGAACATGAAGGCCAACTGGTGATATGTATATAATGTATATAGTGTGTATGGGGTGTTATCTACGGAAACTTATCAACCCGAATAACAACACCACTAATCCCAAATCATTGAGCACAAATGTTACTGTGTCCCAGCACCCAATAATTTTCATGATGAGTGGCTGGAACCGTTGAAGTTTAGGCACAAACATAGCTGCCATAGATATCCCCTTAACCAAAAGTCCGTTGTTATTACTGGGAACGTTTCTCGATGCTGCGATATAAGCGGCTACCAACACCGCCTCAATAGCGACAAAGATTTGAAAAAAACTGCTGACCGAGGAAGTTGGAGGTATCGATCTGATGAACGGGTTGGCCGAGGGCAGAAACGAAAAGTCAGATATAGTCAAAAAATGATACACAAAGTTGGCTAGTATGCTCACCATGCGCACCACGAGAAACCTGTGTCTGACTTTCCGTTGTTGATAGAGATTATACGCAATGAGTTGTTGCTGGTACTCCATATTGGCTGACATGGGGTTTGTCCCGCCTTCTTGACCAAGCATTCCTTCGGGTCCTCCTCCTTGCATCATATTCATCATCATTTGAGTGAATGGATCCGAGCCTGGATCACCATTGGCGGCTCCTCCAGCTCCCATATTCCCTCCCAAGACCAGATTTAACATGGCATCGATATCAAGCTCTGGTTCTGGCGTTGGTTTGGACGCAATAGTGCTAATATCCATGCCTTCTGGATCATGGTCTGCTGGTTGTGGTTGGTCCAAAACCGACACAGCAGACGTCTTGACCGAACTTCCTTGGGACAAGATCTTGTTGAGCCTATCGGAAGCACCCCCCTTGGCCATTTTGGCCTGCCTTCTCTCTCTCAAAATTCTCTGTTTCTCTCTATCCGAAGGCATATCGATGACTGGAACCTCAGTTTTGTCCTGCGTATTTGCCAGAGCGACGCCTGGATATTCGTACAGGAATTGAGTTTGGGCAAAAAACAGAACCATGCCAGCCCCACTTAGTCATCAGGAAATCATACGGCGACAAACCATAGTGAACTCAATGGAGAACAGGGACTACTTGTTGGTGATCGCCAGTCAGCAGAACAAGTCAGTGCAACAAGTGCGGTATGAGTTGATGAAAAAGTTGACCGAAGGATGAGAGGTGACGTGATAGCGAGAATGCAAATTAGCGAATTAGCAAGTATAGATTAGCAATTTGTTTGTTTAGCAGTTCAGCAATTTGTCTGTCAAGCAACTTGCTAGCAAGTTTGTCAGATCAGCCGGTAGCCGGTTATTCCTTCCTAGTTGGCTGGATTGGCTCTACTTTCTCCGGGGTATCTTCAGTTCAAACAAGTCTTTCATGTACCGAGGCGGCTGGTTCAAATTAGGTTTATTTCGTCCCACAGGCTTGCGTACTGCACCCCGTTGTGGCAATCTTGTCTCTTCGTTACGGCTGCTACCAGCGCTGACCGTTGTGGTATGATTGCTTTCAGTGGCAGATATTTTGGCACGTAGACGGGAGTTTTCCTGGCGTAACTCTTCAATTTGCTCCTGGAGCAATGCCACTCGATTGTCAATGCCATCAAGCTTCTGTATTCGTTGCCATTGATCGCGGGTTGGACATCCAGGAAAGTCTACACACCAGGTGGTGATATTAAGTCCATAAAGGAAAGCAGCAAATGACTCGTTGAATCCACCAGACATGGCTTCGTGGATCTGCTGGAGATTGGTCATATTGACATCCAATTCTTCCATGGCATCGGAAAGTTGTCCGAATCTGTCTCTGTTAGTTGCACTATCTAGCGGCAAGTTTTCTGCATCTACTGCATAATGGACTTTTGGGGATTGAGGAAGAATACCGTATATACCCGAAGATCGCCTCAGGTGCCTGCGGTTTGATTTTTTGTGCTGGGAATTGGGGGTTGAAGGATGCAGTAACACCATGGTCGCGTAAACAAAGAAGATTTAATGAGAAGATTATATGCGACAGTTATATGCAGTCACTTATAGAGCTTTCGATATAGAGCGTTTCAGATATATGATATAAAGCCAACATTGTAACAGACAAAGATGACATCTTCTTGTTCAGACCACTGTTTACTGACCCTACTGTTTATACTGTAAGGCATTTCCCTCCCTTCTTTTTTTAGTCTCATCTTTCGCAGCCGCTCAGCATTTCTCTCCAAAATCAATTTCTGTCCAAAATTAATTTCCCGTTCCGATTATCTCCTGCCATGTCTTGCCCTCCTTCTGCAACTCCTCCACAAGCTCGTCCTTAATTTTCAGCGGAAGACCTGGCCCACGGTAAGCAAAAGCAGTATATAATTGTACAATGGAAGCACCTGCTTTACCAAATTCGAGTACATCTTTTCCTGAAGATACACCACCGCAACCAACAAGTACAAGATTACTGTCCTTGGTGTACTTGTGTAGAGTGCGAAGTGCCTTGAGCGAAAGTGGTTTCAAGGGTTTGCCAGATAATCCTCCAGTTTGATTTATGAGATTGGAGTCGGTAGTAAGTAGAGACTGGGTAGGTCTTTGGATCGTTGTGTTCGAGATGATAATTCCATCGACTTTTGCCTGGATGGCAGAGTTGGCAATGGACTCGATTTCAGGCTCAGTCAAATCTGGAGCAACTTTGACAAGTACTGATGGTACCTTACCCACCATATTCTTTCCTACAGCATTACGCTCTTGAACCACAGTCGAGAGCAAGTTTGTGAGCTTTCCCTCAGACTGAAGGTCTCGAAGCCCAGGGGTGTTAGGAGACGAGACATTGACCACTAACACATCAGCATAAGGTCCTAATCTCGACACTCCCTTGACATAATCTTCAACTTCATCACCAAACTTATTTTTTCCGAGATTGATACCCAAGAGTTTTCCCGGGCGGAACGAGTTGGCTTCCTGGTTTTCTGACCGGTAGAAAAGCTTGGCAAACCGCATTTTGAGTGTAGACAACACATTAAAGTGACCAGACGAGTTGAAGCCGTACCGATTGATAACGGCTTCGTCACGAGGTAACCTAAAAAATCGCGGTTTTGGGTTACCAGGTTGAGGCTCTGGGGTAATTGACCCGATTTCCACATACGAAAACCCAGTATCAAACAAAGAATCAATGGCTTCTCCGTCTTTATCCAACCCAGCTGCCAACCCAATCGGCGAAGATAACCGAGTACCCAACACATTTACTCCGAGGATTTTTTCCCTGCCAGGTTTTTCAAACTCCCATGGACATAAACCATACTTCATGAGGAAAATACCAAGACGATGACCCTCTTCGGCATCTGTCACCGAACGAATGAGAGGACAAAAAACGTACTCATGAATTGCCGATTTCGAGTCTGCTACATAATAGGCCCCGGTAGCTAGCCCAAGTGTGGCCGCAACCACAGCCACCTGCAGACCAAAAGTGGACTTCAAAACACGAGCAGCTTTTGACATAGTGAGAGTTTAGGATGTTAATCGGCACCGAATGATTTAAGTTGGTTGGTGTATGGGTGTGAGAATGGGTGCAAAATGGGAAAATGGGGTACAATTATGTAGCTAAAACAGATGTTGATTGACTTCTCAGTGTGTGAAAGTGTACTTATCTTCTCAAGTAAAGGTAAAAGTACATTCTCTTTGATCATAATCGATTCAAACCGACTTTGTGTTGGCATGTCTTCGGTGTGTTTTATGCAGTACCGCATCTCATCGCTTCGCAGATTTGAATCTATTGAATTCAAGTGAACTTAAGTAATGGCACTTACAGGTAAAATGGGCAGCCATGAGCGGCCCAATACGGAAAAATTCGAAAGGGGGACGCTGAAGAAGCACTATAGTAAAGATAAGAAGTTGAATGCCGGGCTCAAAAAAGTCGATCGTCAGTATAAGGAGGCGGTTCGAGCCGCGGCCGGTACTGACATCTTGTTGCAAGAAGAGGGCCGGTTTCTTGGAAGCCGAGGGTCCTATGGAAAAAACGTTCAAATTCAAGCAAAATGAACTAGCAGACGCTGTAGACCAGGGTACTGCCAATAAAAAATTTGATTTGAAGCTTCCTGAGTTTGGACCTTATAACTTGGACTACCTGCGAAATGGACGAGAATTGCTTCTAGTTGGAAAAAAAGGACACATTGCATCACTCGACTGGCGAAAAGGAGCCATCAGTAGCGAGCATTATGTTAATGAGACCTGTCATGCTATAAAATCCTTGCACAATGACCAATACTATGCTGTTGCACAAAAGAAGTATACTTTCATTTACGACAAAACCGGTACTGAACTTCACCGTCTCAAACAGCACATCGAAGCCACATTACTCGACTTCCTTCCATATCATTTTCTCCTTGCTACGGCAGGAAATACGGGATATCTCAAATACCACGATGTCTCGACTGGTGACTTGGTCAGTGAATTGAGAACTAAATTGGGTCCCACACAAGCCATGAAACAAAACCCATGGAACGCAGTGATGCACTTGGGCCATGGAAATGGAACAGTGTCTCTTTGGAGTCCAAATATGTCAACACCATTAGTGAAGATTCAAGCATCGAGAGGTCCAGTACGAGACCTTGCAATTGACAGAGAGGGAAAATACATGGCAGTAGCCGGTATGGATAAGTCTTTGAAAATATGGGACTTGAGGAAGCTCTCTGAAGTCGACAGTTACTATACGCCAACTCCAGCAAGCTCTTTGGACATTTCCGATAACGGTTTGCTCTCGGTTGGATGGAGCAGTCATGTTACCATTTGGAAAAATGTGTTCAAGAACAAGCAAAAAGACCCCTATATGAACCACTTGTTACCAGGCTCAAAGGTAGAAAAGGCTTGTTTTGTTCCGTTTGAGGATGTTTTAGGCATCGGCCATCAACATGGGTTTTCTTCTATTATTGCGCCTGGTGCTGGTGAAGCCAACTTTGATGCTTTGGAACTCAACCCATACGAAACTGCCAAGCAAAGACAACAGCAGGAAGTCAGATCATTGATCAACAAGTTGGCTCCTGATACCATCTCTTTGGATCCAAATGTGATTGGAACTGTTGATAAGAGGGCCAGTAGCATACGATTGGGTCCAGGACAAATTGACGATATCAAGAATAATGGAGAGAAGAAGATGGATATAAGGGCTGATGTCAAGGGGAAGAACTCCGCCTTGAGAAAACATATGAGGAAGAAACGACAAAATGTCATTGACGAACGCAAGTTAAGAATCGAGAAGAACTTGAAGGTTGAGAAAGATGCTAGACAAAGAAGACACAGAGAATTCAAGGGTATACCCGAAGAAAAGGACTTGCTCGGGCCGGCATTGGCGAGATTTAAGTAGATAAAAAGTAGCTGTGTATTATTCAGACGTACAAGTATACTGATCAACAGGTGGATGTGTGTCCATACACATAATGAATAGGTCTCGGCGCAGAGCAGAGAAATGCAGAAGTTTATTGCCAGGAAAGGATTTAGTTGAGCAATTAGTTGAGCGATTGGGCAGCAACAAAGTTGGAGTAGTCCACAGTGAACATATCGCCAAGCAACGATTTGGCACGCAAACTTTCGGATAACGACTCGTAGTTGTCCACCGTTGCCTTTACCAACTCTATGACCATGCGAAACTTGCCCTGAGAGAGGTCGTTGTGTTTCTCGAGTTTGTTGATCAAGTCATTGTCCTCGATCATCTTTACAATCTTGGACAACGACTCTACCTTTGCATCTTTGGTCGATGCTACTTCCTGACAATCCTCGTCGTTCAAAGAGTGATTGAATGCAATGATCCATGTGTTTGCTAGCTGGTCGTACGCCTGGACCTTAGTATACTGGAACTCGGTATTGGCAAAGTTTGGGAGTTGATGAATGAGACTGGTGACATAATCGAGGAATGTCAAAGATTGGAGGGTGTTAACTTCTATCGGTGGGAGAAAACTTAACGTGAGATCGGAGAGGCAGCTGAGAAATTCGTTCAAGTGTGGTTTAACCCTCAAATAAGAGTAGTCGGATTCCACATCGCATTTGTATGGCAAGTGGTTGATGATTTCATCAAATCGTTCTCTCAATGTTTCCAAGCAGTCTTTGAGTTCTGGTCGCGGCGAGAGCTTGTTGATGGTAGTGGCAACCTCGGGATGAATAGTTAAAAGCTTTGTAAGAAGTTGTTGGAGTGACCGGTGGTCAAGTACTTCCACTACCCGAGATACCGGGAGAGCCTGACCGATAATTTTTGGGGTTTTTATGCGCTTGCTTCGTTGTATTGGTCTCGTTGGTTGTGACTGAGGCTTTCCAACCTTGCCGTAGTCGTCGTCGTGGCGTCTTTTGCGAAATGAATTTCCAAGGTCATGTTTAAACGAGTCTGATTTCTGGAGAATATCGCCATATTTGTGTTTGCTTTTCAGCTCCAAGTATTTTTCTGGAACCCAGTTATACCCTGTAGCCATTACCAACGATATATATCAAACGAACAACGATGGAAATAATTGCTACTATGCGGTAAGTTGAGCGGCGAAGGGCGAGATGAATTAACCGCGCGGTTACCCGCACACCAAAGAGTATACCGACTCGCATTTAGCCAGCAGCCACCATAAGACTGGGAAAATGGGCGTCTAGCCAAGCTCGTGCATGGAGTTTACTCTCTAATCAGTGAAGCTTAAGGTAGGCTTTAATTAGAGTTGGAAACAATTTTCAACTGAATGTCTTGATTGGTTGACATTTTAAAATACCTAAAAAGTTCAAATAACCAAAATTTGAAAAAACTTAAAAAGTGACTCTCCTGCTTTTAAGAAAGCCTGTACTGATTGGAACAAGTCATTGAACTTTGGATCACATTCATGTACCTCGTCATAATTTCTGGCAATTATCGCACAAGTTCTTAATAGATAAGTGAAGACCCTCATTAAGTCATTTTTCTGTCATCTTTACAGAGTTTAATGAGGTTACGTACAATTACGATAAACCCAAATTTCATTAATCTACGCCAATTAGGTCCACATCATATTTGTCATATAATGATTATTGACCTTGATGGTTAAAACTAGCAATGAACATTGATCTTTGAAGCATTTCCCAATGTTCTTTGGACCCAAGTTTGAGAGAAAAATGTGCTAGTATGAGAAACTTCCGTTCTCTTGTTGTAATCTATGATTTTCAATTGGCTGCAAATTGACACTCTCATCACCGTTATACTCTCTTGATTCGATATGCCGAGCACCAAAGCGGTATAACTTGTGATTCTCATCACTCTAATTCTATTCTCTATGTACATTAATAGTAGTCATTGCCTTCATACTCAGAGTCGCTCACGTATTCAGAATCACTTACACACGATGACTGCGACGCTCGATCGTAGTCTGCTTCGTTGAACCCCACAAACCGGCTGCGTTTCAATTCGACTTCGTCGTCGCTCATCTTGTCTTCTTCGTCGGTGACATCTTCTTCGGAACTGTTTCTATTATCCTCCTTTTCTTCAAGTTCAATTTTCAACTCATGCAATATATCAAAGCACTCTGCAAGTAACGCATTCAATGTTCCCTGGCCCTCTGGTATTTGATTGTTGACAATGAACTTTCCATCCCGACGAAGGTTGTCAAGAGATGCCAATTTAAATTGAAACGGATATAATTCTCGCAAATTGTTGAGTCCGTCAATCCTTTTCAATTCAAGCAAGCACCGCCTTACCGTCAGCAATTGGTTATGTATGGGCTGAAGCGACTCCAGCACTGGCTCCAGGGATTCAAGGAGCTTGTAAATGAGTGAGTAACATCTTCGCAAGAGATAAATAATGACAATTTGAAGTTTCTTGACGTTCTTGTCTTTCTGAGTAGCAGGGGTCAATTCGAGGGCGGTTCGCTCTTCTTCGATCTCCTTCAAATGTTTTTGGTAAGTGTACAAATCCGTTTCACGAAGCGTCCATCTTCTGGTTACGAGTAAGCTTTCGAGAGTCTGCTTTATATCCAAAAGACGCCAATACATGCTTTTGAGCTTGGTAACTGCATCCTTGTCTTCATCGCTGAGCGATAATTTTTCGAAAAGACTGTTGATATCTTTGTTTTTCTCCACCGATAAATCATTGATAATATTGTTACAATCGTCCAATAATCCATCCAACACCATCTGGTTGGGCAATAATTTGCCGGCACTGACAAGCTCAGAGTGGAATTTTCCTTCTTCATCACGTTGCTGTTCCACCTTCTTAAGACGGTCTTTGAGCTCCGAGAGTGTAGCCTCGTCGGGTTCCGCGGCAGTGACATAGTTGAGAAGACCTTTACGAATCGCCAACAACTCGCTATAAACCGGTTGGAGGTCTGTGGGAATCAGCTTGATGGCTGCCTCCAATTCGGAGTAAAGGTCCTGGCATTTCTTGAGCTTATAACGGAGTAAAAGGTACTCTTCGCTTCGGTTGGAGTTCTCTTCCTGTTCGTCGTCTTGGTAACTTTGGTCCAAAATCTGGCGGATTTCGTCAAGCCGGTGATTTATGGGCTTGAGATCCGCCTTAGTGTACACCTGGCATCCCTTGAGATGAAGAAGAAGTTTATAGACGGTGGAGAGTGAAGAGTAGGTTGCGGGGGCAAATTTTGTGAGACCACAAGTAACGAAACACAAAGAAACAAGTTGCCAAATGTCATCTATGAGTTTATCGTTGACGTTAGGAAGGTTTAATGTCATCCCCTTGAGTTCTTCATCCTTTCTTGCCACTCTTAAATCTTTCAAGAAGGTGAGAAATTGATCATAAATCGTGTACACTTGCTTCAGACTAATATAATGAGCACGATTGTTTTTCAATGACAAGAGGGTGTCGTAGATATGCTGGAGACCTTCATGGACGCTTTTCTCATAGTTGGGAAAGTCCTTCATTTGACGGAGGTTATAAAATATATCGGGAGTTTGCGATTGATACACCGGGCGCGAGATTATCGGCCCATGTGCACACTACAAAGCGTGAGCCATATATAAATCATTTCATTAAACTACATCAATTATCCGGGTTGGCTACCTGGAGTATTTTTCGGGAGTAATCTGTCTCATCTGCCAATGAGCCTTCGGATAATCGTCTTCTGCCCATCATCATAGGATTGAGACGAGGATCAACTAATCCCAGTTTTCCACCTCCCGCAGCCACCATGGCTTCCGAGGGATCAGTGAATGGATTAGACATAGGCCGGTCCAATGGCGAAGCAGGCTTACTACGTTTCAGTTTGTTGGTTCCTCCGCGAGCCATTTCGGGTTTGTCGTAGAATTCTTCCTCATCGTGGTCTTCGTCTTGTCTGCGCTTGCGAACAAGGAAGAAGGCTATAAGCGACACAATTACGATCGCAGCCACACCGCCAACGACACCACCGACTATTGGTCCTACCTTGGTGCCTCCAGACTCTTTTTTCTGGGCGCCTGACGACGAGGAAGCCAGGGGCGATGACGTTGATTTGGATGCTGACGAACTAGACGTAGCGGACGCCAGTGCCGTCACCGTCTTGACGACCACGCTGCCGTCCTGGCTTCGCGTAGAGGTCACTTCTTGAGCCGTTTCCGATGTAGCTGATGCGGAAGGGGACGAAGATTTGGATTTTGAACTTGTGGTGGAGCTTGCAGACGACGACGACGTTTGAGACGACGAAGAGGTTTCGGAAGCTGAGGCGGTTTCGGAAGTGTCGTCCGAAGCACTGCCGTTGCCGGTGTAGACACTGTAGGCGCTTGAACCACCACACATTTGAGATCCGAAGCCAAAACAGCCAACATTACAGCCGCTCGCCAGACTCGAACCAGATGGTTTTTTGCTCAAACAGTAACACTCGTCACCGTTTTTGAGAGCTATATACGGCGAATCGGGACAGCTCAGCGCACATAACGAGCTGGTTTGGTACTGCTGTGTACCCTGGCTATCTGAGGTATCAACACTGGAATAACAGCCCACGAGTTCGATGGCGGTTGCCATCGATATGAACAATAAAAACGCTAAGTAACGCATTCTAGTTGAGGCCCATGCGTCGGGCGGGTCGCTACCAGCAAGAAATCGATGAAGATCAACGAAATGAACAAAAAAAGAAATCGACTTTGACGAGTCAAAATGGGGGAATCAGCAAAAAGTACTCACGGGCGAAAGTTGTTGTATAGCGAATGAGTCCTAGTTGTTGGTGGGAAGAAAGGAAAGGCACCAAACAGGTTGTGGTTGTTAAAGAACGGGTTCCGTGGTTGTGTGAAAGGGTATAAAAAATTCTTAAGCTCGTGGTAATCTATTTTTTTATCGTTTTCGCGTTTCGCGCGCAGGGGCGGTCTAGAACTGGGGGCGGGCGGGCTGCGGCAGTGTTGGTTCGGGTAAAATCAAACGCGGTGCAGGAACAGACTAAATTGGCTGCAACGGCCGCACCACAACGGCTGCACCCAACGGCTGCAATAAATAGATCATCTTTTCTTTGAATTTATTGATCATATTATTTGTCTAATTATCTACCAAAAGCCACAAGTAAGAGTCGATAACAGCGGTAGCAGCCAAACTAGTAATATCGCTATTACTGTCGTATGGAGGACTCACCTCCACCACATCAGCCCCCACCAAATTGATACCTTTGAGTCCATCTAGAACACTCAAAAGCTCCCGGCCCGTCCACCCGCCGATCTCCATGGTTCCTGTACCAGGAGCATTTGCTGGGTCGAGAACATCGATATCCACAGAAATATAAACCGGAGTGTCTTTAACGGTGGATTTAATCTTGTTGACGATACCATGTATTCCCATAGAATCGATGTCCCTGGCGGTAATTGAGTGGAACCCACAAGCGGCATCGTGCTCGTGGTCGTATTTGGCATCAATATATGGTGCCCGCAAGCCTACGTGGAGACATTGACCTTCGTTCAAGTAGCCTTGTTCCGCAGCATAGTGAAGAAAAGTTCCATGGTTAAGTGCCATATAATGGGTGATTCCGCCTCCCAACACTTTGGGGTCCCACGTATCGATGTGCGAGTCAAAGTGCAAAACGCTAACCTTTCCGTACTTTTCGTATGCTGACCGAAGTGCCATGAGAGTGATGGTATGGTCTCCGCCCATGGTGATTATTTTGGGTCCCAGCGACGAATCGTGCTTATGGATCTTTCGCTCGCCACGGTACAACTGATTCAAGGCAATTCGGTTGTCAAAAGGAGTCATAGGCACATCTCCACAGTCAACAATACTGACGTTGTGGGTGCGAAGATCGTATGGATTTTTCGTGGTCGGTTTACGTTCCGGCGTAAGTCCTCCGAGCCGCTTGCCTGCCAGCCGTATAGCATCGGGTCCGAACCGAGCTCCGGGACGAAACAGGACTCCTGTGTCAAAGGGAGCGCCCACAATTGCCACATCAATTTTCTTATCAAGATGCTTATCGTCAAAGCAGTTAAAGTGAGGAAACCCACCAAAAGTGACGATTCCACCGAACAAATTGCGCCCATCAACAATGTCCGAAACTTCATCGTCGTCGGGAAGGTTCAATTTCGTTTGGTACTTGAGGTAAGCTTCATGGCTCTTCTCATAGAACCTGTCTTCGTGAATCTGTTCTGGATTAGTCCGACTTTTTTTCTTCATTTGCGACATCAAAACTTCCAAAGAGGCAAAATCGGTCACTTCCTGTAACTGTGCGAGCAATTGAGCCTCTATCGCTTCTGGCTCGTTGTTTTTGGGGGTCAATCGCTGCTGCAGACCAGCCGCTACTAACGGTCCATATACCGAATCAAGAAACGAACCCGAATTTTGTGGTGACGCCGAGTCGTCATTAATTACCATTGCTTCGCCCCAGGCAAAATTATCTACAGCAGCAGCTGCTGCCATTGAAGCCAAAAAATACCACTTCATGTTGAATGTGGAGAGGGGGCGCATCGGTATATATGGGGTAGCGGAACTGCCCAAGTAGGAAATTCCGTGCGATAAGACAAATAAAGTAGGTGGGTGCAGAAATAGTGTAGACGCTTAGTATGATATAGAGACAGTGTGGTATTGATGTAAAATATAGCAAGCTGCGTGGAAATAGCCATATTGCAGTAGAAAATGATATTAAAGTTTACTGAAGATAAACTGTAGCAGCTAAACTTATTCATTTCAACTAAAACTACTCATTTTTAGCTAAAACTTATAACTGTATATGTTCTAAAACTGAAGAGGACGAGGAACGTACGGCTCTTCCAAGTAAGCCAAATCGTCCTCTTTCAACTCGAAGGAAAATGCCGATAAAATATCATCCACACGTTCCTCAGAGTTTACACCAACGATAGGAAAAGCACCTTTGCTAAGCACCCACTTCGTAGCTATAGCAGCCATAGACACACCCAACTTCTTGGACAATTGCTCAACTCGACTGATGATAATTTCCTCCGAGTCTGACAATTTGTCCAAGCCCAACTGATTTATACGAGCATCTGACTTGAATCTCTCGGTAGCTGTAGACTTCGAAGGACGAGCTAGAAGTCCACGAGCTATAGGGGAGTAAGGAATTAGACCAACCTTGCCAAAAATGTTATCGTTGCAAAATGGAATCATTTCCCGTTCCTCTTCACGATACAACAAGTTGTAGTAGTTTTGCATACTTATGAACTTTGCCCATCCATGTTTGTCTGCGATAAATTGCAATTGAGCAAATTCCGTGGCTTTCATAGAAGATGCACCCAAGTACCTTGTGTGTCCCAACTCCACGACATCATTCAAGGCTTTCATGATTTCTTCCTTAGGAGTTGCGTTATCCAACCTGTGGATTTGAAGCACATCAATGTACGTACCAAGTCTTTCAACTGAATTTTTCACAGCCTCGAAAATGTGTTTTCTCGATAAGCCTTGAGCGTTAACATAATCAACCTCAGGATACTTATTCTGAGAGTATTTGCCAATACTGAAATCAGGATCGGTAGTATCAACGGGAAAGAACACTTTTGTCAAAATAACAACTCTTTCTCTTGGAATGTTGTATTTCTTCAAAAACTTGCCCAAAAGTATTTCCGATTGACCATTGGAGTAGACATCGGCAGTATCAAATGTACGAAGTCCATTATCATAGCATTTCTTCAAGATCAGCATAACCTTGTCCTCATCGTCAATTACCCAGTCGGAGTATTCCTTACTTCCAAATGTCATACATCCGATTATAACGGGACTGATCGATAAGCCAGAAGCACCGAGCTTTTGATGTTTAAATTTTGGAACGGACATGAGAATTGGAAGCTGCTGCAGGTGGGGGAGGGACGAGGGAGTTTATATAGGCAGTGGCGGATCGCGCGGGGGGTATCCTTGAGAAGTAGGTGTGGCAGGTGGGGGTGTCAAAGTTGACACAATTGGCCAGTTTTTTTGATCAATTTCGCTTAATTGATTTCTCAGTCAAGTAGCACCACCCAATTGTTCTGTATAACAATGTAACGAATTTGTTTGGAATTTTTGCCGTCTTCACTTACGATACATGATTATGGCTTTATCCAGTTCTCCGCGATGTCCGCGGAAATCAGCCGCACCTCAGTAATGAAACGAGTACCAATCAGAAGTGGCTAGTGAGTCATTAGACATATGAGTACATTGTGGGAAACCAGAAATTGACACAAAAGCACTTGAGTACCTCTAAAGTAGGAAGACTCTGTCTCCGTTTCATTTCTCTAAAACTTGACTGTTGTGCAATTGTTCTGACACTTCGTTAGTACTATGAGGACAAAGCGAGGTGTGTTCAGATGAATCGCTGGCATCTAGAAAGTACTATATTTTCCATATTTCTTCACCATTCACTTCGAGGTAAAGTACATCAATGGTAGGACATTTCCACAATTAAGGCTACCTTAGGAGCAGTACGGTGCTTCTGGTAGTTTGCGGATTTAAACTATTTTTCCACAACGAGCTTGAAGTCTTATGACGAAATACCAAGACTTTCGGATCCGATTAGAATACGTCGTTGCAGGGATTAGCTGGGAAATGGCTTGGGAGTATCAAGATGATCCAAAGTTTGTTTCGAGCAGTCAACCCAATTTATTCATCGTCAGCAACTTTTAAGTAAATGATTCAGATTGATGTATTGAGACGCTTATATGTGAAATCGTGGTATTGATTCAAGTCCTAAGACACTAGATGGAAATCGAGATGTTGAACTCGCGTAGAATGTAATTGCCGCTCGTAATGAACAATTGTTTTTGGCTGCGAAAATCCTGCACGATGAACCATCGGTTGCAGATTGAACCAGTGTACCGTCCGGCTAGTATCAATTTATTTGTCGCTTTGTAACTAGTGTACGCCTGCATGAAATCAATATCTCTGTCCTATCTATAAACGTTTCCTAACGTAATGGACTTAATCACGGTGTAGTCGTCGATTCCGTATAACGATCCTTCACGGCCAAATCCAGACTCCTTGACTCCTCCAAATGGCATAGAAGCATCGGTAAAGAGACCTGTATTGACAGAAATCATACCAGCCTCAATGTTCTCCGACATGTACCAGATGGTGCCCAAGTTTTCGGAAAACACATACGATGCCAATCCAAATTCGGTGTCATTACATTGTTCCAAAACTTCTTCTTTGGTATCGAATTTAACCAAAGCAGCCAAAGGTCCGAAAGTTTCTTCCTTAAGAACTCTCAGACCAATGGAAACGTCCCTGAGAACAGTAGGTGCGTAGAAATGCTTTCCTAATTCTGGTAAACGACCTCCCTTCACCAACGCAGTGGCTCCCTTGTCGATGGCATCTTGGGCGTGTTGTTCAACTTTTTCAATGAGTGATTCATTGACAAGACAAGCATGGGTGACACCTTCTTCAAAACCATTGCCGATCTTGAACAGTTTGACTTTTTCAGCAAATTGATCAGCAAACTTATCGTAAATTCCACTTTGGACATAGATACGGTTGGCACAGACACAAGTTTGTCCCAAAGATCTAAACTTGGAAGCTACCGCTTGCAGTACGGCAAGATCCAAGTCTGCATCGTCAAACACAACGATAGGGGCATTACCACCCAATTCCATCGACAATTTCTTGAGAGTGGAAGACGACTGTTTCATCAACAATTTTCCAACTCGAGTAGAACCGGTGAAAGAAATCTTTTTGATCAAGGGCGATTCGCAGAACTTCAATCCCACCATGGGAGTGTTCTTGGTGGAAGTAAGAACAACATTGATGGTACCAGCAGGGAAACCTGCTTGTTCAGCCAAGTAGGCAATGGCCAACGACGACAATGGAGTCTGACCATCTGGTTTCAAAACTGCCGTACACCCAGCAGCCAAAGCTGGAGCAAGTTTACGGGTTCCCATAGCCAGAGGAAAGTTGAATGGGCACAAAAGTCCCACCACACCTATTGGTTGTTTCAAAGTAATCACCTTATTAGATGGAACCGAAGGTTGAATTGTGTGTCCATACATGCGCTTGGCTTCTTCTGCAAACCATTCAAAGTATGAAGCAGCATATTTCACTTCTCCAAGTGCATCAGTAAGACATTTTCCATTCTCCCAAGTAATGATACGAGCCAAGTCGTCCTGGTTTTCCATCATAAGACTGTGCAAATTTTTCAACCACTTTGCACGATCATACACATTGGTATGCTTGTAAGTTTTGAAAGCTTCGTAAGCGGATTTGATAGCATGGTCAATTTCTTCTGGAGTTTGATCAGGAAGCTCGGCAATTGTTTTATCGGTAGCAGGATCAGTAACCTTGAAAGTAGTCTTGGATGCAGATTCGAACCACTTTCCCGCAATATAGGGTGAGGAGCGTATAAGTTTTGTGTTTTTAATGCCAGGAGCCATTTTGGAAAGAAGGATTGATTGATTTGCTTTATAAGTTGTTGCTCCGTTGGCGGCAGGTCCCAAACGGGCAGTTAGCGATTGCAAGTGCAGGACGTCGGCCCGATGTCTAGTCTCGATGAGGTGAAGGTAGAAAATAATTCGGTGGAGCCGGATAAAGTACCGATACCAAATCAAGGTATGGTTCGGCGGTGGAAACAACGAAAACTGAATAACATTATTTGTCTTTTTCTTATTCTTCGTTGGTGTTCTTGAAATCACAAAAAGTCTTTCGTTTGACAAAATTGGTGATTTTGTTGACAGACTAACGGTATCGGCAGTTCATCCGTGTGGTTTTAAGCCCCAATATCTACCGGCTCATTTGTTCTATTGCCGGTCTTCTTTAACTGCCGAACTGCCTTTCATTAAACCGTTTCGCAACCGTGGTAGATGCAGGACTTTAACGGTTCAGATCAATTAGACAAATACACCTTCTCATCAGTATGTCAATACCAATCTATTTGTCTTTTCTTATTGCATTGTTCTCTTCCTTCTTTGTTCATGACGAGACTAATTTGTTTCGAAATATTATTCAACAAAATTGTCGTGAACCGCATTAATTCGCGGAAAGGCACGGCGGGAAAATATGCTGTTCTAGTGAATGCATTGAGTCACTAATGCTTTTGCACGGTTCAGGCATATAATAGGCTGGTGAGAGCACCAATATAATTTCAGACTTTCAGAAAATTCTTAGTTCAGAAATTGCTTTCAAAGAGAATTTGGGTGCAAAATCTGAAACAATTTTTCAGCGTCGGAACACAGCAATTTTGTAGTTGTGCTTTGCAATTGTTATATGGTTGATTTGTGGTACGATTGACGTCCGTTTTTTACGACGGATACGACATTTACGACCGCTCCGAAACCCGACTTAAACCCGAGCACCGACTAGTTTTGTGACTGTTTCGGAACATGGAGAAAACAGATTGTTCCGCGGTCCGAAACGAACCCTAAATTTTAGCATCATCAACGGGCAAAGAATATTGAAACGCGACCACAGACTTGGCATCGCCGAGCTTAGGTACCATAATCAACATAACAATACCCAATTATTTTCTGTTGAATTTGTCAATATTCGCTGACAATCGCTGACAGATGGAGCTTGAATGGGCTTGCCTATTGAGGCAAGTGCGAAAGAATCGTGTGCGCGCGGCTTTAGCGGACATATTAACGGCCGTATTACAGATGCGGCGGTAATCGCACTAATTCCGGGTCCCGAATTATAATTGATATAAAGATGACTTGTTGCCACCTTATTTCGCACAACAAAAAATGGTGAAAAAGGTACTCGGGATTTCTTTGTTGTTGTCGATATTTAACAACTTAACGAATTCCATGTTTAAGCTTGGCAAAAAGGAGTCCAATGAACCATCAAAACTTACACGCGGCCAGGCACGCGCCCTTGATATGAGTGCCTAAATTGATAGATTGACCTGTATTTATTAGATTATGAATTGACGACCAAAGACATCATGTAGACACGGCTGGTGGCGGGGCGAGCCCTGCCAAGAATGACAGGGGCACTCTGTTATATGTAGTCTCTTGTCTGCAGTCGAGGTAGGAGCACTTGCTCGCGCGCCTGCACGCCAACACTGCCTTCTTTTCTTTCTCACCGTGTACATCAAACATTCACACTCGTTCTTGGTATGAAGGTGTTCTACGTAATATTAACATTCATATGTGCATTCGTGGTAGCTGACGTGGAGCTTACTGCGCCAGATAGTGGATCTACATATACAGCTTCAGGAGGCTCTGCTGCTGTTACCATTAAATGGAAGGATACTGTTGAAGACGATGATGATTCGGCGGCTTCCTTGTCCAAGGTGCTTAAATACACCATTTTATTGTGTTATGGAGCTGAAGATGGTACTGGAACCATCAAATGTTTGGATGATGATCCTATTTTGAAAGCTCAAAAGGTTTCTGGAACCTCCTATAAAGCACTGATTGATGCCAGCATGGTACCAAATGGTTACTATTACTTCCAGGTGTACGCTGCTTACCCTCAACAAGGATACTCTATCCATTATACCGATAGATTTCAATTGAAAGGAATGTCTGGACCCTCAACAATCAAGGCAACTGCTACAGGAGATACTCCAGGACCACAAGTTTCTATCGAGGGAGTAGATGGAGCTGGAGGTGCGGTCAACTCAAAGTCTTTCTCCATCACATACACTTTACAAACGGGTAAAACAAGATACGCACCCATGCAAATGCAACCAGGTTCAACCATTACTCACAGCAAATACAGTACCCGTTATCCTACCAGTGCGGTTACATACTACTCCACCAAAGCCAAGTCGCCTGTTGTTTACTCGACCATCACTCCTGGATGGAGTTATTCTCGTAAATCATACACCAACCTGGCCACTGCACAATTGTTTGAAACGTCGCATTATGCTGCTAGCGACAAGGTCAAACAAGCCACATTGTCAGCTGGCGACAAGAGAAAGCGGTGGATCGATTAGACAACTAGAATTGTTTTGTCAATCAATTGTATTTTCTGCTAGTCACACACTGCTATTTATTGCTATTCGCTTCATCGGTCTGCTGCTCTTGCTATCTGCTACTATCTGCTACTAAATCTGCTTTTCTGTTACTATCTCTGCTCTTTGCTATATCTGCTACTAAATCTCCTTTTTGTTACATTGCTATTCTCCTTGCTCTTCCATACTACCCTGTCCCTTTCTATTCTGGCTTTGCTGATAAGTTTCGCTACATTCCTTGGCCCGCCGTCCTGTGCAGGCGCCGTGTATTTACGTCGCGCGCACCTTTCGTGTTCTTCATGAGTTTTATCCACGAGGCAAACACGTCGTCGGCGGCGTTGCGCAAGCGTAAGACCCTCAAAAAGTCCATCGTCTTCTCCGTCATGGTGGTAGGACTGAGTGGGAGTGGTCGTTCCACACTTATAAACACTTTATGTGGAGGAAATCTGATCGTGCCAACTTCTCTGACAGCACTGCAAGATCCATACGCCAGGAAACTCACGTTGCGCCATGAAAACGTGGAGTTGGAGGATAATGATGGTCACAAGATCCTGTTCAACATCATAGATACTCCCAACTTTGCAAATCTGATCGATTGTAGTGAAGATTTCAAGACAGTCGTTGACTTTATTCGACACCAATATGATGAAGTATTGTTGGAAGAATCACGAGTTCGTCGTAATCCTAGGTTCAAGGATGGACGGATCCACGCGTTATTGTATATGGTGAATCCAACTGGTCATGGATTGAGTGAAATCGATGTGAAATTTCTCACCCACGTCAATAACTTGGTCAATGTTATCCCGGTGATTGCGAAAGCCGATTCGTTGACCCCACAGGAACTTCAGCTCAACAAGCAGCTCATTTTGGAGGACTTGAAGAACTACAACATCAACTATTACAAGTTCAACGAATACGAATACGAAGAAGACTATATGGACGATGAGATCATCGAGTATAACAAGTATCTCAATTCGTTGGTGCCGTTTGCGATCATTGGCGCCAATACTTACCAGGAAAACACCGGAGGAAGCGAAGACGAAGAGGATATTCTCAAATTACGTGTTTTGAATCCTCTTTATGCCAAACCAATCAATGTCGAGAACCCAGACTACAACGATTTCACCATCTTAAAGAACGTGTTATTGATCACCCACCTCAGTGAATTCAAGGAGTTGACCCACGATACAATCTATGAAAACTACAGAACGGAAGCTTTGAGTGGTAAGCGATTCGAATATAGCCAAGACTCCAAGACGGTTCCTACTGCTAATGGAGACAGCAACGAGGAATCATATTTGATGAAGGAGGAGCAAATCAAGCTTGAAGAGGAGAGATTGCGCAAGTTTGAGGAGCGGGTTCACCAAGACTTGATCAACAAACGCAAGGAGTTGCTCGAACGTGAGACGGAATTGAAGGAGATTGAAAAACGGTTGTTGGCCGAAGGTCTTAAATTTAACGACGAAGGAGAGGTGGTCAAAATCGAGCCGGACGAACAGCCAGAGCCGGTGCAAGCTGAATAGGTTGGATAGAACAATTATATTGCTTACAACTATGTAAGATTGTGTATCTATGTGGTTTGGTACTTTTTCACGATGTCGTCAAACTGGGCGTTTTTCTCCTGGAACTCGGCCAAGCATTGATGTTCAGGGTCCACTTTGGCCAATTGGCTTCTTAATTCGTCTGCTTGGGCGCCGCCATTGGTCAAGTAATCAAACGTGATTTGGTTGGCAATAAAATCACCGCTGGTGATGTTTAGGTCCTTAAGTTGTACCAAAAGCTCCTGGACCTCTGGATAGTGTTTCATTTGCAACGTCAACACAAACAACATGTTCAACAACTTGAATTTGCCCTGAGGGTCGTTGTCAAAATCGGCCGACAAGAGCTCATCGTAAAAGTAATAAGCATTACTGATATTATCGGACTCGCCCTTAATCGCCAAAATCCACGATTCTAGCACCTGATACACTATGGAGTCCCTGGCAGAGTCGGGGAATTTCTGGAACGCCAACATCACCTTGTTGGCCGCTTGCAAATTTCCTGTTGCCAAGTGGAGTTGAACCAACACCAAAAATGGTTCCAACTCGTTAAAATTGTTCAGGTTATCGATGTATGAGGTCAAAATGTTGATTGCCAGCTCCACATCCTTCTCGAATTTGACTCTGTAGATGGCAGTCAACACCGCCTGGAGCTCAAACTGGGCCAGTTTTATATCATCAAAATACGTCAGATCGTCAGTTCCAAAAGACTTGAGGTCGTTCCATGCCGAGAGCAACTGGAAAAGCCCCTCTTGGTTGGGAAATAAGCTTTTTCCCGAGTCAATCAACTGTGAAGCATCTTCCTCGAGTGCCACTGCGGACCGGATTTTGTACTCTAAAACTTTGAGTTGGTTTTCTGGAGAAAATTGGTCCAAAGAGTACTCTTGGATCTTGCGGTGCTGGTTGGTATAGAACTGGTTGCGTATGGTGTAGAGTTCACCTGAATCAGCAAAGGCGTCCATGGTGGTGAGTTGGTGAAGTGTTAGTTGTCGCGTAGTTGGGTTAGGTACAGGACGAGAGAAAGAGGCAAGAGAAGGAGAGAAGATGGAAATATTTGAAGAGACAATTGAACAAGATTTATGGTCCAAAGTCAGTGGATGACTGAAGTGAGCCGAAAGTATGACTACTGTGAAATTTCCGTACTGAAAGTTTTGCGTATATTGTATTTGAGTATCTCGTGAATTTTCGTGATGGCTGCGAATGAGCTCCAGATCCATAAGCTCCAAGCTCTAAGCTCAAATTCAATTTCCCCTATTCTCACTCTCGTCCTTGATCCCCTGGCGTATGTCGTTCCACTTGGACCCACCTTCTTCCCTGGACCCACCTTCCTCCTTAGACACACCAAACCCATTGGCTAGTCTGATCTGGTCCCAGTGCGACAAGCCCTCGTCATTTTTCATGCCCAAAGTACTGGTGAAATGCTCGTCTTTGGAAGGCTCGTAGTGGACCTTGTGGAGAGACTGGCTATCTACTTTGCGGGGATCTTGGACGATAAAATCAGGATTTTCCGCCGTCTTCCGGTAGTACAAGTAGAAGAGACTGGCTTGATGATAATCCATTGATTTCCACACAGCCGCCCGATGACTACTCGTCTGGTCTTCCTCTTGTATTTTGCGATTGAACTTGTATTTGCACACCTGTTGGTTAGTCACCATCATTGCCGTGACTCCAATCAAAAACGAGAGAAATGGCTTCTTGAAAAAGCCTCGAGGAACCGGTGCAGAACGTCTCACAGTGGCGGAATTGCCTTGGGTAAGGGTATAGTATGCAGTGGGGATCATAAATGACGAAACTCCGGCTCCGTAGCCATAGAACGCTGTGGAAAAAACGACATTTTGAAGGTCTTCAGCTATGACCTGACGGTCTTCGTGCAGCAATTGATGGTCTGCTTCATAGAATTTCACGCTGGCGTCAAATTGCTTTGGAGTGAGCTTCTGGAGCAAGGGGTTTTCATGTGTGTTCGTGGGAACGGCTACCTTGTCGTCTGACATATTTGAGATGTAATTATCACCAGTTTGCGGTGAGGTCGCAAATTAAGACTATATCGAACACCCAGAACACCATGATGAACTTCAATTATTTATATACTTTATGCCAACTTGTTGTCTTTGCGCAACTCATCTCGTAAGCTCTTCAATTGCTTGACCACGTCGCCAAACTTGACGGTTTCGTTCTTACCCTGCTCTGATTGAATGTCTCTGTTACGAATATTGACACTTTGCTCAGCTTGTTCTTGTTCACCAACAATGAAAATAAAGTTGTACTGCAATAATTGTCCGCTTCTCACTTTCTTCTGCAAAGTGTTACCTGACAAGTCAACATCGGCGTAGAATGCGTGGTCTTTACTCAACTTTTGTTGTATGGATTGAGCATAGTCGTTGTACTTGACTCCAACTGGAACCACCAAAATTTGTCTTGGCGACAACCAGAATGGCCATCTGCCCTTAAAGTGCTCGGTCAAAATGGCAGCCATTCTTTCCACGGATCCCAAGATGGCTCTGTGGATCATAACTGGTCTGGCATGAGAACTGGTTTCAGCCTTGAATTCCAATTCAAATCTGTTGGGCAATTGGAAATCTAATTGAATAGTTGCACATTGGAATGATCTCTTCAACGCATCGCTGATCATAATATCTATCTTTGGTCCGTAGAAAGCACCATCTCCAGGGTTGAGCTCCCACTTTCCTTCGCCTAAGAACTTGTTCAAAGCGCTTTCCAATTTGGCCTCAGCATTGTTCCATGTCTCTAACTCTCCCACGTACTTCTCTGGACGGGTAGAAAGCTCCATCTTGAACTCAAATCCAAAAATGCCATACACTTTTTGCAAAAAGTCGAAACATCCAGCAATTTCATCCTCAATTTGTTCTTCAGTACAGAAAATATGAGCATCGTCCTGCTGGAAACGACGGACACGGGTCAATCCCGATAAAGCACCAGAAAACTCGTTTCTGTGGATCACACCGAAATCGGCAACACGCCATGGCAACTCTCTATAAGATCTTTCTCTCGACTTGAAAATCAAGCAATGGCCTGGACAGTTCATAGGCTTCAATCCAAAAGAGTCTTTCTCTACATCAAAAGTGAACATGTTCTCCTTGTAGTTACCCCAGTGACCAGAAGTTTCCCACAACTTGGAGTTGTACATGTTTGGAGTGATGACCTCTTGGAAGTCTCTTTGAATGTATTCAGAACGCATCAAATCGACCAAGCGGTTGTAGATTCTGGTACCATGGGGCAACCAGAAGGCGGAGCCAGGCGACATTTCGTTGAAGAAGAATAATTCTTGTTCTCTACCAATCTTTCTGTGATCTCTATCGGCAGCTTCTTTCAAAAATTTGAGGTGCTCGTCCATCAACTTTTTGTCAGGGAAGGAAATACCGTAGATTCTTTGCAAAGAGTCGTTGTTAGCGTCACCCAAAAAGTATGAAGACGAGTTCTTCAAAAGTTTGAACGACTTGATCTTTCCGGTGTGAGGAATATGAGGACCAAGACACAAGTCAATCAATGGGCCACATCTGTAGACGGTGGAGGAGGTTCCATCGGGGATCTTGTCGGAAATGAACTTGACCTTGTATTTGTTGTACTTGAACATTTCCAACAATTGTTCTTTGGTCATTTCCAATCTGACAAATTTTTGCTTTTCCTTGATGGCCTTGGTGGACACTTTTTCGAGGTTTCCAAAGTCACCCTGAGTAATGACTCTCTCACCATTGTCGAAAGAAACATCGTAGAAAAACCCATCTTCAGTAGGAGGTCCGTAACAAATGAGACCTCCGAGATGGCACTCACACGATTCTCCCAAGACGTGGGCAGAAGAGTGCCAGAAAACAGCTTTTCCTTCGGGATGGTCAAAATCCAAGAACTCAAGCGACACATCGTCTTCAAGAGGTCTTTCCAAGTCCCACAAAGTGCCATTGACCTTACTTATAACCTGTCTTTCTGAAAATGACTTTCCGATATCAATGGCAATGCTCAAAGGAGTAGTCTCGTACGCGGTACCTACGCGTACACTGCCATCCTTAAGGGTGATTTTGATATCCTTACGTTCCTTGGCAGCAATTTCAGCATCATATTGTGCCTTTAATTCATCGAACATTTTGATACGAGATTCGATGAATTCTGGTTGTGGATTCAACATCAATGGATTCTGGGGAATATCCTTTTTCTTTTCCTTCTTGGCGGGCTTCTGAGCACCATCCTGGTTGTCAGAAACCACCAAGTTTTCTATTTTTTTGACTACTTCAGCCATGGCTCTCTGGACTGTGACTAATTTTTTTCGCGGTAGATTTGAGTAGGAAAGCCTAGCGGAAGGACTGGGTCTTACGCCGCGTTCCGCGAATTACGTAGCAGGGGAAGAAGATTGGGAGAGTAGGAAACCTGTAGGTAGTTTGTTGATTGCTTGGTTGTTTAGACTGATAAACATGGCATATAACCGAATGTTATTTTTGATTATTGCAAAGATGCTAATTTCTAAACTTTGCAAAGAACCAATAATCCACAATGAGAACCAGTAATCGTTACATTATATTGGATACTCCAAATCTAAATACAGGCCCCTTCTGTCTTGCAGTTCACCGCCTCCTTCTCAACTCAATTTCAACTTCAGTTCCTCAACTTCAATTTTTTCATCTCAATCTCGATTTCAGTTTTCTATCAACTTCGTCCTATTTTTCATCCTATTTTCATTTTTCATTTTTCATTTTTTCCCTACACTAAAATGTCTTGGGTGCCAACGAAACAATCTTGTTATACTTCATGTCTCTCAACTCTTTTGCCACTACCGAAGAAACACGGGTGCCCAAAGGATCTCCGTTTTTATTTATCAAAACACAGGCGTTGTCATCGAAACGAACGGTACTTCCGTCCGGTCTACGGAACGGCGCTTTTGTTCTGACCACCACAGCACGACATATATCTCTTCTTTTGACTCGGTTGTTGGCGGATTGACCGGTTATTTCACTTTGAAGCGAACGAGCTTCTTTCACTACAACGGTGATTTCGTCCCCCACCTTTGCAAAGTTGTGAGGTCCATGTCTCAAGACCTTAATACACTCAGCGACTTGTGCTCCAGAGTTGTCTATCACCTTAAGAAGTGTTTTCAAGTAGATCATGGTTGGTGGTGTATAATGAGTTCTAAAGTGTGAGAAGCGACTAAGAAAATTCGCTGAAAAATTACACAAAAGCGTTTTCCCCAGATTTGGTCAGGGCCACCCAGTCAAAATAAAAAGATGTTGGGGCGAATCAAAGGACTGGGCCTGATGAGTAAATACATCAATAATTGTCTAGGGGGTCAAAAAGGGCTTACAAGTCGTTTTCAGCGAATATCTTCAGCCTTTTCTGTACAGAACTTGCGGTACATGTCCACCAATTGGAACGAGTCTTCTGTTATTACCGATCGAAAATCGAAATTTCAAGCACGTAGCATTGCAATCACAAACTCTCTGCAAATACCGGATATTTTGGAGCAACTAGTATCGAATGATAAGCATATCGCTAAGGCATCGCATCCTCATATAATTGCCTGGCGCACGTCAAACCCAATAGCTCAGGGGTTTAAAGACAACGGGGAGAAGGGAGCAGGATACAGATTACTAGAGCAAGTTTTGGAGCGACACAACGTGGTGGATATGTTGGTTATTGTCACCAGATGGTACGGCGGAAACCCAATTGGCTCACTGCGATTCAGACACATAAATAATAGCGCTTTGGAGTCACTCAGAATCGCCAAGAAAGTGTAAATCAAGCGAAACTTCTTGAATAACATGTCCTGGTTCGGATTTTGCACCCATGGTTCTGCTCCATAATGACACCCAATGCACCCGTATCAGAGCACGAATATCTCAATTTTTATTCAGTTTGACTCGGATCACTACAATGACGGTTGCAAGTTTGGCAAGAAAAAGCCTACTTCCGGCCCTCAAGTCTCGTTTTGTACACTCGTATGGCTCGACGCTATTACGGAGAAGCACCATTAGGTTGTACTCGAAGGCGGTTCCCTTGACTGCGGAAACGTACAGTGATAAAGTGAAGAGAGACGAAAGATACAAAAAATTAGATAACGCCGATATAGAGAAGTTCAAGGCAATCTTGCAAGACGAGAACTCGTTGCTTCAAGATGCTGGCGATTTGGAGTTTTTCAACGAAGACTGGATGAGAAAATATCGTGGACAGTCCAAGTTGGTGTTGAAACCAAAAACGACGGAACAAGTATCCGAGATTATCAAGTACTGTAACGAACAAAAACTTGCTGTTGTGCCTCAAGGTGGAAATACTGGATTGGTTGGAGGCTCCATTCCGGTTTTCGATGAGATAATACTTTCTTTGGCCAGTATGAACAAGATCAGATCGTTCGATCCTGTCAGTGGAAATTTGAAATGTGACGCTGGTGTGATTTTGGAGAATGCCGACAACTTTTTGGCTGAAAAGGGATACATTTTCCCGCTCGATCTCGGAGCAAAAGGTTCATGTCATGTTGGTGGAGTTGTAGCGACCAATGCTGGTGGTCTTCGTCTTCTCAGGTATGGCTCTCTTCATGGTAGCGTATTGGGATTGGAAGCCGTTTTGCCTGATGGAACCATTTACAACTCTATGCACTCGCTTAGAAAGGACAATACTGGCTATGACTTGAAACAATTGTTCATTGGCTCAGAAGGAACCATAGGTATAATCACCGGGGTTTCTATTTTGTGTCCAGCAAGACCACAGGTTTTCAACGTTGCATTTTTAGCAGTCAATTCTTTCGAAGCTGTGCAAAAGGTGTTTGTGGGTGCCCGCAAAGAACTCTCTGAAATCTTGTCAGCATTCGAATTTATGGACGGTAATTCGCAGGCATTGGCTGAGCGCCATTTGGGAACCGACCATCCCATCGAGTCCGGAAAATATCCATTCTACATTCTCATTGAGACCTCAGGTTCGAGCAAGGAACATGACGACGAAAAGTTGGAAACATTTTTGGGCAATGCCATGGAGGAAGGGTTGGTGGAAGATGGAATCATAGCTCAAGACGAAACCCAACTCAAGAATTTGTGGGCTTGGAGAGAACAGGTTCCAGAAGCTTCGACAATTGGAGGTGGAGTTTACAAGTACGATGTTTCTCTTCCCTTAAAGGACTTGTATGGCTTGGTTGAAGCTGTGAACGAGAAGTTGGATGCTCAAGGATTGAGAGATCCTGAAGACGAGAGTAAGCCAGTAGTTGATGCAATTGGTTACGGTCATCTTGGAGACGGAAACTTACACTTGAACGTAGCTGTGAGAGAGTATTCTAAGGTGGTTGAAAATGCACTTGAGCCTTTTGTCTACGAGTGGATCAGTTCCAAGAAAGGATCAATTTCTGCCGAACATGGGCTTGGGTTCCAGAAGAAAAACTACATTGGCTATTCGAAGAACGACACAGAAGTCGCCATGATCAAACAGATCAAACGACACTACGATCCCAACGGAATATTGAACCCATATAAATATGTATAAAAATCACTCTATCACGGTGTTTTCTATAACTTAGACTCCTCTTTAATAATCGAACCCTCATCGTACAATGTAGCAAACACATTGGCAAAGTACTTGGAGGCAATTGCTCTCTTGATTTTCAACGTTGGAGTAATCACATTCGACTCAATGGTCAATGGCTCAACATCAATATAAATATTGTGAACTTTTTCAAAACCTTGAAACACACCTTCCACTGTCTTGTTCATCTCGGTCAAATATCTCTTTTTGATATCAGCACGGTTCATGGTTTGAACAATATCTTCCTTCGAAGCCACCTTGGAAGGTTCAATCTTGAAACGTGAGTTCAACCAACCCCGAATAATGTCGGGTTCAACACCAACGATACCCACCAAGTAAGTCTTCAAAGAATCACCATGAACATACGCCTGGTTTGCCAAGGGAAATCTTGACAAATATGTGTTTTCAATCTTCTCGGGAGTGATGTACTCACCCTGAGCCAACTTGAAGAAATTCTTGACTCTGTCAATAATGTATAATCTTCCGTTGGAAGCATCGATTCTAGCAACATCTCCAGTAAGAAACCACCCATCTTGATCAAAAGCCTTGGCGGTTTCAGTAGGGTTTTTGTAATATTCCTTGAAGATTTGGGGTCCACGCAACAACAATTCACCACGAGGACCACCTTCATCGTCAGCTGTATAGTTCATTTCTGGCACATCACGAAGTCTCATTTCACAAGAAACACCAATGGATCCACACGAGCCAGGATTAGCCTCATACTTAGATGAAGATGCCAAACCAGCAAACGACTCGGTAAGACCATAACCCTGAGACATACCGCAGTTCAACGAAGCCTTGATAAAACGAACAGTTTCTGGTGAAATGGGAGCAGAACCAGTAGCACACGAGATCACATTCAGAAAGCCAATTTTCTTACGAAGCAAGGCCGTGACTTTGTCGTACACAATATGGTGACCAGGATCACCGTCGGTGATGCTCTGCAACTCCATTTTCTTGCCGATAGCCTTTGTGAAGATGTTACGCAACAACGGCTTTTCTTCGTTGTTGATGGTTTGTGCCTTAAGCGCCAGCTCCAACTTGGTGAAAACACGAGGAACCAACGCCAAATAGTGAGGTTTCAACAACTGAATGTCATCAAGAAGGGTCAAAGGTGAAGCACTCTGAGGATAACCAATTGCAGCACCCAAAGCGAAGGCAAAAGACAAATTCATTCTCTCGTAAATGTGAGCAAGCGGTAAGAAAGAATAGGTAACTGTGTCTTTGACGGGACTGATATTGGAAAAGCAAAAAGTGACGGCACTCACAGCACTGGTATGAGTCAAGATAACTCCCTTGGGGTGGGCACCAGTTGTTCCCGAGGTGAAAGAAATGGTATAGACGGTTTCAGGAGTAGGAGGAATATGTTTCTTTGGAGCAATTTGACCAAACTTTTCCACCTGGAGAAAGTCGTACACAGCAATTCTGTTATCTTGACCATATTTCACGAGCTCGTGGTCGGGAGAAGCTGGGTTGGACAAGTCAAGTGGATCCATGGATATCAATACTGTCAAGTTACTCAAATCGCGAGGAGAGTCAGCCTTGAGTTTGATTAACCCTCTGATCTTATCCTTGGAGCACACCACCACTGGGCTCTCGGTAAGACCCAAAATATAGCGAGAAGTGTCGGGACCCAAACTATCGTAGAGAGCAGTGTTGGTGATGGAGTAAGCAATACAAGCCATGTCAGCAATACTCCATTCCGGGCGATTGTGCGAGAGAAGCGCCACCACAAAGTCGTCGGAGTGCACGGCTTTGTAGGGATTGTTTTGCAAAACAAAGAAAAGTCCTGATCCGAAATCGGTTCTTCTCTTACTCACCTCGGCATACGTCTGCCATTCGTAGTTTCCAAACGACCCATCTGCCAACTTGGGTCTTTTTCCCAAACACCTCAGGTTGGGCGTAGCAGCAACCGTGGTCTCGAAGAACTTGTAAAGAGTGGTCAATGCCGGATGGGGCACTGTCTTGAGTTCATCGGCAGAAAAGGCGTTCCTGTATATGTGCAGGTAGCCTGGTTTCCTCGAGTTGGGAAGAGCTACACCATTGGCAAGCAAGCTGGGCTCAATGGGGAGCGTGCGTTGGATATGCTCCTTGATAGCAGCTGGGGAATCGTTGATGAGGGCAGCCATTGAAAATGCGGAGTTTTGGTGCGTCTGGGGTAATGTTATATTTGTCGCGAACCTCGGCCCAGGTCTGTGGGGTACGGTTGGAGGGGTAGAGGTGCTCGATTTGGCGAAGCAAGAGAGTGCAAAGGAATGAGAAGCAAAGCAAATGAAAAGTGAATAAGCAAATGAGAAGCAATAAAATGAGAATTGAATCAAGATGTCATTTGGACAATTCATTTCAATCAATTACATCATACAATCAACCGTTATACGGCTTAAACACTAGGCTGATCTTCCTGCCCGTGTGGGGACAGATCGTGGGTCGGCTGATTCACGCCGACTTCCTCGGCACATGCTGAAATCGGACCGCGATTTGCACCCGATGGAGGTGACACAAAGCCGAATAAAAGGTAAAAAGTTCGCAAGTGCCTGCAGTCGTATGTCGCACTTTGTTGATGGCATCGCGATGTGTGCAGGCCCTCATTTCTAACCAACTACGCTAATTGCCATATATGCGCTGCACACTGGCTCGGCGCATGGCCCATGTGGTTCGTGTGCTACGACGATCGTTCTGGACTCGTGGGACAGCTTTAAATGCATTTATGCACAATAACAACTGGCTGGAATCGTGCTCTCCATTGGCAATCACCCAGTATTTCGAATCTAGACCACCAATAGTGAATCCCAATGCCGACTACCACAGCTATACGAGCTACGACACCGACTTTCTGCCGATATTAAACGACAAAAATGCAAGTTTTCCCGAAATTATTCAAAACTCATACTTGAATCCTCCTAATGTTGGTTCTATAATCGAGTACATCGATCATGATTCGAATACACCAAAACTTGGTGCCGTTATTCAGCAACCACTGTCCAAGTTCCACGAAAATTACAGCAAAAATTTGGTGCTTTCGGTCGATAATAACTTGGAATACATCTCGACAACTTCCATTACTTTTCATGCATCCAACGTCATAACCACCAATCTTGAACCCATTCTAGAATCGAGATTCAACCCCAGATTTGAGCAGCGGCTTCATCTCGTTATGTTTCTCCAACAGTTTGCCAAAGAAGCCGTTCTCACAGCGGAAACTATACTGCCTCATATGAACATTGCATTTGCCCAGTTTGCCCATTCGCATTCAATAACGAACATTACCCTCGACCAGTTAGTGAGGTCTTTCAGACTTCCTCCATTAATGTTTCAAAAACTAAACGCTTCATATCTGAGCAAGACACTTTTCCTTTTTGCTCTTCATATCCACATGTTCAACAATCCAGCTTCCTACTTGTTACTGTCCTTAATGCTGCCAACCTCCAATATTATATCCTACAACTGTTCCACCTCCCTCTGCCGACCACAGAAGTATTTCGTCAACTCAATTGCCAATATGGATGCGATATCTCGCTTTCAAAAGGAGTTTGACCTGTCAGCCGAGCGCTTCAATTCTTTCCTTCAAGACATTCACCATCAGCAACTAAACCCAGCTACATCGAAAAACCAGAATGAAATGAACTTTTTCTTGGACCTCTGGGAGGGAAAAGAGTTCAAGTTTCTCGTGGAAGTGCTAAAGTTTTCCGTAATGTATCCGCATTCGAGAATCACCACACTTTTATCCCAACTACCAGTCTTCCAAACAGTGACCCTGGCAAGCTTGCTTAGGTTCTTGACTGATATCAAAGTATACGATGAAAAAACAGATCCGTTTCTTTCTGCCAATTTTGTCGGTGAACCTCTGCTTTCTCAACTATCTGTCAATTCGGTCAATGACTTGACCAATGTGCCCATGCCCGATGCCTTTGTCGATAAGAAGCTTCAGGACTACTTTCCACATCTTCGACAACGTTCATACTACCATGATCTTGTTATTTATGGATTACCATCTGAAAGCGGCCATTGCGAAGTTGCAATTTCTTGTGAAAAGCTCAACAGTCGAAAGTATCGAATTAACATCCACGTTCCAGATATCGTTACCAAGTTTCCACCGAGCGGGAGTGTCTTTGAAGCTTTCAGTAGGGCGTCAATAACGTCTTCCTTACTAGATAGGCCATTGTTCAGAGATGAGATTGTCAAGCGCTTGGCTTTCCAAGAACAGTTATGCAACGACAAGACTGATTTCTACTCTGTTGGACTGTCTGAATTATTTCCGAAGATGAAAGCAAGAACCTCCTTCAATAACCAGCAAACGTGCTTGACTCTCAGCTTCATTTACAATACCTTTGAATCCAGCCCGTTTCAGAATCTCGATGGAAAATTCTCTTTTAGTTTTGACTCGCTTGACCATGTTCAGATCAAACCATTATCATGGGATACATTAGAGAACTGTCTACTAGCTAGAGGGGATCTGCTTCCATTTACCTTATTTCGGCGAGGCAAAAAACCAGAAGAATCGAACAAGCTCAGCGACGAGGATACCCACAATATTCGGTTCATTTACAATATTATGAAGACTCATTTCAAAGTCAGAAACCTTGGCTTGTCCAGTAATCGAGACCCCAAAGTTGTGAATAGTCGAAGCGAGACACTCTCAGTTTCTTTCATGGAAGAATTGGATAACTTTATGGGACATATGACATCCAAGTATTGTGCTACAAACTCCATACCGATATTGTCGCATTGTCAAGATGAGCTTGAACACCTGGAAGAAGAGGTACTTGTGGCACATAACAATGCTCTTTTACCGACTTATAATGCCAATTCATACGAGCAAACATTATTGGCCCGAGATAGAAACGGGTATGTTTCCGAGGCAGCGTCCATTATAGGCCGCAATTGGTTGGGTTTCAGTTCAACTGAAGTATCCAGTGACTCGAATTTGCGCCATTTGCGACGAGGAATCATCGGTGGGTATGTGAACATGATAAGAAGCTTGCAAAGCTATGAATCAATACTCAATCAATTTCAAATTTTGAGTAGCATTCAGATGCGCCATACCAATAGTCTACTGCATTCTGACCGAGCCAAGCATTTAAGTGTCCTTAAAAGCATGGGATACAATGTAAATGGACCGTTATCTTATTCATCTCTCGGCGAAGAACTCACCAAAATTGAAACTTCGTCTGCCATGTGTGACTTGGCTTCTCGCTGGACGAAACATTACTGGGAGCTCCAAAGGCTACAAGAGAGTACAGCCGACCAATATGAGTGCATTATCACTGATCCAGGGCATTTGGTGTCAGATCTTAGCGTCAGAGTAGCAGGAGCTTTCTGTGTCGAATTGGGCATCGAAGTCAGTGTGATTCTTCCGCCAGATATTGAGGCCATTATAGGCTCTCAGAAGCTTTGTACAGTGTCACATGTCCAGCCAGTGACCAGTATATGCGCCATGATACTTTCGGAGCTTCTTTAAAGTTTGCAACCATCATCCTGTACATATCGATAATTTGCATATAATCTCAAGTTCAATTTTTCAGTTGAGTCACCACTGCAACAAACATGTTTGTAAGTAGTAATGATCCGTGTGCAAAACGCAAATTGCTAACCCAGGCCGAGATTCAGCCGCTGGTTGCGCAGCTCAAGAACATAGTAGAGGAACAGCCTGTCGAGGCAGGTAAGAAAAATCTTTATCCCATCTACAAGTATGTCCATCACAACGATTTGACAGTTCATCAAGCGTATTTGAAGCTTGCAAACCTAAATGACGAAAACAGAGGACCCTCGTTTTTGCTCGAGTCAGCCTTAAATGGTGATACCGTGGATAGGTATTCGTTTATTGGAATCAAGCCGAAAAAAGTCATCAAGACAGGTGACGATTCCAGTCGGTTTGAACCTGAATTTACCAATATAGACCCCATTACTGTGCTCGAAGAAGAATTGAAACAGTACAACCAAGTTCAATTGCCTGGGCTTCCCAAGTTGAGCGGAGGAGCGGTTGGATACATTTCCTACGATTGTATAAAGTACTTTGAGCCTAAGACAAGACGGGATTTAAAGGATGTGTTACAAGTTCCCGAAGCCGTTCTTATGATGTGTGACTTGATAGTGGCGTTTGACCACGTTTACCAGAGGTTTCAGATCATATGCAATGTTGAAATTGCCGATACGTCCAAGTTGCAACAAAAATTCGATCAAGCTCGAGATGAGATTGAAGCCGTTGAAAAAGTGTTGTCGTCCACTATCAGTGACTTCAACCCAAAACAACCACCTATCAAGCAAAACCAAACGTTTGCATCCAACATTGGCCAGGAAGGTTACGAGCAGCATGTATCGAGCTTGAAACAGCATATTTTGAAAGGTGACATCATCCAAGCGGTTCCGTCTCAACGAGTGGCTCGGCCTACTTCCTTACATCCTTTCAACATATATAGACACTTGAGAACGGTCAATCCCTCGCCATACCTATTCTACATTGATTTAGTGGAATTCCAAATCGTGGGTGCTTCACCAGAACTCTTGGTGAAAGCCGATGACAAGAGTAAGGTGGTAACCCATCCCATTGCCGGCACGATTCAACGAGGCAAAACCAACGAGGAAGACGAAACCAACGCCGAGATCTTGAGAAACAGCGCCAAAGATCGTGCCGAACATATCATGTTGGTCGACCTTGCACGGAATGATATCAATCGAGTATGTACACCTGAGAGTAATTCTGTGGACCGACTTTTGACCATTGAGCGTTTCTCTCATGTTATGCATTTGGTATCAGAAGTCAGCGGGACGTTGAGACTGGACAAAACTCGTTTTGATGCTTTTAGGTCGGTGTTTCCTGCTGGTACTGTGAGTGGAGCACCCAAGGTCAAGGCGATGGAATTGATAGGAGAATTGGAAAAGGAAAAGAGAGGAGTTTATGCCGGAGCCGTGGGTCACTGGGGTTACGACGGAAAGACCATGGATACATGTATAGCGTTGCGGACGATGGTTTACAAGCAAGGTGTGGCTTATCTTCAAGCTGGAGGAGGAATTGTATTTGACAGTGATGAGTACGATGAGTATGTGGAAACGATGAACAAGATGCGGGCGAACAACAATACCATAGTGGAAGCCGAGGCCATCTGGGGGGAGCGTGTGGGGTTTAGTAATTAGAGCACGAGACTTCAATAGATTTCTGGTATTGTCTCACCTTATAGACTATAGACCTTGGATCACGTGACGCAAATCGTCGATGATCATCGCCCACCGCATCGGTCCCAGTTCCAAACAGCGGCAACACAACGACACCATGGCTGACGCTTCTACGGACCAAGGAGGAGACGGGGGCACGGAATCCAAAAACTATTCTCGGACCCCAACCTCGTGGGACCAGCTGGATGACATTTTGTTGATGCATTTGAAAGACCAGCAAAAGTTGGGGTGGAAAGAGATCGCCAGTAACTTCCACAACAGAACTCCCAACGCCTGTCAATTCAGATGGCGGCGGCTCAAGCTGGGCAACCTTAAGAATCCGCCGAAACTGGCGTCTCCAGGACATAATCCACCTTCGACGTCAACTGGGTCCTCGGTCAAACGACAACGAAAGAACAAAGACGACTTTTCCACGGCTTCTCCGTTCTCCCCGGTGGCTCTGGCCACTTTTACAGGCTACGACAACAATATCTCGTCGGCATTGGCCGGTCTAAACGCACTTTCCCACACTACCAGTCCGATGCCTCCAGCATTCGAGTCGACGTCGTCAGACTTTGAGCCAGTGACCGCCCGAATTGAACCCAATCTCGACCCCCAGCTGTCTCAGGGAGCCTCGAGCAACGGCGGCGGATACTATGCCGAAATCCTGGTCGATCCCACCATGAATCTCCCTCATAACCAGCCGGGCCATCCTCCGGCTCTCACGCCTCGAAACTCAACCTCGCAACAGGGCCACCATAGCCGGTCCAATTCCACCCTGGCGGTGCCTGTGCACAACAACTCCATCATCCAGATCATCAAGGACGACCGCAACTCGATTCTGTCATCGCGGTCACTGGTCCTGTCGCTTCCTTCCAAGTCGATGACATTCCCGCATCACCGTCTGAACTCGCTAGCCCACATGCCGGTGCTTTTTGGCGGCACCAGCGTCTCTGGACCGTCTCGGAACCCGAGTGTGAGCGCTCCTACTACCGTTCCAAGTTTGCGCAATGGCAGTGTTTCCGGTGGTTCGGGCTACTTTAGTCGGTCCGGTTCGGTGGTAATTCCTCATGCCACCGACGAAAAGGAAAAGAAAAAGAAGACCCCCAAAAAGGACTCTTCCGACCCCAAGACTACCCCGAAAAAAACAAAGTCCTCCAAGTCCATGCTTCATATTCCATGGCTGATAGAAGAGGACGAGCTTCTTGTGAACCGCCGGAATCGAGAACTTTCGTTTGCTGAGCTCCTGATACTTCTTCCACAGCGTACCGAGGGCGAGATCTGGACCCGAATAGACTACTTGGAGCGCCTCAGAAACGGACTGCGTTCTTCTCCTCGCACAGGTGGACGGCGACGCCAATCGTCTATTGGCCTCGACGATGTGGACGATTTCTACGCTGGTGTGGAAGATGTCATCGAAACAGACAGCGACGACGATGTGCTTGTGGATGTGGAGACGATAGAGAGAGCAAAACGCAAGCGGCGAACGTCGTCGTCGGTGAACCCATTGACTATGAAATGATTCTGCCTGGCGTGGAAGTAGATATGGTAATACGATGTATTTAAACTCCGCTACGAAGACTGAAGCTAGTATAGTTTTAGGTCTCCCGTTATCTGGTCAAGAACAGCTTTGGGAGCTGGGCCCAACCCGAGCACCGTAGCGCTGCCGGCAGCTATTTGGGTTCTTCCAGCATCGTGAATAATTGCAGCATTGACTCCTATGGACATTGCTTGCGCAAACAACATGTCCATGGTTTCCTGGTCGGGAACTTGTAATGTGATCTTGGCTTGGCCATTTCTTTCCCATCTTTGAACCATTTGTGGGTTATAAGAAGCACTGGTACTCGAGGTGATTTTCTTGTACAAGGCTAATGTTGCATGCAGACATTGAGCAGCGGCTTTTCCTTTGCCCATTTTCAAATCCTGGCGAACAACCAACGTCATCCTCACCTCGCCGCCAACCAGGTTGAGGTCTCGAGAATCGATTTCAACGTCGTCTTCTTCGTCATCTTCGTCGCTGTCTTCATATTCATCTTCGATTTCCTTTCTGCCTTTAATTTTGTGGTCATAATTGTGCAAGGTTGACAATTGTCGACACACAACGACTCCTGTGGCAAAAGAAACTGCAGCTACCAGAACTAACAGAAGGACCGACGAAGGCATGGTGGTGATTATTAGGAACCGCGATTTTTCACGATGACATCAACACACCATTTGTGGGGTAGATTTATGCCAATACCTTTTTCTTCTTCTTTTTGGTCTTCTTGTCGACTTTATGCACGTAATTACGCCAGTTCTGAACTCGAGTATCTCGCTGGTCTTCCCATACGGAATCTTGTTTTCTCTTGGCCAATCGTTGTTTCTGAAGTTCCATCTGACGCTTGTTCTCTTGTTCTTGCTGATACCTTTCGATACTTTGGTCAGTTTCAAGTTTTGCTTTTTCTCGCTTGAGAACCTTGGCTGCTTCGTCTCTGGTGGCTACCAGCCTGGTTTCTGGTTTGCTATTGTCAAAGCCCACATGTTTATAGATGCTTTCGAGTCTCTCGCGCTCCAAATAGAATTCTTCGTCGTTCTCTTTAATTGCATTGACAACTCTTTCTGCCTTTTTGAGTCTGTCAAAGGCTTCTGGTGCTTGTGGGTTATCCGTCTTGTCGGGGTGAATTAGTATAGTTTTACGTCGGTATGCTTTCTTACCGTCTTCGCCGGGCCATATATCCAACACTGCAAAATGGTCGCCAGAGGCACAAGAAAGTACCCTTTCTATTTCCCGGTCCCTTGAGAGCGCTGCTTCTTGTGCAGAAAGCTCTTTTTCTAAGTCTTCCATATTTATTTTTTGAAATTGAAGAAGAAGAACTTGTGATAAGATGAATTTTCAGCGCGAAATTTGCAACATTTACTTTTATGATGTCACGGTGGGCTCCTCGATATTTCGATATAGGGGTCAACTTTTCCGATGCTATGTTCCAGGGCGTTTACCATGGCTCTCGCAAGCATAAACCCGACTTAGAAGCCGTGATAGCTCGTGCTCGTATGTTTAGAGTTGATAAGATGCTCGTCACTTCCTCGACGATTTCTGAAAGCGAAGATCATATTCAATTGGCTCAGAACCATCCAGGAGTTTTCTATTCGACTGTAGGAGTACACCCGTGCACTGTGGCTGACGAGTTCTACTGTAAAGGCTCAAAAGAATTATTGCCGGATGTCGATGAAAAGCTCAACAAGCTCCGAGAAATTACAGTCAATGGCGCTAAAACAGGAGCTATTAAAGCGTTTGGCGAAATAGGCTTGGACTACGATCGGTTACATTACTCCACAAAGGACCAGCAGCGGACATTTTTCAGTAAACAGCTCGAAATTGCAGCGTCGTTGAAGCATCTCAAGCTTCCTCTTTTTCTCCATATGAGAAACGCTGTAGATGATTTTGTATCTATATTGAAGCCTTTTATCGATAGAGGAGACTTTCCAGCCAGTGGAGTCGTCCACTCGTTTACTGGAACCGAACAGGAACTACATCAACTTCTTCAACTCGGCTTCAAAATTAGTGTCAATGGGTGTTCTTTGAAGACTTCGGAAAACCTTGAAGTTGCCGCCAAGATTCCTCGATCTCAACTATTGATTGAAACAGATGCACCATGGTGCGAGATCAGAAAGTCTCATGCTAGTCACAAATTATTGACGGGTTATCCCAACCTTTTCTACCCAGAAATACCAGGTATGAACGACTTGAAAGAATTAGCCAAAGGTAAAAAATTTGATGAAAGACTTCCATTTCCCACAGCCAAGAGTGATGCCGTAGACAGGATAGAAGAGTCACTCTCTCAGTTTAAAGATTCAGTAGAACCCATGGCAATTCATCCAATAGTGAAATCCAGAAACGAACCTGTGTTCGTAGGCCAGGTTGCTCAAATCATGTGTTCCTTGTATGGACTTGAGGAACCTGAACAGATCCAGGTTTTCCTTGATGAGGTCTACGACAGGTCTTGTGAATTATTTGGAGTCGATTGAATCCCACTATTATACATATTAATATACATTATCATACATTGCGCAACCGTTTAGATGTACGCACTGGTATTCTTCGCCGCAGCCACCGAGATAAAACTGTACCATTGCTGCGTAGGTTGATTCTGCTTGACCGCCGAAACACTCTTTCAGTTTCAATTGGGCTCGAAGTTTCTTCGTCGATTTCTTCATCTTCGATTTCCGCATCTTCATCATAGTTGGAATCTGCTTCAACTTCGGCATTTTCCTTCAACCCGGTTTCGACCGGATCCCCAAGCGGTACGCTCAATGGAAGTTCCTCTTCCTCTTCAAATACCTTTGGAGGTTTTCTCTTAGGGAATGTCATATCTGGAGAACACTCCAAATAGTTGTCGGTGTCTTCTTCGTCCATTGCCTTGTTGACCTCGATTAAACACTCGATTGCCTTCAACGACTCTTCCTCAAAACTGTACGGGTTGTTAATGTCGTCTCGCAAAAAATCTGTAAGCATGGCAATACTATTGTGTACTGGATTGTTACCAGCAGTAGTCGGCGGTAGCATTGCCGGAGCAGAATTGATACCACCGGAAGGTCCAAACAACATTGGTTTCCACAAGAGCTTTGAAGAGTCCAAAGTGACATAATTTTTGGATTTCCATTTTTCAATCACAGAATCGATGGTTCGAAGATTCACGGCGATGCCATAAGAATTGGTATTAAAGTTCTTCACAAGCGCATGCAATTGTTCAAGACCAACAACGACATCAGATGGAATCATGCCTGTGAGCTTGCAGAGATTTTCCACGGAAATCGTCACATAGTCAGATTTGTTTTTCAAGTACTTTTCCCATAGAAATTTTAGTTGATGTGCAATGGTGATTTTCCAGTAGTTTCGGTAGCTCATTAGCCCCAAATCACTCAAAGGTTTCTCGGGAGTACCAAACTTGAATTCCTTTCTCGAGAGCAAGTAGCTGAAATCTATTAGTAGGTTACCATAACCTTTTCGCTGATAAACGGGGAGCGTAAGAATGCAGGAGACATTGTAATCGGAGTTGTTGAGTTTCTCTTTGGAAAAATAACCAACGAAATGGTAGGTGGAAGGATCGCTTGCATCTATTTCCGTGAGAATGTAAAAGATGAAAGGCTCAACATCATAGTAGAGAGTTTTGGAATTGAGAAATAGTTTGGCCAAAAGACAGAGGTTCTGGCAGTAACTGATGTTTTTGCGTCCGTCAACTTCCCAGAACGCTACACGCTGCTCAGGATCTCGATATATCTCTGTTCCGGGCGGATGGTGGTTTGACATGTTGCAATTTTTCAATTGGTGTCGCATGTACAGCTTGTGCGAGTTCATATACTTGAGACAGTGTTCACAAATGAAAATTACCGACGATTGCGAATACTCTTCAGGGTACGGAGCCGAGTACCAGGTGTCAATGAGGAAGTCTCTGAACCGTATTTGGCGGATTTGGGACACCATATACGGCGAATCAGAATCTATAGAGGAAGCACGATTGAACAAAGTTGAAGTCTGCGACGAGATCAAACTCTTTGATTTTTCAAGCAATCGCTTGAACTGGTCTCGATCCTTTTTCGTGGGCTCGGTATTGTTGATTGTGCAATCAGGAAATGCTAATACACCCTTGTATGGTAACGAATCAGGCGATACCGTGGGTGCAGTGGATGATGATCTTGAACCAAGCTTTATTCGAACAATAAACTGGCCCGATTTGTTGCTGTATGTGACCAATCGGCTTCTGCCAGTGGAAACCAGACGATGTTTTGTCGCCAGATCAACATTGTGTGGCAGATCAGTGTTGTTTGGCAGAGCCGATGAGGAGCCATTTAGGTGTGACAGTCGCCGCCTAAAGCGCCCATATTCGCCACTTGCAACATTCTCGTAGTGACGGTTGTCCGGAATGTGAAGCTGGTTGAGTAGATCCACCATAACACTGCTGGATGTGGAAATATACGGGAAATGAAAATGCCTTGGTGAATGGATGCGAAATGATTTTGGCTGATATGGTAGACTGTAGATTGTATGTACGTCAGTTTTGAACGCCTGGTATACGCAGAACAAGTATCAGCAAATGCGAGTGCGCCCACGCGCGGAATTTAAGTTTCGGGCAAAGTATAACCCTCGACAAGTTGTTCCAACCGTCTGGGGTTTCGATGAAAAATATACAAATGTCCTGCACATTGGGTGAGGGCTCTAATCGCAGTGATGATAAAATACAAATAGTGTTACACTATCATTAGATATCTAGAACTGAACCTATGACCCTACTCCTTGTCGTCACTTTCACTCTCCCTTTCCTCTTCAATCTTGTCGTTTTCCTGGTCTTCTGACATGCCGAAGTGGGCCAATAGTGATTGTGCCGACGATGTATCAAGATATATGACTCCATTCTCGTTGGTGATGGCATTGCTTGCGAGTAGCTTCTGGAGAGAAATGGCACCATTGGCCTCGCCGTCTTGTTGCTGGTCAGCTTCCTCAGCTTCTTCCTCTTCTGGCTTAAATTGACTTAAACCGGGAAGTCCGCCGAACATGGAGTTCTGTCCACCGGCACCTCCAGCTCCACGCGACGGCTGGTTACCCTGCTGGCCAATCTCAAAATATTCTCCGTACATCTGCTTATACATCTCACTGTAAGGACTGGAGATGGGGCCGTATTTCGAATCATTAGCATCGACTCTGGCGATGATCTTTTCGTACCATTCATCAAGGGTTTCATTACGAGAAGCATCCAAAAGTGCTACAATGACGATGGACATGTTATCGCAGCCAATTCCCAGTCCATCGCTTGTTGGAGCACAACATAATTCCATTATCTCCTCACTGATTTGTGTCAATGGCTTGCGCTCGTAAATTCCACGACGTACACATTCCACGCAATGTTGCGATGTGAGACAGTCCCAAATTCCGTCACAAGCAAGGATTACAAACTCGTCAGCGGTTAAATCGAGAGGATGCAGAATGACATCGGGATAGCATGTAACAATTTGTTCTTCAGCAGGCAAGTCGAGATTCTTCTTGAATTCGAAATCTCCGATACCACGAGAGAGGGCAAGGTTACCGTTTACACGGCCCATGTCAACATAACCGCCAGCAGAACAAATACGTGCCTTTTCCCCCTCGTTCAGAGGCTTATGGTCAAACGATAAAGCTTTAGCAAATCCATTGACACTCATTACTGTACGTGAATCTCCAGCATTTCCACAAATAATGCTATCTTTCGTAATAATCACCGACGTGGCAGCGCATCCTGAATCGTCGTCCTTCATATCCTCATCACGGAGAATATTTTGGTCGCAAGTAAGAAAACCTTGTTTAAGAGCACCAATGTAGTCCTTCTTAGCAAACGCTTCGGTGCCTCGGATAATATCGTGGAGGTGTTTCCCCGTGTATATAGCCACCTTGTCGCCTCCATGGCCATCGTAGACGCCAAAAAAGGCCACCAGTGCCTCTTCGGCAGACTTTTCGGTGGAGTTGCCCGATGACCCAGAGTCAGAAAAATCGAGAATGGTGGCATGAGCATCCTCCATATTGATACGCCAGCCCTGCATCAGCGACAAGCCGTATGCCAAATGCTTGCTGGCATCAGATTCCGAGTGCTTTTCGGTCACCGGTTGTGAAAGGATTTGTCCCATTTTGAAGGGTGTTTATGAGGAATAAGTTTGGGAGTGGTTTGAAAACAACTCTACGTGCACTGGGACCCACAAATGTTAGATAACCGATCTTGAGTTCACCTAGTGTTGCAGAAACGATTTAGGAAGTTGGGCGTTTGATGATGTTGATTTAAGTTTGGTAAATTTGCCTCTTCGTCGGCCGTGTGCAGGCCATTATGTGCAGGTCGACAGAGTCCAAGACGCTTAGTTCAAGACGTAGGGCTACACCACATATACATGTATGTCATTAGACTCTATGTCGTTAATCATTTAGGACCCCAGATTCCCGACTTGTCGACGTTGAGTGTCGAAAGCTTGACGGAAAGTGGATCATTAAACGTGGAATATTCGTCTCCACCGGTACCATTTTGCAGCTGGTTATAACCAAAACCCATTCCACCAAAAGGTGCAAACCGAGACTGAAGGTCTGCTGGGGTAGTTGGCTGGCTTGTAAAGAACGCGTGTTGTGGAGTTGGCGACTCGGCGCCAGGGGCAACGTCAAATGAACGGTTATTGGACCTCATTGGGTACCGAAGACCAGGCATTGATGGTTGGCCAGAAGTTGCACTTGGGGCACCAGTAGTCTGCGATTGTATGCTCGTGGCTCCTCCAGGGCCTCCTGATACCGGCGGAAGCACAGAAGCGACAGGTGTGGCTCCTGGGGTAGCTGCCACTCCATTGGCAGAACCGAGAGCCATTGGTGTTGGGGTTTGCCTACGCATAGGCAATGCTGACTGGCTCTGGCTACGAAGCAACTCGGGATGGCCCAGCAACGACGTGAGGTTCATCATGGATGCAGAAGCAGGCACCGGCTGATGGGGAAGTTGACCTGGTCGGCGTCTGATTATAATTGTCCCATTATCGTACAACTCGAGAAGGTTAAGTACTCCACAAAGAAGCGAGAGTGTTTTGCGCTGGGCTGGAAGAAGCGCTGGAAACGCAAGCTCGTACACTGCCTTTGTCGGTTCGTCACGATACAAAAGAAGTTGCGAATACAATTCCAACACATCACCATCGTTCATGTTGAGTTCGGTTGGAACCGGGGTGCTTCCTACAGGGTACGACACCGCGAGTCTTTCGGTATGGGTGGTGGTAATTCCAGTGCCCACACTCAAATTTTTCGTGGCAGCGGTGGTGGAAGCGGCCGAAAGAAGCAGTGCCAAAGATGCATTAGAATTGGTGCGATGCTGCTCCTCCAACTGTCCCCGGCGCTCTCTCTTCTCACGTTCAATTCTCTCACGTTCCTGGGCCGGGAGCATTTTCTTGTATTCAACTCGAAGCTTGCGGCCACCGATTTCACGACCGTTCAACTGGTTCACCACCAGCGTGGTCTCGTCGGTCAGGGTGAAGTTTGCAAACGCAAGCCCCCGGAACACTCCGTTGTCGAAATGGTAGTTGAACGCATAGGGAAGCGGAAGGCTCAACTTGGTCATCACGTCCAAGAGTTGTTCTTTCTTGATCGCGAACGGAATATTTTTGATCACAATGGCGGTGGGAATGAGGTCGTCATCATCGTCGTCATCGTCGTTATTATTGTCGTTGTTTTCATCATCGTCATCGTCATTAGTTTTTTTCTTTTTAAGCGCTGCTGCTTGGGCTTGCTGCTGCTCAACCCAAGGGCCAACGCCAATGGTCAGGCCGCCGGCCACGTTGCTCCAGGCTTGATTGGAAGCAGAGGACGAGGGGTTCAGGTTAGCAGAAGCAACGGCACCACTCGAAGGACCAGAAATCCCGGTAGGAGGACCACCGGAAATCAGTCCTGGAGTCGATTGGCGGCCGCCATTTAAACGTTGACTGGAAAGTTGAGGCGTGGTATTTCCACCATAGTTCGAGGAAGCATACCCAGACAGCGACAACGACAGTATAGACGGTCTTCTGTCGAGGCTGGGGGTGGCGGCAAGGTTCCGAAGATCCATTTTAGCACAAAAGATGACTTAAAAAACCGATGAAAAAGTGGGTATTTGAGTGAAATCAGCAAACGAAAAAAGTCCTTGGTGATTCTGCGACGACTTCTACGCACAAGTATGTAGCAAACACCTTTTGAATATGGGTGCAGGTGGCTATGGTACTGGATATGCCTCGATCAAGGAAAGAAATCAGTGAGAAAAAAATTCACCACCGGGCCTCGAGAAACTGTCACGGACCACCTCCAGTGCACCACGATGTCGACGCCGCGTTTTACCAGGTGAGGCCAGCACAGATACCCAGTCAAGTCAAATGGTATGTACCCTCCAAAACCTTAGCACCGATGAATTCTAACACAGTCACAAGCTCCAGGAGGGTTAAGGAATGCCCAGAAAAGAAAAACGGTCGCCGACAAGAAGTCCCAGGCTGCTAGCGCCGCTCCAGTATCCACTAGAGCTGCCGGAGCTGGAGGTTCTTCGGCCACTATGATGCAATTATTCACTGACGAGGCGCAAGGGTTCCGCGTGGACCCATTGGTGGTGTTGTTTTTGGCGGTTGGATTTATATTTTCGGTGATTATTTTGCATGTATTTGCCAAGATCACTGGAAAGTTTACGTCGTAATATACGCAAATGAAGGTAAGAGTAGGGAGAGAAAGGAGTGTAGGGAGTGTATAGGAAGAGTTGAAGGTTAACTGTGTAGCGTGTTGCTGGCGAAGGAGCTGAAGTGGAGAATTTTCGAAGTGGTTTGGTGAGATAGACAGAGTGTCTATCTCACATTACGAGAAATACGTTTTGTCCCATTTAGCTGAATTTTCGTAGATCCAATATACCAACTGATTGTTTCGTATCTGTGTTTGATTTGCTGAATATATGTTTGACTCTTTATTCCATTTAAATTTTAATCATGTTCGTCTCTTCACTATTCTCTATTCTCACTGATTTCTATTTACATCAAATCTCCTTCAACACTCTCCCCACATACTCCCCCAACTCGTCCACACCCACCATCCGCACCTCGTCCTTGCCAACTCCCCGAACATTCACCTCTATTTGTGGATATTTGTTGCCCACAATGATGCTTATCGGTATACCCATGGCCTGCGACTGGCGAACTTTCTTACCAATTCCCACCTTGGACCTGGAATCCACACACATGTCTATGTTCATTGATTCCAACGTTTGCTTCAAATCCTCACCCAATTCACCAGAAGTGATAACTGTAGCTGTCCATGGACTGATCGCAGCTGGCCATCTGAACCCATTTTCATCTTTGCAAATTTCTCCAATGGCTCCAATTATTCGACTCAATCCAATTCCATAACATCCCATCATCAAGTTGCGTTCTTCTGTAACTCCATTGGGCCCTGGAACTTGCACTGTACACTCTAGAGGGTCGGTATATTTGTCGCCCAAATAGAAAGTATGAGCCACTTCAATGGCCCTCAGACACTCGAGTTCTCCATCCTCACAGCTTCCACAAATCTCTCCGGCCTCGGCGGTGACAATTGGAATGTCTGTGAGTGTGGTTATGAAGGAACGGTTAACAAACGGAATGGGAAAGTCTGGAAAATGAGACCGGGATGTAAGTCTGCTGTCCATGATCCGCACAACTTTCTTGTTCAACATGGTTTCAGGATTGGAAAACTGGTCGAGGATTTTGTCGCTTTCAGTATTCTTCAAGTCAATATCAGGAATCTCCTCCTTAAGAAGTGTTGGTTGAAGTATTCTGTCCGATGGAAAGTAGGCACATACCAAAGTGTTCCCATCCTTAGTGGTGAAATACCTTACACTCACGTTCTTACAGTCCTGGGGAGTTTGTGGGAATGAGAAAGTTTTCTCCATGTTCGAAGTTGTTCCACAAGACTTGCACACAAAAACTGTATCTTCACCTTGTGGGTGCAAATAGAGCCATTCATGCGATAAGGATCCTCCAATATCTCCTGTATCGGCCTCCGCTTTCACATATGGAACCTTGAGCTCCTTGAATACACCATGGTAAGCATTGACAACCGTATTGTACGTTTCCATAGCCAGCTTTTCATCGATATCGAACGAGTAGGCATCTTTCATGAGAAACTCTCGGCCACGAAGAAGTCCTCCTCGTGGTCTCTTTTCGTCCCTATACTTTTCCTTGATCTGATAGTATAACAAGGGAAGACTTTTATAGGAAGCAATTTGGTTTTTCACAAGTTGTGTGATCTCTTCTTCGCATGTCGCTGCTAGACATGTTTCTCCATCGTTCAATTTGAACAATTCGTTATTTTCCCACCTTCCAGTTTTGTTCCAGAGTTCAGCAGATGAAAGCAAAGAGAGATTGACCTCTTCTGCCCCGGCACCGACCATGTGGCGATGAATAATCGTCTGAAGCTTGCGAACCATGTTCCAACCAGGAGGCATCCAATGAACCAAACCTTGCTTTGGATGGTTTATGAACCCCAATTTAGTGTATAGTTGATGCGTAGGGACCTTGCGGAAGTCCTTGGATAGTATTTCGGCATTGGTCAGGTATATTCGTGGTAATTGGCGGAGCATGAAAATGTGAGATCGAAAATAATTTAAAATTGAGTGAACTACGAGTGAGAAATACTGGGTGAGATATTGAGTGAGACATTGACAAGGATTGAATAAAAATGCTGAGAGAAATACTGAGTAGATTCTGATTGAAATACCGATTCAGAAAGTGTCTCAGACTGCCTTTGCAGTGTGTTCATAGTTCACATGTCTACTTTATTTGTCAACTGTCAGTGTATTCACTATAAACGTTCTACTTGAACTTGGAAGTGACATCGTCAATGACATCGCCGCCGTACGACTTCAAGTTTTGAAGAGAGCTCTTCAAGTCAGCACGAGCACGACGCAACTTCTCCTCCTTTTCAGGTTCAGGCGTCTTGAAAAGTGCATGTGTCTTGTCGGCGAAAGATTGGGTCAAGTCGTCCAATGCATTCTTTGATCTGTTGTACTGGTCAATGGCTCTTTGCTTCTCCTGGTTGTAGGTGCTAGACAAAGCATCCTTGGACGCATTGTAACGTTCCTCAGCAGCTCTCTTGGTGTCTTCAACACTGTCAGCCCAGTCCTTCTTGGTGCGGTCGACTTCTCTTTCGGCCTCGTTCTTCTTCTTCGAGCCCCAAGATGACCATGACGATGCTTCCTTGTCTAACTTGTCGGCAGCTTCATCCTTCTTCTTTTCGCCCCAAGAAGACCACGACGATGCTTCCTTATCTAACTTGTTGGCAGCCTCGTCCTTCTTTCTCTGGCCCCAAGAAGACCATGATGAAGCCTCCTTGGACAACTCATTCTTTTTGGCCTCAACCTTGTCGGAAGCCTCGTCAGCCTTCTTCTCACCCCACGAGAACCACGACTTCTTTTCTCTTTCGGCGTGCTTTCTGGCGTCATCCAATCTGTCGCCGGCCTCGTCCTTCTTGGCTCCGAACCAATTGAACCATGAAGAAGCCTCCCTGTCGGCTCTCGCCTGGAGTCTGTTGGCACGTTCACGCAACTCACGCTCGGAGATGGGACCATCGCCACTCACCTTGTTGACCAAGTCAATGTACTTGTCGCCAAGACGAACCAACGCGTTCTTGTTGTGGTCGTCCAATTTGTTCTCCAATTCGTCCGATTTGGATGACAACTTGTTGACCAACGAAGAGTGCTTGATCGAATCATAGGCATTTTCAGCCTTTTGAGAAATCTTCTTTTGCTGAGGTGTCTTGTATGTCGACACACGCAGGTCAAGTTCATTCGTTCTCTCTTCGAATGGATCAGCCTGCTTACCGTAAGTTGAGGTGTAGGTGGAATTAGGAGCAGGGGGAACCTTTCTACGGGAGAAGATTGGTTGCACGTTCTGGTCATAGTAGTAGAGACCACCTGCCGCAATTGCGCCAGTAGCGAGAATTTTAGTACCGTTACCCATGATTTGAAATAATCAGACTAAGGAAGTGAAATTATATGTAGGGTGTTGCTGCCTTTATAGGATTGCTACGACTGCGAAAAAATGATCACACTTGCTCCCACATGCGTGCCGCACTGAATGGGGCAAGGCTGCAGGTGGAGTTCGGTGTTAATCGTGATTCTGACGTAATCGAATACGAGTTTCATTAAGCTGGTCCGAAAGACCAAATAGATAATTGTTAGAGCTATATCACGGATGAGGCCATCTTCGTTGCTCAGATATGGTATTTGAGCTATCCGCTTAAACCTGAAGCTTTTACAATTAACCTGACTTTGTCTCAGCAGCCGGTTGTGTTCTGTAGCAGACACCTCTATTTTCAGCATACAGGTCTTCTAACACAACTGAAGTCAAACCATCGCTCTAAAATCATCAATTTATCTAAAAACATGTGCCATTGAAAGATGTGGATCTGAATAGCGCTCATATCTTGCTTTGGTCATGATCCTAAGGCTTTTCCCGTACTTTAAGAACAAAATAAATGGAGCATTGATCAACACGCTCAACATAAACATCAAGCAGGTAGTTTCCATAACGCCGCACTTGTCGAGCCATGGTCCAATTGCGAATGTGAATCCCATTCCGATAAGATTTCTCATTACCAAGATAAGCACAAGTGCTTCTTTAGCCAAATTAGGAGTGCTATCCACTGAGTATGTTAAGCAAATACCTCCAGAAGAGGACATCGAGAATCCTAGAAGAGCCTGGGCCAATTCCAACTGAAACGAACCAATGTGCTCCATAGTAGATGCTCAAGCCATATGCGAGTAACCCACCGGCATTAAATACTGTGGGAATTGCCATAGCCCATAATCGGAATTCTGGCTCCATAACTCCGTTGTTTCTCTGGGTAAGCTTGATTGTTAAATAGTCCACAAAAGGTCCGCCATAAAACATCCCGATAAGCACTCCCACGAACGCTCCAACATTTGTCAAGCCAACGCTTGCTTCGCTGAAATTGTATGGTGGTGCCGAGTAGAATGCAGACTGGGTAACCGCTAAAAGTGATAACCAAAACATCTGGGCACCGTAAACAAGACCACTCCAAATAATTCCAGGGAATCCTATAAGCAAGAAAGGTCGTAAAAGAAGGGCCAAATAGGGTCGATGGTCACCATATTCTGATTCCCAAAGCGCCCTTCTTTGCCAAAAAGTACGTAAAGGCCGGTCGATTTCTACATCGTCCTCGCTGACCTTGTAATTGTTCTTAAGAGCCGTTTCAACCAATATGGGCTCTTCAGAGGATGCGGTATCGTGCTCGTCAATTCGGGAGAACGTTGTATCTTCCATAAACAAAATTTGAAGAACAAGCATGCAACAGAATATGATGAGTTGTATCCAATAGCACCACCTCCACGATAGGTTACTAACGATGTATCCTGCAGCTACCGGTCCCAAATCACACCCTCCGTAAAGCGCCAAAATGAACCACGTCAATTTGGATGCCCTTTCATGCTGGAAAAAGACATCTGTTGTTGAAATCTCCACTAATGCGTCTCCTGGAGATGCGGCTATGCCCGTGAGGATCTGCATCAAGTAGAAGACTTTGATTGAATTCATTTGGGAGCCTATGATGCAGACCACAATCTGCACCAACGTGCAGCAAACATAAACCATTCTCCGTCCTAATTTTAAGGCTAAAGGCTGCAAAAAGAGACAACCCATGCATAAGAATAATAGCATGAGAGCTCTGGCGATATTCAATTGCATCTGAGTACAAGGTAGCTCTTCCATCCAAATACTGAACACTGGGCCGGTCCAGTTCGTAATAACTCCTTGCATAAAAGCCCACAAAAATAAAAACCAAAATTGAAGAAGTTTCTTTCTTGTCAGCCATCTGAGTGGATCGTTCGGATCATCGCTTGGTTGTGGAACTAATATAACGTTTGCCCCATGAGTATTGGTTTCTTGAACTCTTTGCAGACCGTCGAGGTCAACCATATAAACTGTTCCAGGAACGGACAGGTCTTCTTTCCCAAACATGATTAGTGGGTAGCTGCTTGGATTTTCGGCTATTTATCTATATTCTCCTTCAAAGTAACTACAGCTACAGATATAGCAATTTGCACCCAATCCGGCAGATAAGTTGTTCAGCGATCGGAACAAATTTGATGATCCCGAACCCTTATCTATGCATTACTATGCAGGCTTCATATTGTTACCCTAGGAACCCAGATGATATGCAAACATGACACTGCTAATGGAACATGAAGCTAGTAGCCCCCTTAAATCTCGTGAAGCATGCATCCGCTGCCGTGTACGCAAGGTGAAATGTAGTGGCACTGAGCCATGTCGTAATTGCAATGTTTCCCAACTGCCATGTGTGTTCGAAAATCGCCCACGACGGCCACGAAGAATAAGTGTAATGGACACACAAATCCATGCTCTTCAGAGTCGTATTCGCGAGCTAGAAGAGATCATAAGTGCACAAGAAACTTCAAGCCTCCCTGCTTACTTTGAAGCAGAGAACAGCCAAAATATGGAGAAAAATAAAATGAATCTTTCACTATTTTTGGGATCAGGTTCCAGTGAGCTAGTATGTTACAATCTCATACATTGGTGTATTGATGATGATCTCAAGAAAAACTTATCAGAAGTTGATGTTATGCCCAATTTTACCTCCCTAGTAGAGGAAGATAATTATGATTCAGTCATGTTTGCCAAGGGAATGAGCACTACCGAATTTGATATCGAGAATCACCTTACGTCCCTCACTTCAAAGGAAATGGAAGAAGCATTGCAGCTAATGTTAGATAATGTTGACTACGGATTTCTAACCTTTGATCCATCCAAGTTCATGAGGGATGTGACAAGATATTGTACAGGAAGCAACGGATACCTACGCCTCCCATCGGCTCGAGTAGACTATCAGTATTTTGGTTGCAAGACGCTAATGGTAACAGCGCTAGGGCTGATATTTGCCTATAAATTGAACGGCTCGTCCTTAGCTACCAAGGAAATTCCGGGACTAACTCCATATAAGCTTGTAATGTCCTATCTACCACTGGCCATGCAGATATTAACTATTTCTCACCACAATCCATCAGAGACATTTGAAGTGATAGAATTATTGGGACTCGTTGCATTGTACATGAGATGCTTTGACAAGAAAAACCGATCAGCAATGGTGACCTTGAATGCCTTGGAATTATGCATAGCTTTAAATCTTCATAAGAAGTCATTGTACCCCAATCGACTCAACAAAGAAGGGTTCGACCACCTGCATTTATTCTGGTCTACATATTCATTGAACCGATTTCTCAGTTGTAGGATTGGCCAGCCCATTTTACTTCATGAACAGGAAATCGAAACCGAAATACCAAAATCAATTTCAAGCTCTACCGAGTTCAATATCGAACTAGCAAAAATAGCGGAGAGAATTGTTCACGAGGTATATACGCTGCGTTCCGCGATGGATACAAAGAACTATTTGAAGTCGATCTTATCGACACTTGAAGCGTTGACTGCGATGAGCCAAAAGTTCACGGACATAAATGAGTTGACGCAGAAAGTGTTGAGTACAACGGAACCTGGCTCTCCAAATTTTACTAGTCCATCTCAGAAGCTTGTTCTTGGAATTCACTTGAACTACTATCATCATGTTCACCTTGCATCCGTTCCAATTGTGCTACATCTAGCCAGGTTTTCCATACTAGCATTTCGTGACCCATTGAAGTTTCAAAATAGCAATATCTTGATCAAGACATTACCTAACGGTGTTCAAAAAGCCTTGAGAGCATTTGCGATATCTACAAGTAAATCCGTACAGATATTACTAATTCTTCGCAGAAAACGGCTACTCAACATCTTTGATATAACTGAGTTGGATTACATATGTAGTTCAACTGTAAGTCTTATCATTTGTCTAATCCTTCAACTTGATGAGGAACTTAACTCCACGGGCAACTTCGAGGCACAGCGTTTAATCCGCAAATTGGAAGTAATGTTGGATATACTTATTGAAATTCGATTGCATGGAAATCTCATAGCCAAAGGTAAATTCAAGCAAATCTTAAAATTGTTGAGCTCCTTGAAAGTTCTTTTCCAGTCGAGAGGTCAGTCCTCCTATATTAATATTTTGAATCGATTTGCACTTATTGAATTTCAATTGGATTTCAGTATGGGAATGAAAAATAACACCAGTGAAGAAAAGGCAATACTTCATGATATTAATCAAAGTATTTCGAACAGATACGACGAAATAATTGGTCAATTATCTTCACAAAGGGTGCAAGGTTTCAGCACCGAATCTCGAGCCAGGTATACTTTTTCACCTTTGAATTTCCAGTATAACGAAGAAGACATAAATTTGTTGAACGAATTGTTTGACGATTTGGATGCAATTATTGTTGAAAAATGATTTATAATTGGAGTGAATACTTATGAAAGGATGTGTACAAATTGTTCAGCTGAATACGTTACAAACTGCTTCTGCTTGATCAGCTTTACAGCCTGTTTGATGTGATCCTTCATATCGTAACCACATACCTCTACAAGAGATAGCTTGTGAGGGTTCGCCAAATCCTTGTTCCAGCCCATTCGCTCATTCAAATTTCTTCTGGCTCTCAAAGAAGCATCTTGGATCTTAGTTACTCTCTCTTTTCTAACCAGCTCATAGATCATGAGAGATTCTTCGACACTTAAATCATGCTCTTTAGAAAAGACTTCTCCGAGACAGCCTGCGTCTTCAATAGCAGAAACTGCACCCTGGGCTTGATCCGGCATCATTGGATGAGCGGCGTCACCAACAAGAGCTACCCCCTTCTTTCCTGACTTGCTTGCTTTGAAGAAGTAAGGAAGAGGTTCATGGATATACAAACCCCATTCTTTAATCTCGTATCCACATTCTTTAAAAATTTGACATAGTTGAGGGTCAAGGTCGGGGAGAACTTCAAGGAGCCTCTCCAATGAAACTTTACGATTAAAGGTGTTGTAAGACTTTTCGCTACACTTGTAAAAGCACAAGCAGCAAACAGTTCTACCGTTTTCGCAAGGTGACATAACAATCTTATTTTCGTTCGTACCCCAAAATTCAATGGCATCATTTGAAGCAAAATCGAGTAACCCTAATTGCTTTGCTTTTTCAGAGTCGTACAAAACTCGGATACAAGAAGAATCGGCCTTTTCAAAGACGGGCGTAATTCCAAGCTGGGGTTTCGTCCGGCTTCTAATACCATCAGCAGCTAGAATAATGTCTCCCGAAACAGTCTTTCCATTTTCAAAAGTAACAGAACATGTTTCATAATCAATTTCAACAGCCTCATGATTGAGCACTATTTGAGCAGGAGTTCCGTCGCGATTCACATTCGTAGCTGCGTCATAAAGGGAGCTGTGAATATCTTTTCTGTGGAAATTATAATAGGGGACACCAAAGTGTTTCTCATATCCATCAAAAGCGAGAGTTTCGAACACTTCGCCGTCATTCCAACGATGCTTGATCAAAGATTTCAAAATTACCGGTTTGGTTTTTTCCATATCAATTCCCCATTCGTGGAGCCACTTACCCCCATTGGATGCGCAAGATATAGCAGCTCCAACCTCACCACAAAAGTCTGATCGCTCATACACCGTGACTTGATGTGCAGCTCTTCTCATCGCAACCGCACAAGCCAAACCCCCAATACCACCTCCTAGTACAATTACGTTCAATGGTTTCCATTCGACTTCATTTGACATATTCAATTGCAAGATGATCTCTGTACCAAGAACGCAAGACATCCTGCCTCTTATATCGAGCAGATTTGGGCAAATGCATCCATTTGCTTGGCAACAGTTCCGATCAGATGTCAATCAAATTCAGTGTCTTTTTTGCAGCCGATGTTCTTTCCTGTATATAGAGCGGGACCCCCAACTAGTTGTCCGATCTAGTAGTATTGTTGCATGATAAGCATATAAGCCATACATTCAAGTATGTTAATTCGATTGTCTTATCGTTAAGAGAAGATCGGATAAAAACTCCAATGCCGAGGTTCCTATCTATCATGTCAATGTAATGTTCGTATACCATTTAAAGCGGGCCTTCTGTAATCAATTGCAATTCAAGAAAGTTATCCTCATTCATGACAAAGTCCAATTTTGAACCTAAAATCAAGATTTCTATTGACAGAGGCGGAACGTTCTGCGACGTGATCGGCCAATTGGATGGGCATGAAGATTATGTCTTCAAGCTTCTTTCAGTAGATCCTGCAAACTATCTCGATGCCCCCACTGAAGGAATTAGAAGAGTTCTCTCCAAGTTTGAAAACCATGAGATACCCCAGGGACAAAAGTTGAAATTGGACAATATCCAAAGTGTGCGTATGGGAACTACTGTTGCCACAAACGCATTATTGGAACGAAAGGGAGCGAAAGTTTGTTTAGTTACTTCCAAAGGGTTTAAAGATGTTTTAGCCATTGGTAACCAAACTCGGCCAGATATATTTGATCTCAGCGCACATAAGTTTGATCAACTATACAGCGAAGTACTTGAGATTGATGAAAGAGTCACTCCAGCTGGATTTAGCGAAGGTGGAGGATCAAAATTGGTTGTTGAAGAAGACGAAAATGTGAGACGAGGAGCATCCGGCGAGTTGATTAAAGTTTTACAGGAGCCAGATTATGAGCAAATCGAAAACCAGCTTGAAGCTTTACACGAGAGGAAAACAGTTGATTGTTTTGCCATTTGTTTTGTGCATGCATTCGTCTATCCTATTCATGAACAAAAGGTTGCAGACATCTGTCGAAAACTTGGATTCTCTGTTTCTGTATCTCATGAACTTCAGCCAATGATTGGGATGGTGAATCGAGCTTCTTCCACAGTAGCTGACGCTTATTTGAGCCCAATTTTGCATGAGTATATCAAAAGTATCAGCCATGGATTTGAAGGCGGACTCGACTCGCTCGGAAATAAACTTTTGTTCATGCAAAGCAACGGTGGTCTTTGCCCATGGTATAAATTTACTGGACTAAAAGCGATTCTTTCTGGCCCGGCCGGTGGCTTAGTTGGCTATGGTTTGACCTGTTATGATAGCGAAGAAAGAAAGGCTACCATTGGCTTTGACGCAGGAGGAACTTCAACTGATGTTAGCAGGTTTGACGAAAATTTTGAGCACATATACGAAACAGTGGTTAACCAGGTGAGCCTTCAGACTCCACAGTTAGATATTTCAACTGTTGCTGCGGGCGGTGGTAGCATGTTATTCTGGAGAAATGGAATGTTTGTATCTGGTCCAGAATCAGCAGGATCAGACCCCGGTCCTGCTTGCTACAGAAAAGGCGGACCTTTAACTGTTACAGATGCAAATTTATTTCTTGGTAGATTGATTCCAGGATACTTTCCTAAGATTTTCGGACCTGGACAAAACGAACTGTTGAGCTTAGAGGCTACAGCTAACCTTATGCATCAATTAACCAAAAAAATCAATATTGAGAGACCCAATGACTCGCCACTTTCAGCAGAAGAAGTTGCTGCCGGCTTTTTGAAGGTTGCAGTTGAGTCTATGAGTAGACCAATTCGTTCTTTAACTGAAGCGAAAGGATTTAATCCATCAGACCACAATTTAGCCTGTTTTGGGGGATCCGGTGGTCAGTTTGCGGTTGCTTTGGCACGTAATTTGGGAATCAAGCATATTGCACTACACAAATATTCTTCATTATTATCTGCGTATGGTATTAGTTTGGCAGATATCATGATCGAAAAACAGCATCCTGTTTCGTTTGAGTATAACAGTGGGAGCCATGAAAATATCAACAGAATTATATCTTCTGCAGTACAGGCGGCGTTCGAAGATTATACTGAGCAAGGTCTCACAGAGTTTGATACTACCTTAGAGGTTTACTTGAACATGCACTATCAAGGGGCTGATTCAAAATTACTTATTCCAAAGGGTGAAAAACATAACTGTGATGTTTTATTCATTGAACGCCACAACCGTGAGTTTGGATTCACATTAGATAGAGCAGTGCTCGTGCAAGACATTCAAGTCCTTTTAAAGGTTCATACTGGCAAAAGATCTGTTCACAATCCGTTTGCTGAGTATCGTCAACTAAAGCTGTCTGGATCATTAAATGTAGTTGATGCTCATTCGAGGCAAATGACTTATTTCGAAGCGCATGGATGGCTCGATATCGGAGTGTATCATTTGAATGACTTGAGTTGTGGAAACTTGGTCCGCGGGCCAGCAATTATTTTAGATGATACTCAAACCGTTTTGCTTGATCCGCAATCTGAGGGTGTTATATTGAGGGAACACATCTTGCTATCTGTTGAAAACATCAGGAATACGAATATATCAAAGACAACTGTGAATCCCGTTCAGTTATCGGTTTTTGGTCATAGGTTCATGTCTATTGCAGAACAAATGGGCAAGACTTTAGAGCAAACTGCAATTTCGACAAATATCAAAGAACGGTTGGATTTTTCTTGTGCAATCTTTGATAAGAATGGGGACCTTATTGCAAATGCCCCGCATATACCTATTCATCTTGGTGCTATGTCATTTGCAGTCAAAGCCCAAATTAGATTGTGGGATGGAAATATCAAACCTGGAGATGTTTTCGTTTCGAATCATCCGAAAGCCGGTGGAACTCACCTTCCCGATATCACTGTTATTACACCTATTTTTGTCGACAATTCCGCAATTCCTTTATTTTGGGCAGCTTCGAGGGGACACCATGCTGACATCGGCTCCATTTCACCTGGTAGTATGCCCTCAAATTCTAAGGTCATATACGAAGAAGGAGCAGCTATCATTACCCACAAACTTTATAGTGAGGGACAGTTTGATGACGTGGGAATGACTCGTCTTTTACTTGAAGAGCCCGCTAAGTACCCAGGGTCGTCTGGAACCAGATGTTTGTCTGACAATTTATCTGACTTGAAGGCGCAGGTCTCTGCAAACTACAAAGGTCTCACTTTATTGAAGAAGCTCACTGATGAGTACAGTTACGAGGTGGTTGCTTTGTACATGTCAGGAATTCAAGAGGTTGCTGAGACTGCTGTGAAGAATCTTTTGAGATCGACAGAGCGCAAGTTCGTGGGGCGTAAATTAAGTGCCACCGATTACCTAGATGACGGAACTCCAATTTGTCTTGATATATCTATTGATTCGAAAGAAGGTACAGCCATTTTTGATTTTCGTGGCACTGGAGATGAAATATATGGCAACTTGAATGCTCCGAAGTCTATTCTTCATTCAGCCGTGCTTTATGTTCTCAGAACACTTATTAATATGGAGATTCCATTGAACAACGGCTGTCTCAAACCAATAAGCATTTTAACAAGAGAAGGCAGCGTTATTGATCCTTCATTCGAGGCAGCAGTTGTTGGCGGAAATGTTGAAACTTCTCAGAGAATTGTTGACGTTATATTGCGAGCATTCAAAGTTGCAGGAGCATCGCAAGGTACATTGAACAACTTAACATTCGGCATTGATGATAAAGAAAAAAGCATATCCTTTGGATATTACGAGAGTATTGCTGGTGGGGCTGGTGCTGGACACACATGGGATGGCCAATCAGGTGTACAGTGTCACATCACGAATACCAGAATGACAGATGTTGAAGTTTTCGAAAAGCGATATCCCGTAGTGGTCCATGATTTCAGAATTCGTACAAATTCGGGTGGACAGGGTAGACACTGTGGTGGAGACGGTGTCGTTCGAGAAATTGAATTTACCTACCCTAACCTTTCGGTGACCTGTTTACTGGAGAGGAGAACTTTTGAACCGTATGGTATGGCTGGAGGAGAAAATGGCCAAAAAGGACGGAACGTTTGGATAAAGAACAGCTACAACGAAGAAACAGGCACCTTTTCCACAAGGAATGTCTACCTTGGCGGGAAAAATACGATCACAGTCGGGAAAGGCGACAGAGTGAAAATATTAACTCCCGGTGGAGGCGGATTTGGTTCCAAAGATGGCGATATTGAAGAGGATTTTTTTGAGTTACAATTGAACAAAGATGAATCTCAATTAGGAGCTACTGGCTCCTTGGGTTCAAGAAGGAGAATGCAGGAATCTAATTGATACCAAGCGACTGCACAGAATTTAGCACAGATTGGCTAGTGAAAATTCGGATTCGTCAAGCACCGAAATGACCAGCAGCTAATTTGCATAACTGTTATAGTGAGTTAGTTTTGCATTGATCTTGATAGCCCATCTTAGAAGCAGAAAGCTGCGCGGCGAAGTAGTATTGGAATGCCTTCCTCAACTTTTGCTTCAAAGTTTGAAGCGGCTGGTCTGATATACCATGTAGCCACGAGAACCTAATTGTCCACTGGTAAACATTATTGCTGGCAGCAGCTACTCGAGGAAAGATATTTTAGTATTTTGAAAATTTCCAAAAATACATATCTTAAAACTTTAATTGTGAGTCGTTAAGTAACTATTGCGAAATCGAACACTTTTGTAAGCGAAATCACACTTGTGCGTGGATGCAAGATACCGCGCGAAATCGAGATGACAAACACTGTAATAGAATGCTGGCAATTGTAAACACGATAAATATTGTATACTGCAAAAACCCCAAAAAGTTCAAACTACAACTAACCTACCCCCGATTTCTGACCGATCCACAACTCCATCTACATTTCCCTTCCCTATCTCTTACCTTCTCCTCCTATCTTCCCGCCTTCTGCCCACGGTCGCACCGCCTATCGCGTGGGCCGCGCACGCCCTGTCATTCAAATCAAGACCAGGATGCGAAAACGGTCATGGTTATCAGCTGCGACAGAATCGTGCTGTTGGAAGCAGCTAATTAGTGGATGTAAATTTAGAGAATTCTCACATATTCCAAGCTATTTCCTCGTGTTCCACAACCACAAAAGCGTCTTAGTGGACGCAAATATTCGGGGCTCACTATTTTCTTCGTTTCCATACTTTTCCACTTTTATCCGGTTTCACCTTTGGTGGAGTTTTCCGTCCATTATCCGGGCTTTTCCTTCATAATCGGATGTCTCAATCACTTCTGGTATCTATAAGCACAACCTGGTCTCCCCATACCGCTCACGTCCTTCTTTCCCATCTGTCGCCAGCTCAAATGTTTAGGCGAGATAAACCGGCTCCAGAAGTCGGCAAAACCGAACCCAAAACAGCCCCGCCCAGTGGTGAACGTTGTGGCGACTCCGAAGTCGAATCAGACTCGAAAATCGAATTGTCATCCGAAAAAAGACCGTCGTTATTTGACCACAGCTCCAACTCACAAACCACCCTCTTTTCCCATACTTCCAAGGTATCAGCAACAGCTCCTGAAGAGAGCGCAAGCGATAGCGAGGACATATCCGACATATCCGAAGAAGAGGACGATTTCTACGACTCCGATAGTGATACTGGAGCTCTCTCGGCTCCGTTCGAGAACACAGCCCGAGAACGCTCAGACAGCTATTTTCCTAGCAAATCCTCAAAATCTCCATCGCTCGTGCGTGGTTTCCAGCCTGCCGAGTCCGAAGCGGAATCTTCCGTCAACAAGCTAGCCAAATCGGTCGCTTCCTCCCACAAATCATCTGCAAATCAACTGCCCCTGCGTTCCAACATCTTTTTCATTGCAAACTCCCCATCACCACCAGAATCCTCTGAAAAATCCACCCGAGGTCACCTATCCAGTCTTTTCAGAAGGCTGAAAAAACCAGAAAATGCCTCCTGTCTGTCGCGTCCTGACGACGACAGCGAATGGGTATCGGTTTCATCTGAGGACGAACCGCCCGCCGAGCAACATCACTCTCTCAACTTTCATAAACGTGATTTGAGCCACTCCCACACGGGTTCGCTCACCGACGTCATGACCCCACATCGCTCCAATGACACCATTCCTCCTCCACTGTTGGGCAAGCCACGATCACTTCTCTCAGGATTGTTCTTGAGTGAATTGGCCGCAGCACCAGACCGCAGAACTGCCAACCCCAAGCCAAAACTAAAGCGCTCCTCCACCACGGGAATCATTACCATCGAAGGTAGCGGTCGCGATTCATCTAATACGACTCGACCATCGATCATGTTTTCCAAAAAATACAATAGTGTTTTGAACATTTCAAGAAACTATCCCCATTTTCACAATGTCAACGTCAAGAATAACATACTCGACGATTACTCTAGTGATAATGATGAAGACGACAGCGTGCTTGGTAAGCAGAAACTGATTGTTGGCATCTCTGACTTCAATGTAACCCGGTCGTCGAATAGTATCAACAGCAACGAGCGTAAAGATGGCCTAGCAACAAGTCCTCATGACGCCCTCTCGTCAAGTCTCACAAAATACTCAGGATCTGTACATGAGCATTCGCTCAGAAACCTCCTTTCCAAGAGCTCGTTGAGTTTGTCCGGACTTTTCAGCTCCAGAGCCAAAGCACGCATTCATGCCAGTTTGGAACAGCTAAAGACCACACCTGTCTACCAAACAGAGGAAAGTTATGATCCTCAACCTGTACTGAGTTCACTCAAATCACCAACGTCCATCAAAAACTCTGACCATTCTCCCGCAACGGCTTCGTCCACAAAATCGTCTCCAATCACTTTGGACTCGAATTCGGGAGCAAGCCCTCGAGCAGCTGGAACAAAGATGTCTCCCAAGCTGACCCGAAGATCGATGTTGTCAACGGAATTGAGCAAATCACTCAAGGACTCTATCATCATCGATTATCGGTTGGGGAAAGTTCCTCTTCCTCCTAAAGTGGTTCGGAGTGAAAAGGTAGAGGTGAAGGACGAATACATAGAGAATGACTATCATTCGAAAGGTTGGTAGAGTGTTTATAGCTAAAAATTACATCGTGTGCACAGATGCAGGCTCTTCTCATTTTTATCACCAGTATCTTGAATAGCTAGAGGGCGATGAAGACCGGTTACTATGAACTTCTAGGGGTTTCCGAAACTGCTACGGACGCCGATTTGAAGCGAGCGTACCGTAAGAAGGCTCTTCAGCTCCATCCAGATAAAAACCCAGACGATATAGAGGGTGCAACACAAAGATTTGCATTGGTGCGAGCGGCCTATGAAGTATTATCCGATCCCCAAGAACGGTCATGGTACGATTCGCATAAGAATCAGATCCTTCGAGACGACGACGACTATGGTACCGAGGACGAGGCAATACCATCCATCCCCAGCATTTCTGTAGAGGAACTTATGAGATATTTCAACCCAGCATTGTACACCATTATAGATGATTCATTATCCGGCTTCTATAACGTCACCGAACGGTTATTTGAGCGGCTTGCGGCCGAGGAGATTCGTCATGCTCGACTGCAAGGTTTGAAAGAATACGAACTTTTCAAGGACGATGCTCCAAACGTCAACGTTATCGATTCGTCTATGCTCAAATTTCCTCGATTTGGAAACAGTGCATCTGACTATACCACCCAAGTAAGACGCTTCTACACGGAATGGAGCAGTTTCCAGACCGTCAAGTCATTTGCGTGGAAAGATAGTTATCGGTACTCTTCAGCACCCGATCGCAGAACTAAAAGACTTATGGAAAAAGAGAATAAAAAGATCCGTGACAGTGCACGAAAAGAGTACAACGAGACTGTTCGGAGCTACGTTCAGTTCATTAAAAAGAGAGATCCGCGGGTCAAAAGTGGAATAAGTGAGTTTGAAAAACAGCGTAAGAAAAAGCATCAGGAAGAGCTCGAGCGCCAGGTCAAAGAACAAAGAAACCCGAGAATTACGAGAAATGGCTAAGGCCAAGTTTGACGTTCAAGACTGGCAGAAACTTGACTTGGACGAACTCGAAGAAGTGGAGAGAATTCTTGAAGAGGACTTTAGGTCGAGTTCTGATAGCGAGTTTGATGAATTTGCTCCTCCCGAAGATGACGACTATTACGATTGCGTCGTTTGCAACAAGCAGTTTAAAACAAAGCGGCAGTTTGAGATGCACGAGCTGTCTAACAAGCATAAAAAGGCGGTGAAACGACTTAAGTGGAGCATGAGAAAGGAGGGTATAGAGCTTGGAATCGATAAAATGGACGGAGAAACCAGCCAAGAAAGTGACGAGTTTACCACAGCGAGCGAGGACGAAGAGAAAGAAGATCTGAAAGAAGATCTGAAAGAAGCTGGAGATCTGAAAGAATTTGATTCGGTTGACAATAATAAGCCGGACTATGAAGTGGACAATGAAGTCGACAGTGATATAGACACAGATCTTGCTAAGTTGGCCCAATCTGTTGAAAATGGTCTCAAAGTCAACTTTGATAGCGACGACGACTGGGGAACAAAGCCGAAAAAAAAGAAGAAGGAAAAAAAGATAACTACCCAAACTTCTTCCAACTCTTCACTGGAAGTGTGCACGGTTTGTAATGAGTCGTTTCCCTCTCGAAATAAGCTATTCCAGCATGTTAATTCCACTGGACATGCCCTTGCTCCTCCAAAGAGAAAGAAGAACAAGAAGCGTAAGTAGAGAATAATAGTAATGCATTCTATAAATCTTTTTGTCTAATACCTCGTTTGACCCAACCCCGTTTTAGATTTTTTGACGGTAGCCACAAGTGGCTCACTGATTCCCTTATTGCCATGAGCTCCCAATCCTTCACCTTTGACCCAACCAAGCTTTTCCAAAAGTTGTCGACCAACATTCGTGTGGTCAATTTCTGGTGCCATTCCACCGACAATATGTCCCTCGGGTATATAAGCGTTGTGTCCTGACTTGTTTCTTTGTCGAATACGATCTTTCGTGGCGTTTCCATCGGTGGCTATATATTCCTCTTTGGGTCGCTTTTGATCGACTCGATTAAACACCGGACGCTGTCTCAAAATGGCATTGATATGACCATAATCGGGAAGATACTTGAAAGTACGTTTGTACTTGGAAACTCGAATATACCTTCGAATACCTTTTCCTTGGGTTGCTGATTTACAATTATAGCATTTGGCCATCTTGGTCAAAGTTTTGTTTCCATGAGGATCCAATGGAGGAAACGAAAGGTCGTCTCTCGCTGGGTTATGAAGAAAAGATTCAAACTCGTCTTTAATGTCCTTTATGTGTAATGTGTAGGGGTACTTCAAAAGAAGATTGTACTTGTTAAGACCCTCTTCCATCAATTCGTCCTGATGCTGTTGTTTCTTGCTTTTCTTGGACTCACGGCGGATCTTGTACTGTTGCTGAAGCGAATCAATGATATCATCGTCAAGTTCATATTGAGCAAAACGCTCCAAATCGAGCTGTTTTCTCGATCCTTTGCCCGTCGTGCCAACAGCAGAAGTGTCTATTGTGTCTCTGAACTTTGTCAGTGATTTCGAAAATGCCACTAAATCCGCAATACCATCATCATCTTCTTCGATTTCGGGAGCGGTTCCTCCGTAAATCTCGCGGTCGCTTTCTGAATCTGATGAAACGTACACTTCTTGCTCTTCCTCTTCGTCGTTTTCGGTTTTGTTGATCATTCCGTTGGTAATATAGCTTAAGAAGCTTTCCAAGCGATGCTCCTTGACTCCTTTCAGAGTCACAAAATCGATTAAATCGTCCTCATCAACCCACATGTAGTCATCTACTGAGCCAGTCAACTCCAAACATCTCGAGTAAAATTGGTTCTTGATACCAAACCGGACATTTGTCACCGATATTTGAGACACATCAAACTCATAGTCCTCGGAAAGAAAACCGTACTCTACTATTTGGGGAGAATTAGTCGAAGACACATTAGCGTCAGTCGAAGCACTCTCATTTTCTGAGTCTGACAGGGAAAGTTCTTCTGACAGATCCTGTTCGTTCAATTGACGAATATAGTCAGCATATGCGTCTTCGTCGGACTCTGAATCACTGAACTCATCAAGCAGATCTAACTCATCGTGATGTGTAGAAGATCTGACCGATGCGGTAATATCGTTGCCAGCACCGCTTGTGTGTAACTGAACGTTCCCAATAGTCAATACTGGGTCGTAGTCGATGTTGGGACCGATGTCATTGGGGGGAACATAGGCGGGTGGTGAGTTGGTAGGTTGCGCCGAGGTGTCGATAAAAAAGCCTTCGCTATCGCTTTGAGAGTCGTCTTCATTGTCGCTGTCTTCCATCTCTATAGTTGGTTGCTCGAGAGTCTCGTCGTCAATCTTTGCGCTTTTGACTTTTTCATCATTTTCGATGGCTTCTCTTAAACCTTCAAGATTATCCTTCGACTCCTCATCTTTTTCGACTGGTTTTTGGTCCTCCACATCCTCCTTCTCATTCTCTTTCTCATTCTCATCATGATCCAAATTGACGTTGTCTTCGTTTTGCTCCGCAATCGTAGTCTCGCGCAAACTAACAGTAATATCCGTTGCTTCGTCCGCATCATTCGCTTCATCCTTGTTTATCACCTTCTCAAGAATAGCACGTGGGTCGTACACTTCCTTCGCCTTGATGAACTCGATGGGCCGTTTTCGCAACGGCTCACCAACGAATCTATCTGTATGTTTTGATGTCAAAAAAGCCTCCTGCATCATAGTGTTGCGCCCAGGTCTCTTGGAGAGACTTCTCATCGACCCAGTGCCCATATTAACATCGTCTATGGCTCCAAAATCCAAATCCATGAGCTCCGGAGCGTTGAATTTTCCAGCTCCTGCACGCTTACCTCCATTTGCGGCTCTCCTGGAGGTACTACTTGAACCTCCACGCCCTCTATTCTTGTTGTTGCGACCCCTGGATGATCCAGACGAGCCTGTGGTTCCCAGACCACGACGGGACCCATTTCTTCTGTTCCCACGAGCCATACAAAATCGCCGCGCGCTCATCACAGCAGCCTTATCGGATCGCAGTCGCACCGGTGCACCTGCTGGCCCCACGTTAGTATTCTGTGTGCACCACAAGACCAGACCGTGGCGATACAAAGAGGATGACCTGGGACACGAAAAACCAGTTTGAAACGACGAAAACATCCCAGGAGCTTCCAGCAACATCTCAGGACCACATCAGTGACAATAAAATGAACTCGGAGCCGCTGCACCGACTCAGTCAGTTTTGGCTGCTGCTCACAAGGCTGCTGCTGGAATCAATTACGGCCGAACCGGTGGTTATTTTGGGTCATACGTACCGAGAAGGAGACCGGGATCGAGAAGGAGACCTGGAGGTACAAAAACAAGTGAAAAAACGGTACTGGATGTCGTATAGACTGGGGTTCGAACCTATCAAAAAACATGAAGATGGACCTCTGCCACTTAGTTTTGTCCAGTCGATGATCTTTAATAAGAATGTGGGCAATACGTTTGCCAATATCCACAGTTTGGTGGACAATGACAATTTTACCACCGATGTGGGATGGGGATGTATGATTCGAACGTCGCAAAGTGTGCTTGCGAACGCCATAGACCGAGCGGGCTATGAGGTCGATGTGGAATTGTTTGCTGACACGAGCTCAGCGGCGTTCTCGCTCCATAATTTTGTGAAAGTAGCGTCAGATCTGCCGCTTAGAGTACGACCTGGCCAATGGTTTGGTCCCAGTGCTGCTTCTTTGTCCATTAAACGGCTCTGTGAAGCACGAAATTCCTCGACAAACGTGCCACTTTCGGTGCTTGTGTGCGAGAGCGGTGATATCTACGATGACCAGATCCAGACCTTTCCCGTTCTTCTTCTTCTTCCTCTCCGTCTAGGCATAGACCATGTCAATAATGTGTACCATTCCAGCTTGCTCCAGCTTTTGGAGGTACCACAGTCTGCTGGCATAGCCGGGGGAAAACCATCCTCAAGCCTATACTTCTTTGGCTATCAGGGCACATCGTTGTTGTACTTGGATCCTCATTACCCACAGAATGTCAGCGCTGGTGTTGGGTCTTACCATTCCAGTCTGTATCAGAAGCTAGATATAAGCGACATGGACCCATCTATGATGGCAGGAATCGTTTTGAAGAATAATGAAGACTACACAGATCTTAAAAGACGCACTACTGGCAACAAAATCATCCATTTCCACGAGGCTCGAAATTACAACGATTACGTCGAGGTGGAAAGAGAAGATTTTATTGATTTGGGCCAAAACAACCGGTCTGCGACGGCAGGTGCGGAGGCTGATTTCGACAGCGAGTCGTCGATGGTGATCGTGGATTAGCATGCGGGCATGTAATCAGAGCTCGAGAAGAGCATGAAGAGTGGGTATTGGCTTTCCAAAAAATATTAAAGGCAGAAAGGTATGGAATGGCTGCTCTCTGGGCTTGAAGGGAAGACAGTAAGATAAAAGCATTGCTTATACTTATCGATAATGTCTACGGCTCTCTAGGTCATAAGGTGGAACATTTTTCCCAAACGAAGCTGGGATTCTATAACTCGTAGATACCAAATATATATAGATCTACCTTTTGGTCTCGTAATTCATTATTCTACCCATACTACTGCCTATTCTCTATTTTCTATCTCAGTCCATTTCGCATCCATTTCTGAATTCGCAGCATTCGCAGCTTCGAAATTCTGCGCGAACAATTCACTCTCAATCCTCACATTCACTTCCCTCCCAACATGGCCATCGACAGCCTTAAGATATGCACAGTCTGTGCCTCCAATAATAACCGGTCCATGGAGTCACACAAACAATTAAAAGATGCTGGGTATGATGTAAAGTCGTTTGGCACTGGATCTGCCGTTCGACTTCCAGGTCCTCTGATCGACAGACCGAACGTATACGAGTTTGGAACTCCGTACGAAGATATATACAACGACTTGATGAGCCAGGAAGCCCACAAGATGTACGAGTCCAACGGGTTGATTCATATGTTAAATCGTAATCGACATGTAAAACGAGCTCCAGAGAAATGGCACGCCAATGCTTATGCTGGTAAGTTTGACTTGGTTATAACGTGTGAGGAGCGTTGTTTTGACTCTGTGATTGACGACTTAATGTATAGACTCGTGAACAAGGAAGACGCGGACACAGAAGTCAAGCAGGTGGTTCATGTGGTTAACGTGGACATCAAAGATGACAACGAAAATGCATTCATAGGAGCCAAGGGGATCGTCAAGTTAGTGACGATGATCCACGAGTTCAAGGAGAGAGCCAAGGAAAAGCGGAAAAACGGCAGTTTTGAAGACGAATCGGAGTTACTATTGGAAGACAACATGATGCGAATTTTGACCGAATGGCAGCGAGAACACACCCACTTGCAGACATTGTATGGTGTAGCGTACTATTAGAGCACCAAGTAGACGGCATAGCCTAGCATTGCATAATAAATTGTATCTTATCATCTTAATATAGTGTGTATTCTTATCATTTGTATTCTTATCATTGTATTCTCACCATCTTTATTCTCATCGCGAACTTTTCATCTCCAGACTCACTGATCTCATTTTCATCTTTTCCATCGATGCCGCCCAAATCAGCGAGAGTCATTCGCAGCGAGAATGCCGACCCATCGTTGAAAGATGGGGTGCTTTCAGTACCGGAATTCGTGGCATCTCGTGAGTTTGAAATCAAGTCGATGGAACAAGCTCAGCTCAATTCCAAGTACGCCTCGTCCACCAGAGTTTTCCAGAGTCTTCCCAGAACACTCAGACGAAGAGCAGCGTCCCACAATGTCAAGCGGATCCCTAAAAGACTCCGAAACCGGGCATTGAGAGAAATGCACCAGTCGCTGGCCGGCGCTTCGGGCCCATCTGCCACCAAACCTGGAGTACGAGGCCGGAAGTTGTACCGGTTGAAAATGTCTCGAAAGTTGTTAAAGCTTGCTGCCAAGCTTCGTATGCTCCGTCAATTGCCGTCTGAGGGCTCGGGAACTGTGCGAGAACGAATAAAGAGTCTCTCCAAGCAAATTGAAGATATCAGGAAAGAGTCAAGTTCGGACTCAAAACCTATCTTGAACAATGATATGGGCTCTTGCGACATAGTTGGTGAAAACAAACTCGCCAGTCCTCCTCCTGGTCGCCGCTATGCCAAACGACAACTCCGCTTCGTTTGGACTCCGACTCATATTTGGCACGCCAAACGATTCCATATGATAAAGCAATGGGGGTTCCAGATCCCTCAGCGCCCAACCCAAAAGTGCTACCGAGCCACGAACAGAGCAGCTCGTACAGGAGCCATTGCTCACGAAACACTGTACTATGGAACCATGGTTGCAAAATCCAGCAACGTCCAGGCTTTAGTAGCCAAACTCACCAATAGAATTGGGGAACCTTCTCAAAAGACATACCATGGCTGGATCTATGCTCCACACAAGGTTACCAAAGGCTTGGTGTGGTGCTTTGAATCGTCTGTCATGATAAGAGTGCATCCTGCCGTTTTCACTGAAGTCTTTGAATTTGTCCAACTGAACTCAGATACAATTTACGACTGTCGCTATGCTCTCGGAAGTTTGGAATTGGCAGGTCCTCGTGCCTTGTCGTGTCTCAGTAGGGTGGTTCATGTTGAAAATGGTCCTTCATCGACAAAATGGTTGCAAATTTCCAGATATAACTGCGATTCTGTTCCCGTGGGAACTACATTTGTTCTTGGCATGAAGGACCCACGGTTCTGGAAACACTCCAGACGGCCTCCCGTGAGTGAACCTCAACCGTCGCTTCCAGATCTTATCATTTCCATGTCCAGTTCCGACGCAACCTCAACCACTGATGCTCCCCATGCCGCTGCCTTGTTGAGTTCCGAACTTCGAAATAATTCATACAAAAACCAACACACAACCAAGCAGCTATCGGACCAATTCCAGCGCACATCTCCTCTCGCCAACTCCATAGCCAAGTTTGTCATTGACAGCCTGCCCTCGATTCCCATTTTCGTCACCAAAACTGCGACTACTTGGTGCGTAATTTGTCCATGGTTCTGGATCCTACCACTCTGGATCAAGCTAGTTCTGGTTCCAGAGGTTCATGTTGGTGGTGCCAAGCAGTTACACCAAATAAACTACGAAAGGGGACATCCCACGTTTCCCACTGATTATCCATTTTTAGCCCAAGGATGGTCTGAGAACCTCGTTCGACTGACAGTTTCCAAATCTGTTCACGATAAGCTTCCACAATCAAAACGGAAAGACTACCGCCAGTTTGAGAACACCGTTGACCCCTTTGGGTGCGACTGGTTCTTCTTACAAAAAATCATATTTGGTACCAAATTGCATCCAAGCGTACTGGATGGAGTAGCATATGGACTTTTCGATGCATTCACAGCGAGGGAAATCCACTCAATGAATGATCTTTTTTTGGCAATTGAGGACTCTCGTCTTAGTCAAGATCACAACAAGGTACTCATTGAGCTTTTTGACAAAAACAACTCATTTCATCAACAATTTGCAGCCGGTACTTATAAGGTGGAGCCCATATTTCCTCCACTTCCCGTCCACCAAATCAAACTTGAATTGATTAACAAAGGTACCATTTCTGACCATGCCAGAATCTACAGGGTTCCGAGGTCTCTTCTAAACGCTTATAGAAATGGCACTTGTGCCGATAAACCCGACCTCAAAGAGCTCATTGGTTTTGTGACAAGTGGAGCATACAACTTGAAACTTGGCAATTGCACTGGTATTGGATGTATCTCGGCGGACCACAAGGATAAATATGTTTTGGTTCGCAATAGTGGAGAAACATTGACTAGGTTGGCGATATGGAGTAAAACTAAATAAAAGTAAAATGGCTGCGAAAAGCATTATGTGCGCGGGCACGACCGCCCACTATAAAAGCGCGGTGTTCTCAAAAAAATCTTCATACTTACCTCGAGATGTTACAGAGGATCAAGAAGCTCTGGAACCACTTTTCTATGTTTGCATTGCACAGCGCTGCATGGAAAGTGCCAACTTCCGCTTGGAAGTGTGGGTCTTTTAATTTTTGATTTCGTCAACTCGACTTTGTCGGTGATTTTATTTGGTGCCTGCCAGGCGGTAGATTTCGAATAAAGTTAACGATGGAGTGGAAAGAATAAGGAGAAGAGTATATACAATTATTAGTGAGAATTGAGGGTGTAGTTGGTTACTTTGCTACCATTTCGTCTAGCCTGAATATGAAGGACAATCCTTTATTGAAGATCAAACTAGCTAAGCGTATCTGAATCGAATGCTATTCGCCTTTGGTTTAGGCGACTTTGAGCAGAGTTAACGTACCGTTAATTCCAAAACACGGCCTTGTGAGTACATTCAAGCTCGCATACAAGCTAGATTTTTTTTAATCAATTGTTCTATATCGTTCACCGAGGAACCCAAGCTGGAGCCTTGGTACGATATGGCTCCTCGAGATACTTCACCTGTTCCTCGGTGAGCTTGATCTCAGTCAATTTGACCATAGGCTCAATGGCATCTCTCAGAGTAACACCTATTATTGGGTGTGTTCCTTTAGCAATTAACCACGCACATGCTACTTCAACCATGGTACAGCCAATCTTGTTGCTGATCTCTTCTACTCGGTCAATAATCACCTTATCGTGCTCCATATCGATTCCCAAAAAGGAGTTTGCAATAGTATTCTTGAGTTTCTCTTTTGTCTTTTCAGAGTCGGAAGGAACCGCAAGTAAACCTCTGGCATTGGGGGACCATGGAATCAAACCAACACCAGTCTTGTTACAGTATTCATTGAGCTCACGTTCATCTTCACGGTAGATCAAATTGTACATGCTCTGCATCGATACAAACTTGTGCCAGCCGTGTTTTTCAGCGGTGTGTTGCAACTGAATAAACTGGTACAATTTCATGGACGAAGCACCCAAGTATCTGACTTGACCACTTTCAACAACATCGTTCAAAGCACGCATGATTTCCTCATCTGGAACATCGGGGTCGTATCTGTGAATTTGGAGCAAGTCAATGTAGGTACCCAATCTTGCAACTGAGTCTTTCACGGCGTCCAAAATGTGCTTTCTGGATAAGCCTTTGTCGTTAAACTGCAACTTGCCGCTATCGCCTTGACGATCAGCCAATCTAAAGTAGCATTTGGTCATAATAACCACATCTTCTCTGGGAATATTGTGCTGCTTCAAAAACTCTCCAATGACCCTTTCACTGTTTCCGGCCGAGTAAATATCAGCAGTATCAAACGTACGCAACCCAGCATCATAGCACTGCTTCAAAATGGCAATTGACTCGGCTTCGTCAGAAACTCCGTTGTAATTTTCATAGCCCACTTTTCCAAGAAGCATGGTACCAACCACAGCATGATTGATACGAAGCCCAGAGGCTCCAAGACGAGAAATTGAATTGTTGGTAACTCTCATTCGATGAGATGAAGTTTGAAGAAGAGTTGGGAGGAGTTCAGTTTATATGGTCCAGCAGGGTGCAAGAGCTTGCAACCTTTATCTCCGCGGTCTCCGAGGATTGAAAAATTGAGGATGCCAAATCCAGGCTATTAGTAACCCACCACAAAGTCCTTGATATCAATGTCCTTAACTTCTCTTTAGTTGGCTCAATGGCGATAAACAGTGGAAAACTTCAAAACTGGGAAGGCTGTAATCGTCGTGCCAACCCCATATCTCATTCTCAATTCCAGCTAATACTTATCAATGTTGAAAAAGATTCCACTTACAGAATGGCTCGTGGTTGTTTACGATCGTCCCAATGTTAACCGCCTCTTGTACCGTAGTCAGCATTTGGCCAGAATACCTCAATTGGTGGAACTGGGAGTTGTGACTAATGTAGGACCAATTTTCGCCGACACCAACAAAACCAAGTTTGTTGGATCCAGTTATAATCTTAGGGCAAACAGCCGCCAAGAAGTAGTGGAGTTTTTGAAGCAAGACATCTTTTACAAGGAGGGGATTTGGGACGTTGACAATGCAATAATATACCCGTACACGGTGGTGAGCCGGGATGCAAAGACAGGTGAATAAGCTGAAATAAAGTAGCTTGAGTAGCAGAAGCAATAAATGCAAAAGTAAATGGATCAGATGGTAGATATTGGAAAATTAGTAGAATGGCTAGAGCTCAGTCACGATCATGTCACTTTTCCGTCACTTTCATAACACTTTTCTGTCACTTTCATAACATTATTTGTCGTATCTTGTCATTTTCTGTCATTTCTGTCCTTTTCATTCATATCACGTAGCAGAATTCGCAGAAAAGAAGCTCATAGTCAATTGGCTAATTGCAAGGTCAGAAAGTAGCTGGCTCTCGGTTTGCAAAAATAGCTATGGTACAAGTTAAAGGGGCATAGAGATTCACCGTCGGTGCAAGCCCGGGCCTTATGGATTATTTTCAGGATCAGGAGCACTCATACCGATATTACTGTCATTCGTAACACACTCACTCTTCACGTAAATAAGCAATCTTACAAAATCGAGAAATCGCGAATATCTGAATTCTCGCAAAACTTGAAAAATTTGCCGAATTCACAAATTTGTCAAAATCGCAAAATACGCCAAAAAATAATGTTTAGTTCAGCGAATTAGACCCACAAAACATGAAACTTGAAAATCGTTTTCATATACTTTTAGTCTCTTCTCTTAATCTCCCCTCTTCTCGTATCTCCCCTTATGCACTTTTGCCGCAACCGACACTAATTTTAGAACCCCTGCTCGGCTGGCTACGTGAGGCGCATGCGGAGAATTGCGTGAAATTTTGACACAGAAAATTTTTAGTAAAATGGCCATGTGCGGCGAGTGGCGGGATTTGTGTCCGTATTTGGACGGATTTGTTCGCGTTTGGCAATCACCGACGGGACAACCAGGCATCTGCAGGAAAGGAGACGGCCCATGCAGCCAATATAGCGCCACGGTTGCCGCATTCGGCACGACCATAACAAAAATTAGTCAGGTGGTAGCCGCCACTGGTTGCAAACATTTTTACTATAAAAATCTCGTCATCGCCATTCGCATTTTTTTTTCTTTAACACTCACATTCGCTATGCAATTTTCTAAGGTTATTGTTCCTGCTGCTCTTGCTTCTTACGTTGCTGCTGGTAACGTCACTGTTACCACTGATGTTGTCGTCACTGACTTCACCACTTACTGCCCAGAGTCCACTGCTTTTGTTGTCAACAACAAGACCATCACTGTGACTGAGGCCACCACTTTGACCATCACCGGTCCTTGTACCATCCCAACCACCTACGTGACTGCTTCTGGTGAATCTAGCGCTGCCCCAGCTTCTTCTACTGTCGCTGCCGTCTCCACTGCTGAGAATGGCGCCGGTAAGGTTGCTGCTGGTGCCATTGCTGGTGTCGCTGCCGTTGCTGCTGCTCTTTTCTAGATTAATTAGCACGATTAATATAGATATGACGAAAAACTGTAGGTATCGAAATCGATACGAGACAACAACTACCATAATGTTACTGTTGCATTACTCCCATATCAACTCTGTGCTAATTCAATACAATCCTGATCTTGACTTAGACTTTAGCTTCAAGATCTCGCTCGTAAAGTTAGCCCGTGTGCATGAGGCTTGGCTCGCTTGGCAGACTAAGATTCTTGTGACAGCTCGACAAGCTCAATTCTCTACAATTATCTTTGACTACTGGTACTGGTTTTTGAAGTTCTTTGTTAGACGAGATCCTCGTTTAGCTGACTAATTTTGATTTCATGTCACAATGACTAATCTTCACGTTCTCTTTACTTATAGGAATTCTTCTGACTATATGAAGGTGACTGATTCATTTTGATTTCCATATTAATTTCAATTTTTACTCTCTTTGACTCACATCAGTTTGACTTTCTCTCGAAATTCTATTTTTGAAACCTTCGTTTTTCTCCAATAGCTACTAATATCTAATTTCTGCAGTGCTACTAACTTTTCCATATATAGTACTGATTTAAGATCTACCATAGGTTCCAATTCGTAAAGAATTTGAGTACTTTTCTACTTAGGATTCACCTTCGTCATCTCCTCCTCTCGATATACTCTATATGACTATGAACTTCGCTGGTACATCAAGATATATGCGTTTTTGGTACTATCTTCACTTCCTTCCAACACCTCATCTCTCTCAACAACTTCAATATGAGTATCGTCAATCCGTATCCACTCAGCATCCACCATCTTACCTTCCGACTCGTGCTCGTGATCGTATAACGACAGCTTTCTCAACACATCACAAGTATAATGTCCTCCTTCGGCCCCAACTCCATGATGGTATACCACCGCCAGCAACCGGTATGTCTTGGAGCCCGCTCCAGCGTGCTTTCTGAGAGCCGGCGAAAGACACTCGTTGGGTAAAGTGAGGGTATGAGAATATGCAACTTTCTTTTTCAATTTTTCAATGCCTCCAGCATTTTCTCCTAGCTGGTACAGGAATCGTTTTAACTGGATGAGTAGGATAGGAGGAAGTTGATCGATAAAGGTTTGTTTCTTTGCAACCACCTCTTTGAATGCCAATTCTTCAGTCTCTCCAAACCTGACAAAAGCATCTTCGATGGTGGTGATGCTATCATCAGAAATATCGAGAGGAACGCACAGAAATGGATCCAATGTGATAGACTGTGCTTCTTTACTCTTGGGAACTTGTAAAACCGACCGGAACTGGCCACCAAAAATCATCGAGATTGGCGATGGTTCGACTTGGACGGTGCGCTTGGCGGAAGCTTTCTTGGTACCAGCAACTTCATTCCACCCTTCATCATTGTCGTCTTTTTTCTTCTGAATCATATTGACTGCCGCCTTGACGTTTTGGCGATATGTTTCATCTCCTCCATGCTCGAGAACTCTATTAACCTGTTCTGGTGTCAAGCCTCGCACAACAGCTATAAATTCTTCGCGAAGACCATCCAAAAAAAGATTGAGAAATTCTTCAGCATCTTCCTGTTGGCCCCATTTCAAGTGAGAGAACTTGTCGTGGGCAATCAACCGCATGTAGAAGTCGTCCGGAGACAATGCTTTTTTCAGAGGCTCACTCATGTCTTCAAAGAACTTGATGGTAGCGTCCAAAAGAGGAGTGTCAGATTTGCCTAAACTCGCTGCCGTCTTTGTCTCGATAGCCTTTAACATGCGGTTGAAAGGCTCACAGTAGAGGAGCACCTGAAGCACCGCATTCATATAGCAAATGTTGCCGGTATTCGTGAGCCCTTTGACTCGGATTTTGAACGGTGCTACCGTTACATGCTGGTACATTATGCGGAGCACAAGCGAGCCAATTGGTTCTGGAGAAGCAGCAGCCGGTGGAGCAGGTGATGGGTGAATAGAGGCATTTGATGTTGTAGTGGTTGTTGAGGGTTGTTGCGAGGAGGACGTAGAGGCGGGTACGGAACGCTTTTTCTTGGGTGCACTTTGCAACAATACCGACGCCCAGTTACCAGCAAGCTTGTCTTTCGTTTTCAGGTCCACGTCCGACTTGGCGGAATTTTCCTTGCTGCGAGTACGGGTATCGTCATTATGATTGAAGATGGTGATAGGGTCGTGGTTTATGTAGATGGGACCGGGTTTTGACTGGAGAAAATGCGATAAGCGGCGCAGCTGGTTGGTGGAAAGTGGCCGGCGGTGGTCCAGCGACAAGTCGGCTTGGGTGCAGTTAAATAGTATGGGGTATTGCGAGGGGACGTTTTTTGGCTGGGTATTTTGGCCATTTTGGCCAATTTCATTTTGATCATTTTGGTCAAGTTGACCATTCTCACTTTTTCCATTCTCTCCATTCTCCTTACCATTCTCTTCATTCTCTTCCTTCTCTCTCTCAGCTCCCGCTTTTTGCTGGAGAGCCATCACGGTGGCGGCGCTGGGCTGGAAGTTGGCATTAGGGTCGGCAGCCTTCTGTGCGTATGCAGCTTTTGACAGTTTCACCTTATGTCTAGGTGCCACATTGTATGGATTTGCCGGGGAAAAAGTCGGGGAAAACGGTGGGGCTCCATAAGGCTGTGGCTGTGGTGCTGGATATGGATATGTACCTTGATACTGAGAAAAATCGTATGGCATATTGGGCATCATATATGGGTTCATATAGTAATTCGGCACCATTTGAGGAGCTGCTGCGTACATGTAGTGGGCGTACATGTGAGCCTGCTGCTGCTGCTGCTGTTGCAGCATATGGTGCATTGCCGGCTGTTGGCTCGGGGAAAATGAAGCGGCGTCGCCTCGGAATCGGTTCAGGCCGGGATTAGCCATGGGGTTATTATGGGGTTAAAATACAATATGACGATGGTGGAGAAAAAATAATGCAGGGCGCTGGGTGCGCTTGTTGTACACGGGCGAAGACGCGGGACAGTTCCGCTGGGATCAGTAACGGCAGCGGAGCAAAAATTGTTGAAAATTTTGGTGCGCGGGTGGATGGGTTCGGGACGGGTGCTTACGTCAGGAAAATAAAATGTCGTTAAGTGCGCCAGTGATTGGGCCCAACGGTAGCGATGGGCAGGTGCGGTGGCGCGCGCTCACGAGACGGTTGCGAACGGCGATAGCGGCTGCGACGAGGTGGGCACAATAGGGGGTGTAACAGGTACAGTACCATGCTGTGAGGTCGACGACGTGGGTGCAGTGTTTGTCGTTTACTGTGAGGGCGGGAACACCAACACAAATGGGATAGCGATTGTTGGTGTAGTCTGTCTCGAGGTGGGCAAGATATGCGGCGGCGGTTAGGGAGAGGTTAGCAGAATTCGCGGAGGATTTCGCAGTCAGGGTTGCAGAATTAGCGGTCGCAGTGATCTCCCCCGTTGCAAACAACACAACAGCCACCGCTTGGTTTCCCACCAATTCCATCGCAGTTGTGAATGTCGACCCAAGCGCAAGCCCTAGTATAGTGGCATTGGTTTCGTTAATTCGAATTTCGCCATTGAGACTCTTGGTTCCATATCCTCTATCCCCTTCATTTTCTGTCTCATCTTCTTTTACTTCATTTTCTCTTTCTTCATTTTCTATATCGCTCCCGTTTCCATTTGCTTTATTTGTCTCACTCTCTTCATTTTTCTCATTTTCTTTCTCGCTCCCACCGTCTTCGCACTCCTCGCGCACTATCAATCCATCAACGAGACTGAGAACGTCGCGCAACGTGTACCCATTCATTATTGGTCACTAGCTCCTATCAAATTAGGTAGTTTTGCTAGAACCAGTATTCTTTCGATTTCTTCTTCTCTTTTCTCTTCTTCTCTTCGTTTCCTTATTCACCTTTATTCGCGCCTCTGTTGTTTATCTTTGCTCTCGCTAATCTTTTTTTCTCGCTATTTCTCACTGTCTCGCTATTCACTATTTCTCACTGTCTCGCTATTTCACTACCTCACTACTCTCGATGCAGTGGCTCCACACCCTTCCCCCTCCACTCCAAGATGAAGTAGCAGCCCTCATATCTGCCGTTCCCCAAGCGGCTCCTACCCTCGATAAACTATTTGAATATGCTTCCAATAGCCCCCAAAAACAAAAAATCCCAGATCCTCCTCGCAAAAAACGTCAACAAACTTCTGCCCCACCACAGTTGCCGCCACCATTAACACAAGCCGACATCATATTTCATCTCTCCAACATCTCGTGCCAGTCGCCGTTTCGAAAAAGACTTGGATTTGCTTTCCATTTAGCATTGGGTCCTCAGGGTCCTGTCCCAGCACTTCTGCTTGTCAACAACCAGTTGCAGCCGGAATTTTCCTTGATGAATTTGGGCCAAGACATCGTGTTCTGCTCGCTCTTACCGATCCTAGGAAACTCCACGGTGTCCCTGAAGAAAGATACCGTGCTTTTGCTTGTGTGGCTTGCTCATGGCGACCCCATCGTTTGCCAGTTGAATTTTGATGCGGTGAAAAAACAACTTGTGGCCGAAGGAAAAGTGCCCGCCAGTGCCGAATCCGAGCTCGATTCTGAGTCGGAAGAGGACGATGCCGAGGGAATAAGACCCATAAACGAGGCACTTGTGGATTTTCTCGTTCGTCAATTTCAGCTTTGCGGCATCCGCCTTTTGAACTACTTGCCATTTTCCACTGGCTCAAAAAACAAATTGACCCTCAATAAAGACACAGCGTTGGCATTATCCACCAACGGAACCTCGGTCAACGACGTGGTGATCGTTCAGGCCTATAGAGGCTCCAAAGATGGGGCACTAGTGCTTTTGGGTGGAACCCAAGACCAGCCAGGAACGATAATTTTTGGGTTCCGCAAACCAATTTTGCTTTTTAGAGCGAATTCGGTCAAGCGTATCTCCTACAGCAACATCACTCGTCTCACATTCAACGTGCTGGTCACGGTTCACAACGATACCCGACCAGACGGCGAAGAAACCATTGAGTTTCTGATGTTGGATCAGGCTTATTTTCAAATTCTTGATGATTTCGTCAAGAGACAGGGCATAAACGACGATTCGTTCAACGAAGCGCTTCGCGAGAAACAAAAGGCAGACCCTAATGTGAAAGCAGAAACAGATGCTGAGGATGCGGAAGCACCAGATAGTGACGATGAAGAAGAGGACGGAACGTACCAGGCGGGAGTGGAAAGCGACAGCGACAATGAAAAAAAGGAGGAGGATGGAGAAGAGAATAGTGAAGATGAAGACAGTGAAGATGGTGAAGAGAGTGAAGACAGTGAAGACGGTGAACTCAGCGAAGACGGTGAAAGCGACGACCTCAGTCTCAGCTAGAACCCTACACTACTTCTGTCTAGCCTGCTTCCTGTTTCTGCTACTGCTTGCTGCTTACTACTTCCTGGCTTTTGCCTGCTACTTCGCAAATAACTCATGCATTTATTTGTATCCAGCTCCATACTTATCCAACAAATGGAAAAACCGTCCACGCTTGTCAGCGGTCCATCTATGGTCTGCGGTTTCGTCAAACTCGTGGAAGGCTTCCTTTTGTGCCCGCTGCTCTCGCAAAACAGCAAGTCTTCTTTGCAACAATTGTCTATTATTGTCAATTAAATTGTCGGCCACAGCATAACCTCCAACGAATAATCCAACAGAGTATACATAACCAGGAATTCTGTTCCAAGAACGGGCGTACTCCTTGCCCACAATGAGCACCTGGAGCCGCCTGGCGGTCAAGCCTAGAAAGGTGCTGACAACAAGTCCAGCAGTGGTAGGCATGTTGATGAGAAACCGACAGAAATCATTGGTGAATGCCCCGGTTGCATGCAGGACGCGAACCTAGAGGGGCCATATGCAGGAACCAAACTCTTTCCGTTTTGAATGTTCGCGCTGCAGGACTGTGGCCCATTATTAACCGCCGGTCGCTGCTTTCACTCATAAATGCCAATTAATTTTTTCAAGGGCCATCCCAGTGCGGACATACTTCCCCGGAAGGAGCTTGCTGATGCCTATAGCAAAATTCTACTTGAAACCGACTTTCTTGGCTACGAAAATGATCCCAAAAATCGAGGACCTTTGCAGTATGGAACTGATTCTGGTAATTACGAGGTACGCAAGACCATCAGCGATTGGAATAATCGAGAATTCAACACTGATTTGTCGTGTCCACAGAACATGAACTTGACGTCCGGTGCTTCTTATGGAGCTGCGAATATTCTTACTTCTGCCACTTCTGTGGAGATTACCCAATCTGCATTTATTGTCACTCCAACTTACTTTTTAATCAACAGCTCGTTTGTGGACGCTGGGTTTGGAGGCAGAATTGTGCCAATTCGAGAGACCCAGAATGAAGAATTCGACATCGATATCAAGACGTTGGAAAACCATCTTGCGCAAGCTGATCCAGTCCCTGAAAATGAAGAGATAAACATCATTAAGGACGCTGCGGGACGCCCTGACCGCAAGCTATACCGCCATGTAATCTATATGGTGCCTACTTTTTCAAATCCTGGTGGAATCTCGTATACGACCAAGACTCGTATGGCGGTGTTGGAGTTGGCTCGAAAATACGACATGCTAATTATCACCGACGATGTGTACGAGCTACTTGACTACACCGAAGCCAGCGAGAGAATTCCTCGGATGGTATACTTGGACATAAAGACTCGACCCAAAGCCAAAACGTTTGGAAATACCGTATCCAACGCTACGTTTTCCAAGATTTTGGCGCCAGGAATTCGGTTTGGCTGGCAAGAAACCGCTACTAGCAAGCTTGCAGAGCAACTTGCAATTACCGGAGCAAACAAATCAGGAGGAACCCCGGGTCAATTGTCTTCTTTCGTGGTCAAAAGCCTCATCGACAATGGCACTCTTGATACCATCATCAAGAAGTTCATTGAGATCTACAAAGAACGCGCAAAGAGGTTACTAGAAGTGATACCCAAGTACTTACCATCAACCACAATAGTAAGTGGAGGCGATGGAGGCTACTTTTTCTGGCTTTCGATCCCCGGAGAAATCGATCTAGAGAAGGTGCTTGACAAGATGAAAGAAAGAGGAGTTATAATCCCGGCCGGCCACAACTTTGAAGTGTGCAGCTCCGAGCCGCCATTCTGGAAAAACAGCGTGAGATTGAGCATTAGTTCGTTGTCACCAGAAAAAATAGAGGAAGGAATCCGGATCTGGGGAGACGAACTCAGGACGCTTTATCCACATTTATATCAATAAACATCTGTATTAGTATTGCTTTTTCATTCAGAGTAGATCTTGGTGTTTGTTTTTGTAATCTCATGGATTGTCGATTTTAGGCGAACATTTTTCATCCTTGAAAAAGTACATACATTTGTTGTAATGAGAAGGACAAAATTTTCAGCTTTTATATGCCAAAACATCCAAACACCAACACATACCAACAAACACCAACACATACCAACAAACACCAACACTAATATGAACCTCCATTAAAAAATTCTGCGTTAGTATGTCAATGGCTCAGTTGGATTTGTATTATCATGACTTCTCTACGCGGCGAGTTTGAATCATCATAGCTGTACATACATGTTAGTAGTTTATCACCGGGTGTTTGGGTGTAAATGAAGACCATTCTCCACCAAAAACCTTGTGGTTATCTTGCGTAAATTCATGTCTACTGGTTAGCTAAGGTCCTAATTTATACTCCAGAGCAGTTGGTTTGGTTGCTGGGGGCTTTCGCCAAAAGTTTCATGTTTCCCTATTTGTGCAGAATGACGAAAAGTGAGACGAAACCTTATGCAGAATTGCCTAACTTGTAATTTGTGTTTGTACCGAATTGCAACCAGGACTATTGTGACCAATGATTTCTTTGCAAGGTCTATATGCCGACCGGCCATTGGGAAAGCTACCAATCTCGTTGTACACAGCAACATCGTGTGGATTGGATTGGTTCTTGTACCTTTTTTTTGCAACCATTTCTATAACTTTAGGTGTTCTAACGCTGCCGTCCCACGAATATGCCGTCCAGGACTTGAGATTGCAATACTCGTACACACCCAACGAGACATTCCCTATATGGCAATTGGTATTCATAACCATTGTTTGTCCACCAATTTTATTTTTTGCAATTTCATGCTTGGATTTTCGCAGGGTGACGATATTCAGAATTTTATGGGACACTTTTGCCGGGCTGACTGCCTTGTGTGGGAGCATGGCGACCCAGATACTCATAGTGTGCGTGTTGAAAAACACTTTGGGCCTTCCTCGGCCAGATTTCTTGGACCGGTGCCAGCCATCAATAGAATTTGGTATGGGAACAATCGCAGATTGCACGAGTACAGACGATGGGATTCTAAGAGAAGGGTTTCGGACGTTTCCCAGTGGTCACAGCTCGACAGCATTTACAGCCATGACAATGGTGAGTCTATTTTCCGCTGGCAAATTACAAGTTTTTGACAATCGTGGTGTTTCAATCAAGATAGCGTTGGTTGTAGCGCCGATGATTCTAGCGAGTACAATTGCAAGTTCACGGATTGCCGATAATCGACACTTTTTATCAGACACGTTAGCAGGAGCAGCCATAGGAATTTTTTGTGCGTATTGGTTTTATCGTCAATACTTTCCCAGCGTGCTTTTATTGACAAATAAAGGACGAGCCTATCCACCACGACGAAATGGGGTATCACATCTCTTTGGGAACGTGGGTGGGTTCTGGTTTATCGAGGAAAGTGACAACGGACAGTATTGCAAACGGTGTCTAAATCGGCCTTCAACGTGCAAAAAGTTGGTTCAACTTGGTATCGTTGATCACGATACTCACGCTGTGAGCGTAGGATCTAGCCTTGAAGCTGCGAGCAAAGCAAAAGCGCAACTAGGACACACGGTAAATTTGGACACTCCACTATAAGATTTTGCGAGCCCGCAGACGGGCACTTTTGACCTTTGCAGCAGCATTTTCAACTTCATGTTCGAAACCATCAAGTAACTCATTGTGCTCTTCAACCTCGGTATTGATCAACTCTCCCAACTCACGTTGTCTTTGAATCAGTTTCCGAAGCTCGTACAATTCTTGATCTTGGTTCTTGTGGATCTGAATTTGTTGCTGCAAAAGTTCCTGGTTGTTCAACGGCAATGTGTCGTTGGTCTCAGAAGCCTTGCCTAGCGAGCCGTGCCCGCCGTTTTGCTCTCTTCTATCGGCTGACCATGCCCCTATCAGCAGAATCAGCAGCTTAAGATTACACACCGCTGCCTCTTTTTTCAGTTTATCTTTGGCAGAAATTTTGAGCTTGCTGATGGTGGCACGGAGCTCATCTAGGTGCCTCTGTAAATCCTTTGACTCCTTTTGAATGGCAATTTTTTCCTTCAAAGTCTGGCTCTCTTTGTAGGCTATTTCAAACTCGTGCGCTCGCTGCTTATAGCGACGGTAAAGTTCCAGCCATTGCTGGTCATCCAAACTAGGTGGAATACTGAGGTCCGACACTACGTTCAGGCCCCTTTTGAAGATGGAAGATAGCTCAAAATCGGCGGGAAGTTTTAAAAATTCAAGGAATATTCGGTTGTTCTGAATCTCCTTATCAGTGACAGCCTGGTTCAAAAAAGTGGCGAGTTGATCTCGTCTTTCCGCCACGACTTTAGCTGAAGACGAAAACATGAACGACTTCGGAGGAATCTTGTACGGGAAATCGCTGGGATTTATACCCAAGTCATCGGATAAATCTTGAACAAGTCGGAAGAATTCGGAGTACCTTCTTGGAATCGTCATCGAGCGTAGAGGAAGTTTGAGCAGAATATTATAGTAGACAGCATTGTTGGCGCTCGTGGTCGAGGGGATGGAAACGACGGGACGCTCCGAGTCTGTTTTTTCAAACGACATGTACAAGTAGTAACGTAGCCAAAATATGGTGACACTTGCTGCTGGGATGGCGCGCCCAAACACCGGCTACCCGAATGTGGAGACGACAAGCATTTGGCGATTCAGGTCGCATTCTTGCTATCGATATGATTACCATTTTGGGCGAAAGAAGTTTAAAATGGCTTTATGAAAAAGGAGTGCTTTTACTGAACACTGAAAATATTGATTTCTTTTAGAGTGATTGTGATAATTGGGTTGTTTGGTTTATTTAGTTTTGCAGCAATTGCCAAGAATGGAATTCGAGCTATTTATGCAATTGAAGCAAAAGTATTCTTGTAGAAACTACGAAAGGGCTTGAAATTAAAGACAATTATTGAAAGTGAAAACAGAAATGAAGATTGGAGGAAGAAACAGAACCCTGACAAACTCTGAAAAATCAAAATTTATAATTTTCGAAAATAGCGTTCAAAGACTGTTCTTCCTTCAACTCATCCAAATGACTCACCACAATGCCCAATATGACCAAAAAAGCTCCTCCATCACCATTTCGCTGGTACATTATACCTGGATTTACGATCCAAAACCTTATCGGTTAACGCACCCGTACACCAGCAGAACATCGTGACATAATTTGAAGGTTGCTAACTATTTCAGGCGTAACCATTTATTTCACCACGCATTCTTTCAAGTTTGGAATTGGGTAATTTTTTCACATTCTACACCTGTGAGCACCCCCAGAAATGAGCTACAGTGCCACAGACAACCATGGGACCGATACTGGTCCGAAATCCGGTTCTCAGCCGGTTTCAGAAACGGGTTCCGAGGTCCATACGAGGCCAGAAACGGCTCTGCCAGTGCCTGAGCGTAGCCATGTTGCTGAAGAACGCCATGGGCGCGATTCCGACCTTGAAAGAGAACCATTGGTGAGACGCAACTTTTTGGACCCGGATGACCCTCGGGTATCGCCGATGAATTTGTACCGTATAAGAGCTTTACGATTCACAATTGCGTGCATGTTGTGGGTGAATGTGGTTCTCTTTTTCATTTTTTTGATTTCAGACTTTGTGGCCATTCCTGGCTTGAACAATCGAGGAAAGTCGTTTTTGCAGCTCGACTTGTTGATACTCAATTTTTTGACCAACTTGATCACATTATGGAGCTTCACTGTGCCAGCTTACTACGAGCGGATTTTGGGCTACGTAAGTGCCGCATTGCTTTTTGTTGACTTTATTGTGGTAATTAGTGTCCCTTACCTTCGCGACCAATTTGGGCTTACGGGAAACTTGCTCATGATATGGACTTTGTTGACGGTGGCTGTGAATTGCTGGGCAGACTACTCGGTGGAAAAGAGCAAAAAAAACCAGGAAATTGAACTTACTGGAAGAATAGAAACGAGACATTCCATCTCCGAACTTTTCGTGATGTTGATCAAGATAATCATCAAGTTGTTTCTCCTCTTGGTTATCTGGAACGTGAGCTTGGGAATATGGCTTCAGGCGTTTGATTCTCATGAACAGCCATGGGGAAAAATGGTGGCTGTGGACAATAACCAATTTAAAGTTCACTTGGCATGTTTTGGAGACGTTGGAAGCAGCTATAACGGTACACAACCAATAGTCATGGTTGAAGGAGGCCAATTGACTTCTGCTGAAGAATTTCAGGAATGGGTAGAAGAGCTTTTCCATTTGAATAGATTGGACCGGTATTGCGTTTGGGATAGACCAGGCTACGGGTTTTCCGATAGCGCACCCCTGCCGATTTCTATTAACATCATCACAGAGTATCTCATTGAAGCGTTAGAAAAAGAGAAGATTGAAGGTCCTTTCAGTGTGGTTGGGTTCGATATTGGTGGCTTGTATGCTCGGGCATTTGCGCTGAGAAATTCCCACAATATTCATTCCGTGATGCTTGTGGATAGCTGGCACGAAGATCTTCTCAAGTTGAACCCTTTCAGTGGACCAGGACGCAAAAACGAAAAGAGTAAGGTGTTCCGCAACATTTTGGAATTCATGAATACTCGCACAGGGTTCAAGCTTTGGCTCAAAGGGTTGGTAGCTCCTCTTGGATTGGTCACTAATACCCATTGGTTCTTCCATCCGAAGCGATACTCTTCCAACAGCCGTATATTTGGCTCGGATATGGTCCGCCTGTCCAAGTATTTGAGGGCTCGTTTGCAGGAACAAATCACAGCCTCTATACTCTCTCACAACGAAATGGCAGGCAGCGATATCCACAGCGTTCCGCTCAGCGTGGTTTCGTCCGATTACATGATCAAAAAGTCGCTCAACTGGGGTAAATGGCAGCGGGAATTGACCAAGTTGAGCAGCAAGGCGATGGAATGGGTGGTGGCAGAGAAAAGCGGACACAAGATTTGGGAGAGTCCACGAGGCAGAGAAGAGCTACAAAAGGTGCTTTTGAGGTTACTAGGCGATAGCGAGATATAGATGAAAAGATTTGGTGATTTTGGTGATTTTTGGGACTTTTTAGTTGTTCTGTTCACTCTCTCGTAGGTTTCCCGATGCGGGCATTACTGCACACAGGCCGGGGTGAGGAGTCCGAGGCGCGCACGTGACGCATTCCAGATTTGTAGCGAAATGTGAGGCTGGCTTCTGACGAGATAGGCCAGTGGTATTGCACCTGTCGTGTAAAAACGAGTTTTTAAGCTTTTTCGGTTGTTGAAAGCAGTTTTTCTGGGTGTTGTGAAGCATATCAACTTATTTGTACACTTAAAAGTGTTTCTCTACTTAATAAAAATCGAATAGGAGTGTTTGTGTTCGATTTCTTTGCTGTTTCTGGCGACTATTTTCCATAAAAAACCCGACTTTTTTGGCAATACGGCGCCTCCTATAGTTCATCACATACTTCCGTATCGATGGAGACCGCAGAAATTCCGGAAACGATGAATACCATCTCGAAACTGACGAGATCTTCTCCTATCAGCTCGCCATCAAGTTTTCCTTCGCTGCCTGGAGCGCCAGATCTCAACCGAAGTGGCAGCCAAGCGAGCAGCGGAGTGGCAAATACTGGAGTGACCGCTGGACCTGGAAATTGGCCGGCTAATGTACTGCCCCAATCGTCAACTGGTGCTGATCGCAACGGACGGTTGAGCCCTCTGCCTCAAATTGCCCCTGGGCCACCGGGGTCGTTTGAACCCCATCATCCAGATCATTCACAAGCAAATCAGGCGAACTTGCAAGCAAACTCACAAGCAGATTCACAAGGAAACTCATCACAGACACAGTCTCAATCACAGGCTCAATTACAGTCTCAGTCTCAGTCTCAGTCTCAGTCTCAATCTCAATCTCAATCTCAGTCTCAATCTCAGACTCAACCACAGGCTCAGTCTCACGTTAAAGCTGCACAGAACCTTGGTCAGCCAGAATCCGCACCGGCTGGTCCCGTACGTAGATCATCTTTTGGTCTCGGATTCTTGAGTCTGTTTGCCAACTCTATCCGGTCGCAAGGCACCGCTCCGACCGGAGGCTCCACCGAAGCATTCATGTCCAACAGCCCCACTATTGCCAATCTCAATCACCATCTTAATAGCGACAGCCAATCGGAATTCGAGGACGCCGTTCGGGGTCCTGAGCAATTGAACGAGGAAAATGAGGAAAATGCATTGAATGGTGCTACTGCTGGTGCTATTACTGCTACTGCTACAGGCGGTGGTGGTGATGTTTCTTCTGCTGCCGCTCATTCTTCTGGTGGTCCTGCTGGCATGGATAAAGACGGATGCTACTCTATCCGGTTGACACCTCTTATTGACCATTCTTCGTCAGCCTCTGGTCTTTATTTTGCTCCAGTGATTCGCAAAATTAAACCAGAAAAGTCGATTTCCATTGGTCGCTACACAGACAAGAACAGGGCCGCAGCCCACGCCCCACAAGGCTCATCTTCTCCTATCGTATTCAAGTCCAAAGTGGTATCGAGAACCCACGCTCTCTTTCAGTGCAACGAAGAAGGTCAGTGGTTTATCAAGGATTGCAAATCGTCATCGGGAACTTTTTTAAACCACATTCGGTTATCTCCAGCATCGCAAGAACTGGCATTGACTCCTCTCGTGGATGGAGATATAGTTCAGCTTGGAATGGACTACCGAGGCGGCACCGAAGAGGTGTATCGCTGTGTCAAAATGAGATGTGAATTCAACAAAAGTTGGCAGCGTAAGGTCAATTCGTTCAACTTGGAGATTCACTCGAAACTCAAAAACTTGGCACTTGACAATGGAAATCTGATACCCGAGCCGCTAATCACCAATAATTTCTCCGAGTGTGCTATATGTTTATTGACACTCGACCCGTGTCAGGCCCTCTTTATAAGTCCGTGCTCCCATGCATGGCACTACAAGTGTATTCGGCCCATCATCATCAAGAGCTATCCGCAATTTTACTGTCCCAATTGTCGATCGATGTGCGATTTGGAGTCTGATATAGAGGACGATGACGATTAATGACGAGGCCATATATTCTTTAATCTATTTGATGTACGTTCTAGCTTCGTAGGGCGCCAAATGAGAGTCGGAGTTTTCGTCAAAGTTGGTGAGCACCAAGTTGTAACCTTCTTCCGCAACGTATGGAACGGTTTCTTCGGAGAAGTTCAACGCAACAAGAGCCTTTTTGTTGCCGTTTTCCTTGGTGAAAATAAAGAGTTTTTCGTGGCCGTTATCAACAATTTTCAAGTCTCCAAAAATGAGAGTTTCAGAGTGCGATTTTCTCACTTTCAAACATTTTTGCCAGAAACTGAAAACCGACGAAGGATCGTTAACTTGCGAAGCAACGTTGATTTCGGGATAGTTATCGTTGACACGCATCCATGGCTCGCCTGTGGTGAATCCTCCGTGTTTGGAATTGTCCCATTGCACTGGAGACCTGGCATGGTCTCTGGCCATGATTTGAACAACGTCCATTAATTTTTCCAATTTTTCTTTATCGTCGCCAATACGCTGCTTAAAGTCCTCGTAGTAGTTCAACGTCTCGATATCCTTGTACTCAGAAATGGGCCATGACCGTGGAAGATTTGTCATTCCAATTTCCTGACCTTGGTAGATGTACAAGGTTCCAGAAAGCGAGCTTAACATTTGTGCCAAGAGTTTAGCGGACTTATTGTGGCCCTTGGGGTTCTTGTCAGTACCAAACCGAGAAACTGAACGAGGTTGGTCGTGGTTTTCAGAGAAAGCAGTGGCCCAAGCATCGGTTCCTTCTGCGAAACCACTCATATTCTTCACGGCTTTTCTCATGTCGTCCAAATTCCACCCAGCAAAATCGTACCTACCAAGTCCCTTGACACCCACTTCGACCAAATCAAAGAGAAAAATCGAGTTCATTTCGTTGGCTGAAGCGGAAACATATTTGAGTGCTTCTTCACGGCTGCAATGGCCCACCTCTCCAACCGTCATAACGTCGTAATGGCTGGTCACTTTCTTATACATTTCCTTGTGGAACTCGTGGATACGAGGACCATTCAGACACAAGCTTCCGAAAGGCTGCCACTTTTGCGTGTGGTCCACAATTGGTGCATCTTCAAAAGTTTGAACTTTGGAGTATAAAGCTGCGACATCGATTCTGAACCCATCCACACCTTTTTCGTACCAAAACTTCATAGCATACTCATAAATGGCCTCCCTGGTCTCCTCACACTCCCAATTGAGGTCTGGCTGAGTGGCTGCAAATAACCGAAGATAATATTCTTGGGTATGTTCATCCCATTCCCATGCGGAACCGGAGAAACAAGATTTCCAGTTATTTGGAGGCTGTCTATTTCCTTGCTCGTCATACTTGGGAGGCTTCCAGATGTACCAGTTTCTCTTGGGATTGTCCTTGGAAGATCTTGATTCTTTGAACCATTCATGCTCACTACTGGTATGGTTCACCACAAGGTCAAGAACGAGCTTCATGCCCCGACTACGGACCTGGTCAATTAATTGATCCATGTCCTTCATAGTACCATACTTGGGGTAAATGGCATTGTAGTTGGAAATATCGTATCCCATATCATCTTGGGGTGAATCGTACATTGGAGAAAGCCAAATCACATCCACTCCGAGAGACTTAACATAGTCAAGTTCTGAAATAATACCTTGAAGATCTCCAAAACCGTCTCCATTGGAATCCTTGTACGAAGCGGGCCAGATCTGGTATACTGTGGCAGTTTTCCACCAAGGTTCAGCGTTAATTGTCATGATTGCAAATTAATGTCCCTCACTCGGGTGGCTTTTATTCCTGCGCGCGCAAAGAATATTTATTCCGCTGCATAATGTGGAGTGCATTACGCACATCGTTTTTCCGCGGCGAATGCGGGGATCCACTCGCGAGAGACCTATGTAACCAGGAAAAGTCCATCCGAGTAAATTGCCGTAAATCACCGTTAAGATTATCGGAAGTTGGCTGGTGGGGGACCTGTCAATCATAGTGGGGCGAGGGTGGGGTTCCTGCCAAGTAGAGTATTAATACTAATTGCAAATTGTGCTTACATGAAAGAAATGTAGACTTGCAAAAACATTAGTTTAGTGCGTCTGTCGCTTCAAAATCTACTACAGCAATACTCTCTGTTGTCACTCTTAACTATTACTATTCCACCCTCAGAACTACACTTCATAGTAAATTATTTCTTGTAATTTTGTCATTTTACTTCATTCTCCAATTTTGAAATTTCTCATCAATTCTGCGTCGTTCTTCAAGATTATCTGAAATTCAAACTTTACAGAACAGCTACAAATGAATACGAATAAAGAGTGATCGTTTCCTCCATCGTTTGAATCGCGAAGAAGAAATTTACGAGTTTGATACTGTTCAGAGAATGGCTGCAAATTGGCGAAAACTCAAATTTGCAAAGAAAAAGCAACAGCCTAGAAATAGACATCAGGGTACTAAAAGAGCGCTAGGGGACAAGATATGTTAGAAGAGTTCCAACGATTCAATTGGAAGTTGTTGCAATTGGTCGCATTGACGTCTAAATTCGAACACAGGGAACTAAGTGTCAAACTCCAACCAAGTTTAAACTGAGAGTCAAATTCCGACCAAGCTTAAAACTGAAAGTCGTAATTTTGTTAAAAGTGCTTAACTGAAATGGTAAGCTTTCCGTTCTTATTCTCGATTTCAACAATTTTTTGCGGGGAAGCATTAGTGCAGTCTTCATATTGTTTTCTTAGCATGTTAAACAATGAACCTATCTCCATAATAACCTTCAAAACCTCATAGCAATCACGCCAGAATCAGAATGACACAATTATGCATAAACAGTACTGATTCCGAGATCGAAGTTGTTCCGATTTTCTGAAGTGAGTTTTTCCGATGAGATTTTTGATCAGACATTCAACCGAAGTAACCGTTCAAAATCATGCAATGAACATATAGCCAAACTCGGTGGCTCATATAGATCACACCACGACTTGATTGAGCTCCGTAGCTTATTTTAAGGGCCCTTGAGAGCCACATGATGCCTCGCAATAATTTCGCATCCATAATGGAAAAGTACCCCACAAACGCCCCGCGTAAATTTTCATTTTGCGAACATAAAAGATAGACTCCGCCGACAAACTCAGGCACAGATTGTGCTGGAGATGAGTGGCTTCTTTGAAGAAGACGCTGCGTCCAATAAAAATGTAAAACCTACCCAAAAAAAATCCATGGATAGTTCCATCCGGGATGAAGTTGATGACTTTTTGGCCAAATTTTTGGACTTGTCTAATGAAGCCAAAGATAACGATTCCAAAGAAAGAAGCATGCCTTTGTCTGAAAGCATCAAGACGTTTCCCAAGGCAGCATTCTGGTCGGTAGTTTTGTCGTCGGCGTTGATAATGGAAGGATTCGACACCAATCTCATCAACTCATTTTTCACGTTTCCAGCGTTTCAGAAGAAATTTGGTACTTATTACCCTGAAAGCGACAGCTGGGGCCTCGAGGCGAAAAGGCAAACCACCTTGAGTTTGAGTGTATACGTCGGAGAATTTATTGGTTTGTTCATCGCAGGTATAATAGCAGATCGCATTGGGTATCGGAAGACATTAATTGGAGCCTTGGCAATGGTAATTGGGTTCATTTTTATTGTGTTCTTTGCTCAGAATGTGCAAATGTTGGTTGCTGGCGAATTACTTTTGGGGATTCCTTGGGGAGCATTTCAGACATTGTCGATTTCATATGCCTCCGAAGTTTGTCCAATGGTTCTTCGAGTCTACTTGACAACTTATGTCAATGTTTGCTGGGTATTCGGACAACTTATATCTGCTGGAATATTACGGGCGCTTGTGAACTCAAAGTCTGAGTGGTCTTTTCGAATTCCGTTCGCTCTTCAATGGGCATGGCCAATTCCTATCATGATTGGAATTTTTTTGGCACCCGAATCTCCATGGTGGTTGGTGAAAAAAGGTCGACTTGAAAGCGCCAAAAAGTCGGTCAATAGGCTTCTCACAGAGAATAGTCATCTCCCCGATAAGTCAGTAATGACAGTTGCAATGGTGAACAAAATGCAATTGACTGTGGAAAGTGAAAGAACCTCCAAAAACGAAGCCACTTATTGGGACTGCTTCAAAGGACCTGATTTCCGAAGAACAAGAATAGCGGTTGGAGTTTGGGTGTTTCAGAACATTACAGGCTCAGCATTGATGGGCTACTCAGCATACTTTTATACGCAAGCAGGACTTGCACCAAGTATGGCTTTCACCTTCACCATTATCCAGTATGTTCTTGGGATTGTCGGGTGCATTCAATCGTGGTTTTTGGCTAAAAATGCTGGAAGATTTACCATTTATTTTTCTGGATTGTGCACCCAATTTGTAATTTTGGTCATAGTTGGAGCTCTTGGATGTTCTGCCGACAAAAATGCTTCATGGGGAATTGGCAGTATGCTTCTAGTGTTCACACTTGTCTATAATTCCAGCGTGGGCCCTTTATGTTACTGTATCGTTGCCGAAATGCCGTCGGTGAAATTGCGGACAAAAACTTTGATTATTGCAAGAAATGCCTACAATGTTGCCGGCATTGTAATTGCGGTGATAACCCCACAGATGCTTAATCCAGAAGCATGGAATTGGAAGGCTAAAACTGGATTTTTCTGGGCCGGATTTGCATTGGCTGGACTTATCTGGTGCTGGTTTGATTTGCCTGAAACGAAAAACAAGACTTTTGCCGACTTGGATGCCTTGTTCGAGAACAAAATTGCCAGCAGAAAGTTCAAGAGTACCGAATTGGCAACTTTTGACGTCGGAAGAATGATGGAAAATCTTGGAGAAGAAGGTATCAAGGCGGTGGTGAAGCACCACGAAAACCCGGAAACTGAAAAGGTGTAACCCTGAAATTGGATTTTAGCCAAAGTCGTCACTGGAAAGTGGAAAGCACGAAGCGGGCGTTCGGTTTGGCTTGACACTCAAGCCTCGGAACGAGCCGTCACGGACATGAAACCGCAGCGGTTTGCAGCCAAAAAGGTGTGGGGCAGCAACTAAACCAAGATCGTCACTCGATACGGACTCGCCTAAAACTCGGGATTCAACAAATGGTCCGCCTCGAAAGTTAACCAGCCGCACCGTATTCTAATTAAAGTTTTTGCCTCCGCATGCATCTGCCCCAAAATGCTCGCCAATATGTAGTGGATGCGGACGGAGCGCCGCACGTAAAAAATAATGTGGGGAGGGTGCTTCTGGAAGACCTGTTTTCGGCGAGATTTACAGCGATAATCAAGATACACTTCTTCCGTGATTGCCGTAGTAAGGGCCCTCGTAATGTCTGGCCAATCTTCGGCAAATTGCTTCTATGCCTCGCGCCGAGGAAATGACCTTATGCGACCAATGCAGCTTCGACAGCAGATCTGCATTACACGACAGTTCCTGCGAGATGATAGCGAGTTTCACCTGCGCCAATCTTTGCGTCGCTGGCGTGCTGATGATCTGACATAGGTTACGCCGAAGCCGAAATCGGTTTTCGTCCGGTACGGAGAGCTCGTGCACAATGGGTTATATTGGATAGAGCCTAGTAGAAGCTGGATGCTTCTATTGAACCGCTGGACCGAGTAATGTTGCTTGATAACATAATAGTGCGTCAATTAATCCGCACTTCCCATAGTTTACGTACTCGTGCCAATTGACTTCTGCCGTTCGTTCCGGTCACTTTCCTATCCATTTGTCCACTCAATTGCAGCGGGGACCCTTAGTTCGTAACATTTACCGTTGAAGGCGAACCTAACCGGAATTCCATCGTACTTGACCCAACGGGAACAATCTGCAATGCAAGGCAGAAACGCGCATAAAAATAAGAATAAGGTACCCTGTCGCAAACTTTGACAGTTAATGGCTGCAACATTAATCCGGTAGAATGTTTTCGAGTGGCATATTTTTTGGACAAAATAGCACGGTTGATTCGCCACGCATCTACCACCATGCTGTAACTCACTACTTCCAAGTGGCACCATTTTTCTTGGACTTCCAGAAGGTTTTTGGTCGCTAGTGAATTTGGGTCGTCATGCAAGAGGACGCAACTCCCCGCATCACCTCCGCAGGGCCCTAATATGTACCCCACAAACAGCCTCACGCATGGTAAACGGTATACGACTGGCAAGGATTCATGGGAAACATAAATAGCTCCAGACTTTCTTCATGTTGTAGTATCTTCAGTCATGTCTAGGTACGTCGAAGATGTTAACAAGAAAGACAAAGCTATCGGAATCGAGGAAGAGGTGACTCGCAAGGACACCGAGGACTCGCTCCAGGTGGAGATGAACGATTACTTGGCAAAATTCTTGGACATGTCCAATGAAGCCAAGGAAAATGAAAATAAAGAGAAGACGATGCCTTTGGGCGAGGGGCTCAAAACGTTTCCCAAAGCTGCCGCTTGGTCGATTGTTTTATCGTCGGCTTTGATTATGGAAGGTTACGATCTCAATCTTATTGCGTCTTTCTACGCATTTCCTTCCTTTAATAAAAAGTATGGCCATTACGATGCCGGTTCCGACAGTTACCAGCTTGACACCAAATGGCAAACCACCTTGAGTATGTGTGCCAATGTGGGAGAGATCATTGGATTATTTGCAGCCGGTATAGTTGCCGACCGGATTGGTTACAGATGGACATTAATTGGGTCTTTGTTGTTGGTTATTGGGTTGATTTTCATTGTTTTCTTTGCCCTGAGTATCGGAATGTTGGTCGCTGGAGAGTTATTATTGGGTCTTCCGTGGGGTGTATTTCAAACCTTGACGGTTTCGTACGCTTGTGAGGTTTGTCCCTTGGTTCTTCGTGTGTATTTGACAACTTATGTCAATGTGTGTTGGGTTTTCGGTCAATTGATTTCTGCTGGAGTGTTGAAGTCTTATGTCGATTCCACTGCTAACGATTCTTACCGGATTCCATTTGCTATCCAGTGGATTTGGCCCGTTCCGATCATGATTGGTATCTTTTTGGCTCCAGAATCTCCATGGTGGCTTGTCAAAAAGGGCCGTCTTGACCAGGCCAAGCACTCTCTTCGCAGACTTATCAGTGCCAACGAACATCTTCCAGACACAGATATCTTGGCCGAGGCCATGGTGAACAAAATGCAATTGACCGTCGAGAAAGAATTTGCAATCAGTGCCAGTGCTTCCTATATTGAATGCTTCAGAGGAAGGGATTTCCGCAGAACAAGAGTTGCTGCTCTCACTTGGGTGATTCAAAATATCACCGGTTCAGCATTGATGGGTTACTCGACGTACTTTTACACGCAAGCAGGTCTTGCAACCAACATGGCGTTCACATTTACCATCATCCAGTCTGTTTTTGGAGTCATTGGAACTTTTGGCTCGTGGTTCTTGGCTCGTGCCTTTGGCAGATTTACCATTTACTTTTACGGTTTGTGCACCCAATGTGTGATTTTGCTTATTGTGGGTGGTCTTGGATGTTCCAGCTCATCATCAGCATCTTGGGGAGTGGGTGTCATGTTGTGGGTCCTCACGTTTGTCTATGATTTGGGTGTGGGTCCTCTTTGTTACTGTATTGTTGCGGAAATTCCATCGGTGAGATTGAGAACTAAAACCGTCATTATTGCTAGAAACGCATACAACATTGCTGGTATTATCGTGGCTGTGATCACTCCTCACATGTTGAACCCCGAGTCGTGGAACTGGAAGGCCAAGACTGGATTCTTCTGGGCTGGGTTTGCTTTATGTTCGGCTGTATGGTGTTGGTTCGAGTTACCTGAAACTAAGGGTAAGACTTTTGCTGATTTGGACGCTTTGTTCGAGCACAAGATTGGTGCTCGTAAGTTCAAGTCCACCGAAATGGAAACTTTCAATGTTGGAACTATGATGGAGGCACTTGGAGACGAAGGTATTAAGGCAGCCGTTCAACACCACGAGGTGTTGGTGGACAGCAATGCCACCACCACTCACCATGAGAAGGTTTAGTTATGTTTGAGCTTGATGCTTAGCAGTAATAGGATAGGAATGTAATGATTTGCAACTATTGCACCGATGATTTGCAGCCGCAATAAAATGAAATAGTAGCTGAGGGAAAAACCTCTTCAATACTTGAAGTTGAGTCGCGAACAGTTTTAAAGCTAAATGTTTGAAAGTGCCTGGAAGCCGCCAAGAAGATGTATCCAAAGTGAAATTTTTGGCTGAAATAGCCAGCTTCGTAATTATGCCAAGACTCTTCAACTTTTTCCGTCGCAAATATTTTGGTAGTGAAGCCAATCTACCCGATCAGCCACTTCCGCTCGTGCGGAGTACTCTGCTTGTCGAGATTGTTTCCAGATTTGCATCTCGATAAGATCGCGGAACAATAAATTGCGAAATGTGGGGTGCGTCGTAAATTGCAGTTCCGCGGGAGGGCTCATAACGAGAAGGTCATCTACAGATTAAGCTCAGAAACCCACTGTAAAATCAGAAAGGTACCAGAACCCAGCTACGAGCCCAAATAGCAGCTTGCATATCTGACCCAAAATTGCTCTTTTAGCACATTGTGCAGTTGATTCTAGAAATCGGGGCGGAAAAATTCCGCCACGAAAACATCTGCGGCTAAATGTTTTTACCACTTAAGCCACCCAGTCACCCACCATGGCTGCAAATAACGCCTGGAGTGGGGTGATAACTCAAAAATGACGTTTCGTTGCCAAGCCCAAAGCGTCTGACAGCCATGCGCAAGGCATGCATACACGACGGGCCGCACCTCTGTAATCAGGAATGACCAATTTTCCATACCTGATCACCATTACGGGGTCTGGCAATTTCACGTCATCCTTGGCATACAGGCATTCAAAGGTAAACCTTATACTCAAAATGATGTTGGTTTTGCAACTAAACTCGGTTTTGATGGACTCGCATGCTGCACTCGTATTACCCAAGCGCGGACGCTCTCCGCTCATGCAAGGCATGATTGCGCATTTTGGAACTTTTCCGAATGTTTTTTTCCGAAGTCGGATGCCGAGACCGAAATTGAATTTTAAATTTGAAAAAGCGGTATTGGACGATCTCGCCAAGACAGTCCACTATACTACCCCACGCCAACAAACCCCAACTTCACCGAAGGTTTTACGATCGCCGTGCGCCCAGAAATATTTTTCCGCCGTTCGCGTGTTTCAGGGAATCTCGCAAATTGCCAAGCTGCCTCGCAGGTCGGGGAAACGCACCCCACAAAAATATTGCTTCCGAGTATGCGCAAAGATAAAAAGGCACCAAAAAGTCGTGGAATACAATCCACGGCACAATGACTCTGTTTGTTGAGAATGTTAATGAGCCAGAGAAAAAAGTTAATATCGATGAGGATATCGTTCGGAAGAACACCGACGATTCTCTCCAGGTGGAGATGAACGACTACTTGGCCAAGTTCTTGGATATGTCCAACGATGCCAAAGAAAACGAAACCAAGGAGAAAACGATGCCGTTGTCGGAGGGAATCAAGACATTTCCCAAAGCTGCCGCCTGGTCGATTGTGTTGTCAACAGCGTTGGTTATGGAAGGTTACGACACCAATCTTATCAACTCATTTTATGCGTTCCCATCTTTCAATGAAAAATACGGAGAGTACGTTGAAAAATTAGACGCTTATCTGATCGATGCCAAATGGCAGACCACTTTGAGTATGTGTGTGAATGTTGGTGAGATTATCGGGTTATTTGCAGCCGGTATTATTGCCGATAAAATTGGTTACAGATGGACGTTAATTGGGTCGTTGGTTTTAACCACTGCGTTTATCTTCATTGTGTTTTTTGCCAAGGACATTGGTATGTTGGTTGCTGGAGAATTGTTGTTGGGTCTTCCTTGGGGAGCGTTCCAAACACTAACGGTGACATATGCTTCAGAAGTTTGTCCTTTAGTGCTTCGTGTGTATTTGACCACTTATGTTAATGTGTGTTGGGTTTTCGGTCAATTGATTTCTTCTGGAGTTTTAAGAGCCTTTGTCGATTCCACGGCCCACGACTCGTACCGAATTCCGTTTGCTATCCAATGGATCTGGCCGCTTCCAATTATGGTTGGAATCTTCTTGGCTCCCGAATCTCCGTGGTGGTGTGTTAAAAAGGGCCGTCTTGACCAGGCCAAACGGTCGCTCAAAAGACTCATAAGTGCTAACGAACATCTCCCCGACACCGAAGTTTTGGCTAATGCCATGGTGAACAAAATGCAATTGACAATCGAAAAAGAATACGCCATCAGTGCCAGCGCTTCATACTGGGATTGTTTCAAGGGCTCTGATTGGAGAAGAACAAGAATTGCTGCCGGAGTGTGGGTTGTTCAAAACATTACTGGGTCCGCCTTGATGGGTTATTCGACGTATTTCTACCAGCAAGCAGGTCTTGCAACAAGTATGGCGTTTACGTTCTCAATCATCCAGTACATTTTTGGAATTATTGGAACATTTGGCTCGTGGTTCTTGTCTAGGTGGACGGGAAGATTCAACATCTATTTCTCTGGCTTGTGTATCCAGATTGTGATATTGTTAGTTGTGGGAGGTCTTGGATGTTCCAGTGACAAAAATGCTTCGTGGGGAATCGGAGCATTACTTTGGGTGTTCACATTCGTTTACGATTTCACTGTTGGTCCGCTTTGCTACTGTATTGTAGCTGAAATTCCTTCGGTAAGATTGAGAACAAAGACCGTTGTCATTGCTAGAAACGCATACAACATCGCTGGTATTGTCATTGCCGTTATTACTCCACATATGTTGAACCCTGAGTCGTGGAATTGGAAAGCCAAGACTGGATTTTTCTGGGCTGGTTTTGCGGTGGTTTCGGCCATCTGGGTATACTTTGAGTTGCCTGAAACCAAGGGTAAAACGTTTGCTGATTTGGATGCCTTGTTTGACCAAAAGACCAAGGCTCGGAAGTTCAAGACCACCGAGGTGGAAACCTTTAATGTTGGAACAATGATGGAGGCTCTTGGAGAAGAAGGTATCAAGGCTGCCGTCCAACATAATGAGAATCAGGCAGATCGTACCGAGAAGGTTTGAATAGTAATGTAATAAAGAAGCGAAAGCGTTCAGTAATTGCAACCGTTCATGAAAACAATTTTGATTCCAGACTAAAAATCTTTGAAGCTCTGGTTGTTTAGCTGATAATCTGATAAGCTCCATAGCTCGTTCTGGAACAAGGTTTGGAATGTCAAAAACGGTTTGAAATGTCAAAAACGGTTTGAAATGTAATCGAAATCTCGCAGCGAGAAGTCCTCGTCAAAGTCTAGTAAGAACTAACCTTGTGATGAGTCCCCTGGTTATACTAAAGGAATCTTGAATTCACAGTTCAGGGACAATTAGTATTTCCAAACAGTGGTTGCAAAACCGACAGAATAAAAGTAACTCAGATTCTTGAGAGTGAAATGGTAACGAAGGAGCTGATTGTGTCAGAGCTCAAACACAGCAATAACCCAATAAACCACCGAAAGACTGCCGAATATAAGTCCCGAGCAAATACGTATTTGTAAGCTTGATGCCAGTTACTAACAGCTTTCAAAAAGAAACGAAATCCAAACCAAACTGATTTTATGTGCTTCCATCCATAGCAATAGTCACTGCCGTATCCTTCAACTATAAGTGAAAATGATTGCTCTATTCCAAGAAAATCGAAGGGCCACCTTTGTATCATTGTTGTTTATCTCTGTCGGAATAATCTCAATATTTTGCTGAAACTTTCCTAGAATATTCTAACGATGAAAAGGCTTCAGCTGAGGGTGGGTCTCACATAGAATTTATAGGAAAACCAAAACTATCTTGGCACATCGGTTCAATTCTCTCAATTATTTTCGCAATTCATTGCCCCAGATCGCAAATTGCGACATTGGCTGCAAAATAATTGGGTGCGCACTCAATTTTTCGCGATAAAATGATTGCGAAACATCAAATTAGAAATTGAGAACCAACAGAATGTTCCTCTATTCAAAAGAGGGAAAATATATAAAGAAATGAGTAAAATGCTTAAAGCATATCCTAAGAACTAATAAAGTACTTTAATACGGACACGACTATGAAAATATTTGAAAATTGCAAACCACATTTAACATTCAAACTACTAAACACAGTTAAAGAGTTTCGAATCGATTGGGCTGATCATGATACTGTTCATTATTCTCTATTTACAAACATCACATAAAAACATCAGTTTCAAAGTTGGGAAGCGAAGGACTGGATTCATGAGAAGTATGCATGGGTTCGACAGGAATTGAAAACGCAAGCGTCATTTGAGTAAAAGGCGAAGGGCAATTGGAATCAAACCCTTCCATGCCATTGGATTGGATCCCGGGTTCGACTCCATTAGTTTGGATTTCATTGGATTCCATTCCATTAGGCTGGATTCCATTTCCGTTGAGCACCTCGCTAATACGCCGTTCTACAGCGTCGCCACGAGACGAGTCGTCGTCTTCACTGACTTCGGTGATGAAGGCTCCGCTGGTCACCACCATGGACCGGTTACAAAGAAGCTGGTACAACCGCTCGTACTCGGCTTTGGGCATGGTGAGGTCGTTTTTCAAAAAACTAATAAATTTGAATATTCGGTCAAGTGCCCCATAAGCTTGGTTAGTGTCGAAACGGTACACCAGAGCTTCTGCAATGGCATCGGCGAGAGCAGTGCCAATTTCCAACAACTTAATGGAAACTCCAGGTCCGTTGGACTCATAGGCAACGATAGGAAGATCTTCGGACTGGGCCAAGAAATCATGGGCAATTTTCACTGGAAAAAGAGGACTCAAATAGTCGTTGGAATTGCCGATTTTGAGCAAAAGTCCATTGTTTCGAGAGATATGCCACGCTAAAGACCTCATCCAATGCTGAGAAAGCAGAAGATTCAACTTGGACGAGTCTGGAATTGACGACGCAATTTCAATTTTCTCTAATTGTGTCTGGACATTTTCTATCCATCGCCGAAGCACCGATTGCGACCGAGTATCAAACAGACCGGCTCCACCGGTGGCTTCGGATCTTGATGACAACTCGATGAACTTGTCGAAGAATCGTCGGTCGGGAATTGCAAATATTTTGACAAGTTCGGTGAAGCCACTGAGCAATCCAGCATATTCTTCGTCTCCAAGAGATGGATAAGGAACTGCCGCATCTAAAATTACCGGTAATTTGTCCTCTATGCACATAAATCTTTCTGTAACCACCAACATGTAATAAATTTTCCGGCAATGATGCACTTCTGCCGGAGTTTTATCTGCATATGTGAGAGTATCATGATACCCGAGGATTTGAGCCACAGAAATTGCTTCTCTGAGGTACAAAATCGATGCTGAAACTCCACCCTTAACATTGACATAATACACATACAAGAAAAAAGCCGTCAAAAGCGAATCTTTTGTCACTTGTAAGCGATAATCAAAAGATTTTCGGGCTCGGAGTGCCTCGGCGACAAATTGTTCCGAACTGATCTCATTTGGAAGATTTATATGCGAGTTTGTCGTAAGAAACGTTACTTGACGTGCGATAGCCGCAGCCACTGCGCATGCCAATCCGTATGCAGATGTACTCTCAAAATCGAGTCCCCTTCCCGGATCGTACACTATTCGTGATACCAAATGTGCGACCGAGAGAACCGGCCATACACCATAGAACCAGGTTTGATATACTTGGAGATACGGCAATAGTTTATCGATGGAAATTGAATGTCCGGTGGTTATAGATGTGAGATTCGAGGGTTGAACCGACTCGCTCGAAGGATTTGTCGACCCCGGTTCTTGCGATCCATATGTGGTGTCGGTCCTATTGGTGTTAACGATCGGAATCGACGCGCCCTCGGGCACAGAATCAGGATCTAGCCCCGCAGCTGCAGTCACCCCTCGGTAGGCAGAGCTGGAAATATGCTGTCGTGTCTTATTTTGAATCTTTTTAGGACCGGTTTTCCTGCGGAGTCGGATATCGGTGCAGGCAATACTATGATTCGTGCATCGGGTGCATGGTCGTTTCCCGTCACACCGGATCTTACGTAGAGCACATGCGTCACACGGCCGCGTGTATTTAGCTCTTTTCTTCTCTTTGCCGGTCATGGCGTTAATACGAGATGTTGCAAGGTCAAATATGACCGAAGCGGGGCGCACGACCAAATGATGGGTGCGTGCTCCGCAGAGTGCGCCGCAGCGAGCGGCGGAAGCGGCGCGTAAGGTGCGGCGCAGATCGGTCGATTTAAGACGTGCTGCTGCAATATATAAATAGCAGGCGTGGAGAACGTTGCCGAAGCATGCAGCTGAAATACTTGTCTTTAAAGTTGATTCTTCTTCCAGAAATTAGTGTTACTCGAAGAGAAAATGGATATCCTGCACACAACGACCCCAGGTCTAGTAACAATGTTGGATCTTTGCAGCTAAAAATATTTTCAACAAACCATTTTGTGGAAATGTAATCATTCTTTCGTAACTTTAGTCCGGTAGGATGTCGGATTTCAATTTTGAAGATTTAATAAAAATTGGGTTACAGTAACTGAAAAATATTTACGAACTCACCGGTTTCTGTCCTGCATAAACCAGCACATTGGCATTAATGTAAAGTACGCTTTTTGCAATTTTCAGGTGACTTTTCGATTCAGCCGTTCAGCCATTTTGTATTGTTTGCCATTTTCATGCATTTCTACCTTTTAAATTGTTTTCGAGTTTTTCTGAAATTCTTCTTTCCTCTCATCTCTCTTGGCAATCGTAAGCGACACCCGTGCACCACAAAGTTTAATCTATCTTCGCGACTCCGATGCTGCATGTTTCTTACATTGAACACTCTTTTAGACCCCGTTCAGCAAATTTCTGATGAAACAAGCTCCAAAGATCACATGATAGCTACCTCCCCAATGCTGACTCCGACGATAAGCCTGGTAACTTCAAATCGGATTTCAAAACCCGCCGATTTAAAATCGAAATCAAAACCGGTTTCCAAACCGATGCATAATAATATCATTCTAGGGTCACGATACCGGTCCAAAACCGGCTGTGCTGGGTGTAGGAAGCGGAAAAAGAAGTGTGACGAAGTCCATCCCATTTGTGGTTCATGTAGACATCGAGGAGAGCTGTGCGAGTGGGGAGTGGTGAAGCGATATAAACCAGTGTCGCCTAGTTCTGAAGAAACCACACCCAAAATACTGGAACTACCAAAGTTGAATGATGTGGAACAGACAAGAACGACCCCAAAACTAACTGAAGTAACCCCAAAACTAACTGAAATAAACCCAAACCTGACCGAAATAGCTTCAAAACCAACCGAAATATTCCCAAAATTGGTCCTGATATCAGAAGAAACAAAAATCGTGATCCAGTCGCCAAAATCTCCCCCCTTCAGTCTGACACCCTCGGACCTTCTCCAGCTCTTTTCCCCGTCCGACTTTCTCGATTTTGACATGCCGTTACTATCATCGCCGTCTTCTACTTTCAGTCTATACTTGGACGAAGCTGGTCTTCGTTTGCTCAATTTCTACGAAAACAAAGTGGCCAAGATTCTCAGTGTGTCTCCAGAATCAAGCAACTACTTCTTAAAAACGTTTTTCACCGCGGCTCTGACCGAAGAATCGCTTATGCATGCCCTAGCGGCATGGGGAGGAGTGTTTCTGGACGGTCACGACAGCCCAGCCGTCAAATTCCACTTGGAAAAGGCCCGTCAGCTCATAAGATCCACCTACTTGAACCGAGAGGATCTCGATACCCATGGGACGTACGTAGCTATTTGCTACTATTTGATTCTGATGGGCATCGATATATGTTCTGGAGATGTTTCCAACTGGTACTATCTTTTCAACGAGTGTACAAACCTTCTCAAACGACGGGGAGGCATTGTCAAATTCTGCCAAGAAAACCATTTTTCGAACGACTCCAAATGGTTGATTTCCAACTTTCAATTCCACGACGTACTTTCGTCAGCAACCCTCAAAAGAGGCACATCTTGCGATATCGAAGAGTACAGCCGTCTTTTCAACAACTGCTTTGATATGGGGTCGTATGGCGTGGATCCCTACCAAGGATGTATCCAGCCCATTTTCCTCTTATTGGGGTCCATCATGAACACCAACGTTGAGCTCAAAGAAGAGCGAGATAAGATCAACCAGGAAATGCTAGAAGCCAACAAAAAAGGTTTGAACCTCGACAATTCGGCCCACCGACAATTGACGTTGCGACGTATACGACAATGCCACGAAGTTGAAGCCCGCTACAACAAACTACTTCTGGATATCCATTATTGTACTCCCAACCAAAGCCAGATCTCCCATATCAGCCACGACAAATGTGAAGTGGATTTGCACTTGACATTATTCGAGCTTTATCGACTCACCTGTCAAATATATCTCTTGCTTTATATCAAGCAAACCCAACCACTGTCTTCCGAAGTACAGCTCCATTTCATGAACTCGTTGGCTTACATCGAGAGCTTGATGTCTTCCAAATTGGTGCCTTCTCTTCCTATGCTGTTGTTGATTTGCGGTATGTGCTGCTGTAACGAGTACGATAGAGCTCAAGTTCGCTCCATTTTCGACAAGCTTCTGGCAACTTATACAGTTGGAAATGTGGGCAGAATATGGGAAATTGTCCAAGAAGCGTGGAAACGCAATCCGCACGGCGATGTGTGTATCGACTGGACAGATATCTGCGATGAGTTTGGCTGGAAGTTGAGTGTATGTTGAGAAATGTTGGATGATAGTAATTGATTTACTACTGATACGGCTGAATAATTGATTTTCATATGTGCTTCAACCTTGAAGGAATGCAAACTGCATTCTAATTCTATTAAACCTCAAGAATTGAAGCGATATGGATATCAAGTCAAATCACAAAAAAATTGGACAACAATCTTCCAAATATGCAGCGAATCTACTCGTTAACAATTTGAGGTAAACTTGACTTGTCTGCAAGATTCTAAAGCAAGTCCACTTCAGACCAACTCATGCCAACCTAGCTTGAAGTCTTGTATTATAAGACCCATTCACTCCATTCAGAAATAACCCAAATCAGTCATTCTTCAACTGTTTTGGAGCCAGTACACATTTCATGATAGCTCAGCACTAAGCTGAAAACTCTCCAACCATCTTATTAGTGGTAGAAAATAAGGACTGTTTTGGTCAACTTTCTTCAGGTTCAGGTTCAAGTGTAAAGCTATAATGATAATAGCACCAAATAAACTTGTTCAACAGTTCTTGTGTTATTGAATAAATTTAGCATATTTCAACTATCTTGTATTTTGCACGTTGTGAGTTCCTTGATTATCCCAACAATAGATTATGAGAAATAAGTTCTTCCTTAGATTCAGTATGCGAAATATATTGTATATTTCAAAAATTAGGCAATTATTGTCAATTTAAGCTACGACACTACGCTGGTTTTTCAAGATTTTCAAAAATGAATCAGTTTCAAGTCATACAGCTGAATGTTCTTCTTGTAATCTTATTCTATTCTTCTTTAAATGTGTCTCTATACTTTTCTACTCTTCTCACCTTTTCTTCGCTACAGGTATAATTTAGGTAGTAAGCTAGTATAGTCGCTTTCTTATATCAGTTACAGTTCATTCGAGTCTTACATCAATTCATACATTAGTGAAAGATTCTTTTTAATTAAATCTATCAACGAATTTGCAGCCATACGGCCGATAAGAATTACGACACTAAAATGGTCCAGAGTCATTGCCAGGAAAAAGCAAGATTCAAGCGAGTTTTCTAATCATACTGGGCCCACAATCAACCAAAAAAAGCAAATTTGACTCTATTCTTTACTGACTCATTTATGAGCCATCGTTCGAGCCATTGCGAATTTCCCTTTTGGGCAGGTCGATGCGTAGATTAGGGTTTAGCAAAAGATATAAAACAGTCTCACGACCCTAAAACCCCAAAAATGTCAGTGACAATCAGACCAATTACAAAAGACGACAAGGAAGCGTGGCTAGAATTGTGGAGAGGAGAAGACTCTTATTTAGTATTTTACAAGGCCATGGACAAGGTTTCCAAAGATGTGTCGGAGGTGACATTCTCGAGATTTTTGGACGAAAACGAGCCTGTGTACTCAATTGTTGCCGTGGACGATTCCACCGGAGAATTGATTGGTTTTCTCAATTATTTGACTCATAGGAACACTTGGACGGTGGAAAATGCCCTCTATTTAAATGACTTATTTGTGTCTTCCAAGTGCAGGCTCAAGGGAACAGGGCGCAAATTGATGGAATATGGCTTCAGCGAGGCCGATAGACTCAATTGCAAAAAGTGTTACTGGAGCACTCAATTTGAGAATCATCGTGCTCAATTGTTGTATACCAAAATCGGAGTCAAATCTGGTTTTCTTCTTTATCAGCGGCCGCCACAATGAATTGGAAGCTAGACTATTTATGAAGGCTATATTATGCGAATTTGTGAATCTGATGTATTTAAATGAATCTGCTTTTCTGTATGTTGCACCGGAACGAGCGCCGTTTGTGGCAACTTTTCCGCTGCAATTTGCGCATATGCATGCACAAACTAATCATCTCACCGCAGTCGCACCGCAATGCGACGTACGATGGCGCACCACTACTGCGCACACTGCGCACCAGTATTGCGCACCCACTGCACTTGCCAACCTGCTCTTCACAACACCCAAAAACACCATCATCTTCGTGACCGCAGTGGTTCTTGGCGCCACATCCCCACACCCTTCCCCACCTTTACACCACCCCGCAGCGCACGGCACGACATTGCACCGATGCTGCAAATGTCGCAGAATCGCCAAAAAAAACCACAAATTTCGCCAAATTTCACAAACTTTCAGCAAGTATAGTACTACCCTCTATTACCACAATCGTCCACAGAATCCATCCCACATCTTTTGGTCGTTTTGCCGCCGCTCCGCCCACCGTCTGCCACACACCCAGACACCTGCCGATCTGACACCCGCACGCTTATCTAATGCAGCTGCGGGTTTTTCCCGACAAGTTTCCATCTGATTGTATAGCTCATTTTCACCGTCATTTGTCAGAGCAACCGCCGGTTCATTTTGTGGCATCTTCTTTCGTGAGGGCCCAATTTACTCCCAAAATTAGTTGTGTAACCCTAAAACTTATCAGAAACACAATTTGGAGCCAAAAGTGTCGATTGGCTATTTTTGATAGTGTGTTGGTGTTTGAATTTGGAGTTTTTCCGAGCGAAATTTCGAACTTTTGGTGAGCTAGAAGCAACCAGTAGCCCCGGAAGTATACTTTTGCTTCATCAAACGAGTTTATCGGTGTTTTTCAACCTAAAAATCTCACTTTTTTTGCTTATCTCTGCCACAGTAGCCGGTCTCGGCATTGATAAGTTTGGTTAATTTTGCCACTCAAATCGCGGCAGCTGAAGTGTCCGAACATTTGCACGCTTCCGCATCCACGGGCCGGTTTCTTTACCCGAAACAACTAACAAAAAATCCGTGGCACTCACTTGCCTACCACAACGTGGTACCACTGTCGTGCGGCCATACGTGGGTAACTCACGAACTGCGGCGTAATTCTCAGTCCGCGCACGGTATTTCCTATCATCTTGCGTAACTCAGCTTCGCGCGCCCAGCCTTATCGCCGTCTATAATGGCGCAACAATCACTGGTGTTCGACACCTACCTCACAAACTACACCTCCGGGCTTGGAACCCCCACAGACCCGCCCACGGACATGCCCGCGGAGTACCAGGATCCCACCCAGCTCCGGTCCAGCTCGTCTGCCACTGCCGCAGCTATGGCTGCAACTGGCTACGGTTTCGAGCGACTCCATGAATTGCCCGAGTTTCCCTCTATGGAGGTGCCCGATCTCAATTCCCAGCTTGAATTGCACAACGAGGTGTTTTTTGGCCCGCCAGCTGACGAATACTCCCACATAAGAGCGCTGATGTCGTCATCTTCGTCGTCGTTGCCGCAACCAAAAACCACTGCCAATACCACCCCGGAGTTTGTTTCTCCGCCCAAACATCACCGACTGTCTTCCACGTCGAGTCTTCCCATAGACCAACTCAATTTGTTGAGCATCAAGCCACCAGCTCCCTTATCTTCGACGCTGACTCCGTCTCCACGAAACGGCATTTTCCCCAGATCCCAGGACCAAAACGACCTGGAAAATCCCACCATTAATCCGCTCCAATTGCTCAATATGCAACCCAACCAAGCCTCCGCTTCCACCCAACCAAACAACAACGGAACCGCAAAGTACATTCTTCCATCTTCATCGTCTTCTCCAGCTCTTTCCACACTTTTCCTCGAGAGCCAAAATGGCTCCAATCCACCAGCACCCAAACGGCTGCACTCCATCAGCTCTCCCAACGCATTTGACTTCAATATGAACGACGAATGTTTCAACGCCATTTCGTACTGGCTCAACAATACCCTCAAGAATGCCGACGAGCGCGACCTTCGAGCAGCGGAAATTGTCGTCAATCCCACCGGAATCATCAAGCCTCCTCATTACCGCCGGCGCAATTCGATCCAGGTTGTTAGTCGGCCCGCCGACAGAAGAATGGAAACCAGACGAAGACGTCGTAGTTCCATGATGGAAACTGACGAAAATGTCGACGAAAATGTGGAAGAAGACATGGAAACCAATACAGGAAACGACCCACACGCCCCACAATCATTACCCTCTGCCTCATCAACAGCAACTACTCCAATGACGCCGGTCCATAAAGTGTCTCCAAGTTCTACAGCCGACGATGACGATGATGGAAAACCATTTCCCTGTCCAGATTGTTCGAAACAATTCAAGCGGTCCGAGCACCTCAAGCGGCATATCCGGTCGGTGCATTCTAACATAAGACCGTTCCATTGCAAGTATTGCGACAAGAAATTCAGTAGATCTGACAATCTTGCCCAGCACTTGAAGACACACTACAAGGTCAATGCCAATGGATCTACATCGATTATCTACGGCAACCCCAATGTGCACAACAGAGGAGGAAGAAGGGCCAGTAAGTAGCAAATAGGACCGAATACTCAGTATGACTTCGTGGATCTGTAATCATGTGTAGAAGCCTGTGTAGAAACTGTGTGGAACCTGTGTAGAAGCCGCTCCGCAGAATGTTCCTGCACGACCACGCGAGCGAATGCGCCGCCCTTCCACATGCGGATAAATGTAAACTCAAGTGGTCATTTTTCCTGCACCTACCCCCAGGAGACGGTCCCTCGGAAATGGGAACACACCCATACACCTACTTCGGGGGAACCCAATTTCATCACGAAACCAGCAACCAATTTGTATCAACTTCAATGTCGGTTTATCTGAACCAAAAGTTATCGCCCCAGGCGATATATCAACAGAAGTTAAAGCAGGGTGTTTACCATTCACCTGGTTTGCCAACTGTAGGTGTCAATTCTTCTGCGTCCGATGCAGCTGCATTACTCGCAGCAAGTACCGACCTTACTGTGAAGCCATCGTATGAACGCACGGTGGCTGCAGAGGCGCATACCGCTGCAGTGGCAGCAAAGAGCCAGAAGCCACAACCGGAAGTCAAGAAATCCTCGTCATCGTCCGGAATTGGTCTTGGTGTCCCCTCATTTACTGGGTCGGGAATTTATGCTGCAGCATCCCGGAACTCAACTATGTCGATGTCGACGAGAACTGAGCCGGAAAAAGACTACAGAAGTGGACTTGCACCCAAGGCGGCAGATGCATCGTTGAACATCCACAAGATTTCCGAATTGGCCACGAAAAACTCGTCCAAATCTCTCAACCTGAGATTTAACCCGGAACTCGATTACCGGTCCGGTTTGAAGCAAAAACCCGCAGAGTACTTGAACCAGGATGAGGAGGATCTTGCAGCAGAAGGTGCAGCTGCATCGCTTAAGCACGGCGCGGGTGCTAGTGATGCAGCATCTCTCAAGACGAGAAGTACCTCATTTAAGGCTTCAGATGTCGTAGGAAGTACCTTGTTGGGAGCTGCCAATGCTCGTGCCCAAGAGCGCTTGCAAACGTTGTCTCTGCAGCCAGGAGATTTCAAAGCTCAGGCTCAAGCGTATGCCAATGCATTGGCTATTGCGCAAAAAAATAGCAATGAGAGATTGAAACGCAACGCTGAAGGTCATATAGATCTCGGTGGAGGTTTGACGATGACCCAGAAGGAGTTGGATGCCATGGCAGCGTTGGTGGTTCAGCCTGTGTTGAGTGATATTTCCACTAAAGCTTCAGCTCAGCGGGATGCGGATGCTTCTGCGAAGAAAAAGCAGGAAGAACTCGTCAAGAAACACGACAAGGGCCAAGCAAGAGGAAATCGAGAGGAAGCTCAAGGAGAAGGCCGAGTTGGAGAAGGCAAAGAAGGAGCGGTTGGACGCCAATGAGGCTCGTAAAGAAGAGGAAAGAACCAAGTATGCAGATTACCAGGCTGAAAGAGAAGAAGAACTCAAGCAAAAGGTAGCTGAATTGAAGGAGAAAGAAGCCCAGTACGCCGAGGAGAAGGAGACTTTGTTGGCAGAGAAGCTGGAGAACCAGGCGAGAATCGATGAAGAAGAACAAGCCAAGATTGACGAGCGTAAGAAAGAATTGGAGGAAATGCAGGCAGAAAAAGATGAAGTATTGAAGCCTGTTTTGGAGGAGTTGGAGGTTGAAACCACCAAGCTTAAGGAAGTTACCGATGCTCGCGACCAGCTTCGTGAAGAAGTTAAGACTGGAGAAACCCACCAGGAAGAGTATGAGAAGAAGGTTGTTGAACTTAACGAAAAGTTGGAAACGGTCAAGGCAGACATTGAGAAGTATACTGGGGACCTTGAGGAGTCCACCAGGACCGCAGAGGACACTAGCAAGGAAGTGGATGAGCTTCATCAGCAGCTGGCCGACGAGTTGAAGTTGGCTGAGGACTCGCACAAAGAATTGGATGCGAAAATCCAGGACTTGGAAACCCAGCAGAAGGATCATTTGGTCACCAAGAAGGAACAGAAGCAGTTGATTCTTAAAAACTTGGATGAAAGGGTTAAAGAAGAACATGCCATCAACGCCGAATTGCCTGAGCACATGAGAAAGGAGGTCAACGAGAAGAAATTGAGAGACGTGGGGGACTTATTTGGAGACGACGAGGTTCCAGAACAAAAACCACTGAACGTGGCTGCAAAAAAAGAACCTAAAGAGACAACAGCTCCGGTTTCCAAAGTTGCACCCACCTCCAAACCGGCGGTTTCTAGTGCCAAAAACGAGAAAAAGAGCGGGCTCAAGCGTTTCACCAAGTACTTTTCCTCGAAACCTCCCAAGGCTGCCGAGCCAGTTCCCAGAGCCAAATCTGTGAAAAAGGAGCATCTGATTTCCGAGGCTAGCAACGCTGATTTCGATGACATTTCGTCCAGCAACGAGAAAAACAAGGGCGGTTTGTTCAAGGAGGAAATATAATGCGAGCATGAGCCGGCATCAGTTCGTGTATCAGGCTGTGTAGTCTATAGAGGATAATTGTACTATGTTTAATTTTGGCGTATGCAGTAGAAGCTGCGCGATCGATTTCATGTCCGCATCTCGCATTATCGCGATTTGTGCTGAAAGTGTAGATGAGCTACGTTGAATTGGACGACTTGGGCGACCACCACAAGTCAACTGAGCTTAGCCAGCCGTTCCTCGGTGAACAAGTTGAGCTTGGTGAGCAGCCTAAGTCTGGGACATCATCGCTTTCTCCACACCAACTTCACTTGATTCTCTTGAAACTTGGAGTAATTTCTGACTCAGTTACGCATGTTCCTGTCGAGGAAACATTAGAGTTTCTTCTGCCCGACACCCTCTATATGATGGAACGGATCACAAACATCACCATTGACGAGTCTTTGGGCATTTTGCGAGAAGCACTAGTTGAACACAATGGTGATGTCAATTTCTCAAAAGAAGACTACAATTTTATACACCAATTGGTAGCGATGATTCCTCAAGATTCCAGTCAAGAAAATGTCTCGGATTGGAATTTACAAGTACGCATTGAAGCCGCTCTTATAAAGTACCATTCACCATACCCCGAAATTCGGGCCATCACAGACCCCACAGACGACCCCCATATTCCAGTTGCAACGATCCGTGCGTACTCAATTGGGCTATTTTGGACATTTATTGGGTCCATCATCAACAATTTTTTCGTCCACAGACTTCCTTCTATATCGCTTGGACCCCATACGGTGCAATTACTTCTTCTTCCCACCGGTAGACTTTGGGAAAAATACATGCCCGAGCAGATCAAAGTGAAAAATTGGACCCTAGAACTTAATCCTGGACCCTTCACTGCCAAGGAAATGATGTTGAGCACCATAATGTACTCTTGTTCTGCTGGGACTCCATACCTGATATACAATATTTTTGTGATGAAACTTGAAAGGTTCTACAATCTCAAGTGGGTAACACCATTTTTTCAAGTTTTGCTCATAGTTTCGACCCAATTTTTAGGATTTGGGTTTGCTGGAATCATGAGAAAAGTGTGTATCTATCCCAAGATTGCAATCTGGCCCACCATACTTCCAACTATAGCTCTCAACAGAGCACTCATCACCCCAGAATTACCCCACAGTCCTGCCATCAATGGGTGGAAAATTTCAAGGTACCGGTTTTTTTTCGTCGTTTTCGTGGCCAGTTTTCTCTACAATTGGATCCCCTCATACTTATTCACAGCTCTTTCATACTTCAACTGGCCCACTTGGTTCAATCCCAATCTGGTTCATTTGAATAATATTGCCGGATTCAAGCATGGTTTGGGTCTCAATCCCATACCTTCATTCGACTGGAACATGCTCAATTCTGGTCTTTGTCTCACCTTGCCGTACTATACCTATGTCAACAGCTATGCTGGAGCGTTCATGGGCTTTTTTGTGATTTTGGGAGTTTACTACACCAACAATAAGTGGAGTGGATATTTTCCCATTAATTCCAACCAACTTTTCAACAACAAGGGTCAAGTTTACAATGTTCACGACATTCTAGACAGCAAGAATGCCTTTGATAGTGCCAAGTACAACAAGGTAGGACCTCCGTACTTCAGCGCTGCGAATTTGGTGCTTTATGGAGCCCATTTCTGCCTTTATCCTTTTGCAATTTTGTACCATTTTATCACAGAATGGGACTCGATGAAGACCAGCTTTATAAACGTGTGGGGTCTGGTGACGGACTTTCGTTCCACAGATACTTTTGGAAAGTACAGAGAAGATGCTCATTGCAAAATGATGTCCAAATATGAAGAGGTTCCCAACTGGTGGTTTTTGTCCATTTTATGTGTGAGCGTTGTGTGTGCCATATTATGTGTTTCGCTCTATCCAACCGAGACACCGGTATGGGGAGTTTTCCTCACCATTGGCGTCAATTTTTTGTTCCTAATTCCCATCACAGCAATTGCGTCTGTTACCGGATTCACTTTTGGGCTCAATGTTCTCGTGGAACTTTTGGTAGGATACTGTATTCCCAACTCAGGCATAGCCCTAATCACCCTCAAGAGCTACGGCTACAATATAGACAGCCAGGCCAGCAATTACATCACCGATCAAAAGATAGCTCATTATGCCAAGATTCCTCCACGGGCCATTTTCAAGGGTCAAATGCTAGCCACTGGTTTAAGTGTAGTGATAGCGTTAATTATAGCCAACTGGCAAATCAACAATGTTGCGGATATATGTGACATTGACCAAAAAGACCGGTTTAGTTGTCCCGGCGCAAACACATACTTTTACTCCAGTATCCAGTATGGAGAAATTGGTCCAGCAAAAGTTTTCAGCGGTCTTTATCCCCAGCTCAAATGGTGCTTTTTGCTAGGCGCCGTGTTGGTCTTTCCCTGTGCTTGGCTCAAGAAGAATCTTCCCACAAAATTTTCGAGATATTTCCACCCAACGATCATCATCGGAGGGTTCCTTTTGTATGCCCCATACAACCTCCTGTACTTTACTGGCGGGCTATATCTCTCTTATTACTTCATGTACCATATCAAGGGAAGGTACTTGCAATGGTGGGAGAAGTATAACTATTTGTTAACCAGTGCTCTTTCGGCCGGAGTTGCGTTCAGTGCGTTGATGATTTTTTTCACAGTTCAGTATAACGGCGACGAACTCAATTGGTGGGGAAACAACGTGTCCAGTCAAGGCATTGAGGGCGGAAAAGGGCAGGCAACTTGGCTCAAGCCGGAAAATGCTCCTGATGGGTATATTGGATTAAGAAAGGGCCATTTTCCATGACTGCATACAACCCATTTGCAACAATAAATGAGTCACTGTGAATCATAATACTAGAGTCTAGACTGATTCTGGACTGAATCTGGACTGAATGCGGACTGAATGCAGAATTCTGACGAATGCGGAATTCGACTGAATACACATTTCAGCCGCAAGAGTCAATTAAATTAGTCATATCCGATACCACCGAGATGGCCCGAATGCGCGGCTGAAGCTTTGACGTATATGCAAGATCTTTCCCCGAAAACCGAATTATGAGTCTAAAACACAAGAGGGGTAGATTTCAGCCTGAAACCCCAAACTATATAAACGGGCCTGGTGCCTCAATTCATCATGAAGCTTCGACATACTCTTGTAATATGCGCTTTGTGCGCGGCTGCAAATGCCATTTCTGTTTCCAATTTTCTCCTTCGGCGACTTGTTTCGTCGGCTACCGACGACTACGGAAGACCCAAACCCCACCAGGACCCACAACAACTGGATCCCTACGTTGAGGCTTCTGAAATTGCTGCAAAACCATCAGTATCTGCAGGACCAGATTCGTCAAAGTCCATGTCGTCCACCCAAAAAGGCAGTGCTGCTGGACTACCGACGCTCCCATTGGCGCCCTTAGTGGCCCTTTTGCTTATTTAATATCCAAATATAATACTGCAATACATCCAATTGGCAAATAGATCTTGTAGAGTCATTTCGCAACTTTGTCCCGGTACTGCATACAGCCCACCACCCCGCTGGCCCGAGCATCGGTGAAAAATAAAAGCTGGAGAACCTCTACTAGTCACCATGTTTCTCAAATCGTCGCCCTTTTTGAGAACGGTGCGATGCAAGTCGTCGAGCCTGACATCTGCTCTTGCGTACAAGCAGCTCCACCGTAACCAAAAAAGACCTCCACTTCCAACTTTTGAAACGCCAAATTGGTCGGCCGATTCAGCGGTTCTGTCCATCTTGTATGAGACTCCTTTACCCTCCAAAGCGCCCCGGAAACAACATGTTTTGAATTGTTTGGTGCAGAACGAGCCTGGTGTGTTGAGTAGTGTTTCCGGAACTCTTGCAGGACGTGGATTCAACATTGATTCGTTGGTGGTTTGCAACACCGAAGTGAAAGATTTGTCACGAATGACGATTGTTTTGGCCGGACAGGACGCCGTGGTGGAACAAGCACGTAGACAGATCGAAGACTTGGTCCCTGTGTACGCGGTGTTGGATTATACCAACTCGGAGATCATCAAGAGAGAACTTCTCTTGGCCCGGGTTTCCTTATTGGGACCAGAATATTTCCAGGAATTGATTGCCACTCACAAACTGCAAACAGATGACATTCCCGACTTGTCTGCCAGCGAACTGCAGTTCCACCCTACAAACTTGGCGCCATCCGAAGCATTGAGACAGAAACACTCGCATTTGAGTAGCATTCTGACCATCACCGAAAAATTCGGAGGACGCATTGTGGACATCAGCGACCGCAATGTGATTGTGGAATTGAGTGCCAAGCCTTCGCGGGTGTCGTCATTTATCCAATTGTTGCATCCATTTGGGATTTTGGAGATTGCCCGTTCGGGTATGATGGCACTTCCAAGAACGCCGTTGGAAGCGTTTGAACAAGACGAAGATTTGGAAGCTTCGGATATCGTGGATGTGTCGCAGTTGCCACCGGGTTGAGAAACAAAGAGTGCACTGTAATTTAAAAAGAATTTGCAGCCATTTGAAAATTTCCAGCTGCCTAAATTGCAGCCATTTATGTGATTACTAGACTATTCATAATTCGTAGCACTTATAAAGATTTGACTATGCCACTAGTAAACTCGGAATGTAGTTTATTGGTAAGTTTTCTTTACTTCAGTACAGTGTTCCATCTCGATTTCGTGCGAATATATTTGATGTAGAACACTTGCAAATCAAGGTGAATAATGTGAAAAAGAATGAACACTTGGATGAAATTTGGATTCGTTAACCTCTTTTTCTGGCTCAACTTCCCTCATCTTTCTCTGCACTTGATATGTAAAATCAGTAGAAATCAGTAGGAATTAGCAACCTATGGTCTGCATATGTCTGCCTTAAGCCTCTTATCGGAGCAATCGGAGGAACCGATTCATTTTCTATGAAGCATCCTTGTGCTGAAATGTTCCGAAAACTATGACAATCAAGAAAATTCATGACCAATACGCATACGACTCCAGAGGAAATCCAACAGTAGAAGTGAAATTGATCACCAACAAAGGTTTATTCAGATCAATCGTCCCATCTGGTGCCTCCACCGGAAGCCATGAAGCAATTGAGTTGAGAGATGGAGACAAGTCCAAATGGTTAGGTAAAGGAGTTACCAAGGCTGTACACAATGTCAATACTGTCATTGCTCCTGCGATAATCAAAGAAGATATGGATATCAAGAACCAACAACCCGTTGACGATTTTCTCAACTCTTTGTACGGCACAGACAACAAATCCAACTTGGGCACCAACACAATTCTTGGTGTTTCTCTTAGTATAGCGAGGGCAGCCGCTTCTGAAAAAGGGATCCCATTCTACAGGCACTTGGCTGAGCTTAGTGGCACAAACAAAGACAAATTTGTAATGCCTGTTCCATTTTTGAATGTGCTTAATGATGGTTCTCACGCCGGAGGAGCGTTGGCTTTTCTTTTCTCAAGAATTCATGATTGCTCCAACTGGCGCACCGTCTTTTTCCGAGGGTCTTAGGTATGCCTCAGAGGTTTACCACACATTGAAGTCGATGGCTAAGCAGAAGTATGGGACTTCAGCTGAAACGTAGGTGATGAGGGCGGCATAGCTCCAAAAGTTGAAACACCAAGAGAAGCGCTTAACTTGATCGTGGCTGCAATTGATAAGGCTGGTTACTCAGGAAAAGTCCACATTGCTCTCGATCCCGCATCTTCAGAATTTTTCAAAGATGGTAAATATGATTTGGACTTCAAGAACCCCAATTCCGATAAGTCAAAGTGGTTGTCTGGTGAGCAGTTGGCTTCCTTGTATCTGCAATTAAGTGATGAGTATGCGATTATCTCGTTGGAAGATCTATTTGCGGAGGATGACTGGGACTCCTGGGTTCATTTTTTTCCCAAAATTGCTGGCCGTATCCCCATCGTGGCTGACGATTTTACTGTCAGAAACACTCGCAGAATAAAAGAGGCCATTGAAAAAAAGGCTGCAAATTCTCTTTTGTTGAAAGTCAATTAAATAGGTACACTTTCCGAATCTTTTGAAGCAGCCGCTACGGCATTCGATGCCAAATGAGGTGTAATGGCCTTACACAGATCAGATGAAGCAGAAGATATTTTCATCGCTGATTTGACTGTTGGCTTGCGGACAGGCCAACTCAAAACAGGAGCTCCAGCTCGCTCTGAAAGGTTGGCAAAGTTGAACCAGCTCCTCAAAAGCGAGAAAGAGCTCGGTGATAAAGCCATTTATGCTGGAGAAAAATTTCACAGTGGCCATTTGATATGAGATTTCAATCAGCTTTATAGTTGCGAGTCTGCTTCATTTCAATCTGGTTCATTTTAACAATCTGGTTCATATTAACATTCTGGTTCATTGAACAATCTGTTTCATTTCAACACTTAGCTTGACTCTTTTTCGAGATGTTTCCGCCGTGTTCTAATTTCAATGACACTTACAAGCCTTAGGAACAATGAAAGTGCTTTAGGAAAAAGACAAATATAATTGCAGCGGAAACCAACAAATCAACTAAACCAATAATTGAAGAAACCAAAAACTTGACGAAACAAATCATTGAAGAAACCAAAAACTTGAAGAATCCAAAACTTGAAGAAACAATGTACCGGTGAAGAAATCATTTTGTTCATGCTGATCTCTTCAGCCAAAACTCTTGTTGATTCAGGCGCTACAATACATTTGACAAGTTATAAGTCTCTTGGATTCCTTAGTAACAAAATCTTCCTCGAATAGCATAGAATTCTTGTCTGTCTGATTAATATTGATTCAGTAAGGCTTGTTCTTGAATTAGAGGGTGGACAGTTTTGGAAACAATTTGCTTGAAACCGTATTCATTTTTGGATTGGCATCAGTGCGGAAATTGAAGGGGCTACTAAATTGAAATAGATACATGCATCTTGATTCAAGTGCTCATATATCGAGACTTCTTGAAGTATTCATCGTTTTGGCGTACTTCAATCTCAATTCTTTCGCACTTGGCACTCACGTGACTTCAAGGATTCGCGCTGCAAAATTCAACCAACAAGCGGCGCAGCCTGTGCAACTGTTTTATTTATTCGAAAACCACTAGTCACCAAAACCTATAATTCCACCCCCAAACTCACCACACCCGCAGCTTTCCATAACCATTGCTTCCATACGTCTTCGTTGCATTATTGTCTTTTTCTATGCATACTTTTTTTCATGAACAACAACCATCCCACACGAAACCCAAATCAGGGTCCACCAGCACCACTTCCAGCAACAAACCAGGGTCCCCCCCAGCCACCTCCGCCCCTGAATTTGCCACTTCCTCAAGCTCCCGGCTCAAATCCTGAAAATTATATGATGCCTCTTGGTTATGTCATGGGTACTCCAATGTACCCTTCCAACACTATGAACTATGTACACCCGCAACTAGACCAGCCGCCATGGCCCCAGACCTACTCGCGTGGCACAGATCCCCGCTACTTTCACCAGTCGCAAGTTCAATCTTCGCCGTTGCCTCAGCAAGTTGAGCAGCCGTTCCAAAAACCTCAACCACGTCCAAACTCCGGGCTGCCAGCTTATACGCCGCGTGAACCCCCTCAGCAGGAGAGCATTCAAGAAGAAAGGCTGGCGGCTGGTCCGAAAACCGTAGCGAATTTACCGCGAAAAAGAGCGCTCACTGCCTGTGATGCCTGTCGAATAAAGAAAGTCAAATGCGATAATGTGCGTCCTAAATGCGGATCTTGTATAAAAAACAAGATTCACGAATGCCACTACAAGTCGGATGACCCATACAAAGATTACTCAAATTTGGACGCCGCATCGCTGGCAATCATGATGAAATTGGACGCTATCATTCGAGACGTCAAACAAATCAAAGGCGAACGGGCTCCAGATTCTGTCTCCGTCACACATACTGTTCGCTCTGCCATCTGGGACATGTCCGTCAGCTCCATCCTTCGATGGAACTACTTCCAGCAGTGCTCGGGAATATCCCAAGAGACGGTTGATCTGAAGATTACGAGTATAAGTAGCCGACTTTTGCGGCCTCTGCCGGATCCCATAGGCAAGAAATGGCGCCAGGTGAGCTCTCTGCAATTCCACCGAGATATCGAGAACTTTATTGCTGCCAATGTCACCAGCTTGTACAACTCATTTTTCCTCAATTGTCACACAAAAATTCCAATTTTGGACATCCAGCAGATCTTGGGAATGTTTGAAATCTTCATTCTCGTGAAGAGAGCCCATCCGTCGGTAACGCTTCCCAAAATCTTGGATGATTTTAGTGATCAAGGCGATGGTCCATCGTCATTATATTCATCTTCGTTAAAATCTTGTGGTGCCAAAGACCTCCTCTACAGGAGAGAAGCCTACAAGAGGCTCTGCGAATCCACCCCATTTTTTCTCATGGTTGTCTCCTTGGGACTTTTGAGCACGGAGATTCAGTTGAACAACATCACCGAGTTTGCTAATTCGATCTCGGAAAGAGACTCACTTTCTTTCAGCTGCCTCGATTCCAATGCAACAATTCCAGAAAATCTTCCTGCCAGCAGAATGGAGTTATCTCGCTTAATAGCAGAGTACGCCAGATACATTTCCATCCTATACCCTGCCACTGCAGAGGAGCATTCCCCTTCCAAAATCATGTACCATCTTTTGTTGAGTCAATTTGAGCTTCTTGCTTTGCGTCCCTTGGCAGCCTATAAAGAAGTGGTGACTTCGTGCCAGCAAATGGTGTATCATTTGCAAGGGACCAAGTACAAGCAGTTGGACGAGTCGGCTCAGGAACGCACCAATCTATTATTTTGGGGCTGTCTCAAACTTGAGAATGAGCTTCGTACGGAGTTGTCTCCTTCAGTTCCTTCCAGTGGAATCAATGATATCGTTCCACCCATTGCATTTCCCAAAGTTCCAAGATCTGCCATTTCACAAGACGACAACGAAAGCGATGTTCCTGGAGAATTGAAGGCTTTGTCGTATAATTACGTCGACAGGCAATCGTGGTACTTTTTCTTGACGGAAATTGCGTTTCGAAAAGTAGACAACCTTATGTACGAAGACTTTTTTCTTCAAGATCATGTCACAGCACAAACGTGGGATTCCCCTGATTTCAGCAGCTGCCATGTGTGGCACAATGTGGTCAAATACTTGAACCAGTATAATGGCATTATCAACTCACTCAATCCAAAGGTTCGAGATTTCGTGTTGCAAGAGGTGAACAACGAACAGATATACAAAAATATCAAGAAGAAATGGACGAAACTCAAGAGTCCTGCTTCCAAGGAACCAGACGTGCTCGATCAGTTGGACGAATTTCTCATGGACGATGATTTGTTAATTAAGATGCAATCTGAATCCATCATATTTATCAAAAGTCGAATCGTTTCCTCCAAGTTACTTCTTTTTCGTCCTTTGGTGTACTTGATTCTTGAGGACAAAATTGGGCCGTCTGAGCTTTTCGAAGCTGTACTCTCGGTTCTTCACACGGAAATGTCACGACAAAACGCAAAGCAGTATTTGAGCAGCGACGATGTGTCTTCAACCCACGAGTCTTCTGGGGGGTTTTCCAACTGGGATGATGTCGAACTCAACTATCAGAACTTGATGCAAGCTCCAAACGTGTACCAAAAGCTGTATCCCGATGAGGATTTCTCGCTGCTCATTGAGTACGACGAACCTTCAAAAGCTGATCCGCTAAAGTTCAAGCTTACTAGCGTCGACGAAGCACGAGCAAAAGTTTTGAGAGCATTTGTTCAGCATCTAATTTCCATTCCAAAGCTATCGATGCCCAAAATTTTGTCGCACAGACACCCAGGTACATGGTATGTTATCCGCAATACCGTGATTGGAGTCATCTATATGTTTTTGCTTTATCTGAAAATTACTGGGTTGTTGATGGAATGTGCTCGAAACCCGGTTTTCCAAAAACTCCTCAGTGGCCAGCCTGACGTGCTGAGTCCAGAAGACATGGCCAAAATGGTTGACTCGGTGATTCTGAAGCAATCGGTGATGTCTAACCTCGAACATACAAGCTTTGTTCTTGAGTACTTGAAAGACGAATGCCCAGATTGCGAGGTATACCTCGAAATTATCAATGGTCTAATGGAAAAGCTACAGTAAAAAAAGCATAGAAAAGCAAAGAAAACGAATTGCAATATTATCGAAGAAAGCCATTACATTCTACAGTGAAATACTGAACCAAGTCAGTGAAATGGACCAAACTCAAATGTCAAGCATATCATCCAAACTGCATTTCAGCAGACCAACAACTAAACTTCCCGGAGGGGTTTGCTCATTAGCCTATTGTTCAATTTGCAGCCGCGAGAATTGCGCCGCATAAAGTGGAAACTCCGACATCGCAATTGCTGCGAAATATCTTCATGAGTGAACAACACACCCATTATGATTTTGAAATCAAGGAACAAGACAGGTTTCTTCCAATTGCCAATGGTACGTACTATAATTCAGCAAGTTAGAATTGTTCTAACCCAGTTGCACGAGTGATGAAACTGGCACTTCCGCCGCATGCCAAACTTTCCAAAGAATCCAAAACTTGCATTCAAGAATGCGTTTCCGAGTTCATATCGTTCATAACGAGTCAAGCATCCGACAACGTGTTGCACGAGAAGCGGAAAAGCATCAATGGCGAAGATGTGTTGTGGGCCATGTATACACTTGGGTTTGAGAGCTATGCGGAAATTCTCAAAATATACTTGGCCAAGTATCGGCACCACGAGCAGCTTGAGGCGTCCAAAAGAACTCCAAGAAGACGAAAAAGAGCGCAAGAAGAGGATGCCGAAAGTTTCGAGGGCACAGGATCGGATTCCGAGTTTTCGCAGCTGTACTCGCCTAGCATGGAGCCGGGGTATTTCGAGTACCCTGAGCGAATGGACGAGGTATTGGGGCAATTTATGTGAGGAAGGAGAGAAAGGAAGGTAAAGGAAAGAAAACGAAAGAGAACGAATTTCTTGGCATTGAGAAGCTTCATCAGAACTTTTTTCATCTAAAAAAACGGCTTTTTCCGTTCAAGAATCGATTTCAATTTCGGCTTGTCTGAACCTCCATTTTCATTCTTTTCCCAATTGCCCAGCCGTCCAATTACAATTCTCCACTGAAACCTTCGACTGCGGCGGCTATTCGTATACTACGAGCAGCCAACAGACCAAAAACGATCGCCAGTCGACCGCCAAATAAATTATTCTAATACACTTCTACAACGATTTCACCCTTTCTTGTATCAAGACAAACACCCCATTTTCCTTTTCCCCTTTATTTTTCATCACCAATTTGTTCGTCGCTTTCCACCTTCCTTCTCCTGCAAGAAATATTACCCTATTGGGACTCAGCGCCGCGGCCGCGGCCGCGACCATCGCGATGCAGGTTGGCTGCAACCACTGTAAAATACACCTCGGTCAATTAGCACGAAAAATGGTCAATTCGGCCCCAACATTCACACATGTTTCCTAACCCACCCGCTGTATACGAATCCACTACAAAAATCAATTTATCTCAACTCCTTCCCCTCCTTTATCTTCCTCTTCGCCCGTATTCCACACTCCCCTGCTACCCCTGCTCCTGCAGACAACTTAAGGCATCAAAATCGAAATCTCAAACTTTCCCTCCACTTCATGATCAAATCGTTCAGGAAGGGGAAACGCCTGTCTGACCTGTCAGACAAGCTGAAAAGGTCAATTTCGCGTGTCACCTCGGGCAGCTCAGCTTATGGTTTTCATGCTACAGGCTCGGGTTTACATGACACGAATAACGTGGATGTTCTGCTTTCTTCGCCACAAAAAGTTATTAAAGCTTTGTATAAATACGAGGTCCAGGGTCCTGGAGAACTCGGTTTTGACAAGGGCGACTTCTTCCACGTGGTTGCAGAAGAAGAGAATGGCTGGTACCAGGCCAGCAACCCAATGACTCATGCCAAAGGAATGGTACCCGCATCGTACTTTGAGGTGTTCAATCGGTCTCGTCCAATCACCACGGAAAACCCAGCGGTCACCAGTCCACGCCGACACCGTTCCGCGGGCTCGGGCCAAAATTTGGCTTACGCAAATGGCACAAATAGTCCGGGGTCTGGTCCTGCGGGGCAGGCCCATCGCAACTCCAACCAAACGTTGTATGCCACCACACTTTTCGACTTTAAGGCGGAGAGAGACGACGAGTTAGACATCGCTAAGGACGAGAACCTTATTATATGTGCGCACCATGGTTTTGAGTGGTTCATTGCCAAGCCAATCAATCGTCTTGGTGGCCCTGGTCTCGTGCCGGCCCTGTATGTGAAAATTCGTGATCTTCTCAATCCTAATAACACAGCGCCCTCGGACGACACTGTCAAGGTAGTGGAGACGTTTCACATTCCCACCGTCGAAGAATGGAAACAACAAACAGCCCGCTACCAGGCTTCTACCATTCCCCTTGGTTCGATATCGAACCAAACACCCGTGGTACTGTCCAATACGCAATTCTTCCAGAAAGATACTTCCGCGCAATCTAACAGACTGTCGCTTAGCTCGCTCAATGCGTCCGTTTTAGAAGCCAGTGTCGACTCATATCAGTTGGATAATGGTCGCTACCAATATCTTGTTATAGCTCGTCTCAGCAACGGCAAAGTGCGTCATCTCTACCGTTTCTACCAAGACTTCTACGATCTCCAGGTGAAGCTACTTGAGCTCTTTCCGTATGAGGCTGGCAAGATTGAAAACCTGAAGCGAATCATTCCTTCGATTCCTGGCCCTCTCATCAACGTCAACGACAGCATATCAAAGCTACGCCGAGAAAAATTGGACTACTATCTTCGGAATCTAATTGCGCTACCACCACATATTTCTCGTTGTGAAGAGGTTTTAAAGATCTTTGATGTTCTTGATAACGGGTTCGACCGTGAGTTCATCGATAAGAAAGAAAACCGTCTGCTGAAGCCAATATCACAGAAGTCGATGTACCATCAAGACCGTCTTTCTCAATACTCGAACATGCTCAATAACTCCGGTGCCACAAGAGTGCTGTCAACTCCTACGTCTTCCGACTCGTTGAACCGCTCGATCTCTTCATCATCTGCAAACCTCATCAACTCCACCTCCACCTCTGTACCATCTGACCGCCCCACCAAAATCAAGGTAAAGTTTTACTACGAGGATGATATTTTTGTGCTTTTACTTCCCACAAACCTCCGTTTGCACGACCTTAAATCAAAACTTTATAAACGATTGAGTTTGGATGACTTAGCAAATGGACGTCCAGTGGATGACATCATCAGGATTTACCTCAAAAATGACTTTGACGCTGTTTTGGAAGAAACTGGTTCGGTACTGGGTCTTGAAGACTCGGCGCAGATCAAGTTGTCTACAATTGAAATCGCTACTGACGATCAATTCCACCACAACATGTACGACAAGTGTAAATTAGCTATCTTAGCAATTACGTGAGTTATGATAATCATGTACGAAACTTCACCTGTTGAATTGTAATTTATAAATTTGCTAACCTAAAAAAGATTCAAACACTTTAACCAATTCATTTGGTTCGGTTCCGCTGGAAACGGAGTCGGCTATAATACCATTGACGCTCACAGTAGGAGTGACATGAACACCTACATTTCTCAAGTATTTCGTGAAATACTTCAAGTCAGTTGTGGCTCCGTTTCCAGGGTTCAGTTCAATCTGATTGACCGGTTCTTGCTTGAATGTAAGTTGGTCCAAAACATCGTTTTCACTGAATGGAAGTTTGACTTTGCTAAAGGCGATTTTCGCAATCTGCTTGTAGATCTCGTTTCTGTTCAATTCCACATTGGCTTGATCGTAGAAATGCTCCTTGTGGTCGTAAATAGCGCGGGAAACGTCCCAGAAAAGCTTATTGGTGTTTTCTCCTCCTTTTTCTCTCAACAACTTTCCCACCACAAGTGCAAATTCATTCAACAACACAGAATTGGGGTGCCATGGCTGAACAACGTTGACGTAGACAAACTGGAACTTGTCTGCATGTTTTTCCTGCAACTGTGGAATCACCGTGTCTTGAAGCTTGACATACAATCTGGCGCTAAAGGGACAATTGTAATCAAAGTAAAGATTCACCACGTTGGGAGGTGTCTTGGACGAAAGACTAGGGTAGAAGTAATTAGTTAGCGAGTATTTGGGCGAAATCATGATGACTGTGGCTTGTCAATATCACCGTAACTACTTTGAAGTTGCGGAGTGCGGCGCGAAAAACATCAATGCACCACGTATACCCGTCGGTCTGGGTAGAGTAGTGCTAACTAAGCTGGCCGTTCACGTTAGTGTTTTCTGTCTGAGAGTAGCGATCTCGCATCACATCAGCAATCTGCCTGGAATTCAGTTTGATAGGAAGAACTCGAGGTCGCTCAAATTGAACCGGAGTGTTTTGTACTGATTGGGAACTAGCATATGAATTTTGCAGCGAGGAACTTTGCGAGTAGCGAGCAGCTATTGGAGACAGCCTTGGACCCACCAGTTTTAATTGTAGCCTATGTTCGACATTCTGTGGGGTAGGAGGCTGAGGTTGTGGTGACAGTTGAAATTTTGTGTTGAGGTTTCGTATTGGAGGAAGAACAACTTGATTTGGAGTTGATTGTTGAAGATGGGCAATTGGGGGTAAAGTGACCAAGTTTTTGTTTGGTGTGTGTTGCGTAATGACGGCCACCTGAGATGATGAAGAGGGTTTTTGTCTTTTAGCGACAGGAGCATCGTCACTTTGGTGGTTGCTCACTTCTTCGACTTCTTCGTCTTCAGAGTCCGAATAAACGAACAATCGTTTTTCCTTTTTATCAACCTTGCTGGGTTTTGTCCCTGTGGGTGATGGAGACCTGGACCCCTCAGATGACGAAGGATTAATCCGTATAGCTTTCACTTTCTTTGTATGAGGCACGTTGTCTCGCGGCGTACCGTTGACCCACGAGTGGTAAAATTCTTCTCCGAAACTAGTGTTTTCTTCCACCTCTTTCGTCTGAGTTGAGTCCACATCTTTTGTCTGAGGTGGGCCAGTATTATTGGTGCGTACGATACTCTGGATCGAGATTGTAGGACGAGACATTCTCATTCGTTCCGCTATTTCTTTTTCCCTTTTGTTGGAGACGAGCTTATCAAATCCGGTGAGCACTATTCGCGGCTTTGGACTAGGTTGTGGTACAGAGCTCGAAGGAAGCGATTCTGGATGTGAGCTAGAAGGTACAGCAGAAGGTACGGCAGAAGGTGAGGCCGAAGATGAGGCAGGAGGTAAGGCAGAAGATGAGGCAGGAGATATGGCATCGCTTGGTCTTGGAGTAGTATTCTGGGCAGAGTTCTGACCAGAGTTCTGAGCAGGCCGAGGACTTGATGAAGTGACCTTTTTTTTGTAAACTTTGGGTCCACGACCCATAGTAGGCACAGTTGGTCGTGGAATCGAAATGGTGGATGGCAGACCAGGTTTCGTGATTTTTGATTTCTGCCGTAAACCGCGTTGTTTAGCTATCGCTGCAGCAGACGCATTTTGCAAGTCACGAATAAGGAGTTCTTGAGCTCTTTTGTTCAATGTATTCGTAAAGACATTGGGTCTTGGTTTCTGCACGGGTAAAACACGAGGAGCAGAAGATATTACTGATACTGAGGCTGCTTGCTTTGAGCCTGTCGCATCTGGTACTGCTTGCTTTGAATCTGTTTGATTTATGGACGTTTGGTTTGAACCCGTTTGATTTGTGAATGTTTGGCTTGAACCTGTTGATACTGTGTTTCTTGCAGCTGACGATTTCAAGTCATTGACTAGTTTCTCGAGTTCGGCCAACTTTTTCGATCGTTCAAGATCTACCAGCTCTTTTTCTTGAAGTTCTGGTCCGACTGTAGCCTTGTTTATCCTCCTAAAGGCTGTTTCCAGTGGATTTTTGTCTTCTCTTTTTTCGTGAACCAAGGCAACCGGAGCACCAATTGTAGGTAAGTTGTTGCCATTGTACTTTTCTTCGTTTTCAGAAACCACAGGACGTCTCCCTGGCCTCCCTAATCGCCAGAGACGTCGCAGGGCCCACTGGAACCAACCACTGCGTGGTTTGGAGGCATCTGAATCAGCCATTGAGTAAATAAGAAACGATATCAAACCGCGCGGCGCGAGATATTAGCCGGGACTGCATATCAAATAGTATAGCGCTAAGCGTAGATTCGTTCAGTTGTTTAATGCCTATTCTATTACATTCTAATTACATTCTATAGCTCTATCAGATATAGCCGGAAGTATCACTTCCGCTTAACAAAATTGTGACTTCATCGCATTTTCACCAAATTCACTCAATAAAGAAACTCATCGCTACTGAAAACGGAGCCCTTTTTCTCCAAAAACTCCAAATACTCTCTCCAGAGCTCATCTCCCTTCAAGCACGATACATCTCCAATCAAGATCAACCCATACTTGGCACGAGTGAGTGCCACATTCAACCTTCTCTTATCATTCAAGAACCCAATCTTGCGTTCTTCATTGGACCTCACACAAGACATCACCAAAAAGTTCTTTTCTCTTCCTTGGAAAGCATCGATAGATGCTATCATGATGCCAGAAACAAGGTGGACTGTCACCGGTTTCGATTCGTTGTAAATGTCATCTCTATCCACTTCCACTTGCACTTCTTCCTTTTCAGGATTGATAAGATCATTTTTCACAAGTTGGTTTGAAATGAGATCTCTTTGGCCACGATAGGGAGTTATCACACCTATGTCTGATTTCGATACTTGCTTGTCATAAATGAGCTTCATTAACACTTTTGTGACATATTCGATCTCATTCAAGTTGCTATAAGTGTATCCTCTATCTTCGCGGAATCCATATCGAACTCTGTCCTCTCTGGCTTTTCCCTTGGTGTCCCAGAAATACACTGGATTTTCCGGAATGTTGTCCATGGCACGATCATCAGCAGTTATTCCATCCTTTAGAAGTTCATCGTAAAATTTGACTCGAGGAAACTCACTAATGGCAGGATGCATTCGGTACTGAGTATCGAGCATGTGTGGGTTTCGGTACGAGTTATTAAGAAGAACTCTCTCAAATAAAGACAACGAGAGATTAGGCACCATCGAGAAGCTACTCAACTGTCTTTGGTCTCCCACAAAAACGAATTTGTCAACTCCAGGCATAGACAAAGGAATGAGTGTAGTTGGCTCCGACGACTGAGTGGCTTCATCCATGATAACTACTGGTAATTTTTTCACCAGCTTCAATTGGTTTCCACCAGCTACAACTGTCGTTGTAAAGATGACTTTGGCTTGTGCCGTGAACATATCGGAGAGTTTGATCTGCTGTGTAAGAAGTTTCTTATACAGATTCTGGCTCACATTCGAAAATGGACGACGGAGATCATCAACCGTTTGCTTCATTTGTTGTGGAAGAGCATCGTATACTTTATGGTGCAAGCAAATTGATGCGAGAGGATGGTCTCTCGAGTACTCTTTTTCCTTCTCATTGGAGACAATTCTCAAAATTTCACGTCCATGGGTTTTGATCAACTTTTCAGCGATATTATCAATGGCTATATTGGACGCAGCGACAACAAGAATGGGAAAAGTTTTGAGTTCCAGTAACTGCAAGATGATCTCGTGGATGGTGGAAGTTTTACCTGTTCCTGGTGGACCCTGGAGCACAGTGATAGCATTGTTAAGTACAGACTGAACTGCCACTTTTTGAGACTCGTTGATTCGATTTTTGAAAGTCAAGAAATTTTTGAACACTATCTGCTTTATAGGTTCATTTCCTAGAAGCATCTTGATAAATTTGGGGTTGTCAATGCGGGACATTGCTAGAAATACTCGGCTAACAGGAACTGAAACAGGAAGAATTCGAAGATGCTTGACATTGACAGACAATGGTAACGGCATGTTGTTCCAGCTGTAAAGTTCAGCCACCATTTCAAGAACCATGGGGCCATTGCGACCACCTTTTTTGGCTTTAACGCTGTCTGAAGTCATCACTTGAGCATACCAGGCAATGTCGTCTCCAAGCATCAAAATGATTGCCAGGTTTAAACCAAACGGTGTTTTCTTCAATTGCTGCATTTTCTTGGAGAGAAACTTGTCAAGAATGTGGTCGGTCAATGGTATTGTAACCTTGAATTGCTTATGCTTTTTGTTTTGCTCTTGGTACCATTCAAGGAACATATCTTGAGGTTCCAAATAAGACATATTACTTGCACCCATGCTTAGTTTTTCCTCCATGAAAAGAAGATAGCTGATTTCCCGGAAATACTCATCCATTGATGGATAAGTGAGTGGAGGCTCTGGGACTTGGGTTGTATTTCGCTATACCTGGTGGTAGTTCAAGTGGTATTTCCTTGACTTCAGGCGCTTGCTTCAGTACCGTAGATTCAGTTTTTGGGTTGCTGTTTTCTTTCCCCGGATTTCTTGCATCTTTCTTGTTGTCTTCAGGTTTTTTTGAGTTTCGTTTGTTGGATGAGACATTTCCCTTGCTTGGTTTGGCCTCGTTTCGACTTTGGGAAGACAATCCGTTGTTTTTGTTATGTGCAATTGGCCCACTCAGAGGTTTCAGGCCTTTTTTGTTGCTTGTACCAGAACCATTATTGGAGTTTCCGGCGGGAGTTTTGTCATTATTACGATCTTTTCCAAGCGAATCATGATTATGAGGTTTGGAACCAGACTTAAAAACCGAATTGGATCCTGATTTAGGTCCAGATTTAGGTCCCGATTTAGCTCCATCTTTTGCTCCAGGTTTAGCTTCATTTTTAGCTCCATTTTTAACTTCATTTTTAGTTCCATTTTTAACACCAGGTTTAGCTCCAGATTTATCGTTACGTTTATCGTTACGTTTATCGTTACCTTTACCCTTTCCCTTGTTCGGCTGAGGGGTGCTGGTGCGAGAAGGTATGCGGGACGAGGCTCCAGAGCCAGGTGCACTCAGCTCATTGGAACCCACGGCACGCATAGTAGCACCCGATTTTATCGCCTTAGCGGTGGCAATTTTGTTCTGATAATGAGCTCTTCTTTCCTCTGCTTCGGGCAGAACAACCTTGGGTCGCGATTTCTTGTCATTTCTGCCACCCTTTCTGCCGACTTTTCGGCTTCTTCGCTTACCTCCAGGTGCAACATGCTCTTTGATTCCCAACAACTCCGTCAAAAAATGATCATCTCGTTCACTTACAAACGATATACGTTGGTTTTCTTCTGTTGCCTTGGGCAAACAATTTCTACAAACAATCATTTGTGGCTTTCCTTGAGGATTGGCGACAAATAGGTGACTGACCGAACCACAATATTGGCACTCCATGTCGACTAGCTTATAATATTGGCCTAGTTTTTGGAAGAATGAGCCATTGGAAAGCGTGTACAGAGCCGATGGTGAGTCCTCTTTGGCGGCACATTGGTTACACAATAATGACATCTCAGAGAGACCAAATCGGAGAATCTGAAGCTGATGAATATTGGAATCTTCGCATTCCTCGCATGCTATAACTTCGTCCCCTGATTCCGCAGACTTGTGTCTTGTGGAAGAAAGATGCTTGGTGATCTCAGAAGCATCCCCCGTGTAGTGGCACGTTACACAACTAAACATGACGATGCTCATCGAATCTCGATTGTGTTATCGCACCCAGTGCACCGGATTCTCCATCCGCATTCGCCTAATTGCAGCCTTGCACCTCATTCTCTTCTGACGCGGCGGTCGCGCGTCTGCGGCGATTTAACCAAAACTCGGAGCACATTCGGTTTTTTTTTAAAGTACATTCCTGCTAGGAAATCGTACTAGAATTACTTGTGAGTCCTTGTGTGCTGTACACTTTCAGGATCTTTACTTTTTTACCCAAATTCACTCATTTTTCACTCCTTTTTTTTACCCCAATTTACCCTTGAATCAGCCGTTTTTTACAACGAATCTTCCGTTTTTCAAGTCCTGATTTGATTTATTGTTAACCATGCCTGTCCACTATAGCACCTCCTCGAGCGTCTACTCGCCAGTCGAGTCAAATTTTGCTTTTCGTCGTGACGAACTCGAACAACTTAACGAAGATGCTGATGAAGAATACACCAACGAACAACGACAAATGAACACAGAACCCAGCACTCTGACGTTCCAGACTTACGTCACGGCTCACAGTGGCAGCGAGCAGAGCGAAAACTCGCTTGCAGTGCCTGGTGCTTCTGCTGGAGTGTACGATACTACTCCAAAACTTGATAACGTTCCCGATTTTGTCAACGACGAAACCCCTATAATAGGCAACGACGGGTTTTTCCAAAATGGCACCGGCCCTTCCAGGTCGTCGCTTTTGCCACACCAAGAACTCCACTCGAGATTTAAACGTCTCTCAGTCACTCTTCAGCTGTCGTCTAACGGCACCTCTGGAGACTCGTACCTCTTCAAAAACTCATTTCAGCAAAACGTTGATCGTGTGAACAAAGACAATAATCAATTGCCATACGACAACCGCACCAGTGCTTACTACAAGCGTATTGACGAACCCTACGGTCCAGATAGCTCGTTTGACGATGATACTCAAATACAGAACGATGCAGAGTCGTCGGTCGCCCGTGATCGCTCGTCCGTGATAAGCACTTCCTCTTTCAGCCGCTCAAGCGCCAGCAGTAGCAGAGCGTCTCTGATCCGGAACTATGTCACCAACAAGGAACGTGCTCGTTTGGCGCAAGACACAGAAACCGTTACTAGTGGTACCGATAAGACCATCTCAAACAGCTCGCTGACTAACTTTAATTTCAACCAAGATGCATCGTTTGTCAATTTCCGTGGTCTGCGTGTCTCTCCCACCAAACCAAAAGCTGGCTCAACTTTGGAGGATGTTCCCATTCGCCGTGACTTGGTTTACAAGTTTGATCAGGAAAATGGATCAAAGAACGAGCTCAGTGAAAAGGAAAAGAACGACTTGGCCATACACAGTGCAGCACCTTCTCTTGTAGGCGATTCTTATGGCGATTCGTCTCTTGATCCTCGATCTGCGGATGCGTCCCATTTGGATGAGTCTTCTACCGCTGAAACCACGGTGGATAGCATACCAAACTCTATGTCATCAAAGATCCAAGTGGATGAGGAGAATCTTGCTTCTTTGTTCATACGAGCAATTCATCCGTTTGACTCTTCGACCCTTCAATCGGAATCAGATGCTTCCATTTGTCTCTCTTTTGATAAAGGAGACTTGGCTTTTGTCCATACTATCGATGAATCAGGCTGGGGAGAAGTCACACTCGTTGAGTCATTGCAGCGCGGGTGGATTCCTATGAACTATTTTACGATCGGGGTTGAAGAGGACCTTGACGGAGCAGAACCGTTCGACGACGACGATATTGGAGCCATTCCGAACAGTATCTACCTCAAGCCTTTATTTCACTCATGTGGCAAGTTTTTGACAAACCCACTTTCACACAAGAACCGTCACGGAAAGTACACGTTTTCGATACGAGTAATCAACATGATTCGGGACGGTGTCAGATTGCTCCTTCAAGAGACTGATTGCTTGTCAAGAGCCAACGAAATTGTCACAAAACGGCCAGTGGTGCGTAAGACCAGAAAGTCTTTGCTCGCAGACTGGTATAATCTTATGTTGAAGGCGAACGATTTCAAAGGCACTTCGAATTTCAACAAGATAGAGGTATTAACTTTGATGGTGTATCAAGTGATACGTAAGGCTACAGCATTTCTTCAAGTCTGGTCCATTGAAAGCAGACAAATCGTAAAGAGAGATACGGAGCGGGCACTTCAGAGCGATATGAACAATCATCCTTTACTTCCTTCGCCTCCCCAAGCAAAGCAAAGGGTGACCGAAATCAATGGTCTCTTGTATTCTTACTTGGGTTTGATTATCGGACGTCTTGACTTGGTGGAGCACAACCCTGTTGGTTGTGACATGCTTGAGGTTTTGACCCATCAAATCATCTTACTTCTCAGAGAACTTCTCTTTATATCAAAAACAGGCTCAGACTTTTCGGCGGAGAAACCAGCTGAACTAGATGACTCTTTAGACTCGCTATTGTCGTTAGTGAGTGATCTTGTCACGGATGTCAAAGCACTTGTCCTGAAGACGCTCAATGAAACCGAGGAAGACAAGAATGTTTATCTCTCTAAGAGAGCAAATAAGAGTGCTGGTCCAAAAGACTACCACTACACTGCCGAGGGAGGAGCATTAATTCAGATTGCTGCCAAAATGATAAAGTCCATTTCTGGTACAGTATCTGCAATTCGTAAACTTTTCGAAGTCACTGGTGATTTCAAATTAAACGCCGAGCGTTCTTACCCTGATTACGCTAAAATGAAGATAGACCCAGAAGAATTTGTCAAGAAATGCACTATTGGAATGGTTCAATATCAAGATTTGACGAAAAAACAGATGAAAGAATACATGCCTGCCAAAAAGCAGGCATCTAATAGGTTCTCGATGATGCGTAGAGGGCAAACTGGAGCATTGGATATAACACCTGGTGGTCTCAGTATGCTACACGACGTTATGCCCAACGAAAATGGAAAATTTGGAGATGATGATGCTTTCAAACCATTCACCAACCAATCAGATACTGTCAAGCATAACATCAATGATGAGCTTCTTGTTGATAGCAACGGCAATTTATTGGGCGCCTCATTCAAAGGATTGGTTTACACGTTGACGAACGAAGACTCGCCCCCAGAATACTTTTTCGTGTCTACCTTTTTCATCTGCTTCCGAACATTTACAAATGGTATCGATTTGATTGAAGAGCTAATTACTAGATTTGAGCTTGGTAACAACTCTCAGAATGTGGACATCAACTATGAAATAAAACTCAAGAATCGGAGGCGGTTGATTGTCAAGATGTTCCAATTGTGGTTGGAATCCTATTGGAATCACGAAGCTGATTCTCCATTGTTGACTACATTCATCAACTTTTTCAACGAAGGTGTCGCCAACTACTTGCCCCTTGACGCTATGAAATTGTTAGAGGTAGCAGCAAAGTTGTCTTCCAAGCCGCTAATCGAGAACCAAGGTAAGTCTCGCAAAGCGAAACCTGCAAAGCAGTTGATAACTCGTAGTATTACTGTCACAAGAATGAACAGGAAAAATGCCACCGAAAGAACTTTTGTTGACAGCACCTTGAGTTCACGGTATTCGATGGTAGACGGGTATGAGTTGAGTAAAATCAACACCAACTCGTCCACTTCAAGCTCTTTGAAATCAATGACCCTTCCTATGCCACTTGGTGTTGGAAACCAGACCTCCTCGGCTAATTCGCTCCTCACTAAAAATCAGTTGATTACGATTGAAAATGTCAATTTGACGTACCGTGCAATCTTGGGAGAAAGCTGGTGTAGTGAAAAGTTCATCAGTACGAAGGAGTTTATACCATTGCCATTGGGTATCATGTTGGACAATTGGTACAAGATATGTGATCAAAGTTGGGTGTTATCTAATTATCGACCCAATTTACTTGACTTCAATGGTTTAGAAATCGCCAAGCAATTGACTCTCGTGGAATCGTATATCTTTTGCAGCATCAAACCGGAGGAATTGTTAAACGAAAACTACACATCGAAGCGGGCGCATCTTAATTTGGCGCCGAACGTCAGAAAATCTGTTTTGTTTACAAACAGTTTGTCGTCATATGTATTGGAGTCGATTTTGCAGCCCAAGATCAATATCAAGATGAGGGTGAATATGGTGAAGACATGGCTCAAAGTTGCAATTTCATGCTTGTACTTACGGAACTTCAACTCGCTTGCGGCAATCATCACAGCTTTGCAATCTCATTTAGTCACGAGATTGGATCGCATATGGGTGGAACTTTCCGACAAGTACACTGAATTGTATGAGTATTTGTCTGGTATAGTGCACCCCAACAAGAACTATAACGTTTACCGTACAAAGTTGCGGAACTTCTTGGTGGCCAATGACTACAACATTCCCATTGTGCCCTACTTCCAGTTGTTTTTGCAAGATTTGACGTTTGTCATGGATGGAAATCCAAATTTCAGAAAGGCTAACACTTTCCTCAATCAAAAGTTGATCAACATTGACAAGTATTTGAAGGTTACTCGTATCATTGCAGACATTGAAAGCTTGCAAACACCATATGGATCACAAGCAATATCTAAGGAAGTCTCTCGCAACAGTTTCTTTGGCGGTAATGGTAAGCCCCAGGAATTGGAGGACTACAATATTGTAGCTTCACCTCACTTGCAAGAGTTGTTATTACTCGAGATATGGAAGGTGTGTCAGCTCAACAGGAAAGAAGACGATCGCGCATGGAAACTTAGTTGTTTGATACAACCCCGTGAAGGACAAACAGTAAATAATGTATTATAATGGACATGATTGCAACATTCTTTAAGATTGCAAAATGAGAAAATAAGAAAAATTATCACTTTGAAGCCTTTTGCAATTAAGCTTCAATCTTAGACCAGCTCATCATCTACTAAACCGTACTTACTACACTACACATTCCCTCCATTCACTACACGCCATTTCTCATTCATTGCCATCCACCCCACTTAGCCTGATGTCGTTATCGCATCGCCCGCTTACATCAGCATGACTCATCCGCATTCTCAAATCATTTTATTGGCACACTACAGCATGTTGAGGGCCAGGTCTATTTCGTACAGAACGCTAGCCACAGCGGCGAGAAGCCTCGAGGTGCCGCAGGAGTATTCCAGTCGCACTCCTCCCTACTCAAAATTGGTGGGAAAACTTCAACAAGTTCGAAGAATTGTTGGAGATGAGCCATTGACTTTGGCTGAAAAGATCCTTTATTCGCATCTTGTGGATCCTGAAGAGAGTTTACAGGGTCGTCTTAGTGATATCCGGGGCCAGCAGTACCTCAAGTTGAATCCTGACCGAGTAGCCATGCAAGATGCTTCGGCACAAATGGCACTTTTACAGTTCATGACATGTGGAATGTCATCTACAGTTGTTCCTGCTTCCATTCATTGTGACCATTTGATTGTAGGCAAGGATGGAGAGAAGGAGGACTTGGTTTCGTCGATTTCAACCAACAAGGAAGTTTTTGACTTTTTGCAAAGTTGTGGTGAAAAATATGGTATACAATTTTGGGGACCTGGGTCCGGAATTATTCATCAGATTGTATTGGAAAACTTTTCGGTTCCAGGTTTGATGATGTTGGGTACCGATTCACATACCCCCAATGCTGGAGGATTGGGTGCAATTGCCATTGGTGTGGGTGGTGCTGACGCTGTCGATGCATTGACCGGTACACCATGGGAGTTGAAGGCACCAAAAATCCTCGGTGTGAAGCTCACAGGACACTTATCGAAGTGGTCGACTCCCAAGGACGTTATCACCTACTTGGCGGGTATTTTGACCGTTCGTGGAGGCACAGGCTACATTGTAGAATATTTTGGAGAAGGAGTTGAATCTCTCTCTTGCACTGGAATGGCTACTATTTGTAATATGGGAGCGGAAATAGGTGCTACCACCTCCACCTTTCCTTACCAAGACGCCCATCGTCGTTATTTAATTCAAACCAACAGAGAACCTATTTCCCGTGCCGCTGATGCTGTCAACAAGGCATATGGCTTTTTGCAAGCAGACAAAGGAGCTCAGTACGATAAAGTTATCGAGATAAATCTTCTGGAGTTGGAGCCCCATGTCAATGGTCCATTCACACCAGACTTGTCGACACCAATCTCTTCTTTCGGAGAAGTTGCAGCCAAGGAAAAATGGCCATCTACCGTTAGCGCCGGTTTAATTGGCTCTTGTACCAACTCTTCGTACCAAGATATGTCTAGAGCCGTGTCCATTATTCGTCAAGCTGAAAAAGCCGGCTTGAAGCCCAAAATTCCCTTCTTTGTGACACCAGGTTCTGAGCAAATTAGAGCCACTATTGAAAGAGATGGCTTACTTGAGACGTTCGAGAACAACGGTGCTGTTGTCTTGGCAAATGCCTGTGGTCCATGTATCGGTCAGTGGGATCGTGGTGATGTGAGCAAAGACTCCACTGATTTCAACGCAATCTTCACATCCTTCAACAGAAACTTCAAGGCAAGAAACGATGGTAACAGAAACACCATGAACTTCTTGACTTCCCCCGATATGGTTACTGCCATGATCTATTCGGGTGACATGTCGTTCAACCCTATTACCGACTCTATCAAGTTGGAAGATGGTCTGGAATTCCGATTTGAACCTCCATCAGGTGCAGAATTACCTTCGAGTGGATTCGAAAAAGGAAGAGCCGAATTCTACCCAGAGGCAGATCCAAAACCCAAGCCAGAAGTGCAAGTCAATGTTTCTCCAGAGTCGGACCGATTACAGCTTTTGGACCCATTCAAGCCATGGAATGGTGAAGAGCTACTGACCCATGTTCTTCTCAAAGTTGAAGGTAAGTGTACCACCGACCACATTTCAGCGGCTGGTGCCTGGCTCAAGTACAAGGGTCACCTCGAGAACATCTCTTACAACACATTAATTGGAGCTGTTAACAAGGAAACTGGTGAAGTTAATAAGGCTTACGATTTGGATGGATCTCCATATGGAATTCCTGAACTTATGATCAAGTGGAAAGAAGAACATCGTCCGTGGGTTGTTGTTGCTGAACACAATTATGGAGAAGGTTCTGCCAGAGAGCACGCTGCTTTATCGCCAAGATTTTTAGGAGGATCTATTATTCTCGTCAAATCCTTTGCGAGAATCCACGAAACAAACTTGAAGAAACAAGGTATGTTGCCATTGACTTTTGCAAACGAACAAGACTACGATCGCATCTCGGGTGGAGATGTCTTGACCACAGTCAATTTAAGAGAAATGATATCTAAAGGAGGTGACAATGGCGGATCTTTGACGGTTCATGTCACCAAGAAAGACGGCAGCGAATTTGACATTGAGTGCAAACACACCATGTCGAAGGATCAAGTCGAGTTCTTCAAGGCCGGTTCAGCCATCAACTACATCGGGAACCAAAAAAAGTAGCATGTATTTAGATTTCGAATTTAAGCATCGATCAATTTGTCCTTATCATCTTTATCGTGCGATTGATCAGGATCTTCTTCTGATTCTTGTTCTTGTTGTCTCAGTCTCTCGTAGAACTCGTCCAAAATCTTGGGGCTGATTCTGTTCAACAATTCCTTGGGGTAGATCCGTAAGAAAGACCAAGCTTGATCCAATGATTCAAAGATGGTACGATTTTCGTACTGACCTTGAGTAATGAAGTTCTTTTCGAACTTTTCCAAGAATTCTAACGACAACTTGTCCTCGGTACTCAATGCTTCTTCACCCACAACTGCCTTCATAGCAGCGGCATCTCTACCAATGGCATACTTGGCGTACAATTGATTGGACACATCGCCATGATCTTTTCTCGTCATTCCTTCACCAATAGCCGACTTCATCAACCGGGACAACGAAGGCAAGACATTGATGGGGGGGTAGATTCCTCTGTTAGATAATAGTCTGTCCACGAAGATTTGGCCCTCAGTGATATAACCTGTCAAATCGGGAATAGGGTGGGTAATATCATCGTTAGGCATGGTCAAAATTGGAATTTGAGTAATGGAACCATTACGACCCTCCACACGGCCTGCTCTTTCGTAGATGGTGGACAAATCTGTGTACATGTAACCAGGGTAACCTCTTCTACCAGGAACCTCTTCTCTGGCAGCCGACACTTCTCTCAAAGCATCAGCGTAGGAAGACATATCAGTCAAGATGGTCAAGACATGTCTCTCGGTTTGGTAAGCCAAGTACTCGGCGGTGGTCAAAGCCAAACGAGGAGTGATAATACGTTCAATAGTTGGATCGTTGGCCAAGTTGAGGAACAAGGAAGTTCTTTCCAATGAGCCATTTTCTTCAAAGTCCTGCTTAAAGAACCGCGAGGTCTCTAAATTGACACCCATGGCAGCGAACACAATGGAGAAGTTCTCCTCGTGACCATCGTGGACGTCCTTTGTTGGACGAACCAAGCCAGCTTGACGACAAATTTGGGCAGCAATCTCATTGTGTGGCAAACCAGATGCCGAGAAAATGGGGATCTTTTGGCCTCTAGCGATCGAGTTCATGGTATCAATGGCACTGATACCGGTAGAAATCATTTCCTCTGGGTAAATACGAGCATAAGGATTGATGGGTGAACCATTGATGTCCAAGTAGTCTTCAGCAAAGATCTTTGGTCCCTTATCAATTGGTCTTCCAGAACCGTCAAAAATACGTCCCAACATGTCTTCCGACACAGCCAAACGCATACTTTCACCGGTAAATTCAACTCTCGTTTTCTTAACATCAACTCCGGTAGTTCCCTCGAAAACTTGCACAATTGCCTTGCTTCCACGTACCTCCAAAACCTGACCAGCTCTTGACGAACCATCAGGCAAAGTGAGATTGACAATCTCATTATAACGAGGAAATTTCACATTGTCCAAGATCACCAATGGCCCATTAACTCCACCCACGGTGTTGTAGTTAATCCGGGGTTTAATTTTGAAGCCTTCTGTCACGGCCTTTTTGTTGATTTCGTACAATTCCTTGTCCAGTAACATTGTAGGTGATGGAATTATAGCCTATTAGCCGCAGTCAAATACAGATGGGAAACTAAGCGACGGTGAGCTGAAATGAATGTTCAACGATAAGGGGTGGGAGGTGAAGTTCGCGCGTGCGGAGATATACGCACGCACGGTGACGAGGTGAGAGCAAGACAACGGTAAGAGATATTATGTACATTGAGAAGTATTGGCGAGCAGCTACAAAGTGGGCATCTCAAGGGCGGATCCAGTGATCAGCAGAATGCCTGAAACTTGTTTTCCGTAGAAATTGGCGAAGAAATACCAAAGATTGCCCTGGCCATTGTGCAGGAATATCGGCCCAACTTCATATACCAACCAAGAGCTCCATTCTCCATTCTCCATTCTCCCTTTTCTTCATCTCTCGTCTAATGTAATTTGCTCACAACGTCCCAGTCATCGAGCTGCTCCTTAGACTCGGCCATCATGGAGAACGTGGTGCTGGTAAATTGATGAGCTCTAGCTGAAGCACCGCTCACCATCAACTTGTAAACCGCTTGCATTATCACTTTAAGCTCGGGAATTTTTGTTTCTGGACTCGGCTTCGATGAGTCTGTGGTCTTGGTCAGGCTGGACTCACTGACACCACCGTAGATCTCTCCTTCCATATCAGTTAGCTTATAATCTGTGTCGCCGAATAAGCGCTCAAGAAGACCTCTGGGTTTCTTTTGCTTAACATAAGATTGCAGAGGAAGCACACTGGAGTTGGTGGTGCTCACATTGCTGACTGTAGATACCAACGATTGAGAACCTGTCATTTCCACTTGATTTTCATTTTTGAGCTGGGTGAGTTTGAAGTCAAAGTATTGTGCCATATTGAGCAGTTTGGTGAGAATTGAAGTGAGGTTAAAATCGTCAACTTCTCCCGTTCGAACATTGCTAAGAGAAGTTGAACGTGTGGTTGGTACTCGGTTAATTGTCACCTCAAAAAAATAGAGAAAGTTTGCAATGATTTTTGCAACTGTCAAAAGAAACCTTAAAAATTCCTGTGGGGAAAATTTGGTAAACGGTTTCGAAAGAATTTTGTGTGGAACAATGACCACAGTTTTCCCGTACAAAGAATTTTTTGATTCCTTTTTCACAGACGGTCTTTTGGTCATTTCTACCTTGGGTTCCAGCTCTGATTCCGCTGAATGTTCGGTGCGAGCCCGGCGCTGCAAATTGAGGGTTTTGGAAGAAAGAGGAAGCTTGAATGCCTCTCCCAATCTAATTACCTGATCGGGCTCCTTTTGGGGACTAGGGGAGGTTTCTGGGCTGGGAGAGCGTTGCAATTTTGGTTCTTTAATCCCAGAATACATAAAATCTTCCTGGTCCTGGATCGATGCGAAAAGCTGTTCATCGGGAAGAAGTTTTAAAAGTTCAGGTAAGAACGGCAATTCTACACCATCCACCTTGAACAAGTCAGCAAGGTGCAGTTGGAACTTGATGAGATTCTCGAAAAACTCGTTAATTTGAAGCACTTTACTGTTGTGGTTGAAAAGCAGTTCCAAATTGAGCACTGGTTGGTTGTAGAATAGCAACGACTTTGAACTCCTTTGCGAGCTGATGCCAGCACCAGATCGTCCCGGGGAATTCAGAAATGCTAAGGAAATCAAAGTGAGGTATTGTTGCTTTTGGAGCAGAACTGCCTGCCGCTCTACTTGGATCACCTTTTCGCCTCGAAAATGTCGTAGTTGACTATCGAGTTCATTGATTTGTTGAGTGAACCAGGTATCAATCCTGGCAGTAGACGAGGGCTTTATTGTATCTTTTGCTGCTTTGGACTCGCCTTTTACCTGTTCTATGGATGATCGAAGTGACTCAATTGTGCGATTAATGTTGCGTACTTTTGCCTTTGTATTTAGTGCTTGGAGCTTTACTAGTCGATAAGCGAGGTTTTTCATCAGCTTTATGGATGGATTTGGAGTAGATGGGTTATCAGGAAGTGCCAGAATGGTGTCGCCATTCTGTAATTTGTTACAAAGGTCAAATATTTGGTTGATTTTATCTCGAGCTGCTTCGATTTGGCGATCGGATTCAATACACGAATTGCGTACTAGGGTGCACTCCTGACCCACACAATCACCACAGAGAAGATTATGGTGCAAATTCTGTTGTGGTGATAGACAGAAAGGACATTGTCCTTCAGGCATGGGGCAGATAAGATGAGACAGAGAGTGGTGTTGGGTCGCGGATGCGCGACAGGCTGCAAATTGTGGGGTACAGTTAATGTTAAAAGAGCTAAGAGAGCTATGTATATCCACGACAGACGGTTAAGTAATTCAATTAAAGGCCAACTCGAGCCATACTGGTTGATAAGTTTCGAATTGACAACTCAAATATTCATCAATGTTCATCAATTCACATTACTAAATCCATCAATTCTGTCAATTCAGTCGCTCTATCATGAGTGAAGTACTCAAATAACGAGTAACCAACGAGCGTTAGTAGTGTCAGATTTTCGTAACCACGTATTTCGACCAACTCTCCAATAATCAATACTCAAAATCTAGTAGTCAGTTCTAGTATTAAAATTCGAATAAACAAACTCGAGTAACCAATTCGTCTATCTTCTTCTTTTGCGCAACTTTTTTCTCTCCACAATTTCCCGGATCATGAGTGCCAATGCAGCATCGACTTCTTCCTCGCAGTCAATTGCTGCGAATCCACATTTCCAATCTCGTGCGAGTTTCTTACCCTCTTCAATGAGCTTAGGAGATGCCAACGGGCTATTCACATGAGTGCACAAGATCCATGCTGGGGGAGGACAATTGGGGTCAGATGGGTCTTCGGGATTAGGTGGTAATTCGCTATGGCTCTGCAATGAACGAAGCAGTTTGCGCTGTGCTTCCAAGCTCCCTGGAGCCCTATCTTTGAACATATTCTTGAGGGCACTTTTCAACGAAAACATATCACTTTCTTTACCCATTTCCCACTTTGTTCGAAATGCATTGTACTCCCTCCACGCTTCGTCAAGGGTCTCTTTTATGGAAGGAAGAAGAGCAAGCGAGTTGCCTTCGGTGGACTTGGGGCTAGCACCATTATCGTCAATTGCCGACTCGTACGCTGGAGGCATGCTGGTAGGTACAGCACTGTAAACGAAAAAGTAACCATCGATTGCCCCATTGAGTTCGCTGGCTCCCGAGGCTACGAGCAAAGGATTCGTCAGCACCGGTTTTCGTGGCTCATCCGCTAGTTTATGGAGCACTTCTTTGTCGAGTTTTCTGTATAAAGATGCCTCGAGAAACGGAACAACCATGGTGGGATTATATGCTGGAGTATCCACCAATTCCACAAGAATTGGAGAAACTTCCGGAGGAACATACGTCTCCGAGTGATGCAGATGAGTTAAGTACACGTCATTCTTGATTTGGGTTGGCAATTTGTCCGATTTCAATGTCTTGGAGTAAGCCTGGTAAATTACTGGACTGAGACTAACCGACGAAACCGAGGTCAAAAGTCCCAAACTATGCTTTGTATCGAGTTCATCCAAGATGGCTCGGGCCACCAGTGACGTGGCATGGTACGAAAATAGTATAGGCACCACCAGATGAGTCGGGTAGTAAGTGTCACGAAAATGGCCCAATGTCAATTTTGAAACTACCGACGATTTTCCGGACTTGGGCCCTCCTAGGAGTGCTATACGGACAGGAAACTCGTAATTGATGGTGGCGCTCACATCTTCGACCTTGGCGGTCCTTGACATCACACAAGAAACTCCGAAGAAGAAAGAGTTGCGATGATTTCGCCCCACACTGGTGTTGGGTGCGCACGATAAGCGAAAAGGCGCGAAAAAATAAGTTGCGAAAAATCAAGTAATTGTACCATTATGTTATACATTACAATTGTCTAGTCAACCGGTGCCGTCGCCACACCTAGCTCGCTGTCTCCCTGGCCAAAGTACAAGAACCATTTGTTCTTAAATTGCACCAAACCTTCGGTAAAAACCACCCGGTTGACCTGGCCCTCAATTTCGTTGGCAGCATCCGGCACAAGAATAGGGCTATCCATACGAGCCAAAGGACCTGCCCCAAGGTTGTCGTAGTCCACTAGCATCTGGGAGATGGCGTAGGTGTCCTTGGCGTACTCTGCGCCTCCAGTAGTAGCAGAATTGTAGAATAGAACCCACCAATTTTTGCCAGGAATATCAAGCTTGATTGGGGCTGGTCCTGGCTCAATGAGTTTATTTTGCCAAACATATTTGCCCGTGGTGAAAGTATTGTTGCCATAAGACGTCAGAGTCAAGTTCCAATGGGCCAAATCGCAACTTTCTGCCAAATGAAATGCACTATCTCCCCATATCATATAATACTTTCCATCTTTGTTGCGCTCGGTGAAAATTGCACCTGATTTCAGCCATGCATCCCTAATAATGCGGTGACCGGTACTAGTCACCGCTATGTCTTGCCACGATGAATCTGAGTTGATAATGGGCGGATACTTCTTCCAGTGGAAAAGATCGTTGGACGTAGCCACACAGAGCCGAGCAGTGGCTCCATCATAGGCAGTGTATGTCATGATAAATTTTTTCGTTTCCGGGTCTCTCACCACACGAGGGTCTTCACAGCCACCATTTTGTTCCCATGGCTCGGTAGGATACAAAACAGGCTTGTGGTACCGCACAAAATTGTACCCATCATCAGACCATGCTATCCCCACACTAGAGACCTTGGTTCGATTCTGGGCTCGGTAAAGTAAGAATACTTTGTCGTCTACCACAATAGCCGCGGCATTGTATATGTAGGATTCTTCAAACTCGTGTTCTGGGTCCGGAACAAGAATGGGATTATTCTTATACTTTGTGAATTTGGGGCCAATGGGGAAAGCAGTAGGCTCTACGTAGTGGTGAGTATTTGTGGAATTTTGGTCAATCTGCGGTTTGATCATTATCGTTGGTGGGTTTGGTTCAATTGGTCAATTGGTCAAGTGTCTTTGCTAAAAATGGTCTTAGCTCCAAATGGTGAATACTTGGGTTCTGTCTCACCCCACACTCGAACCAGCTGCGGCCCCTTACACGTGCCACAATGCACGTGTTGGGCTTGTCGACCCACCACCCAACATCGCCTATATGCCGTCCTGCCGTCGTGCGACCTCACTTCCCGCGTACCGTCATTCGCTATCCTTGCAATCACCACTTAGCATCATGGGTCAATTGATGTCCCACCCTATTGAGGACAAGAACGTGGAGTGCCATAGCCACGAGAGCCTCACATACTCTATAGGATCGATGCAGGGTTATCGTATGTCAATGGAGGATGCCCATTGTGTGAAGATAGATGAACACGAAAGAGTTGGTGTTTTTGGAGTTTTTGATGGTCATGGGGGCAAGGAGTGTGCTAATGTGGTATGTGAGCGGCTTCCACTGATGATTTTCAAAAAAATTCTGGCGTTGTTGGATGACAAAAATGTCTTGGACGCGAACAGCAATGAGGATGCAAAAAAGGAAGAGAATGGGGAGAAAGTAGATGGAAATGCAAACAACATCCTCAAAGATTCAAAACTAAACAAATTGCGTTCATCCGCCATGGATGTGATACGTAATTGCTTTTTCCGCGTGGACCATGAATTGGAAGCGTATCACGATGCTGCCAATTGCGGAACCACCGCCATCGTGGCCACTGTTCTAGCCGGAAAATACGTCATAGTGGCCAATACCGGCGACTCTCGTTGCATTATGTCTGTCAACGGCGCCGCAAAGACATTGTCGTTCGACCATAAACCATCCACCATGGGCGAACGGGTTCGAATTGAGAATTCGGGAGGCTACGTGGTGTGTGGACGGGTCAACGAGGTGTTGGCGCTTTCCAGAGCGTTTGGCGATTTTAAGTTCAAAACGCCCTACGTTGATGGTGATACTAACCAGATCTACGCACGCAATAAAAAGTACTGGAAAAATGGCGTGGTGCATTTACCGCCGGAGCTTCTTCTGGTGCTGGTGGAACCAGATATTCTCGTCTACGATCTATCCAAACTTACTGCTCCAGAATTCATGGTGCTTGCTTGCGACGGTATATGGGACTGCTACACTAATGACCAACTTCTCAAGGCAATTCGCTCGAAGCTCGCAGAACTGTGGAATCTCAGACACATCACCGAATACATCTTGAACGAGTGCATCTCCATGGCTTCATCTGCAACTGGAATTGGGTTCGATAACATGACGCTAGTCATTGTCGCACTTCATCCAACCGAAACCATCGACGAGTGGTACCAAAGAATGAAAAGCCCTTAAGCCTTCTAGGCATAAATATTTATCACATTACGACTTGACGACCGACGGCTGTTGCCCTAGACTAATATACGTTAACAGTTTTACCACCAGTAATCACCCCACCAGCAACATCCACACACCATTCCACCCTCCCGGCACTGTCGCTATCACCGGCAAACAAACACCAATATACCTAACCCAAACACTTTTTTCCATTTTGCATACTAGTCATCCAACATTCTGGTGACCAAGTACTCCCTAGCATTGCATTGCGACGCGTAAGTTGCTCAGAAGTCATATTTTTGCATCCTATCCACTGTTGTGAATCGATTTTCCTTTTTCAAAAACAGTTCATAAAACTCCATATTTTTGGACTTCCAATGTCCTTGACGGAGTACGAAGACCCCATAATTCTTCTTGCGAGAGATCCGAACCTCAATAAAGAGCAAGAAAAGACCGCTGAACTTATTCGGATTATTGGAAATTTCCCACCTACTGAGAGAAAAGTATCCAAACTATGTCTGGCACTGTTGGTGATTCTCCAAAGTTTGGAGAAAATCGAATTGCAGCTCAAAAACTGGGCATTCATGTCGCTAGATATAAATTCTGAAGACCATTTCGATGCCAAAAGTGGCTCATCTATTCACAATTTCAACAGCAATGTTGCTACTCGGGTCCTAGGACTTTGTCGTGATATGAACCGAAAATTGAACCAAATAGCGGCGGACATAGACTATATTACTTCAGTTCTGAAAACATTGTCAGTCATTGAATACTTGCTGGATTCGGGTACTCTTCTCACGAGTTTAACGCTTCGAAACATCAAATTAAAGGACCTTACTTCCGAAAAAATTACAGTAGCTTATCTGAAAGCGCTGTTGATTTCAATCGGAACAGAATTGGAAGAAGCTTTGAACAACGGAACCGAAGTTGACGATACTACGGCTACATACAAGCAATTCGTGGCTAGTTTGATGAAGCAACTTAACAATGCCATCGAATCCGAAGACCTGGCTTCCAAATTCGAGTGCTTGGCGGTGATAAGCGATATGGAAAAGATGTTTGAAGCATGGAAACTTGAACGGGCCCAGCAAACTTCTCAGCAAGAAGACCACAGCGAACTCGAAAGGTTTTCTCACTCCACCCCAGAACCCTTTTCAGCTGCCGATAGCCGCTACGATAGCGACGAGGAATCTTTCTCGACATCGCTCTCGTCGTACAATCCACCCGTTATTCATTCCATCACCAAAGCATCTCCTGAACTTGATTCGTCCCTCCATAAGACCACCATTTCGTCAGAAATGCCATTTCTCATGTCGGCGTTTAGTTCGGCTCGTAATTTCGAGGAAGATGTGAGCCACTATGCGCCCCATCTGGCAGATCGAAAGCCCAAGAACACGGCAGCGGCACCCACAAAATCAACTCAAACCAAAGAAACAAAGCGTAAACCACAGCCACGACCTGTGCTCCATCACAAGACAAATCTTCCCGATTCGAGTCTTTACTCCGAGAGTCAGATTCTCCAGCCGCTGACCGCCAGCTTGTTGTACGCAAACCGATCATTGCTCGCAAAACTTGGAATCAAGCCACAAGTTATCGAAGCCGAAATACCAGTCGATGAAAAAGAGAACTCGAAGAACAAAGACCACCAATTGTTCGTACCGCTCACCAGCGAGAATCTCCTCACCCACAATAGCCTCGAAGACGAAGTAGAATAGTCTTTATATTCACATATACCCTAATTTATTCTTTTACCGCAGATATATGTTCTATGGCACGATAGTCTATACTTGGCACTTAGAAAGCTCCTTCACAAAAGTTTCTCCCCAATGGGCCGACGTGTGTTTGGAGATGTATTCAAAGAGCTTTTCGAACTCTATACGTCGTTTCTCTTGAGGCATAGTCAAACTTTCTTTGATAGCTTCGCTCAACTCTTCGATATTCCATGGATTCACCACGATGGCTCCATTCAAAGATTGGGCGGCTCCAGCGAACTCAGAAAGAATCAATGCTCCATTTTTCTCCTTTTGACATGCAATGTATTCGTAACTGACCAAGTTCATTCCATCTCGAGTGGAGCTAATCAAGCACACATCGGATACATGGTACAAACTGATAAGCTCGTCAAACGGAATCGATTTGTGCATAAAGTGAATAGGAACGAATTCCACCGTTCCAAAACGTCCATTAATACGTCCCACGAGCTCATTGACGGTAGCACGAAGGCTTTGGTACTCCTCGACATCTCCACGAGAAGGAACGGCCACCTGGACCAACACCACCTTGCCTATCCATTCGGGGTTTTCTGTCAAAAACACCTCGAAAGCGTGCAACTTTTGCGGCACACCCTTGATGTAGTCTAACCGATCTACACCAACAATGATCTTTGTATCGCCAAACTTTTGTTTCAATTGCTTGACACGAGCAACAGCCGAGTCTTTCGTCAAGCCCTCGGTAAACTTGTCTACATCTATACCAATGGGAAAAGCGCCAATGTTGATGGAGCGGCCCTGGTACTGGATGCCGTTGGGAACGGTTGAAACGTCGGAAACGATACGACTGACGGCAGACAAGAAATGACGAGCATAGTCATATGTGTGGAAGCCTATCAAATCGCAACTCAAAACACCTACCAAGATTTCACGACGAACAGGTAGGATTCTGTAAATCTCCGACGATGGGAAGGGAGTGTGGAGGAAAAAGCCAATACGCACGTTTTTCTTGGTTTTTCCTAGTTCTTCACGCAACATCTGGGGAAGAAGCATAAGATGATAATCGTGAACCCACACCAAATCATTATCGTCCACCTGTTCAGCAACCTTAACAGCAAACTGGCGATTGGCCTCAATGTAGGCAGCCCACGCGTTTTCGTCAAAGTTCATTTCTCCAGGATGGTAGTGGAAAAGAGGCCACAAGATCAGGTTCAGGAATCCATTATAGTGTAAATCAGCCACCACATCACTTAAAAAAATTGCTGTACAATTGAATTTGTCCATCAAATCACGATTGACTCGCTCACACTCATCTTCAGGAAACTCCGCCCCAGGCCAACCAAGCCATTGAAATTCAGTCAGCTTCTTCAACCCTTGAAGTCCGGTGACAAGTCCTCCCGAAGACATCATATAGTCATACTTGCCACCTTCAGATCTCTTGATGGTGACCGGAAGACGGTTCGAAACCACAATGACCTTTCCTTTGTTCATAATTGCTGTACTCGAGAATCTCAAAGATGTTCTAAGAACTGTAGATTGCTCCTGATAATTGAGTGTCTGGTGCATGGGTGTGCCAACAGCAATAGAAGATCTCCGAAGCCGAAACTAAAAAAGCCGAACAAGAACAAGGAAGCCGAAAGGAAGCTACAAGGAAGCCAATTAATTGACTACTAAGTAGACATAACCAGATGGGTTGAGGGTGATTGAATGAATTTGGGTTGTTTGTTCCGTTGCGGGAAGGCATTATCGACCTATTTGGGTGCTGCGTATCTCGATATCTGCTCACTTTCGGAGTTGCTAATTTAGCCCGATTAGAATAGTTGGCTAGTCAATTGACAAGATTTGTAAAGGAATTAGGTGAACAACAAGGAAAGAAATTGACCGAGAATGAAACATGGACTGGAATTCGGATTGTAATGATGTTGAAGATTTCAGTAATTTTCACCGTAAACCTCTCAGAGACCTATCCATGATAGAATTTGCAATATTCATCTTTTAGGATGACTTAAATACTGTTTAATTCCCAAAATATACTTCTCTTAATGGCAATTGAGTGTCCCAAGCTAGCATTGCCAATTCCATTTTCGCTCGATGTCAACTATTTTCAGCCATTGAGTCTCAAGTCGAGTCTCTACTTTAAATTTCCACCTAAAAGAGGCACTCGATCTTTTTAAATCTACTCTTATCCCTTCACTCTTCATCTCACTTCTCTTCGCATCATTTGCAGCCATCCATTCCAAACCACATCCACACACCGGGCACCACTTCTCACCGAATCGTCGCGACAACTTTATATCTGTCATGTATACGCCATACAACCAGCAGAACCTCCAGCATCCCCAGCCGTTCCACACACAGCCCCTGAACCTTCCTCAACAGCAGTACCAGCAGCAGGGCCAATTCCAGCAACCACAAGGAACTCAACCTCAGCAAAATGCTCCATACACGTTTTTCAACGATCCCACCGCCGCAATGGCAGCTCAATTTGCACGTACTGGACTCGATTCTTCCAACCAGTATCTTCAGCAGAACCTCGGGCTGTTCATGTCCAACGCCGGAGACCTCCATTACTATTTCCAAGTGAGCAATTCGTATGTTGTTCGCAAAATCTTGTTGGTTTTGTTTCCCTATCGCAATAAAAACTGGTCCAGATTGACCACTACGGTCGATGGCTCTTCGCTGACGCAGTACCTCCCACCTTCTCACGACACCAACGCACCAGATCTCTATATTCCACTTATGGCGTTCATAACCTACATTCTCTTGTGGTCTTGCTTCCAAGGTTTAAAAGGTGATTTCCACCCACAACTCTTTGGGTACTTGGCATCACAGACGCTTGCATGTTCGTTCTTGGATATTTTGTTCTTCAGGGTCGGTCTCTACTTGTTAAATTGCTCCACAAACTCGTCATTGTGGGACTTGATAAGTTTCAGCGGTTACAAATATGTCGCTATTATTGTGTTGTTGGTGTTTAAACATTTGGTTGGCTCCAGCTGGATGTTTTACTACTCGATTGTGCTTGCTGTAACCATAAGCTTGTCTTTGTTTTTGATGCGGTCGCTCAAATTCATGGTACTTCCTAGCACCACCAATAATACTGTTAGTGCGAAACAAAGACGTATCCGGGTGCAATTCTTGTTCTTGTACGCCGTGGTGTTACAGTTCTTGATTATCTTATTTATGAGCAGGTAGTGGTGGAATAGAGTAACAAAAAAACTATGAAAGATTCTGAGCAAGCCAATTGCACTCGCAAGTCATCTGTAGACATTCACTTCAACACACTCTCCATTTCCACTAATCCCTTCATCTACTAACCTCTCCATTCACCATGCTCCATCTTGCGTCCGGCATATAATCCGTCCTCATCACTTCTCATTCACCGCGTAAGACGCGTCAACTCATGTCCCACACCCGGCGGCCAGCAGGCGTCAATAAAACATCTGTACGGGAATTCAAAGCCCGCAACAATGATGAAACAGCGAATCCAATGCTTAATAATGCTATAAACCGTCGAGAATTAGTGGAAAAAATCGACAAAATCGACTCGATGATGGGCTTCAACAGAATGGATCATGGCGAATTAGACGGGACAAAACCACGAAAAGGATGGTTGGTCAACATGCATACCACTACGGTTCCCTCAGAGGACTACCTTGCCGGATACTCAGGTGTGGACTATTATTTTATCGACGAGGAAGGTGGAACTTTCAAATCAACCATTCAATTCGATCCATACTTTTTCTTACTGGTGGTTCCAGGAAGAGAGTCCGAAGTTGAAGAGACGTTACGCAAACGCTTGGAATCCTGTAATATCAAAAGCATAAATAGGGTGGTCAAGGAAGACCTCTCGTTACCTAATCACTTGGTAGGTCTTAAGAAGACCCTATTGAAATTAATATTCCACAACATTTCTGACCTTCTTGCTGCCAGGAGGATACTATCTCCTATAATTCGTGACAATGAGATGCAGAATGAAACCAGAGACGTCTACTCTGCACTTAAGATTTCAGGGCTCAATGGAAACACCAAATTCGACATTTCTCACTCGTCAACAAATGAATACACCGATCCCACCCAACTCATATCAGACATACGCGAGTACGATGTCCCTTATCATGTCCGTGTTTCCATAGACGCTAATATTCGTGTTGGCAAATGGTACTATGTATACGCAAAGCATTCAGAGGTGACATTGGTCGAGGATAAAGAAACAATTGCATTTGCTGATCCAGTCGTGTTGGCGTTCGATATCGAGACGTGTAAGGCTCCACTTAAGTTTCCTGACTCAAAGACTGATCAGATCATGATGATTTCGTATATGATTGACGGTGACGGTTACTTGATTACAAACAGAAACGTCATTGCCGAGGATATCGATGATTTTGAGTATACTCCAAAACCAGAGTATCCAGGATATTTCACAATCTTCAATGAAGCCGATGAAGTGCTGATGTTGAAACGCTTTTTTGAGCACATTCGTGAGGTACGGCCCACAGTAATAGCAACATTTAATGGTGATTTCTTCGATTGGCCCTACGTGGAAGATCGTGCCAGACAACATCAATTGGACATGTTTGAGGAAATCGGGTTTGCAAAGGATAACGATGGTGAGTACAAGTCAAAGTATTGTGTACACATGGATTGTTTCCGCTGGGTTAAACGTGATTCTTATTTGCCTCAAGGATCTCAAGGTTTGAAAGCAGTCACCACCGCCAAGTTGGGTTATAATCCAACAGAACTCGATCCCGAACTAATGACCCCTTATGCATCAGAACAACCACAATTGCTTTCCGAATACTCTGTATCTGATGCAGTTGCTACCTACTACTTGTACTACAAGTACGTTCATCCTTTCATCTTCTCCTTGTGCACTATCATTCCTTTGAACCCTGACGAGGTGTTGCGTAAGGGTACAGGTACTCTTTGTGAAATGTTGTTGATGGTACAGGCTTACCAGAAGAACATTTTACTTCCAAACAAGTACACCGATCCAATTGAACGTTTCTTCGAAGGACATCTTTTGGAGTCTGAAACCTATGTTGGTGGTCATGTCGAATCTTTGGAGGCAGGTGTGTTTCGAAGTGATTTGCCGTGTAAATTTAATGTTGATCCATCTGCTGTCCAAGAAATTCTTGACAATCTTCATAATTCTTTGAGGTTTTGTATTGAGGTCGAAAACAAGAAATCGCTTGATGATGTCGAGAATTATGATGAAATCTATAATAAGATCAAGGAAACGTTATTGGACTTGAAAAATAATCCAGTGCGAGAAGAAAACCCTCTTATCTACCATGTGGATGTGGCTTCGATGTACCCCAATATCATGACTTCAAATCGTTTGCAACCCGATTCTATGAAATCAGAAGAAGACTGTGCAGCATGTGACTTCAACAGACCAGGGAAAACTTGTGATCGACGTTTGGAATGGTCCTGGAGAGGTGAGTTCTACCCTACTAATATGGGTGACTACAATAATGTGAAGCGAAATCTCCAAGAAGCAAATGAAAGATTTCAAACAAGAAGCGGTCGAAGGATTCCTTTCAATGACATGCCATACCCAGATCAAGCGCAAGTGATCAAAAATCGTTTAGCTGAGGTTTCGAAGAAAAACTACCATCGTTTGAAGCAATCGAAGACCGTTAAGAGAGACGCAATTGTTTGTCAAAGAGAGAATCCATTCTACGTCAACACTGTCCGCGACTTCAGAGACAGAAGATATGAATTCAAAACTCTTGCTAAGGTTTGGAAAGGAAAATCCTCTAAGATGGACACCACTGATAGCATTGGAAGAGAAGAAGCCAAAAAGATGGTGGTTCTTTACGATTCTCTTCAGCTTGCCCATAAAGTCATCTTGAACTCGTTCTATGGCTACGTGATGAGAAAGGGCTCACGATGGTATTCCATGGAAATGGCAGGAATTACCTGTTTAACAGGTGCTAAAATCATTCAGATGGCTCGATCACTTGTGGAAAGGTTGGGACGTCCTCTTGAATTGGATACGGATGGTATTTGGTGTATTTTACCCACCTCGTTTCCTGAAAACTACAACTTGAAATGCAAAGACGGTAAGAAAATCTTGCTTGAATATCCATGCTCGATGCTTAACTATTTGGTCCATCAGCAGTTCACAAACCATCAGTACCAGGATTTAGTAGATGAAAACACCTTCAAGTATTCTACGAGGTCCGAGAATTCGATTTTCTTTGAGGTAGATGGTCCTTATAAAGCTATGATCTTGCCCACATCGAAGGAAGAAGGTAAGGGTTTGAAAAAGAGGTACGCAGTGTTCAATGACGATGGATCCCTTGCGGAATTAAAAGGTTTCGAACTCAAAAGAAGAGGAGAGTTGCAATTGATTAAGAATTTCCAGTCTGATATCTTCAAACTCTTCTTGGAAGGAGACACACTTGAAGGCTGTTACAAGGCTGTGGCATCGGTGGCTAATAACTGGCTTGATGTGTTGGACACAAAGGGCGGTATGCTTGAAGATGAAGATCTCATTGAACTTATCTGTGAAAACCGTAGTATGTCCAAGAGTTTGGCAGAGTATGGAAATCAGAAATCCACTTCCATCACCACTGCAAAGAGATTGGGTGAGTTCCTTGGTGAAGAAATGGTGAAAGATGCTGGGTTGGCATGTAAGTATATTATCAGTGCTAAACCCGTCGGAAAACCCATTACGGAGAGAGCTGTTCCCGTTTCAATCTTTTCTCATGAAGAGAAACAGAAATACTTGAGAAATTGGTTAGGTGATCAATCTTTGACATCCTTTGATCCCCGGAGTGTCATTGATTGGGACTACTACTATGAGCGGTTAGCTTCAGTGGTACAAAAAATCATAACAATTCCTGCTGCTTTGCAAGGAGTTAAAAACCCTGTTCCAAGAGTGGATCATCCTGATTGGTTGCGAAAGAAGGTGCTTGCTTCAGAAGATAAGAAGAAACAGTCGTCTATCGGCTCCTTCTTTTCCAAGGCCAGTAAAGAAGACGCAGCTGCCGCTGCTGCTGCGGAGTCGAGAGTTATCAAAGACATCGAAGACTTCGGGTCTGTTGAATATTCCACTGGGACCCGAAAGGTGAGCAAGGTGACTTCACGTAAACGGAAAGGCATCAACAATGCTAACAGCGATCCATTGGAGGAAGAGAAGATAGCAGCTATTCTTCAAAAACCTTGCCCCAAAATGACCGAAGACTACGCTGGATTCTTAGCCTACCAAAAGGCTAAATGGAGGGTACAGGCACGAAATCGGGAACGTCGTAGGACTTTATTTGGACCATCAGCTGACACTTCGTTCAGATCATCTGTTGGAACTCTCTACCGAAGACAGGCTGAATCCGTGGCGGGAAGTAATTGGGAAATTTTACAGTACAAGCCAGATCCTTCAAAGCCTGGTGCACTCAAAGTTCATGTTTTTTCCAATAACAAAGTGCACACATTCAGTTTTCAAATTCCAAAAATCGTTTACGCTGCTCTCAAAAGCGAACTCTCTCCACGAAGGCGTTTACGAGAAGCAAGAATTGACCCAAGTAACGCTATTTTGCCTAATGGTCATGATGCTTCGCATCTTTACAAGATAACAATGCCTGAAGCTGTCTTTGAAGAAGAAATGCTTCTGGTCGACAGCTTGCTTCAAGGCTCTACCGTTCTCGGATTGTATGAAACCCAAGTCTCTGCGTTGGAAAGGGCTATTATTAATTTGGGAAATACCGTCAAGTTTGATGATACTAAGGTGGGATCATTGGGAAAAGGTTTAAAGTCTGGATTTCATTTGAAAGACCTTTCGCCGGTGAAGGACGAGACATATTTGAGAAGATTCAAGATGGATATCTGCTACTTGTTGCATATTGTTGCAAACAACTACGAGTTCTACTCCTTGTTCAAAACATGGGAAGGAAGCGCGACAGTGTACATCTTGAAGCCTTCTTCAGGCGCTCAAGAATTACCTCCCAACATGCAAAGGATCTATGAAGACTTGTTTCATAGTAAAAAGACCAAGTTGGAAGCTACTTCGAGTATTTTGGATTACTCTTCAACTATGGAGTTTGACACCGTCTACTATAATGATAGAGGCAAGCTTTTCAAACGTATTGACAAAGATCTTCGAAAGCTTGAAGAGACCAGAAGCACCAAAGCCCTCTTGGCAATCCAATCGCCCTACGCTAATGCTTTGCTTAGTCAATTAAAGTCTGTCCAGGATTATCCAACGATACGAATGGGCATGCGTGAACTCAAGCTTCCAGCTATCGGTTGGCAATCATTAATTTCCAAGCGCATAGTTAACCATTATTTCGTGTTAGGCGCATGGATTAAGAACTTGATTTCCATTTCAAAGTACGGAAACATTCCGTTGTGCAATTTGGAGATTGACAACTTGGGGTACCTCATTGATGTCGAGTATGCCCGGAGATTGAGTATGAATAACGTTGTCCTTTGGTGGTCTCCGAAAGCATTGCCTGATCATGGAGGTTTCGAAAATGATAGTGCCCAGGACTATGAGAACTTTGACTTCCCTCAATTCAACAACCCCGAAGTATACGATACTACAAGTTTGGAAATAGAACTCGGGACACTCACGATTAACACTATTTTGACTAGTGCACTTATAAATGGAGCCGAGGGTACGGACTTAGCTGATGAAGTGGTAGAGTTTGATAACAATAATGGGGCTGGTAGTATTGCTAGTGACTCGTTTTCTGCACCAGCTATGCAAATATTGAGATCGATGGTCAAGAATTGGTGGGATGATGCGTTGAACAACGACGTTAATGCTGACGCACTTATGAACAACCTTGAAATGTGGATTCAACGGAAAGAGTCACATTTGTACGATTATGCTTTACATTATCAGGTGCACAACTTGACGATCAAGAGTTTGTTGCAGCTCCTAGGTGAATTCAAACGACTGGGCTCGAATGTGATATTTGCAAACAGAAACAAAGTTATCCTACTGACTCCTAAGGTGTCTGTGGAGCAAACGTATGCGTCCACCCAGTACTTGGTGAAGGCCACCAGAGCGAAACCATTGTTCAACTTTCTCGATATGAGAGTTGTCAAGTACTGGGACATCTTAGTTTGGATGGACAGATTCAATTTTGGAGGACGATCATGTAAGGAAATTACCGCTGAGGAGAATCAAAACCTCACGATCGAAAGCAATTGGCTTATCAAGAAGTTCTTGCCAATCATGTTTCAAGATGAATTCGAGGACTGGGTCCTAATATTCATTCAAGCGTTAGCGAAGCATAAGAGCAAGACAATTCTACAGTCAAGTCAAATGGGACGCACGCAGAGAGTAACTCAAATTGCCCATCGTATAAAAGGGAAGAAGGAAGACGGGGAAGAAAATGAAGAAGACGAGTACAATTATGATGTTGTGGATGTCTTCAGATTGCCATTACTTAAACGTATTGAAAAGCTCTACCGCCGACAAAACGAATCGATAATCAACCCCGAGTTGGAACAAGAGTACAGGTTCCCGGTGCTTCCAGGCTCACACCTTAATATGAAGAACCCAGCTTTGGAGCTTGTCAAGTTTCTCTGTGCCGTTTTTTCATTATCTCACCGTCAAAACATCGAAGTGAGAATGCTTCGCAAAGACCTTTTATCTATTTTTGACGTGAAAGAATTCAGTCCCGAGGCGAATTTCAAAGATCCTTGTGTCAGCCTTGTGTTATCACAGTTCCGCTGTGACTATTGTAACCATGTTCGGGAGATTGACTTCTGTCGCGATACTGAGGTGGATGTCTGGAATTGTACCAATTGCCATAAGCAGCACAATAAGGCATCTCTCGAGGAGCAATTGATCACCCAGTATCTCAAGACAGTGACCAAATTCCAATGTCAGGACTTGAAGTGCTCCAAATGTGGCCAAATCAAGAGCGACAACATGAGTGAGTTCTGTCGATGCTCAGGAAAATGGGTTGGAACTATACCCTACGAGCACATTGCGCAAGAACTTCAAATATACGCTGGTGTTGCCAAGGCTTACAACTTGGAGTTGTTGCGATCTGTGGGAGCCTCGGGATGAATTAGCAGCAAAACAGCATTAGCTAGCATTAAAAATAAAGATACCATCAAGTATGAAAGTAAATGGCTGCAACTTTGGGGTCTGGGTGCGAAGATCACCAAATTCAATGCGAAATATAAACGACCATATGGAATGCCCTCAAGTAATACCGATGACAAGACACCTTTATTCCGAGAAAACGAGCTCCAGTTCCTAAAGACATTCGTGAATGAAGACCATAATTTGCTGGCTCCCGTACTACTAGTACATGGGAACAAATCCGTAGGCAAGACGTTCCTAGTGAAGTTCTTTTTGGATACTATTGCAACAAATAAAACCATAATTCGATGTGATGAGTGTGTGACGAAGAAGCTTTTGCTTCAACGGTGCTTGAAGAACATACGGCTTGATAGTGGCGTTGATCTTCAAAATTATAAGCAACAATATCAAAATAAAGGACGAGAAGAAGCTCGTTTTGGAGCTTTATGTGACACTTTTGCGGGCTTTTTGGACATATTGGAGCAGTTCTTCACAGAGACAAACTATGCCCATCGACATGTGCTCGTACTCGATCGATTTGATCAATGCATGGAAAAATCAGACGAATTATTCACTTCTTTTCTGCGAATGGTGGAGCGTCGAGCACTCCAAAACTTGACCGTGATAATAATAACTTCCGGTGCCGTACCCAATGAAATCGCTACGTTGACAGTTCCAGTTATTTATTTCAAACCGTATTCAGAAAGCCAGGTGGTACAAATATTGCAGCTGCATCAGTTGTGTCACTTTCAAGGCATGGAGGAAACTGGCACTTTTTGGGCTCAGTACTGTAAGATTGTAGTTGATCTATACTACAGCTACACGGGTTGCAACTTGAGCTTGCTTATGGACATTTGTGTCAAACTTTGGGACAACTTTACCTTGCCTATTCGAGAAGGTCGATATACCCCACAAGATTTCTTTCAGGTTTATCGAGATCGCAGACATTTGTTCACAGATGATTATGTCGTAGACGTTCCTCTTGAGAATGACGACGATGAAAGCGAGTCGCTGCTTGCTAACATTTCAGACCTTCCATATCACTCAAAATTCATCTTGATAGCATCATACTTGGCATCGTTCGTTGATCCCCGAAGCGATATCAATTCCTTCTCCAAACTCAAATCTCGTCGAGTAAAGAAAGCGAAAACTAGTCTTGGTCAGCTCAGAAAGGGTATGCAATCCAAGGAGGATATAGACTCGAGGCTCCTTAATGCCGCATTTTTTGACCTTGAAAGACTATTGGCAATATTGAGAGTAATCTACAGAAACGAGTCGGACTCAATTAATATACCCACCATTGATTTGGCTAATTTATACGAAGATGAGCTTGAAAGAATAATGAAGGAACGAGAAAAAGAGCAGGACCTGTTTTCTCTCAATTCCAACGTCGAGTTGAATAGCCAGATAGCTACGTTGGTGTCTTTAGGGCTTCTTGGAAGAACATCTTCTGCCGATATTTTGAGTTCAAAAGCTAGGTGGAAGTGTAATATTTCATGGACCATAGTATCCAGTTTGGCGGACGATGTGAACTTTCCCATTCAAAACTATTTAGTAGAATAATAAATCCTAGAATGTGACCTCGTTGACATCCGCAAACTCATTCTCTCCTACACGTCTTACCATTACATCACCGTTGAAATAATGTTCAACCCATTCAGCCATTTGCTGGACCGTATATGGCCCATTTACAATGTCTTCTCCCTTCCAGCGAAACTCCCATTCTTGAGAATCCTCTTCCTCCCTCAGGCGCTTGATCCCTCGTTGTTCCAATTCCTGACCGGTTTCTCGTGAATATAGTCTCATTAGTTCTTCTCGTGATTTGTCATAAACATCGTCAATATCGTTGTCGTTGGTCAAGCGATCACACGCCTCTGTGATATCAAAGACCATTTCTTTTCGCAGAGTTTCTTCTTCAGAGATACTCTTACCCTTTTTTTTAGGCGCCAATCTCGCCAATGCTTCGAGTGGAGTTTCAGTAGGTTCCAAGAACTGGACTAAAATTCGAAGATTTTCGGCAATGTCTCGAAAGTCCTCCAACTTCTGACGACGTGCCCTTTGCTCGTTCTTTTCTCGAAGTTTTTGGGCCCTTTTTGCTCTTCTAGTTTCTGCTCCGTTGGAGTTCATCCAAGCTTCTTCTTCGGTTGTGGATGCTTTGCGTTCGTAGTTTCCATCGGCATCAAACACACCTTCCTCTGCTTCTTCTCGAAGATTGAACTGTTCTAGTTTTGGTTCCTTTTTACGACCTTTTGACTCACCGTCTTCAGCATTGATATAGTAGGCATTGGCTTCATCATCATCATCGTCATCTTCTTCATTTTGGTCTTCGTCCAATGTCTCTTTTCCTTCATAGACCGAGCTCTCAACCCCCAGAGCCTTCTCAAACTCATTCATGTCCAACAAGTCAACCTTCTTCTTATCTGTCTTTTCCACCTTCTCATCTTCACTGGCAAACATATCGTCGTCATCGTCCTTTTCGTTACCGTTTTTGTCTGGATTCTCATAGTCTGACAGCGACAGGTCCGAATCGTACTGAAGTTTCACATCGTTTCTATGCAATGCCCTTACTCTTTTTCCTTCTACGATATCATCGTGAAGAAATTCCTCATCGGATTCCATTCCATACTCCTACTCTCTTAACTCAATGTAGTAAATACCAGCAACTGAATAGCGTGGAGGACGTAAAGAATAGGTTAGGAGCAAGCAAAAACTGGTTAGGAGCAAATAGGATAAGTCCGAAGTGGAAAGAACTATGCCTGTTTGCAGTGCGAATAATGCGAATTGATGCGCAATTCAAATTGATGTGGTGCGAATAATGCGAATTGATGCAACATCCACACTGCTGCGAATAATGCAAATTGATGCAAATTCCAAACTGATGCGAATTGATGCAACTTGATGTGATATCTTAAGAGATGTGAAAACTAAACTTTCCTCAACTTTCAAGTTGGGTATTGACCATGGACTACGCCAGAGTTCCTGATGGTCTAGAATGCTATTATATCTGTCAAGGCACGAAAAGGTTCTACAGCAACTTTAACCTCTCGGTAGAGCTCAATCGAAAGACAGATGCGATACAATTGTCAAATGCCCTCAGGGCTATGGTTTTAAAGACTCCTTATCTTTCGTCTAATGTTTTTAGAAACGGCAATTTTAATGATAAGAAGTGCAATGGGTCAAACTTCAAAATCAACTACCTCAAAAAAATTGAATTTGAATCGGCAGTCTCCTTTGAAAAGTTTGAAGAAGTAGACAGCGACTTTTTTACGCTGCTTGATGAAAGAGTCTGTCCAATTGGTGAACATCTCCCATTGTGGCAGTTGGTGGTATTTGAGAACCCTGACACTCAGGTTCTTAGTTTTTATTGTGACCACACTTTCTTTGATGGAACTAGTGGTGTTCTATTTATGAAGGACTTGGTGAAAGAATTGAACGAGTGCTGGAAATCACCCAATCTTTCTTATCAGCCAGTTTTATTTGACTACGAAAAAGATGCCCCCAGCTTGGGTAAGATTCCTCGTGGTCCATTTTCCGGTCTGTGGTTGTACAAGGTTTCCATTTTCAAAGTCATTCGAATTGGTCTTGATGAGTTCTGCGTGCCTCCTTTTGCAAAAAAGTTTTTTCGAACTTACATTAAAGGTGGGCCAAATATGTACCGAAACCCTGTGTTTGTATCTGGATGTCGGAGCAAACCAGACCCCAAAACCTTTATACGAGCAGTTTCTTTGACGAAGGATTTGGCTGGGCCACTTCTCAAACTTTGCAAAGCCAACAAAGTGACATTCACTCCTCTTTTGACCATCTTGACATTGTACTCGTTCCAGCAAACAGTGAAGAAGAAATTGTCCATGATGAACACTTCGTCGAATATTTGCATCGATATTAATGGAAGAAGGTACCTACCAGAATGTGCGAATAGGTATGGTCTTTTTATGTCCACATCTATGAGTTTAGTGGCCCCGATTCCATCTCCTGATAAGTGGTTTGACAAGAAGTCACCGCTTAGAAAGACCGATGAAACACTTCTGAAAGATCTCGCTTCCAGATTCCCTTTCAGGTTTGTAGGTGTATTGAAGTACATCAACCCATGGTTTTTGGCAGATAAGCAGCTAGGGCTGACTGAGTGGAAGACTTTGGACTGTTCCAATGTTGGCGTTCAGGACATTTCTTGTGGAGATTGGTATGCTACTTCTGCTTGGTTTTGTCAATCAACGGGAAATGCGGTGAACATGGGTCTCTCATGTATATGTGTTGAGGGTGTTATAAACATCTGCTTTGGATTTGCGGCTCCTTTGGTAGACTTAGTTGGAGAAGAAACCGTCGATGAATTTGAGGCACATTTTTTGAGGACAGTTGAGGATTTAATAGGATAACAGTTTCCGACTAACATTCAGTTCTACTTTATATGAAGATTACAATGAATATAGATCTACTGATAGAATCATCAAGTCAATTACAATTTTCTCTCAAATCAATTATCATCTTTCTTGATTCGCAGCCAATTTATATTCGCGATGAGCATCTTGAACATATCGCGAGCATCTTCTCATGAACATCGATCCTGGAGACGAAATAGATAAAGTCCTCGACTTGGAACAGCAGTACTATCAGGAGGGGTACGAGGAAGGTCAGCGTGAAGCTACCCATCACCAGTTCATCGAGGGAAAAGAATATGGATATCAAACTGGATTTCAGCGATTTATAGTCATTGGATATATGAAAGAAGTACTAAACATATGGCGGAAACAGGATGGAAAAGACATAGAAAAGAGCATGGAGTCACATCTAAACCAATTGGAGCGCTTGTTAGACGTTCCAATGACTAACGGAGACTCAGAGGTTGCGGTGTATGAGAAAAATGTAGCAAAGGCTAGAAACAAGTTAAGGGTGATAGCTACTATTCGAAAGGACCAAGCTAGGATATCCAAGTTGGATCAGTTGGTAGATGAAATAGGTGGAAAGCTACAGGTTAGCGAAAACGTCGACGAAATGTGGTGAATCATATTCATTAGCTTCTATAATACACTTTAGAACAGAAAATCAAAATCTAACAGCTTGGTTTTACTCTCGAGCTTGTACGACATGATACCTCCGAGGGGACAGTCGCTTACTCCGATATTCAAGTACTCGCCATCGTCATCTGATGGTGCAAATGCAAGTCCTGTGCACTTTCCAATGAAGTCTATGCTCTGTACTCGCGGTTGCATTCTCTCAGGAGAGTCCATAAGATCAGTAACTGAAACCATACCAACGTGGTCCAAGCTTTCCGCCCACGAAATGTACTCTCCGCCATGACTAAACTTGACATTTCTTACAGGTCCGCTATGGGAAGACATGGATCCTAATGCACTCTCCCAGGTACAAAGACTCTGGTGGGGATTTCTTCTATCCCAAACTTTGACACAGCAATCTTGATTGCCAGTTATGATCATGTTCTCATCTCTAGGTGACCAGTCGCAGCCAAACCCAAAGTCCTGATGCCCTTTGAGTGCTACTGAATTTGATTGGAATCCACTGGCACGCTTGTCTATGATGAACGAATCAACACAATCGCCAGTAACAAGAATTTCGTTTCTATTAGAAGGGTTTTCGGCCATACAGTTGATCGGGAATGGTGAGGTGGTTTTTCTTGTCGAATTTGTAGTAACATCGACAAATATTAAGGAACTGTCATTTAGTGCAAATTCCACTTGTTGGTCGTCCAGTATTAAAATATTGTTTATGATTCCATTAGAGCTCTTTGTGAGTGAGTACTCTCCTAGTACTCGAGGTTCACGATGCACGCTGATATCAGAAAGGATATAATTACCCTCAAATGTTCCACACACCAAGTACTTGTTGGAGCAAGTAATGGTGGATATTCGACTGTAGGAGTTGTACGATAAGTTTTTCGAGTCGATTATACAGTCCAACTTCATGGCACCAGCTTTCGCTGTAGCCAAATTGTCGGGCATGAGTCTGTTGATCTTGAAGAAACAGTTATATTCGTCTGGTTCCTGGTCCGTTATAGGGTCTAAGTTGTGGTCGTGATAGTAGCACAGTGGGTAGAATACTCCAGTACGAGGATTGTTGGAGCCACAGAGTAGGTTGCGTAGTTGAAAATGGGTGATATTGAGTTTCAATTTGGAAAAAAATCGTTGGAATTCGAAAAAATCTGTCTTCGAAGCGTAGGTTGCAATATTAATAGACTGAGTTAGTACTGAAGAAAAGCCAAAAAAATGATCTCACTTACTTCTCTGACTTTCTGGCGCAGGTTTTCAATGCTGTAAAACCACGAATCCAAACCGACTCGATCACGATCTAGTATGAATTTTTCTCGCAAGTGGGCCGGCCACTGAATGCCCTGAACATCACAGTGTTCGAGCGAGTCCACGGAAAATGTCGAAGTGTCTTCCCTGCTTTTGAGAGAGGTGAGAATGCGGAGTATATCCGCTTTTGATAGTATGGATTCCTCGTCGTATAACAAGTTGTAGAGGAAGGTTAATGACTCGGATTCCCCTAATTCGTATCTATTTTCAGGAAGCATAAGGTCATCAAGATCGGAGTCACGGTTGTCAAACCATCGAAAGCTCTCGACCACATCTCGGTTGTCATTTTCTATTTGTCTTATGCGATCCACTTCTAATTCGAGCTCTGGAGATAGCTGAACAGACATGATGAAAAATGATGAATCAGCTAGTTTTGTTCAGTTTGGAGTAGGTTAGGAAGCACTGTTGTTGCTGCGTAAAGGACTATGGGAGAGATCAGCCTTGAAAAGCAAAAAAGCAGGTATTATTTGATTGACTGTCAGTATGGTGATTGGTCCCAAAATTCAAAAATGTGGGCAAAAGATCAACTGCTCTTCAAAGGCGATTTTGTAGTGTTCGGAGATACTATGGTAATAATAATAGGGGATGAAAACCAAATTTGATAAAAATAACGATGGTGTATTTAATAGGTTGTAATGTACTCAATGGCCCTGAAGGTGCGGTGATGGTACGGCATATAATCCAGCAGTCCAGGGCACGTGAGGATATCAAGAGATCTTTGGAAGATGGGATTGGTTATGAAGAGTTTGGGATAAGGCCACCTGAGGGGTCTCACTAATTCTTGTTGAAATACTGTGAAGTGTGGAAAAGGATCACAATGTTCAACTCAATCTATTTTAGCGCATCCTAAGCAGAGCGAAGCCTTCATATTTATATACATATATACATATAAGTCGATGCATTGTGCTACATCTCCTCAAGTAATTGTGTTCAATCTCTGTTAGTTAAGAATGTATTTCTGAGTGCTAAATTTGAAACGTCATTATTCTTAATAAGTGCGAACGAAATAATTATGGGAACCAATTACGATCATTTTAGTTCCTACACCCAATTCACTTCTGATATACTACGACTAAATAGACTACTCTCAGCAACTTACACACTAAAGCATAGTACCCCTAAAAGCATAGTATTTCCGAAACAAGTTCGCTGCCTGAAGTTCAATTCGCGGGCTGAAATTATACCACAGACTCGTAATAAGTAGCCAAAATTCATCTAAATTCGCCTAAAGATTCCAAAAGTCACAATGCTCTCATCACGTAATTGAGACCAAATAATATTGCAATTGAAGGGAACTCGTCGATTTTGGTTCGCTAATTCTTTCACTAAACTTGATTTCGTGCGGCTTGAAAAGCTTCTGCGCCGCACCATCTGTCAAGAAGATGTCAAAAAGAAAGCTAACAATATTCACAACCATCAATTTCCGAGCTCAAACAATTACAGACCCCACTTTTAAATTTGAGTGATGGAACTTTGAAGCAGTCAAAGCCGGTAATGTACTATCATGCACGAGGTGCTATTTATGTTTCAAGAAAACGTAGTTATTATAACGAGTTTCCAGCTGAAAACTGATGATTTTTCTAGACCTTTGAGAAAGTATCACATTACTCAGGCTCAGTCCTTTGACCAAACACATGCTATCATTTACTGTTTAGGCGAGCCACGCAGTATGCTTAAAAACGCCTCGGTACCGCACCATTACGGAACCGTCCGTCCCCGCCGCATATACAGTCTATTCAAATTTCCTTCGCTTCAAATAGAAGCCGGAATGACCAATATAGAAGAACAGGATTCGGCAGACAAGAATATTAGAGAGCATTTTAAATATAGTCCTATTGACAGTACTGCTATACGTATATCACGGGTTTTCATCGTATTGGTAGCCATTGGAGGCGTTTCTTTCCTTGTAATAGTTGCAATCAAACATCTCATTAAACTTATAACAAACTGGATATGAGGATTAACCACTTGATCATATTGTGTTCTATTAGCGTTGGAGTTTTAGCATCTTGGGAATGGATACTCGTTGCTATCGCTGCAAAGTCATTGGAAACGTTGGAGCCAACTTTTGTTGAGCTAAGTACCAGAAAGCTTCTTATCACAGTAGGGTATGCTGCGCTGGGAGGAGGACATTTACTCGATATATCCAAGCAGTGCGGCCCCAATGATAACGCGAAGAAGACAACCTGGGAAGATTGTATTACTGCAGTGCTTGAATCGGTGGTATCTGCTGCTATAGTTCTGGGAAAATATCTGACATCAATTCAGGAAATAGATGTTGCAAAACAAGACGTTCAAGATAGAAAAACTGAATTTATGAAATGATTCTTTGTGTTCTCAACTGTATACGACTGGGTTACTCAACAAGGTGATGTATTCTTAACAATCGTTAATGGGCTATCATAACTGCAGTTCCTTACAAGGTGGCTTGAAATGTTCATGTCCAGTAGTTGTTTTCAATGATTGGTGACGGTGCGATACCTATTAGATAGCATGGTGGAACGGACTACATTGGAACATTAGAAGAATCCAAATTGCCAGGTTTGTTTAAAGAATAAGTAGACTGAAATATTCAGTTCATCACCATTTTTTCGATAATGCAGATGTTCGTAGCGATCTCTCCTGTTAGGCTCTTGTCGTAATGAAATTTGAAGCTCAAATTGATTTATTTTGTAGGCATAATTGTTCCTTGTTATCAAAGAATCTAGAGCGCGAAAGAAAATACTTGTGTACCAATCTGAAAATGAGTGCGAATAACGTTTACTTGAAAATCTATGATCGCTATACAATCGCAGCCTCACTTTTACCCGTTTAGTGCGAGGCGAAGCAAAATACGACTCCTATCAAATCCTACACACAATTCGCTGTGATGTACTGCAACCCTGAATTAGGCTAAATGTGACCAAATGACTCATTATAAGTGACCCGTATTACTCTAGAATATCCTACTCTACCTACGGTCACATTTCATATCGCAAAGCTTATCACCGCTGAATCATGCTGCTGAATAATCGCATTTTTATGTGCCGAGCCCAGACAAATTTAGGCGCGATCGCCGGAAGTGACACCTAGCTTTATTTCCGTGCATATATCCGCTTCCGTAGTTAACAAGATTGCCAGCCGCACCGCGGATACAACGCATGGTGCCGTGCCATACTATCGGTGGCACACCCCTATTTATAGTTTTGTAGATTCCAGTTTTCTTTATTGCAATGTTAGACGATAATGAAAAGATAGAGGGTCCTGTCTATCAGAAGAGACTCTTTACTCCATTGCTAAGAAAGAAACAAGTACCTGTTCCTTATGATGATGAACGTCGCAGCTTTCCGAAAAGTATAAAAAACCCAATCAGTAGAGCATACTTTCTATGGCTTATTCCCTTACTTAACGTGGGTTATAGAAGAACTGTTCAACCGGATGATCTTTATAAACTTACTGACGACCTCGCCGTGAGAAATTATAAGAATCGATTCCAAGCTATCTTCCAACGAAGAATTGCTGAAGCCAGGAGAAAGCATCGCCAAAAGTGTACCAGCGACGAAGAAGCGGACTCGACGTTTGTGGTGTCGAAATTTGTCTGTCTCTTCTCCATTTACGAAACTTGGATCCGTGTGTTATTGCATTCCGCAATTCTCACCAGTATATCCGTGATCATTTCGTCGTTGATTCCTCTTCTTACGAAGCAATTGATCAAGTTTGTGGAAGCTCGCAGCACTGGCGCTCAGGGATCTGTTGGACCAGGAGTGGGCTACGCTATAGGTCTTTTCCTTATGGCTAGTGTCAGTGGTTTGTTCGTCAATCATGGAGTGTACAAAGCATTTAGAGTTGGCGTTCAGGTCAGATCTGTTTTAACAGCCTTGATCCTCGAGAAGTCGTTTCGCTTGAGTCCTCGTTCGCACCACCAATTTGCTTCAGGTGATATCAATTCGCTTATGGGTACAGACCTTGCACGTTTGGAAGTCGGTATGATTTACCAAACCTTGATCATCGCCCTCCCAATTCCCTTGGCTGTTTCTATCGCCATTTTGGTGATAAATATTGGTGTTTCTGCTGTCATTGGTATCGTTGTCTTCTTGGCATTTATCGGAGCTATTCTGGGTGCAACCACATATCTTTTCAAGCTCAGAAAGACTGTCAGTGGTCTCACCGACAAAAGAGTGTCATTGATTAGAGAGGCTCTCAACAATATCAAAATGATCAAGTTTTATTCGTGGGAAACCCCATACTGGGCCAATATTCTTGCTGCTCGTGCAGCTGAGATGAAGGTTGTCTTCAAAATCCAAGCACTAAGAAATATCATTAATGCACTTGCATTGAGTTTGATTGGACTCACTTCCATGGTTGCATTTTTATCATTGTATGCTATCGAAGGAGGTACAAGAACTGCGGCCGATATCTTCTCTTCTGTGTCACTGTTCGAGCTTTTGGGATTTCTCATCTTTCTCTTACCACAATGTCTCTCTACAACAGCGGATGTGCTTGTGGCATGTAAAAGAGTTGGAAAGTTTCTAGATGTGGAGGAGATTGGTGTGGATGAGAACTATCACCACTTCAACGACCCATCTTCCAATAAGGCTATTCAATTGAAGCAAGCTACCTTTGAATGGGAGATTTTTGAGGATGAAAAAACTGGCGACTCAAAGGAGAAAAAATCTGGTACTGCCTCCCCTGACATTAAACTCACAGGAAAGAAAGATACATTTCAACTTAAAAATGTGGACTTTACCATTAATAAGGGAGAGTTTTTCGTTGTGACTGGAAAAATTGGCTCTGGTAAAAGCTCTTTACTTCAGGCTATGTCTGGTTTCATGAAAACGAAAGAAGGGCAAGTTGAAATCAACGGTTCGCTATTATTTTCCGGTGCGCCTTGGATCCAGAATGCTACCATTCGAGAGAATATCACTTTTGGCTTAGAATATGACCCAGCCTATTATAAAGAGGTGATTTCAGCTTGTTCATTGCAAGATGATTTCGATAGCTTTGCCGGTGGAGACTTGACAGAAGTTGGTGAAAAGGGCATCAATTTATCAGGTGGTCAAAAAGCGAGGATAAATTTGGCTAGGTCTGTGTATGCCAACAAGGATATCATCTTGATGGATGACTGTCTCAGTGCAGTTGATGCTCGAGTTGGTAAGCACATTGTCCAGGAATGTTTGCTTAAATTGCTTGGTGATAAGACAAGAATCTTAGCCACGCATCAACTTTCTTTGATCCTGTCTGCCAATAGAGTCGCCTATTTGAGTGGAGATGGAACTGTTGACGTTGGCACCTTGGAAGAATTAGAAGCGAGAAATTCAGGTTTCAAGGAATTACTCTCTAGCAATGTGAAGAACATCACAGAAGATGATAGTACCAACGAAAAACTGTCATTGAACGATGATGACATTTCAATTGAAGAGCTTCCTATTGAAGAGGAGTCTGATCATAGCCGAAAATCACAAACTCTTACCAAAAGAAGGGTGGGTGCAAGTACTGATGTTTTGTCGATTCAAACTAACGACTCTGACGACAATTTGAAAAAGGGCAAGCTTGTTGAAAAGGAAGAGCAGGCCGTCAATAGTCTTCGCCTCGAGGTATACAAGACATACTTGAAGTATGGAAGTGGAAAGTTTCGTGCCTGGGGATTTTTCTTGGTCTTTATACCCTTGATGTGCATCTCCACGTTTGCTGATATTTTCACCAATACGTGGTTATCCTTCTGGGTATCGCATAAATTTCCAGGTTTGTCTGACGCAACATATCAGGGAATATATCTGGCACTTGTTCTTCTGTGGTTAATCTTTCTCACAATCGAGTTTGTCAGTCTTATCGGTATGACGACCAATGCATCCAAAATCTTGAATGTAGTTTCCATCAAGAGAATTTTACATGCGCCCATGTCTTTCATTGACACCAACCCAATGGGAAGAATTATGAACCGATTCACAAAAGATACTGACGCATTGGACAATGAGATTAGTGAACAATTGAGGCTTTTCGTCTACGGTTTATCTCGTTTGGTTGGCATGATAATCTTGAACATTATCTACTTGCCATGGATTGCACTTCTTATTCCCATCATGGCCGCGCTCTTCATTGCCTTTGCTAATTACTATCAAGCATCGTGTCGTGAAATCAGAAGAATTGAAGCCGTTCAACGGTCATTCGTTTACAATACCTTCAACGAAACATTGAGTGGTAATACCACAATCAGGGCATACAAGTCAGAAGGTAGATTTTCCGAAAAGTGTGAGTCCCATCTTGACAGAATGAACGAAGCCGGGTATACTGTTTGGGCTTTGCAAAGGTTTCTTAACATTGGTCTCGATACATTAGCAAACATTGTTGCACTTGTGATTTCATTACTTTGTGTGAATCGTGTGTTTAAAATCAATGCTGCTACTGCTGGTTTGCTTGTCAGTTATTCGCTTCAATTGGGCCCAGAATTGACTCAACTTATTAGATCGTGGACCATGCTTGAAAACGACATGAATGCGGCCGAAAGATTATGCCAATATGCTCTTCACTTGCCTCAAGAAGCCGATCATAATGTGGGTACCACCTCTGTGGAAGCGCCATGGCCAAATCGAGGAGAGATTGAATTTGACAAAGTTTCTTTCAGCTACCGTCAAGGGTTACCGCATGTATTGAAGGAACTTAGCTTCAAGGTGAATTCTGGGGAACGCATTGGTATTTGCGGAAGAACTGGTGCCGGAAAGTCTTCTATAATGAACGCCTTGTACAGGCTTAATGAGCTTGCCGACGGGAAGATTTTCATTGATGGTGTTGATATTTCAACAATTGGATTGAGCACTTTGAGATCTAATCTTTCCATTATTCCTCAAGACCCTGCACTTTTCACGGGTTCCATCAGGAGAAACTTGGATCCATTTGATGAACACCCAGACTCTGTATTATGGGATGCTCTTCGGAGAGCAGGTTTGATCGAAGAGACTGAACTTGACGATGTAAAAGTGCAACAGAAAGATTTGGACGACGAATTGCACAAGTTTCATTTGCAACAGGAAGTTGAGGAAGAAGGTATCAATTTCTCACTAGGTGAGAGACAGTTGATTGCTTTCGCAAGAGCGTTGGTGAGAAACTCCAAGATTCTTATTCTAGACGAAGCCACCTCGTCTGTTGATTATGGAACCGACGACAAGATTCAACGAACCATTGTGAACGAATTTAAAGACTGCACCATTTTGTGCATAGCCCATCGGCTTAAAACCATCATCAGCTACGATAGGATCTTAACGTTGGACCATGGTGAAGTGAAGGAGTTGGACACTCCGCAGAACCTTTTCAGAAAGCCGGATGGTATATTTAGAGCAATGTGCCTCAAGTCCGGGATCACTGAGTCTGACTTTTAATGCTATGATATATATTTATGACAATTGAATAGACTGTTTTTAATTTGACTTCGAACTTAGGAAATATCAGTCATATATCATAGTTAAAGAATCTTTTTAGTATACCGATCTCGGTTATAGTCGGTATCATGACACCCCAACACCCAGTTGCGATATTGTGGCTAAAATATCTCAGATCCTATTTATAATCTGCATTTTCTTTTTTGTCATAAACTATTCCAATGGGTCATAAATATCACTTTGACGTTTCAATGTCATGCTCAGGCTGCTCGAATGCAGTCAATAGAGTGCTAACAAAACTTGACGGCGTGGATAATATAGACATTTCTTTAGAGAAGCAGACGGTTGATGTTACTACTTCTGATTCTTTAGATTATGATACCGTCTACCAGACGATTTCCAAGACTGGGAAAAAGGTAAATGACGGAAAGGTGGTGTTTTAAATAGATGTAATGAACGGAATAACTACTCTTCCTCTACCATGTCTCTGAACTCTGAAATCTCTGTGATCAAGCTGTCTCTAGGTTCGCTCTGAACAAACACAGATTTGATCAAGGAAGTAAGCTCATGAGTTTGCAAGTCGAAAAACTCACCATCGTAAAATCTCTCCTTGATTTCTTTAAGATGGTTATTGATCAAGAACACAACGTTGTCAAGTTTATGGAAAGAGTCCACGCCTTCTTTTGTATCGCCCACTTGTTGCACATTCGGCAAGGTGACGTTTTGCATCATTTCCACTATAGTTGTAATTTTTATCGACTGATATTCGGTGATTTCGTCCATTCTGATAATGGAATTAGCAAGCCAACTATTGATCAAATTAATCATGTCAATGATGAAATCATGAAACATGGGCTTATTCGTCGTGGGCAAATCAGTTGAAAACAAACTCTTGAACCAGTTGTTAATTTTACTCAATTGTGTCCAATTATCCTCATCCAATTCAAACTTGTTGAGGTCTGTTGAAGCTGCGACAAAATCATCATGCTGCAAATCGACGGCAAGAACTAGCTCAACGAGCTGGTTTGTGAATTTCAACTTCAGTTGGCTCCAGAGAGTATCGGCAAATTTGGTCAACTCAAAAGACCCGAAAAGATTTCCCATTTGTTTCAAATCATTATAAAGAAGAAACGTCTGCTCTAATGGTGGGTAATACACCAACAGCAGCGATTGAATGGCAATTGCCAAGATATTAAAGTTTTCATTTTTGGACTCGGTTTTAAATTCCTCGATTATGCTTTGAAGTCTGGAAGGTACGTCACTGACGATCATCATAGAGGTATCCTGTTGAGTAAGGTTGTGTTTTCTGGGAGACTTTGGAGGCTGTTGGGGAGTTTCTTCGTCTCCCCAATTCCAATCATCTTGTACTTCTTCATCCCATCCATCTTCATTCCAATCTTCGTCCCAATCATCCAGACCTTGTTCGCCATTTACAACTTTTTGCTTCTTGGTATTGGGCACCTTTGCTTCTGATATTTGGTCGGTAGCCTCCTTGAAATGGTCCTTAAAAAACTGCATGATTTGATCGATGTACTTGTCCTCAATCCATTCAAGATAGAGATTTCCAAGCTTTTCGTGAAGATTCTGAGAAGAGTTGAATGTGCTCCCAATTGACAAAGACCAGCCTGTCTCTCGAGCCACGTTGACGAGATTAACCAATTCGTTCGTGGCCGAGTTGTTTTGTGATTGCATCAAGGCTCCGATGTTCAGAGAGATCACTTGCATCAAGCTATGTGATATCTTGGACAGGAACACATTACGTAGGTTCTGATTATCGACAAGATCCACAAACCGAATGAAGTTTTCCATAGAAATAAAGTACAGAGCAGAGAACCCTTTTGTGTTTTTGTGAAGCACAAGCTTTACGGAGTCATCTGTTCTCTGTAATTCCAGCGTAAAGCTGTTATCGCACAATTTATCAAGAACTTCTGTGTCCCAATAAACTTGCAATTTTCTGATGAAGGACTTAAAAATAGCATCCAAATTAAGATCGGGGAACCGTTCGGGGATGCTCAAGAACTCTGAGAGACTATAATGGCTTTCGTCGGTGTTTGAATGGAATTCGCATTGGTGAGGAAAGAACGTTTCGAATGTATTCAGCATTTGATTAACCACTTCAACTTTGCGTTCTAAAACCTCCTGTGATACTAAGCTTCGAATTACAAGTGACTTGTCCAATTTTGACACTTTTTTATCGAGTTTGCTCAAGTTTGCTACGACAGACTCAAGATCATCTTTGTCACAAGCATAGTTATCTTCCCCTAAAGGGTTCAACCCAACTTTTATTTCTTGTAGTAAGCTCTTAATAACCCACAAGTCATCCAATTGGTGCAATCCGGTATCAATCTCTGTGCTTTTGTTGGATAATTGTGCAATTGTTTCGCTCATCAATTCTGCTTGCTCGATGCTTTCATTGTCGTCGATCTTATACTTGAGATTTGGATCTCGAGAGATCTCGGAGATGGAGATACTGTCTACTAGAGCTGATATATCGGATTCAACCGCGTTCAACTGGCCACGATTTTTGTCTAGTAGGGCGCTTATAGCAGACATAACAAGTTGTGAGAATTCAATTTCGCATTAAATATGGCGAGTCGTAATAAATATTCATAGGCTAAATAGCGTAGACTAGGTTCCTGGAGCGAGCAATTGGGACCTAAATCAAGTCCTCGGTAATGTCGTCGTCAATGTATTCGTCGTCCTTGTTCATTCTGTAAACCGTCATGGCCATACTGGCAAAATTCAACCCGCTCATCAACCAGTCTGGCACTGGAACCCCGTAGAGTTCAATGACATTAAATGCCAAGTCCATAAAGTTACCTATGAGTTCGAGCACCAACATGGACTTGTCAAAACGCAAGTCTTTCAACACCTTTTCATACTTGCGGTAGATGTTAGAAGGATCTTGTGATTCTGAGTTCAACAAAACCTTGGAATTTTTACTCTGCGATAGGATGTTGAGTTCGACATTCACCTTCTTTTCCTTGCGAATAACATTGAGAAGTTGCAGCACCGTTTTTCTAATCAAAAACACCAATATAAGCACCCACAATTTATTGGTATGCAGCAACACTTTAACCAATCCTTCAGGAAATCCAGGTAGTTTCAGGAACAAATGAAGGTTATCGAGCAAATTGGCTACCATTTCTAATACTTGAACAAAAATAAATTCGAGTTTTTTGAGCGTGAATTTCGATCCCAAGTTGACCTGGCGACGAATTCGTCTATGATTAGGTGTTGTGGACTGGTTGGGTAAGTTGTATTTCTCAAATAGAGGACACACCAATGGTTTGGGGGCTTCTGGAACCGGTAAACTTGGTTTATTTTTCGATTTCGAACCACCAGCTAAACGTTTCCTTTCCAAGACGTGACGTTCAAGAGCAGCAAGATTTTCCTTTGTGATTGATTTGTTGCCCCTACGTTGTTCTTCTTGTGCTATGCCCAAGATTTTATCCAAAAGAGCCTGTTTTTCGGGCAGAATGGAAGCCGTGGACTGTGTCTTGATAGCCATAACTTGAAATGGTGAGTGCCTCGGTCTTAGTGGGCCACCACACCCGTGCACCAGCTTATGGGTGCAAAAGAGAGACACCGCTAAGGAGGGCCACGAGAACGAAAAATGAACAAAGGGAGAAAATTGAGATCCATTTCACCTTTATTAGTGTGCTTTGCAACCATATATACCTTGACGCTGCTTACAAACTGCATCTGAAGAATGGGCGCTGCAAGTTGCCGCTAGTGGATGTGGCATCTTGTATGCAGTACACAACTATAATGAAGTCCGAAGCCGCGACTTTTCAGTAATCAATGATCCCTAGTACGCTTCAAGATTTTGCTACCACCAAGGTGGTACATCGTACGTGGGCAGGCACGTTTCAATGCAAGCCGCAGGCCATATTCCAGCCAAGAAATGAGACTGAAGTTGCTGAATTAATCAAGCAAGCTCGGCTCCATGGCAAGACTATCATGACGGTTGGCTCTGGCCATTCCCCTAGTGACATGACTATGACTTCTGAATGGCTCTGTAACTTGGACAAGATGGACAAAGTGTTGAAAAAAGAAGATTTTTTGGGCCCCAAGAAGGACAATCCTTCTGAGCAAGAAGTGAAATTTGTGGATTTGACAGTTGAAGCTGGTTGTAGAATCTACCAATTGAACGAATATGCCAAGAAGAACAAACTTGCCATTCAAAATTTGGGTTCAATTAGTGAACAGTCTATTGCGGGTTTGATCTCAACGGGTACTCATGGCTCGTCCAAGTACCATGGTTTGGTGTGTGAACAATTGGTGTCGATTACCATTATGAACTCCGAAGGAAAGCCGATCGAGTGTTCTTCCACCAAAAACCCCGAGCTTTTCAGAGCTTCTTTGCTTTCTCTTGGAAAGATTGGTATTATTGTCAAGGTAACCTTGAGAACCATTCCTCGCTATACCATCAAGTCAAAGCAGGAAGTGATAAATTTCTCAACCTTGATCAAATTGTGGGATGAAATCTGGTTAGAATCTGAGTTTATTCGTATATGGTGGTTCCCTTATTCTGAAAAGTGTCTTTGCTGGAGAGCCTCAAAATCCGATGAACCTTTGAGTGCCCCTCGCTCTTCATGGTATGGTACCCCATTTGGACGTTTCTTTTATGAATCTTTATTATTTGTCGCTGTCAATATTTTTCCCAGAATAACACCATGGGTCGAGAAGTTTGTGTTCAAAAACCAATATGGCTTTACCGAAACTATTGGGCCAGGAGATGTTGCAGTGCAAGATTCAGTCGATGCGCTCAATATGGACTGTTTGTTTTCCCAATTTGTGAACGAGTGGTCTGCTCCTTTATCTACCGGAGTGGACACTTTACTTGCTTTAGATACCAAAATTAAGGTTGCTGCAAGGGAAGGAAAGTTCTTTGTTCACGCACCAATTGAAGTGAGATGTTCTAATGTAACATATTCTCATGAACCGTTTGTCGATGACGAAACGGGACAACCTTCCAACTACCCACCGAAATCCTGGCTCGCTAAAAGAGACAGATTTAGTGCTGGACCTACACCTGGAAACAACTTGAGACCTTACTTGGACAACTCACCTCATGGACTACCATATGTTGGCAAAGATGCAGAGTCGCCTATAACCAACGAAAACTTGACATTGTTCATCAATGCAACTATGTATCGACCATTTGGCACCAGTCCGTCTACCAGAGCTTGGTACCAGGAATTTGAAGACATTATGATGACTGCTGGTGGAAAGCCTCATTGGGCAAAGAACTTTCTTGGCTTACAAGGAAAACATGCAACTAAGGACAATACTCAATATCAAGTCCAGTATGGTGGAAAGCCGTTTTATACCATGTTGGGATTTGACCCAGTGATGCACAAATGGTTCGGTAAGGACTTGGAAGCTTTCAACAAGGTACGCAAGGAAATGGATCCTGAGGGAGTGTTTATGAGTGGAAAGAATTGGATGGAAAGAAACGGACTTTTGATTGAATAACTTACATTGATTGTTATGCTGCTTAATATGAATAATGTACATGCTACTTGAAAGGAGCTTTGATTGGATCGATAACAGTACCCTGTTTGACGATCACACGAGGCATGGTGAGTTTCTGGTGAGTTTCACGAGAAGTCCATTCTTGACCCACCGGCATCCGCAATGATCTTTCGTATTGTTCTCGAGACTCAAATGGAAATGGAACTCCAGAAGATTGATATTTCAAATTCTTCTTGTTCACCTTTTCATTAATTATGACATTCTTTTTTGTGCGATCTTGTCTCTTATCTTTCTGGACCACACCGTCGATTGTCCGAACGACTTTATTCTTTTTTCTCTTACGGTTTCCACCAGCCCAGTCTCCCCATCCTGGCAACGTCAAATCCTCAACCTTGTCACCTTCATCTCTGATCACTTGCCTCTTTTCTGCTTCAAACTCTTGCATGACATCGTCACCAGCAAATGCCTCTTTTATCAAATCACGCTGTTGGAACATATGAGTCTCAGAGTCATCAAACTCTTCACCTTCTGTCCGCATTCTAATAGTGTCATCGATGTCTATCAAATTTTCTTTGGCATTTGGATTTTTTTCTTTCTTGTGCTTGGATATTTTGTGTGCTGATTTGACTTGCTTTGAAGAGTCCTTGTCAACAGTGGAAATTTTGCTTGATTTAGCATGAGTATCGGTCGTTGCAAGCCATGGATTGACTTCATCTTCATCATCTTTCTGTTCAGTCTCTTCTTGCAAATCTGCAGATGTCTTGAATTCCGTCTTTGGTGTGGTTTTAGTAACCTTTCCTGACATCTTTGCGACCAAATTGTGAGCCTCGTCGTCTTCAATTTCTGCTCGCAAAGTTTCATTGACTTCTGCATTCGCGGCACTTGCAATTTGTGCTGCTGGAGTGTACACTCTTCGTCCCTGGTTTTTGGTGGTGCTCACAGAAGTTGGCTCTTCTGCAAGTCCAGTTAATCCCTCTTCAAGTTGGCGGGTTTCTTCAATCTCTCTGAGATTTTCTTTCCTCTTGCGCTCTTCTGCATCTTTCATAAAGTCCATAGCCAAAACACCTTTGCCGAGTTTAGCTCTATTATCGTCTTCTTGGTCGTTTTCGTACTCCTCTTCCAATTCTGATACACCTGAGTCGCTCTGTTCACCTTCTTCGTGGCCGAGCTGCTTCGAACGAAGCCTTTCACCTTGTCTCAACATCTCTTCGAGGTCTGCTCTGTTCTCTGCATCTTTCGAAAGACCACTTTTGATCATGGACTTGGCCCACAGAGATTGTGTTTTGTGCTTGAGGGTCATTCTCTCGCGAGATCTCTTCAAATCCTGGTCATCTTCATCGTCCAGACCTTCTACTAATTCTTGGTTTCGCAAGCGATCTTTCTTATGGACCCGACGATATGCTTTGGACTTTATTTTTTTGATTCTCTTTGCTCTCTTTTCCTCGCGGAACATCAACTCACGCATTAATCTGAGCTCATTGGTTCTTTTCTTAAGCTCTTCGGGTGCGAGTTTGGCGACGGCTATTTCCTCGAAAGTAGCTTCTTTTTTGTCGTCAACCAAGGCAGATTGTTGCAACAAGTCTTGCACTTTTTTCTCTAGATCGGTAGCAGGCTCATTGTCTGCTCTGAAAGTCATCGCCGAGTCATTATGTTTCACTTCAGGATTAATTGGAAACTTCAACACTTCGGCACGGCGGTTCTGCTGCACCGTATCGTCCCATTTGCTCACTTCTTCATTGGCAATTTCGTAGGCTGCTTTTCTATCATGGCGCTTCTGGATGTTCACTGGAAGTGGAGTAGCAAGAGCCTTGGAACGCATATCTTTCTCTGGTTCATCGATCAAGATTGCATCTTTGGCTACCGAGTGGTCAACGGCAGCTATCATATCATTCAAAGAAAGTGTTTTTCCTCCAGTTGGTAAAGAGTGAATACTTTCTTCTCTAGACTCGGTCACAAGTCTCTTTCGCTGAGTTTCAGGTTGCTTGAGCTTGGAAGAGATATTTGCAAGTGTGGTAGTCAAAGGTGCATCAGCGTCTTCTTCGTCTCCTGAAACTTCGAAAATGTCCTCTTCTTCCAGGTCTTGTTCCTCTTCCAGATCTTCATCTCCGTCCGAGTTTTCGTCGCTTTGCAGCTCAATTTCCAGTTCGTCGTCCATGCTATTATCTTCCTTCAAAACCACATCATTTTTTTGTGGACCTCTTCCTTTTTCTTTCTCGTCCATATCCCATGCCTGCGATAAAGTCACCCACTGGCTTTCATCTACACTGCTATACCCGTCTTCTTCTTCGTCGTCACTCAGTAACGGTCTGTTCCCCTTGAGCTTTTTAGCCTTGGCTTTGTCTCTAATCGTCTGTGAAAACTTCGAATTGAGCACATCATAGTCATCTTCCGAGCCAAGGGCCTCGTCCGAGTCGAGTTCCTCGTCCTCGAATTCTTCTTCCTCTCGGTTCAAAAACTTACTGGCATCCATGACTCCGTCAAAGACGTCGTTTTCGCTGTCCGAGTCATCCCCAGCTTTCGAGCCTCTGGACTCTGCTCGCTGGGCTATCTGGAATGCATCGTGTGCTTTCCTGCTGCTTCGGTTCTTCGAAGGCTTGGACTTTTGTACCTTCTTACGAGCCATGGGTGGGTGCGATTTGGAATTTTTTGAGATGCGATGAGCACCCTGGGGTTGGTGCGCGGAGGTGGGAACTACAGTGGAAACATAAAATATTTGCTACATTAATGCCACAAAATTCATTACAAAGCATCGAGTCTATCGTTGATCTCTTCAGCAGAGAGCTTTTTGAATCGGGGGCCGGCGACGTCTGTTCCCAGAAATCCCAATGACTGCTGTTGAGGCTCGCTCACCACCGAGATATCGAGATTCTCGCCGGTCAATTCTCCATCTACCGACTCTTTCAATGCAAGAAGGGCAACATGAATGGCGTCGTCAAGTTCTAAGTTTTCGTTCCATCTCTTTTCCAAAAAGGTTTTTGCCGAAACCGACGACTTTCCAATAGCAGTAGCCTTCCATGGAAAGTAACTTCCTGATGGGTCTACCTGGTAAAGCTGAAAAGATTCACTATGTTGATCGTAGCCTCCCACTAGCAATGACACCCCGAATGGTCTAATACCTCCCGATTGAGTAGATTCTTGCATAACCTTGGCAATTTCCTGTACCAAGATTTTCACCGGCGGGTATTCGTTGTAGATTCTCTTGTAGTTTGTATGAGCGAGTTTTCTCGCTTTGTCGACCAAGACCCGAAAATCAGGTCCCATTCCAGAGTAAGTCATCCCGATATCGGGCGTGATAAGCTCGACTTTGGAATTTGTATCATTTTTGAGAAGCACTGAGTTGGCTTTACGTTCAGTAGCAAGTACTATACCATTTCCCGACTTGATGGCAATGGCCGTGACACCTTGCTTAACTGCATTAAGAGCATATTCGATCTGAACGAGCTTTCCACTGTTGTTAGTATTGACTATGGACCATCAGTGGCGATTTCGTCAATTGTTCGAAATCCAATATTGGAGTTCAATTTTGTTTCTAGATCCAAAATATCATCCCTCTGTGTATGTAAAGTACCTACCTTGGCGAGAAAGTCGTCAATGAGAACGAATACCGATCTGCCATAGTCCAATGTAATTGACCTCGTTCACCAAATTGCCTCCGGTTCGCGCCAACTCTTGGGAAGTCATGTGACATGTCATGTGACCCACCTCAAGGTATACCATTTGCAATTGTATGAATATATAATCTCTATAACATAGTTCTATGTCTACTCCTCTTCATCGTCGGTGTCCAAGGGCTTTGGTGTACCCTTTGGACTGCTCAACCACTCGATATGGCGCAACCGTCTTCTTTCCGCTTGAAGCTTCTTTTCATTTCTCGTCATCTTCTTCTTTCTCGTTCTTACTTTGATATTAGCAGGCGAGTCGTCGTCGTCGGCTCTCTTTGGAGCAGGCGAGGATGGTGCTGGAGAGCTCTCTTTGCTGGTATCTTCGTCAAAACGGCTGGTTTCTACAGCAGCATGTCCTTTTCTTATCATCTCACCATTCTCAATGTGCCATTGTTCTGGACAAAGTGCTCCAACAAATTCGTTGTTGTGGGAAATCATCACCACACCTCCTGCCCAGTCTCTAATGGCGACTGCCAAGCCTCCCAACGAGTCTCTGTCCAAATAATTGGTGGGCTCGTCAAGAACAAGCAAATGAGGGTTGTTCCACATGGCACCAGCGATAACCACTTTCACCAATTGACCACCTGAAAGTGATCCCATAGGCGTGTGGTCGGCAATATCACCGTCCAAACCAACATCCTCAAAATGTTTGCGAATAACACTGGGAGTCAACTCACGGTAACCTAAACCTTCTCTGGAAGCTTCGTGATCGTCGAACTTTTGAACCAATTTGTCAAATCCATGTTCAAGCAACACTTCTCTTGGAACCCACGAGTTGTATTTGGGAAGCCAGTGCTTCCATTTGACCTCATACTGGAATGACTTCTTCAACTTTTGTCTACCAACAACAGCTTCAATGGCTCTCTTTCCTCTTCCGTCACCGACATCAATTTCCTTGGCCATTTGTTCCTTCTCTTCTTCGGAAATCTTACGAGACTCTTTCAACAAAACCTCACGATCGTCTCCGAATTTATATCTCCACTGCAAATACTGGTTAGCAGTCTTTTCCTTATGCTGTTCAACATGTTGCAAGGCGTGCTGAGCAATGTACCCAACTCTAAGGTTAGGATGCTTTTCGACACTTCCCTCATTAGGAACGGTCTCTCCAGTCAACAATTTGATAAGAGTGGACTTACCAGCACCATTGGGTCCAAGAATGGCAACTCTGGACGACAACGAAAGTGAGCACGAAACATTGACCAAAGAAGGCTTGGGAGCATTTGGATACTGGAAAGTAACATTGGACATACGAGCAACAGCACGAGTATTGGACTTGACACCAGTTAAGATTCCTGGAGGAGGGAAAGCCATCTTCACAACGCTATCTGTTAAGGTATAGTAAGACTTTCCTTCAGGCTTCACCTTGACAAACTCAGAAAGATTTCCCTTGTAGTATGCCAATTTCTTGTTCTCGTAATGGATGATGTCGGTACAAACAGCATCCAAGAATCCAGAATCATGCGAAACAATCAAAGATGTGATGTTGGTATTCTCCACAAGATAGTCTTGAAGCCATTTGACGTTCTTGACATCCAAGTGATTGGTAGGTTCGTCCAACAACAAGACGTCAGCTTTCATCAACATGGCTCTTCCCAACTCCAACTTCATTTTCCAACCTCCAGACAACGAACCCACATTCTGCTGGAGTCTTTCTTCTGGAAATTCGACGGCAAGAAGTGCCTTGGAAATATCTTCACGAGCAACATGGGACAATTCAGGGTCAGAAGCAATGAAACTAACCAAGTCCATGTCTCCTTCTTCACCTTGCAACTTGTGTTCCACGAAACAAGTACGCACTTCTTGAGGAGATGGGAACCCTTCAAGCTGCCCCTTTGCAATAGCTCTCATCAAAGTAGACTTACCAGCACCATTACGACCACAAAGACCATACCTATGGCCCTTCAATAACCGGAGATTGGTCTTGTTCAACAACATACGAGAACCATAAGCCAAAGAGAAATCGGCATTGACAATTTCAACTGCACCCTCTTCGTCGTCGTACTCAGGACCCAATTCTGGAGTGAACATTTCACGCAAATGACTAACAATTGCATCGGCGTATTCGGTCTTTTTATCTGATTCAGAAACCATCAACAAGTATTCCTTGAGACGTTTCCAGTCGTTGACGTTCGCATCAGCCTCAACAATTCTAGCAAGGTACTCACCAACAAGATTATCACCGATATTCAACGATTCAGCCACATTTCTCAATTCTTCTGGAACAGTAATGAGAACTTCTTTAGCCTGTTCAGTATTGATTCTTCCATGGAATTTACCATCAGAATGCTCGTTTTCTGCCTCCTTGAGAACATGGAGTGCCTTTGCTCCAAGCTCTCTGACTTCTGGCAAAGAAGCATTGTCCACCACCTTCTTCACACCTGGTAACAAAATAGGAATAAACAGGTCGATTTCACGCTTATTGTTGACCAATCTGGTCAAGTTTTCAGTGACAGTGACGGTTTGACGTAATTGATCGTTAGAAGACGACGACATTTTCAAAGATTTGTCTAAAATTGGAACTAAAAGGGACAATGCAGGTTCGGTAACTTCAGCAACAAAAGTCACAGAAGAAAGGTTCTTGATACATTCTGGAACCTTACTAGGGTTAGCCAAAGTATCGACAATCAAATCGTACTTGTTCTGCAAATCCAAGTTGTCCAATACCTTGACAAACTTTTTGAGAACCACCAAACCACGCTTGGAAAGTTCAGGCTTAAAATCAGTGGAAAGATCGGTGAGAATTGGAACCGATCTAATAAAGGTCATTTCAAGAATATCAGCGGGGACGTCATCAATGAGTTTTTCAAAGTAGCCAAGAGCACCCAACTTTGAGTTCCATTTGGCAGACGACGACAAGTAGTTAAGAAGTTCATCAAGTACTACCGTACCTAAAGCTTGTACAGGAAAATCGCCGTATAATGCATCAGCAGCCTGCTTAGCAGCTCTGGTACATCCTTTATCTTTGTCAGCAAAAGAATCAAAACAAGTCTTGAAGAATTGAACCAAGTATGCTTCTTGTGGAGTCTTGCCCCCGAAGCGGATAGCCATTTGTTGAACAAGTATCAAGGCGGCTTCTCTAACTGCTGGAGAATTTTTGGGCTTAGCAAATGACTTCAACACCTCGCTCAATTTCCATTCATTGACCTTTTCAATCCCTTCTTTTTCAAGCTGAGAAACGATCTCATCGATAGAGGTCTTGGCTTCGGCAACCTTGGAGATTTTTTCCAAATTTTGAAGCTGTTCGCTGATTGGCGTATTGCTGATATTGAGCCTATCTAAGGCGGTGTTTAACGATGACAAAGATGCAGTGGAAGAGTTTGGACCAGGAGATTTTGGAGTGGCGGTGCCACTTGTGGGGACACTTTCCGGCAAAAATTGATTGTATCCTTGCTGATATTGGTGACCATTGAAAGATGGATCTTGCTGAAACTGAAAGTTTTGATTATTATAACCATTATTTTGATTGCTATATCTATACCCGTAAGCGGTATTCTGCTGCTGGGCTTGTTTCTGCAGCCTCAAGAAGTCATCGAACGACTGTTTGGACATTTTGATTAGCAGGTGAAACAAAAAATTTACAAAAAAAATTAAAAAACCGTGTTCCACATGGTATGCAGGGAAGCGATGAGATTAGCCTATTCTATGTCATAAAAGTTGAAATTGTCGCCAGTGACCACCACTCGCCCACCTATCCGCCGTAGAGTCCCATCAGCTGTGGTGTATGAGATGAGCTCTAATTTGCTGTCATAAACCTCGAGCCGATGGTCGTGCATCTTATATATGGCGAAGTCTTCTTTAGTTGCAACCACTGCTAATTGGAGGCTTTCAGGACTTTCACCAACATTAAACTTGAGCATTTTACCAGTGGTTTCTTCCTTATCGCAATCGTATACTCTGACCTGGAGCCTTTTCTCCAAATATTCGGGCACGAGTATGATGTTCTTATCAAAGTAATTTCGAACATGAACACCGTACGCTAAATTTTCACTATGCACAAGCTGCTTGTATGAGCAAGGGTTCAAATCTAGCTTGACGACCGAAGCGCCCAACTTGAAGACGAGGGTGTTTTCTTCACCGACCCAGTGAACTGCTTCGAATGAATGAGATGCATTGGCACGGATCGTAGTAAAGTACTCACGATCAAAGGATTTTTCTCTTGTTACTGATTTCTCTTCAAGACTGTAGATGTTCAACATGGGCAGCGAAGCTTTCAGAACCCCATTTATAGCCAACAAGACTGAGCCCTGTCGAACTGCCATGTCGGACGAAAACACTCTGTTGTAATCGTCCATAATGCCATTGTATGTCACTGTGTCTAAAACACCCAGTTCGTCAAGTGTTATAACCTTTACAAGCCCACTATCAAGTACAAGCAATAAGCGATAGGGACTGGTATCTATGCAGAAGATGTCGATGACCGAGCTTTCCAACTGAGAAATGTTGACGGAAAGGGTAGGATCGTCATCGATTGTGGTGATATTGATGGTCTGAGACCCGTTTACATTCATGGTTGACACCACACACTCGTGGATATCACAGAAGAACGATTTTGCTGACTTGGGAATCTGGACACTTTGCGTTCGTTTGAGTACACGAGCCTGTTCGTCGTTCATGTCTAACGGCTCGTCGTCAAGAATTACTGTTTCAGTGTCGCTTTCTTGCTCTGGTTTATGGGAGACATTTGAAGCTGAAGACTTTTGCTTGCCATTCATTTCATTGTATGCTTCTTTGTTTCGAGATTCTTGTGGCTTTGGTTGGTCTTGGGGCTTCTTGATCGGGATGTCTTCCAAGTAATGAGCGAATACAGACAGCTTTGGTTTTTGCGTGGGTTTTTCAGCAAAAGTGAAATCATCGAGTTTTCCAGACAATTCGTTATCATTATCGAAAAGCTCTTCAAACTCATTTTCTCCCTCACCAGGATCAGGTAGGTTCAAATACGATGCATTGGAAGGAGCTGGAGACTTCAACAATTGCACCACCTCTCGCATAGACGACGTGAGTTGGTTCCGTGCATCTCTAATGAAATCTAGGTCCACATAAGGGATTTTATCAACCTTTGGAAGTGCATTGTTGGATCCGGGCGCCTCCAGGGTGTTTTTGATTTTTTGTTCCAACTCGGCAATGCGTACTTTCTGGTGTTCGTTAATGTATTTGAGAGAATTGACCTGACCCTCGAGCTCCACTATCTTGTATTTCATCTCCGACCGTTCGAGATTGGTCATGATCTTGAATCTTTCCAAATTGGTGAACTCGGAAGTGAGATAATTAATCACACCAGGTAAAGTGTAGTTGGCTACTGGTGGAGGAGTGGATTGCTGCTGACGTTGTTGTGAACTTGGAAAGGCGTTTTGGCCCTGAGGCTGTTGCCCCAGCCACTGGGAGTACTTCTGGCCATTGGGAGCCTTGGAAAGAGGCCGGGCGTCACTCATGGCAATTGACGATATGTTGTGATCTGGCGTCTGGGGTGCGATTTGGTGCAGGGCGGTAGAGAGAGAGAAGTGAGAAGAGGAATGAGAAGAATGAGAAAAGGGAATGAGGAATGGGAAAAGTCATTAAGTAAATACCATTACAGTGTGCCTTTTATTACATCTTGGGCTATATGCTAAGGATATATCTTCTTGAATCCGTTACACTTTCACTCTTACTTTCACTTACTCTTCCTACACTCTCTTCTTCACTTATCTATCTCCATTATTCACTACTTCTTGATCCAGTCGTTCAATCCCGCTCTGTTTCTTGCAATCTCTATGGCATAAAACTGGATTCTGACCACGAAAATTGTGCCTTCCTGGTCGTACTCACTACTGGCTTTGGTTCTCAAAAGAGTTCCAAAGTTGTAGTCTTCAATCTCATTAAACTTTTCACAAAAGGCTCTCCATCTCTCCTTACCGCTCTTGCTCTTCATGTCTTCCTCGTTGATCACAGCCACGGATTCTGGAGTGCTGTACTCGGGAAATGCTTCAAGAAACTGTTCGTAAATGTCATCGTCGTGTTGTGTGAGTTTTAGTTTGGATCCAGGAATCTTCTCCAAAAGTGAAAAGTAGGTTTCCGCTTGCATCACTGCCTTCACGGCAAACTGCTTTTCGATGTCCTCCAAGTTGTCGGCGGTCTCGGCGTCAAAACTCATGGTGATGAGATGAAGAAAAATCCAATATGAGCTTATATTCTCTAGGTATACATGCAGGACCAGAATGTCTAAATGCCTACTATAGTGATGCCTTTTGCTTCCATTCGTCCAAAATCCATTGAGCTTCTCTCTGACCACTCATATAGGCGCCGTGGACACACCCTGCACCTTCTAGGGCGGTATGTTCACCAACAAATCGAATCCGCTCGTCACCAGGTCCATAGCCATTATCGGTTCCAAGAAAGTGGTTAATTCCTTCTGCTTCGTCTCCAGGATGCAATGCTACGTAGGATCCACGAGCGTAAGGGTTCTGGGTCCAGGGACTTGTTATGGTGTTGATAGGGTCAGGAACATTGGATCCTTTCGCTAACTTGCTGAGCATAGGTTTGTAGTAAGTCCATGCTTTTTCTGGGTTTGCTTCCAAATAGTTTGTCAATGGTGCTTGAGTCAAGAGAACGAGACTGGCACGAGGGTTCTTGTGATGCACAGCTGCATAGTTGACTGCAAATGTAGGGTAAGTATATGGTGGTGGTATATCATCTAGTTCCTTCTTGACATTCCCAGCGTTAGCCTTGGGGAGAATCAAGAACCTATCCTGGTCAGTGGGCCACCATACGGTGTCGAACTCAAAAATCACCTTGCCGAGTGCACCGAAATGCAAGGAATCTAAAGCTTTGGACATTTTCTTGGGAAGTGGTGGGTTCCAGGAGATCCCATATGGGTGCAGTGGTTCAAGCTTTAGGATACTCAAAGGCACCGACAACACAACGTAGCGAGTTTTCAACTTTAAACCGCTGGTTGTTTCCACCTCCACATACGACGCATTAGAGGTGTCGATAGACTTGATTTGCTGGTTTTTTCTCACTGTACCTTCTGGAAGTCCCGCTGCCAACTTTTGAATCACAAAGTCGTAGCCTTTTATATTGTACAAATTGCGGCCATTGTGGTCCATGACACAAAACTTGGCACTTATCTGGTCCCACGATATACCGTCCCAAAGCTCGTAGTAGCGCGTAACTCGTTCGCAATACTTCTTTTGTTGTGTCGTCAATCTGGACCCGTACTTTTCCATGTATTTCACCAAAATTTGCGGTAAAGACATGTCTTCCGTGCCAAGATTTTCAAAGAAATGGATCTCGATGAACTTTTCCATTTCTTCCACTACTCGGTTGATCTTGAGCCCATCCATGTCCAATGGCCCATCGTCTTCTTCAGCATATACCGCGATGTCCTTATCGTCATAGTAACCGTCGGTGTCAAAATTGAAACTCCCATCATCGATAGACTCTTGTAGCACTACATTGGTAAGGCTATCATGAAACCAAGCAGCTCCCAAGTCGTAGGAATACCCGTGTTTCGACAGGCTGGTGTCTGTAAGTATTCTGCCTCCAATGCGTTGCTGAGCCTCCAATACCACAATATCGCTCGGTGAAAATTTGTTGGACTTGTCGTTAACGAGAGCATGGGCACACTTGAGTCCTGACACTCCTGCGCCCACCACGCATACCTCAACATCCACAACGGTCATTTGTGTCATACTCGGAAACTGTGCCCTTATATATAGTCAGCGGAATTCGAATTCCTATCGCTGAATCGGGAAGCTCCATACGGCGCGCCGCATTTTAAAGCCCAAGACTCTGTCTCACGTGTGATCTAACCTGGCGGTCAAACTCTTGTCTATGGTCTCTCCAGAGCTTACAGGCGTCTACGTTGGCTCCACTCTCCGGATTGGGTTCCGCAAGCATCGAAACCACACTAAGTAGAATCTTCTCTATACTTTGTACCGGCGACCATCTTTCTTCGGGCCGCTCGTAGTGATTAGGATCTTCACCAGGAGCATGTAAAATGGATATACACACTGTTCCGTCGGCGTAGACATTGGGATGAAGGATGGGAGGATCAAATTTGAGCACCGGGGGACTGAGAGGGTAATCTTTGGGGAACTCAAGAATAGCAGGAAACACTCCATTTTCATATGGGGTATCCGTCGGACCTTCGAGAAGACATTCCCACTTGTAGAGGTCATTTTCTGATACGGGGCCGGCAATTATACCTTCTGGTGGGTCCCTGGAGAGCTGTTGAAATTCCTTGAGGAGTCTACGTTGGGCAGTGGTACGTGGCATTGTGATCACAAGTGAGAAATTTGGGTGCGAAATGGTGGGAGGGTCGGGACGGTGCGGGACAGTGTCGCTAAATCCAGTGTCGCTAAATCTCGCTGTTCGCACCCTTCCACTCCGCTAGCTCTCACGCGCGCTTACGCTACGTTTACACCTGTAATCTCGTCGGTGCGAACTCTCCACGATGCCACAACCATTGGTAGCAAAAGTGAAAAACGTCTTGAGTGGCGACTCGGTGGTGCTTGTGCCTGCTAAAACAAACCAGGTGCCTGCCCCCGAGAGAATTCTCACCCTTTCAAATGTCCGTGGTGAATCTTACGCCGCCAAGGAGTATTTAAGACAACTTTTGATCGGCAAAGAAGTCAAGTTCACGGTGCTCTACAAGACCCCCAGCGGCAGGGAGTTTGGTGATTTGCATGCGCCAGTGTTCGACTCGCTTATTGAACATCTCTTGGCGAAAGGCATGGTTAAACTCAAGGAAAATGATACTGAGAGTGTTCCCGAATTGGTCACTGTCGAAACCAAGGCTCGTACAGCAGGTTTAGGGGTCTGGGGAGGTGAAAATCTGGTTTCTGTGGAGGAATTGACCCCGGATATCAAGGAAAAGTCCCAAAAAACTCCCATTTCTACCGTTGTTGAAAAGGTGATTTCGGGTGACAGAGTCATGGCTCGCATTATCGTCAACAAATCTCACCATGTGGTCACCCCTCTTTTGCTTGCAGGTATCCGTTGCCAGCGCACTGACGACGAAAATGCAAATAAAAAGATTGCAAACGAAGCAAAGGCTTTTGTAGAGGATAAACTCTTAACCACGAATGCTGCTATAAAGGTGTCTGTGGTTGGAGAAAGTCAATCGGGTGTTCCAATTGCACTTTTTATCCACCCTTCAGGAAACAGTATCCACGAAAAATTGCTTGAGAACGGTTGGGCTGAAATAGTTGACTGGCAACTGCCACTTCTCGGTTCCACGGTAATGGGACAATTGAGAAAAGCTGAACAAACTGCCAAGGCTTTAGGTAAAGGACTCCATGCTTCTGTCAAACCAAAGATTTTGGGTCAAAGCTCGAGCTCGTCAAAGTCTCTTCGTCCTGGACAAACCGTCGAAAATGTGACAATCGCCAAAATTGTCGGCGCAGATACTGTTGTCGTTCGTCTTCCTTCAGACGAAGAATTGACGGTGCAACTTGCATCTGTTAGGGCACCTCGTCCGCTGGACATTACCATTACCACTAACTCGCAATTGCAAGGCTCAATAGTCAGTTCTGCTAGAGAGTTTGTGAGACATTTTGCAATTGGCAAGAATGCTGTGATGCACATTGATGGGCTCAGAGCCGCCAACAAGGACCTTGGCTTCGACAGCCGTTTCCTCGTTAGACTTGTTGTAAGCGGTTACGACTTGTCGGAGGTTGTAGTGAAGAATGGATGGGCCACTGTTATCAGACACAATAAGGCTACTTCTGGAGAGAGAGCCATGAACTGGGATAAATTGATTGAATTGGAAGAAGAACAAAAGAAGTTGGCCAAAAAGGGTATCTTTTTCTCGGGTGACATTTCCAAGGTTGTGACTGTTAGTCCTAGAATTGTTGATGCTTCTGAAAATTTGACTAAAGCAAAGACTTTCTTGCCTGGGTTCAAGCAGAAGGGTAGAATTTCTGGTGGGTATTACGTCGAGTATGTTTCCTCTGCTAACAGAGTGAAGCTCTTTAACCCTAAGGAAGGCACCAAGTTGACATTAGTTCTTGGTGGCTTGACCAACAATAAGAACAGTGCTCACGCTGAAAGTGGACTCAAGTTTATGAACAGAAAGTTTTTGCAACGTCCCGTTGAGTTTGAAGTCTACGATACCGATAAAGTCGGTAGTTTTATTGGGAATCTCTACGCCAACTCCAAGGCACTTTCTCCAGTGCAAGTTACTCTTTTAGAGCAAGGTTTCGTTGCAACCCATGAAATTTCTCTTCGCTCCAACAAGTTTGGCGCCGATATGGAAAAAGCAGAGGAAGATGCCAAGGCTGCGAAAAAGGGTATGTGGTCCAATTACGACGCAGCTGCTGAAAGAGCCCAGCAAGAGGCCAATGAAGCCAGGATCAGCTCGTTATCATTGGAGGCTACTAAGCCTAAATTTTTTGATATTGAAGTTACCGATATTGATCCCAGTGGGGTTCTTTCGTTCCAGAAGTTGGACGCCGACACCGAGGCTCGGTTTTCTTCGTTCAAGAAAAAGTTTAGTGAGTTCCACGCTCAGCCACCTAGTGCTAGCGAGAACTCCACTGATTTACCGCACAACTTGAGTCGGGCTCCAAAGAAGAACGAATTGATTTCCGCCAAGTTTTCTGAAAACGGCAAATACTATCGAGCCAAGGTTGTTAATTACGATCGTACCAGCGCCAAATATGAGGTGAAGCACATTGATTTCGGTAACATTGACAAGGTTTCCTTAAGCGGCTTGAGATCACTTCCCAGTCAGTTTGGGGTGGCCCAGTACCCTGCTTTTGCCAGCACCACCAAATTACAAGGTTTGGTGCTTCCTCCCACAAAGCCCACCGACTACCTTACCGAAGCTTTGTATGCATTAGAAGACCTTGCATTCGACAAGAAGTTGGTATTGAGTGCTGTGCCATCTTCAGACTCTAGAGTCGACTATGACGGTATCATCTATGACGCCGAGCAATCGCTCAAGGATGCTAGTTACACCATTAACAAGCAACTTGTGGCCGACGGATGGGCATTGGTAGACAAAGAAGTCAAGGACCATCCTCACATCAAAGACATCTACCAGGGTTTGTTACGCAGTCAAGAGAGTGCCAGAAGCAGCCATGTCGGGTGCTGGGAGTTTGGAGACATTACATTTGATGAAGACGCTGCGTTGTGAGATGAAGCAATATAAAAGTATATAGTAATTGCAAAATCTTGAAAATATGCAAGAGGAGAAAGAAAATAGAGAAGAACAGGAAAAGAAGTAAGAGTTGAAGTCAAGAGTAGGCAAGTTAACTATTAAATATAGCAAAACTCTATGAACTTAGGTCTATAAACTTGGGTCTATCAATTTGCAAAAAGACAGTTTACTCTTCACCTCGTATTTCAAGCCGCAGCTCGCGCTCGCTCCGAATCTGCTCTGCTCCGCGACATTCTTTATCGGCGCCGGGTAACTTGTAACGCCGCCATTTTTCAACAGCGCGGCAAAATCTCGTTGCAAACTACACCTTCACCATGAATCCTGCCGTCAGCAATTTGGTGGTCATGCTTGTCATGATGCAGCTCGCTAGAAAAATAAACTTCGAGGACCCAGATATTCTCTTTTATGTGCGTGTTGGTTACTTGTCGTGCCAGGCTATTGCCTTTCTCATCTACCTTATCACTCGGGCAAAGATCAATGCTAAGAACGATTTGACTACACTTAAGTATGTGGAACCAGCCAACCCTCTTGGAGGAGCCGCCACAGAGAAGGCTGTTGTTACTACCGTCAAGGATTATGACTTGCAACAAGTCAATGCGCAAATCAAGTCAATCTTCACCTCCATGGCGATGATGGGATTCATGCACATTTACATGAAATACACTAACCCCTTGTTTATGCAATCTGTGACTGCCGTTAAGTCTGCTTGTGAGGCCAACATCGTCAAGATTCACCTTTTTGGTACACCTGCTTCGGGTGACTTGAAGAGACCTTTCAAGGCTGCTCCAGGTTTCATGCAAGCTTTGTCTGGTGCCCAAGACATCAAGACCGACAAGCATTCGGTGGAGGCTGCTGAGGTCAGCGGCACTGGAGGCATCAAGGAGGATTAAATAGACTATGTACTAGGCCCTACTAAAATGCACTCTTGGTTTTTGCCTCGGTGAAAACTGATTGCATCCAACAATAGACCACTGACAACCATGTCCTCTACTTTCCACGACCCGACGCCGTAGATTTCAGGAACCATCTGTGAAAGCGGCACAACTAGCTCTTGGTATAACTCTTTGTGTTGAACAACCGCCATGGCACTAACGGTGGTTTTCTCCTTCAATTTGACAAATGCGTCATGAACCCATTCAGGCAAGTAATTTTCTTCCTCGTCGTCTTTCAGCTTTATATACTGCGGCCGGTTGTAACAACGCATTAACCAAAGGAGCCAGCATTGGTCTTGAAGCTGGTTTTCTATCAAGGTGTCGTATGAAGTAACTCCTAGAGTCACCAATAATGATTGTTGGAACCGAAGATCGTTCTTATAGACAGTTTTCAACGAGATCAAACGAGGTTTGATATTGGGATCCGCCAACATGTCTTTTTCAATATGCTTGATTTGCTTAACACAAGAAGCCAAAATGACCTTCTGTGACTCGACATAAATTTTCATGTTTCTGTAGTTATCATTGTCCACATCAGGAACTTTGAGTGCTGCGTGGATGTCAGCCTTAGCCTCGAGAGCTTTGCGAAGCTGATTAAGACCGGCTAACTTCATTCTTAGTGTGACTTCGGTTTCCATTTCGTTCTTAACAAGCACTTGGAAAAGAAGAATCAAGTCGGGCGGAACAACATTTTTTTTGAGAAAATACAAGCCTTCGTGGTTCTCGTTGTCGTTAGGATCAGTGTCTGGCTTTTCCACAATGGAGTTTGTATGATCTTCAAGACGAGGTAAACGGACTCCAAACTGCTGCAACTGAGGTAACAATTGTGGAGGCACCTTGATTTTTAATGCAGATACATCCGACGAATTGTCCTCAAGACAGAAGCCATATGCCAAAAGTAGCTCTTCATTCCCCTTCATGCCATAGTTGTTGAACAATTGTGAACCCGATTTTACATCATCCGACTTGAACACAAAATAGCTCTTTGATTCTTTACGCTCCAAGCCCCACTCCACGTGAGCTGAAGGCAGATGATTCAAGAGGTCAATCACCGGCAATAGCATCGTATCGTGCCGCTTAACGTCCCAATCTACAGCATCTGCTATCAAATAGGCTGGGAACGACCGAGACTTGAGAATGATAGAAGCCCATAAAAAGTTTGGAAAACTTGTCCAGTTTGCTGGATCTTCGTTGGTGACAAAGTATGCGTATGCGTCGTCATCTGTGTAAAACTTGGACTCGTAATAGTATTTCATATTCACAAAATGCTGTTCTGGCTTCTGTACCAGGTCGGGAAGTAAATTGATGATTTTCCACCATTCTTCAACCAAAACGCCAATGTTTTCCTTCAATGAGCTACCGAGGTTGGTTCCTTGAAGATACCTCTTTGTTTCTGCATCCCAGCAATAGGGAGTGTTCATTTGTTGAAGTGTTGGTAGACACTCAAGATACTTCTTGATTGTTGAATTTTTCAACCGAGATCGCTCTCTTGCCAAACACAACTTGAGAACCGTGTTTGAGCTATCACATTGGTCCCGCAATGCCTCCAAATCTTGACCAAAACTTCGAAGGGCAGAATCAACCGTGATAGCCAATTCCACTGGTAAGCGAATATATGGCTTTTCTCCATTGTTGGTTGTATAAAAAGCCCCCGTATTATTCTCCCCAATACCTCTGAACTCTATGCCTTCGTTGAGCTCCAAACCCTGTGTTTTGGCCCATTGGACCAATTCGGCTACCATACTAAACGGCTGAGTCTTCGCTGCGAACTGCGAAAGTGGTGAGAAACATTTCGCACTGCTTACAATTTCATCAGATTGAATAATGCTCAGAATCACCCCACGCAGGTTCCAGCACCTCTCCGGGCTCAGAGGATGCAGAAATTTGACCTTTAGCCACTTGCGGCTCCAGGAAGCCAGGAAACCTAACCAAAATGAAAAAACGACATCTTCTCCGTCAACTCAACCGACCTCATCAGAGCCCACTACATCTACACCGAAACCCCAAAAACGCCCTTTGAGTAGAGTCGCCATTGGAGGATCGCAGAATACCGACAAGAAATACGCCGCAACAAACAGCGTTGAGTTTTCTGCTTGGAAAGCTGTTGTTTTACTTGTTGCACTTGGTGGTGGAGTCACCTGGTGGTTTGCCAAAGAAAAAGAAAGATTGAGGATTCAAAAGGAAGTGGAATCAAAGCGGGGACATGGAAAGCCTTTGATTGGAGGTCCTTTTGATCTTATTGATACCGAGGGAAACCAGTTTACCGATGCCAATTTGAAAAATGACGAGAAGAAGTTTTCCATTATTTACTTTGGATTTACTCATTGCCCTGATGTGTGTCCCGATGAACTCGACAAGTTGGGAGAGATGCTTGAGGAGCTCAAAAATGAAAACGGTATCGAATTGCAACCAATTTTTATAACTTGCGATCCTGCTAGAGACACCCCTGATATCATCAAGCTCTACTTACAAGACTTCCATCCTTCGATTATTGGTCTTACAGGAACTTACGAAAAGATAAAGCTGGCCTGCAAGAAGTATCGTGTTTACTTTTCAACTCCACCGGATGTCAAACCTGGACAGGACTACTTGGTGGACCACTCCATTTTTTTCTACCTCATGGATAGCGAGGGAGGTTTTGTCGATGTTATCGGAAGAGAAGCTACCGCTAAGGAAGGTGTGGAGAAGATTAAGAAACATGTGGATGCTTTCATTCCTCAAAGCGAAAGAGAGGCTCGCCAATCGTCATGGCTCTCCTTCTTGTACAAATGATTTAAAATAATAGGCATGTAAATAGCAAAAATTGATAATATGATGATTCTATATTCTCTCATATGATGAATTCTATTCTCTATACCTGTGGCATGCATCGAAGAAGGCAATTTCCAAATCAATTGCTTTCACGAAAACCGCCTCACTGAGTCTTTGGTTTTCGTCAGTGGTGGTGACTCGATTCACTTCATCTTCCAAAAACTTTACCCATGCTGAAAAATCGTTTCCACTATGCAATTTGATCCATTCCATGTACTTGTAGGGAAGAGAATCTTTAATAATTTCAGTTTCATAGTTGTGCTCGGCCCAACCAAGATACACCTTCTCCATGATGTACAAAAAAGTTATCACTTCAGCATAAGATTTGCAGTTGTTGCTGATATCTTCGAGCAAGTTAATATACTTCTGAACCTCAGGGAGCGCTGGTGCTTCTCCTAGCATACTTGGACATTCCTTTTTCAATTGCTGCAAATTATGTGATTCGATTTCAGAGATGGCTTTTCGAAAATAGTCGTTTTCATCGTTACAAATGAACCCGATTTGTTTCCCAAGCGTCAATATAGCAACCTCGTTGTCACATAAAGCAATTGCCTTACCGAAAACTCGAAGTCCTTCTAAGAAAAATTTGAGATCTTGCTTAAGATAGACATAAAGAGCGGTATCTGACAAGGTACCAGCACAGAGCTCATTAGTTAGCGGGTGAGTGATGGACTTGGTGAATTCTTCTTGATGAATTTGGTGTAATTGCAGCGTATAAGTCATTAATTCACTTTGAGTATTGTACGGTACTTGCTGCTATATATGGTGAAAAATCACCATATGCGCTTACGAGGAACCGGCATGAGCGATTATGAATTTACTTAAAAGATTGCGTTGACAAACCACTTTTCGTATGTCTGATAGCACAACAACAAAAAAGGCAGAGGCCATTGAATCCGTCAGGACATACGAGGTTATACCTCCAAAAGTTCCAAAATATCTTCGATGGATTTATCTACTCGATTCTTTCGGAGTCGAGGCGCATGGAATCGACCGATATACGCCCGAAGAGCGTCTTGAATATGTCAATTCCACCAGAAATGGAAGATCATGGCAGTTTTTTCACACGTTTGGATTATGGGTAGCTGCTTGTGGAGGACTCACTTCCATGTCTTCTTTCTTTCTACCTACATTGGTCTTTGGTTTGAACTTGCGAGACTCAATGGTATCTGGAATTATATCCATGAACCTTGGCTGTGCCGTGGCAGCCTACTTCTCCACTATGGGCTCCAAGTCTGGGTGTAGGCAGATAGTTGGAGCTAGGCTACTTTTTGGAACTTGGGGAGTCAAATTGGTGTCTGTAATTTGCATTGTGGGAGGTGTAGGATGGTCAGTGGTGAACTGTGTTGTGGGAGGACAAGTGTTTGCTGCTGTTTCTGGGGCTCCATTGGACGTGGGAATCGTCATAATATCAGTATTGAGCGTGGTAATTGCGGTGTTTGGTATCAAGGTACTAATCAGATTCCAGACGATTTTGTCACTTCCAATCATCATAGCAGTAATCCTTTTTTATGTGGTGGTCTGTGACAAGGCACATCACATCCCAGCTTCCAATAAACTCATAAAAGATCTGGGATATTCCCTGGAAACGACAAGAGGTAATTGGCTCTCGTTTTTCACCATTGGCTATTCTGTGACAGCTTCGTGGGGTTCTGGTGCTTCAGATTACTATGCTATGTTTCCAGAGGATACATCCAGCTTCCTGGTGTACTTTTTAACATTTCTTGGCTTGTCAATTCCAACTACCCTAGTAGCAGTGGTGGGTACCTTGTGTGGTACCATTGCGTATTCTTACCAGCCGTGGCTCACAGCCTATAATTCAGGAGGCGTAGGAGGACTCATGAACGAGACATTTGACAAATGGGGCCGATTTGGACAATTTGTCATGATCGTATGGTATTTTTCTCTCATTTGCAACAATATCATGAACACCTATTCGGCAGCATTTGAATTCCAACTTTTGGACGAAAGACTCATCTACGTGCCTCGATGGTGTTGGGCGTTCTTGATAGCCCTCATTTATTTTGCATTATCAATCGCTGGTAAAGAACATTTTTCTACCATCATTGGCAATTTCTTGCCGATGCTCGCATATTGGATATCCATGTATATCACCATTCTCGTATTGGAAAACGTCCTTTTTCGCAGAACGCCAAAGCTACGGAAAATGCACTGGCGTGAGTTTGAAAACGACGAAACCTCCGCCGACAAATACCTCTTTAATTGGAACAACTGGGACAGCCGTGCGAACACAACTAACGGTTTCGCAGCCATGTCGTCGTTCATTGTGGGTGCAGTGGGTGCAGTGGTGGGTATGAACCAAACCTATTGGCAAGGTCCTATAGCCCGTAAAATCGGAGCTTACGGAGGAGATATTGGGTTTTGGTTGTGCATGGCGTTCACAGCGGTTATCTACCCTCCTTTGCGGTACTTGGAGTTGAAAAGGTTTGGAAAGTGAATAATGGTTATATAAGCAGACTTTATCTCGCATCGAAATTACTGATAACGATCAGTTCCTAATGTATGAAGCAGGACTTAGTTCTGACGAGGTAGCGTTGTTTCGCCGCGAGGGGATAATATGTCTTCCTGATTTCTTAGCTCCCGAGGAAGTTCTGGCGCTTTTAAATGAGTCTAAAGGATTACTTTCAGATTTTGATGTGAGTTCCCACCCTATGACCCAATTCAAAGTGGGTGAAAACGACCATATAGGCGATGAGTATTTCTTCAATTCTTCGGATAAGATTCTGTTTTTCTTCGATACGGATGCTTTTGACGAATCTGGGGCACTCAAGTATTCCAAAGAGCAATCAATCAACAAAATAGGCCATGGATTGCACATGAGAAATCAAGTATTTCGTAAGATCACTATGGACGATAAGGTGGTGAATGTGGCCAAGAGTTTGGGGTACAAAGATGCCCGAGTTCTTCAGAGTATGTGTATCTTTAAGCATCCCGTAGGAAGCACCAATGATGAAAGGGAAAACGCTGTCCCACCACATACGGATGCAACGTTTTTGTTCACACAACCTCAAACTGCGGTAGGATTCTGGTACGCATTAGAAGATTGTACCCTTGAAAATGGGTGTCTTTGGTACAATCCTGGTTCACAAAACGTGTTTCCGTTGACCAAAAGGTTTGTGAAGGTTAATGGAGGAAAGGATGGATGTACAATGATCCCATTGGAGTATGATACTCAGAATGTTCCAGAGGATAAACCCGAGGACTACGTTCCCGTGGAGTGCAAGGCAGGTTCCTTGATACTTATTCACAATTCTGTGTTGCACAAATCCGACAAGAATCGCAGCCACAAATCACGATTCGCTTATGCATTCCATGTTATAGATGGAACTTCCAAGTTTGACGAGCTCAATTGGCTTCAGGTCCCCGTTAGCGGCGGGTGTAATTTTACCAAATTGTACGAATAGACTCGAACAATTCAATGACTCTCGTAGCTATCGTCTCTGTACTGCCCATCCCAACACCAGGCACGATCGCGATAAGACCCAAAAAATGCGGGATTGAATCCTCATCGCCACAACAAACCACAATGGAAGAACTTTCAAATGTCATTCCCGAAAGCGGCGATTCCGATCAAGTGATTATCGTGGACACAGAAACAGTATCAACTACTAATGGACTCGGATCCTTGCAAAAACAAGAAATGGTATCCTCCGTGGAGCCTATTGAGGACGAGCAGGACAGCGATTTGGAATCCTTGAACAGTGACCAGGAGAGTCAAGGCGACCAGGAGACTCAGAATCCTTGTCGTAAGGTATCTCTCTGTGTTGGAGAGCGTGTAGTTGTGGGAAGAGCGTCAAAAACCAATGCGGAAAGACATCCCGAGTTCGACAACCTTTTGTTCCATAATGCCCACCTTTCTAAGGTTCATGCTGAAATCGAGTACAAACCCGGATTCTATATCAAGGATCTTGGCTCGTCGTTTGGAACGGTTGTCAATGGTCTCGTTTTGGCACCGGAAGAACCTTTAAAGTTGAAGGACGGTGATGTTATCGGATTAATTATGTTGAAACCTTCGAAGAAGATTGCAAAGGTGTTTGACAAGTTCACCAGCGAAAAGCTTATTCCGTTGAATGAATTCGGAAGTCCTCAATTAGACATCAAGAAGCGTGTGTTTATCAAGGGCAACACCATTGAATTCTACGATGTGGAGGGCTCAATTGACAAAGTATCCGTTGACGAGACCGACTCCGCTCTGGAACTGGTCGAGCAAGTCCAGGAGTTGATTCAGCTCTCGGAATCTGAGGTTTCGGAGTCCGAGGTGTCCGAATCTGACTTTTCATCTGGTGATGAAATCTCTCACACTCAGATTATCTTTGACTCGTTCAGCGATGACGACGCCAGCACTCCTTCCGAAGAAGAAACGGAACCCGAGTCTCGCAAGAGAAGCCGTTCGGATATGGAAAACCAAGACTCATTCATCATGCTTGTGTCTGAGAACGATGAGGATCTTCAACAATTACTCGCACCTCCTCCTCCTCCTCCTGCAGAACCCCAACAGGTGAAGCGTCAAAAGACGAACTCATGGTCTGTCAAGACAGTTCTTAAGGAAGTTGGTAAAGCATTTTTCTATACTGCTGCCACAGTGGCAGCATTGGGATTGTATGGCAGCACCATTGATCCTGAGAAGTAATGTAATGTCGTTAATGAGTCTTTTGTTTGCGTTTTGTTTTCTGTGTTGTCGTTTTAATCACTAGGAGTATATATGGTATGAAATCAAGGTCTATATCATTAATTAGCCGTTTTTTCTCTGATTGAGGTACTGTTGCTGCTGCATACCACCCATATTGGACTGCTGAGCCATCTGCTGTGGAGGTGACAATCCCATCGGTCCGTTTGGTCTCTGTTGCTGCTGTTGTTGTTGTTGTTGCTGCTGCTTTTGCCTTTGTTGGATAATTTGCAATTGCCTCAAACGCTGGAAATAAGCCGGAAATGTTTGTAGCAATTGCTGCTGGATCAACTTGGCTTGTTGAAGTGCTTGCTGCTGCTGTTGTGGATTGAGAGGAGTTCGGTTTGCAGCCATTCCAGTGTTGCCCATCATAGCCAAAGCGTTCATTCTGGATTGAAGTTGACGGAATGTCTGTTGTTCCTGTGGAGATAAAAGGCTCTGGAAAAGCTGTTGCTGCTGTTGTTGCATTCCACTCAAAGGTCGTTGTTGTGTCTGTTGTGGTGGTTGTTGCAGCTGTGGCATATTAGCTTGCTGAGGAACTCTCCGTGGAACGGCTTGCTGCTGTTGTTGTTGCTGTTGTTGTTGCATGTACATGTTACCATTCATAACTGGAGTTCCCATATTCGAGGGTGATTGTGAGTTCATCTGCGATGCCATTTGAGAGTTCATTTGTGGCATCTGTTGGGCTTGCTGACTCATAGGAACATCAACCCGTTGTCTTTTATTTGGGATTTGGCCTCTGGTTTGCATTTGCTGTTGAAGCTGTTGTTGTCTCTGCCGCTGCTGTTGCTGTTGTTGTTGCTGTTGCTGTTGCTGCTGTTGCTGAGCATGAAGCTGTTGTGCCCGCAAAGCTTGTGCCTTATCAGCCAAGATTTGCTGCTGAGAAGAACCAGGAATACTTGGTGGTTTGGCAACATTTGGTTTCTGGTCGGAGGTGGGAGCATTCTGGCCAATAACGTTCATAACATTATTTTGGGCTTGAACCGCTACATTGGCCTCATGCTGGGCCTTTTGGGCTTCCCGCCGTTTTCGTATCTCTTCTATGAAACGAAGTCTCATGAACTGACCAGTGGTGTTGGCCGTAGAAGAAGTGTTGGCATTGGCACTGGCTACAACTGCCGCTGTTCCTGACGACAAGCCACCATTCGAGCTCTTGGACTTGTCGGGGCCGTCGACTGTTCCTGTTAAGGCGGATGGACCAACCACAACAAGATGTTTTTCCAGAGTTTCGTCGGTCTTTTTATGCTTATTGGAAAGAAGAAACATGATCTCCTCATATTCTGACGACTTGTGGAGCACAAGTTCATCTTGATGGAGCTTACGTGGTTGGCGTGCAACCTCTTTGCGGTGGCTATGAACCATCTTGTAATCCTGTAATTTTTCATCCCATTCTACCTTTGGACTGTCGACGTCTGGTTTGAGTAATGGACCACAATTGTATGGGTTTAATGGCACCGCCAAATCGAGTTTGCGGTTTGTGAGAGTGAGAATCTCTGATTCCATCTGAAGCGCCAACGGATCAGAGAACTTTGTGAGTGCCGAGTCGGTATGGTAAAGTAAATCATAGTACAATGAAAGAGGCGTGGGACGCAACAAGGCACGATAAGTTTTGGGTTTGGAAGCAGGAGCTGGAGTCGAAGAACTGCCATTGGAAGCAGGAGCGGTGGTTGGACTTTGCTGCAGTGGAGACAGTCGTTTTTCACTGGGGTCTTCTTTGGTAGGAACCACTGGTTTACCGGTCTCAGAAGAGATCATATTGCGATGGTCGTAGACCTGGAGAATGAGGCACCCGTCGTACGAGCGGATAGAGAAGTCTTTAATCAACTCGCTCATTTCGCTTGGTATTTGTTCTCGAACGATATGCTGGAGAAAGCTCTTGACCATAGGTGAATTTTTGGGTAGAATTTGCGAGTCTTGCGAGTTGTTGAACTTGTAATGTGATTCGTAGATGTGGAAAGTTAGCGACGGAGGGTATTTGGCGTATTTTCGAAGAATATCTTGGGTGGAAGTAGCAAATTGATAAGTTAATGGGTTTCGTTTCTGGCCATTGGCACCAGTATTGGTGCTAGTACCATTAGCAGCAGCCTTTGCTGCCGCTTGGAGATTGCGGGCATCACTGCGAGTGGTCATCTCCAGCGGGGAGGGTTGGTTTGCACTTCTTGTTGCCTGTGGTCGACTTCGTAACGAGCTCATGATTTTGGTGAAGGTGAGTCAGGCGTCAAAATCAACTAAAAAGTATGGACCTATTGGCGCAATCTGACCACCAGTGGTGATTCAACGAGAAAGCAAACAGAAATCACCGACAAACCTCGATGTTGTTGTTTGGTACTCTACCAATGATGGTAATATATTTCAACAGTTGTAACTGAATAACGAGCAAAAT